GGAGAGAGGAAAGAGGACGCCGCGCTGTGCTGTTGAGCATGAATGGCGTCGTGCTCGATCAGAAGGTATGGCGCTCAGCCTATCACAAGGAAGGGGAGCAAGACGACTCGAGAGGAAGAGGCGAAGATCCGCGCAGCTATTCGATTCATTGCGATTGCGGTGTCAGTCAGACTCGTTTCGACTCGTCGTCCCTGGCCGAGCACATTCTGCATTCTTGACGAGTTACTCCCTGTCTCAACCAGTCCTGATCCCAAAGCCGACCGTCATCACCGTCTTCTCGGCCTTTCACCGTCGAGGACGACGACGACGACGACGACGGTGTGGTGCTCAACGCTCAGAGCCCGCCAGCCACGCGGAAAAGGCCCAGCTGATTGACTTTGACTTTGGATCCCCGCTCTCCGCTCGCGCCCAAGCCAGCCATCCGTTGGCTGCCTGGCTCTCGCCTGCGTCTCATCACTCCGCCTAGCCCGCCCGCCTAGCCTGCCCGCCTCTCCCGCTCGCTTGCCCTTCGGCCTGCATCTTGGTCATCTCTCTTTTCTTTTCTTCATCATCATCATCACCACCGCCATCATCATCATCATCATCGCCTCTCTACAGCGGAGCCATTCTCCACCTGCGCCCGCGTGCCCCCTTTTTTTTTGGCTTCCACAGCAAGCAAAGCAAAGGGCTTAGCTGGCCTGACCTGCCCTGGCCCGCACTTGCTCTTGCTCTAGCGCTTTGTTCCGCCTGATCCGTCGCCCATCCGCACATCCGCCGGCATCTGCTCTGCTCTGCTCTGCTCGCTGCGAGAGGACGAAGAGATTGCAACGCGACGGCAAGGCAGCACGCACGAAGCAGCAGCAGCAACGACGACGGTCACCTCAGGGCAGGTAGGCTCAGCTCTTGATACTACGCCGACGCCGACGAGAGGATACGATGAGCTACCCTACGCAGCGCATCCCATCTGCCTCTGGATCTACGTCTGCGTCTGCCTCTGCGTCTTCATCGTCCAATCACTCGCCTCAACATCCTCATCTTTACGGCGCCTCTCATCCGCCGCCGCCGCCGCCGCCTCCGACGCACTGGGCTTCTACTGGTGGAGGTCCTTCCTCGTCCTCCTCTTTCGCGCCCGCGCCTGGGCCCATGAGTAGCATGGCTGCCTACCCCCCTCACCTCGCACACGCATCAGCGCAGCCTCCCTTCCATCGAATGTCCTACGGGCAGAGCCAGCCAGGCGAGTCGCCCGAAACGGCAAAGAAGCGAAAGCTCAACGGTGATGGCAACGGCAACGGCAGCGGCGGACCTGGACATCATCATCACCATCACCACCATCAAGCGCAGGGCAGTACGGGAAGCAATCCTTCCTCTCATGATGACTCGCCACCCGCGCCAGGGGCAGGGATCGGAGGGAATCACGCTCATTCCTCTGCCGCCGCCGCTGACGGGCCCAAACGCATCAAGACGGCCCGCGCGTGCGATTCGTGCCGACGGAAAAAGATCCGCTGCGATGTAGTCGATGACGGGTCCCCGCCACCAGGCGACCCGAACAATGGCAATGGAGGTCTAACCTGCGCGCATTGTAGGCAATATGGGTTTAGCTGTACCTTTTTCCTCCCCATTACCGAGACGCGCTTCAAGAAGAAGAGGGAGCGCGAGGCAGAAGAGGCCGCAGCGAGGAGTGCGGCTGCGGTGGCGAGCTATGGCGGGGCAATGGGGATGCTCCCGAGAACGTATGGGGCCGCGGGAATGGGCATGGGCATGGGGATGGGAATGTCAACACTCCCACCACCACCGCCACAGCCAGCCACTCATGCCAGCATCAGCGCAGCGCAAGAATGGCCTTTGCCGCGCGTGGGACCCGTGCAGCGTTTCCAGCAGAGCGGACCCTCTGGCACTCCCTACGGTAGTGGTAGTGGGCCGGGAGGGGAGCCGGGCCTCGCGAGCCCAAAGTCCTCCTCAGCAGCTTCGTCCTCTATGCCCTCTCTCCCTCTCCGCCATGGCAAGCCCTCTTCCCCCGCTCCCCCAACCGATCGCTCCACGACGGGCGCAGCAACGTCGGACGTGGGCATCCCGCCCGACTCGCGCGTCATGGGCCCAACGTCGCTTGCGTACATTGTACACAGCACCGCCTTTATCCCCGGCAGCGCAATCGAGGCTCATGATCTCAAGCACTCTCAAACCTTCGAAGTCGGCGCATCAGGAGACGGCATAATCAAACTCAACCGTCTGCGCCAACGCAATCCTTCCTGCGCGAGCTCGGGAGAGGGAGAGGGCGACGATGATGATGCTGCCAACAACGGTGCAGGTGGTGGTGGTGGTCCCGCCTACCCGCAGATCCCCGATGCGATCCGAGGCCGATTAGCAGGGGATGTGGCGGAGAAGCTGATCAACAGCTACTTCACGCGCATAGGGTACCTTCATCCCATCATAACCAAGAGCGAGTTCCTTCACCTTGCTCGCCCACCTCCACTCCTCTTCTACGCCATATGTGGAGCAGCCGCTCTGGACCGGAATGTGCCCCGAGAAGTACTGTCAGCGGTGCGCATAGGGTTGAACGCCATCTTCAAGTCGAGCGACGTCCTCTCCTCCTCGAGTGCTAACACGGTCAAGGCCTTGTTGATTCTGGCCCTCCACGCCGACATACATGGCAGCACAAACGTCCAGTCCGGGTCGCGCATGTGGAACCGTCTAGGCGTAGGGCTGCGCATGGCTCAAGACCTAGGCCTGCACCGCGATGCCAGTCGTCGCGACGACCTCGACGAATTTGCCCACTTCCTCGAACAGAAGCGCCGTATATGGGGGGCATGCGTGACTGCCGACCGTCTAGTCTCCATCGCCCTCGGTCACCCGCTCGCCATCGACCTGACCGATTGCGATGTTCGTCTCCCATCCCCTTACGAGGTGCTCCGTTATCCCGGTACGGACCTGCCTACCCGTCCGGGGGAGGAACAGCCCTTTGCCTTTAATACCGAGATGCTCAAGCTTGCCATTCTGTTTGGGAGGGTTCAGAAGACCATCTATTCCCCCACGGGGTTGATGAAGGCTACCGATGAGGAGATTACGGGTCTGTTGAGCGATATTGATCTTTGGAGGGAAGGGTTACCTGAACGATTGAGGTTTAGGCGGGAGAAGAGTGAGCCTGATGCCGGGATTTTGCATTTGGCTTTTAGTTGCTTGCAGATGTTGTTTTTCCGGTGAGTGCCGAGTGCTTGGTGGGGGTTTCAGAAGAGAAAGAGAGAAAGAGAGGAGGTAGGAAGGGGACAGCTAGAGCTGACCTTGCTTTCACTTCTTCGGATCGCGCACGCTCCCGCAGCGTCTTTATGCGCATCTCGTACTCGTGCCCGCAACACCTCAAGTTCTCGCTTACCATTGAGAGGATGACGAGCTTGATCCGCTGGTCACGCGAGTCCATTGCTTGGTGAGTGCGATCTCGTGCCCCTCTGTGAGACCGATGTTGACCTTCCTCGTCCCTGCCCACGCGCACGTACAGGGTCGACGCATCGGGCTCCTTCTACCTGGACACGATGCAGTTCGTCAGCTACGCCCTGGTCTTCTGCGCCACAGTGCAGTACCACAGCTGGGTCCGCCGAGGCGACTCCGAGGGGCTTGCCGCCCTCAGCACCATCAAGAGCATCGTCTCGCGCGGCCGTGTCAACGTGGACGACGAGCGCAAGCAGGACCTCTCTCTGCGGGCAAAGACGGCAGAAATTATCAATCTTCTCCACGAGTCTGCCTCCGGTCAATGGGCAAATACGCCTAGCACTGGCAGCCTCAACCCGACGGCGGGAGTGGTCAATCGCCGTACCGCCGAGTCGCTCAAGGGCATCGTGTGGCGGAACGCGCCAGGCAGGCCGGGAGGCGGGGCATACGAGGCGCAGGAGCCTCACCTGCTGCTGGCAGACTTACCGCCTGGGACGATCATTCTTGGGAGTAATCGGACGCCGGCGCTCGTGAGGTCGGCGAATGGGTGGCAGCAGGTCCCTGGTGGGCTGCCCGAGCAGCAGACGCAAGCGCAGAAGGGCGGAGCAGGCGCAAGCGGCCAGTACGGCCGTAGTGGTGAGGACGCGAATGCGAGTGCGGGTGCGAGAGCGAGCGGCCTGGACGGTCTCGCCTCGGCCTCCAATGGCAACGGCAGCGGCAACGGCGCCGCATCAACGTCATCCTCAGGTCCCACGACGAACAACGCCAACGCCAACGCAGGCGATGTGCTCCCGGACCTGTCAAACTTCACCCACCTGGGCGGTTCCGTCTGGCAGGACGAGCAAGGCTGGCCGGTAGACCGACGCGGCTCTGGTCTGATGGTCGTCCTTCCCGGCAGTAATGGTGCGAATGGGGGTGGGTTCATGATGAATGCCCAGAATGCTGCCGAGTACTTGAGCATGAATGGGAACGGCTTCGGGGCCGGAGGGCAGGGTGGCGGTGCCGGGGGAGGGTACTTCAATTTCATGGGTAACGCAGCGCCTGCCGCAGGTGGTGGTGGTGGAGGAGGAGAAGCAGGTGGAGGGGGAACAAACGTCAATCCTCACTTGAACGGGATGCTCTCCGCTCCCACTCCTGGTACTCAGGCCGAGATCAACGGTATCCTCGCGGCCAACGCTGATGCCAACCCCTCGCCCATGCTCGACCCCACATCGCAGCCGACCGCGCCTCCCGGCACGCAAGCGCCTCCCCCGGTCTTTGGGGGGTTCGGCATGGGCTCCGATCCGCTGATGCTCAACGATCCGCTGATGGGGATCCTGGATTGGCAGGCATGGCAAACCTACCTGGCGCCTGGCGGGGTTCAGCAGGGTCAGCACCAGCAGAGGACCCCTGGTGGAGGTGTTGGCATGGGCGTGGGCGTGCCTGACGCTGAGGGAGAGGATGAGGATGAAAGGGCATTGCGACAGGCGGCGACTAACGGAGGAGGAGGAGCAAGGGGTAAGGAAGACGCCGCTGGTGCCTCAACTGGTGGAGATGGGACGCGGAGGAGCGGGAGGGAGAGGGAAGGCTCCGACTCTGCCTCTGCCTCTGAGTCGTCCCCTGGCGAGTCAAGTGTGCCGTCTACGAGGAGAGAGCAGCCCACCCTCTCGAGCATCAGTTAGCACTCAGTTGAGATGCCAAGGTAGCTGCTTGACGTGTTCTGTACTTCTATTGTCGTCCCCCCTTTCCTTCTCGACCACGCCTGGCAAGCTCGTCAGTCCCACCTGCACCTGCACCTCGATTCCACATCAACATGTATATAGATATGCTCCAAAATCCCCTCTTGTCATGCCTTCCCCTTGCTCGAAAGCAGTCCAGTCAGTCTAGAATGAATGCTAATTCACCGTCGGTTGAGAGGGGCGTGAAGAGGGAGATCGATTGCAGCAGCGTAGTGTAGCGCGACGCAAGGAAGTACAGATCGCGCGGCTTAAGGCTGACGGCTTACGAAGAGGTCATCTCGACGTCCTCCTCCTCCTCCTCCTTCCCGGCTTCGCCCTCTGGTTGGGCAGAAGGGCCGGACATGGCCGTATCAGCATCAGCATGGTCATCAGCATCAGCATCAGCATCGACGCGGCCGGCGTCGACTTCTTGGTGCTGCTGCTCTTCATCCGCTCTCGCCTTGTTATCATCTGCGCCCTCACCCTCGCCATCGCCCTCCCGCGTTTCAACAGTCCCCTCACCCTCCACGGGCACGTCGACCTCGACCTCTACCGCACGCTCCGAGGAATCAGCCGGGATAGTCGTAGACAAATCGACGGTGGTATCCCCCTCCCTATCCCTGTCCCGATCTCCACGGGGCGTCTCGTCCGCCTCTGCTTCTGCTTGTGCTTCGCCCTCTTGCTCTTCAGCAGCAGTGGTAGCCACGCTCTCCCGCTCCCCGTCGTCGTCCTCGTCATCGTCGTCCTCCCGCGCAGGCTCAGCAGCAGTCATGAACGTCGCATCGGCATCCGCCTCAACCTCCGCCTCCGCCTCCCCCTGATCCTCTGCGTCGGCGTCTGCGTCGTGCTGTCCCTCTCGCCTCGCCTGTCCCCGAGGAGACTCCCCCTCCTTCGCCACAACGGTGGCGACGGTAGCGGCAGCTACTACCGGCTCGGGAGCGCTGTTCGCCTCTTTTCTCCTTTGCATTTCCCCCTCTTCAGCCGCCTCCGCCTCCAGAAGCAGGTTGACATCTCCTCCCCCAATCTTGCCCCAAAGTCGCAACGTCTCCCCTCGGGCTAGACGGAGTGCACGCCAATTGAGGCTCGTTTTGCGTTCTTTCAGGGCGACTTCCTCCTCCTCCTTCACACGGGCCCTCTCCTCTTCCCCTGCACCACCCCTGGCAGCCATTTGCTTGGCCTTCATTATGGCCAGCTGATCCTCCCTCTTTATCCTTGCCGCGTAGGATCGCGCATCCCCAACTCCAGGTGGGATCTCCAACTGTTCCAATCCATCCAACCTCTCCTCTACCTCCACCTCTACGCCCTCCTCGTCCTCCCTCTTGCGCTTCACAACCTGCGGGACAGAGGGGATGGGCTCGAGACCTTCCTCCCAGAGTTGGGAGAGGGCTGCCGTTCCGAGCGAGAAGGTGGGAGGGCCCCGAGGATTCGTCCTCGTCGTCGGGCCTTGCGTGAGGGCCAGACGGACCTGTGATTGGGATTGGGATGGGGAGGTGGAGAGGAGAGAGCCGAGAGAAAGAGGTGGGCGATCGATGGCGGGACAGTTCTCCCCCTTCCACTGAACCCAACGCGCTTCGCGACGGAGGGACTGGAGAATCGAGGACTTAAAGGCACGACCCGCCGCCGCTGCTGCCGCCGGGTTGAGGGGCTGCACTGCTGTGCTGGACGACGCGCCTCCTTCGTTGCCAGCACCGCCACCGCCACCGCTCCCCTCCGACTGGGCCGCAACGACGGTCCCTCCCGTTTCTTCTAATAAGGTCACAACGCTCCTCCAGGTGTCGCGCGCCCAGTGCTCCTCCTCCTCACTCATCTCCCACCCCTCCCCTTCCCCTGCCCCTGCGCCCCCTACTTGTAGTTGGAGCTGTAGCTGGAGCTGCTGGTTCTTCATTGCCCCTCCCTCCTCTCGTTTGCGCTTTGACGAGGAGGTATACGTTGTGAGGAGGTATTGGAGGAGAATGAGGTACTGGATGAGTATGTGGCTCCGGAAGGAGGGGGAGCGTAGTTGGTACTCGAAGAGGGGCGGGGAGGTCAGGTGCTTAGGGAAGGTGGTGTCATCCGGTTCGGTTTCGGTGTTGGTGTGATTGGTGGTGGCTGGGGTCGAGCTGGACGCTACCGCCTCTTCGCCCAGGAGGGAACCTGCAATACTGTTTCGCAGCATCTCCTCCCTCTTCCTCTTCTTGACGCTCCCTGGCGACATGTCGAGTGTCGCATCGTCCGCAGGCAGGGCTGTTGCGCTGGCCGTGGCCGTGGCCATCTTGACCCCTCTACCACCCTTTGCGGCCGCCCGTTCCGCTTGGCTCATCTCGCGCTCCCTCGCGCTGGCCTCGGCGAAGACGTCCAATACTCGGGCGGTGGTGTTGCGGAAGGTTTGGAAGGGGGGGAGGGGTGCTCTCCGCGTAGGAGATGTGGAGCGGGAGGGTTTGCCCATTTGACCTGCTGCCGCAGTAGGGTGCGGGTTGGGTGTCGAGGCCCCGTCTTGGCCTTCAGAGGAGGTGGACTGCGGGTCGCGACCGTCCGAGGTGCCTTCTTCCTCGTCTCTGCGCCCGTCGGATGTAGTCGCAGCTCTTTCGTCTTCCTTGGCCTCCATCTCGGTCTCGTGCTCAGCTTCAGGCGCCGGTTCGAAGAGTACCGCCGGATTAGAGAAGACGCCCTGCAATCCCCAGAAGTCCCTGTAGAAGTTCGTATCCCTCGCAGCCTGTGAAGCGGGATCCGTCTCCCTTTGCTCCTCCTCCTCCTCCTTCTCCTCGTCTCGACCCCTCGCCTTCTCCCACCTCTGCACCTCGTCCTCATCAACTCGCGTGACATTCCCAACATTGAACTCCCCCTTCAAATTGACGCCACTCCTCTCCCCCAGCGGGAAGACCTCCGCCAAAAGTGCCAAGATCCTCCCCGCCAATACAAGATGGGATCGATTAGGCTTGCTCAATCTACGCAACATATCGTTGAGTAGTCTGAGCAACACGAGACCTTTACCGCGGCTGGGGCTGAGGTTTCTTGTGAGGTGGGAGACGCGACTTGATAGGTAGGCGAAGAGTGCGGGGAGTCCCGAGAGGGGGGTGCGATCGTTTAGTTCTTCGAGGAGGAGGAGGGGAAGGGAGTCGTCCAGGAGGTTGGCGAGTGTGAGGGAGATCGTGTGGTCGAGGTGGGAATGGATGATGCTGGGTTCGTCTAGGGTGAGGGAACAGAACATGAGGCGTAATTGCGCAGCAGCCATTTCCTTGAATGTGCTTCGTAGCATCTCGTCTTCGCCCAGGAGGCCGTAGATGTTATCGCGCAGCGCCTGAGCGCGTGGGATGAGGGTGCTGGTCAAGAGGGCTTCGACTTGATCGCTCGACAGGGTCGACGACTGAGCGTGCGCATGTTCCTCGAGGTGGGATCGAGTCGTTTCTGCCAGTGCGGAGTCGAATACGTCGAGAGCCGGAGCAAGGCTGGCCTGCTGGCTGGAGGAGGAGGAGGAGGGCCCCGCATCTGCCATGGTCATCGTCTGATTGCCTTGACGTCGTGTGGTGACAAGGAAGTGGAAAGCAGCGGCGGGAACAGAGGTTCAGCAGCAAGGAAAGGGACCACAAGAGCGCCAATTGGCCCCCAGTCCGACGACGCTTGACTTGGACCGGGCGAGTGCGTGCGCACGCATCTCTCCGTCCGTCCGTCGGTCCATGATTCTTGCCTTTTGCTCCCAAACCAATCAATCTCACACATCGCACATCATCGCACTGCGCAATCATACCGCATGGCCCACGACCCTCGCAAGCCGACGACGACGACGACGGCGGCCAAGGGAGCGAGTGCAGGCACAACGCCCATGACTGGCCTGTCCCTCTACTCGGGCATCACTTTCTCTTCACAGTCTGTAAAGGATAGCGTCGCCGCAACGACGACGGCGTCGAGTAAAGGTAATCTAGAATCGAGAGCGGCAGATTGAGCAGGCCAAAAGGAGGTAGAGGGCTCACGCTCATTACCCATTCCACCATTGTCGACCATGATTCGTAGCTGATCAAGGCGACGAGGCGCAGCCACGCTCCGAAACACAGGCTGCGCAGCCAGCTCCGGCCTCGACCTCCTCTTCATCCTCATCGACACCACCTACAACATGGTCCGCAGCCCTTCGCTTTGCTCCGCGCAAGTCCGGGGCAAACACAGCCGCTAAAGGTGGTGTAGCGGGCAAAGCCACCAGAGTCAGACCACCAGCCGCAGCTACCCTTGTTGCCTCTGGCTTCTCGAGCGCTCCGCTGGAAGATGCGGCCACCACACAAGAGGAAGAGGAAGATCAGCAGCAGAAGGCAAGCTCATCTGTGCCTCGTACAGCATCGACAGAAGTCACACAGGTCAAGAGTGTGCACGACGTTCATGCGGCGGAGCACTCTGCTCCTACTGCGCCTGGTCGGGATGCTCAACAGGAAACTCAACCCGCCCCGTCTAGCTGGGCTGGATCGTCGTCGTCGTCGTCGTCCTCCCCCTTCCCACTCCCAATCGTCTACGCTCCGCCACCCCTCGCCCTCCCGCAAGAAGAGCTGGACGCGGATCGCGAGATGGCTAGGAGGGCGGCGGTGCAGAGAGGGGAGAGACGGGCGTGGGGACGTGCGGAGGGGCATGGAAAGGAGGATGATGAGGAGGAGTATGGCGGGTGGGCAGGAGAGGAAGAGGACCAAGGAGACGACGACAACAACGAAGACGTCAATGGGTTTTTAAGTAGTGCGGCTGGCGCTAAAGCGAGGAAGAGGGTAAGTAGCCACGCGTGACAGCCATTCATCCATCGATCGATCGATCTCTCGCTCACTCCCGTCTTGCCCCCGCCCTACTTCTGTCGACCTCGTCTTCGCAGAAGAACAAACGCAAACGCACCACAGCCCAGTCTGGACGAGTACAACCAGTGGACTGGGATGCCGAGTATGACCCACGCGTGCCAAATGACTATTCCGCTTGGAGGGAGGTGGTGCGTTCCCGTCGGCGGGCGATCAAGGATCGTGAGAGGGAGACTCGAGCTATGAGGGAGTGGGAGGAAAGAAGACGGGATGCTGAGCACGGCTGGCAGGGGGAAGGAGCGGCGCGATCTCCCCATGGGTACGGATATGGGCGTGGATCGGCAACGGGGATGGCGCCGCGCCGCTGCGAGGATGACGAACAGGAGCAAGAGGAGGAGAAGCTCTACATCTCCACCTCCGTCTCGCCCCCTGCAAGTCATCAACCACCACCACCAGCAGTAGCACCACCGCCGCCAGATGGAGAGCCGCCGAGCGACCCACCTGGGCCCCCGCCTGGCCCTCCCCCTCCTCTACCTCCTCCTGCTGCTGCGCCAACGAGCGCCAGTCTGTCCGGCGAAGAGGCATACCAGCGTAGGCTGGCAATGAGCATGAGCGCCGCTCCCCAACCCGCCGCATCAACATTAATATCCACACCAGGCCAGCCAAGCGGTTCCGCCCCTGTCCCTCCACTAACAGCAACTGCAACTGCAACTGCAACACCCTCATCAGCTCGATCAGCCGCAGAGGCCATAGCTGCTCGTCTGGCGGCGGCTGCCCCTCCTGCTCCTCCTCCTGCTCCTGCCCCTTCAACCTCTACAACAGGCCACGCCGCAACCTCACAGCAAGAATCAGATCCCACAACCTTTGCGAATCGCATGATGTCCCAGTGGGGCCACGAAGCGGGCAAAGGCCTTGGTGCCGATGAGGCGCGGTTGGGACGAAGTGAAGCCTTGGTGATGGAAAAGGTTCCCCACAAAAAGAAGGCGGGGTGGGGACCCGCACATTTACGAGGAGGGGAAGGCACAGCCGCAGGTGCTGGCGCAGGGCCATCCAAGGGCAAATGGACCTCCAGGGACCCTCAAGCCCAAGTAGATTTCCACCACTTCGGTCCCCCATCTCGCGTCGTGCTGTTAGAGGGGATCATCAACTCGTACGAGGACGTTCACCTCAATCCCGATCTCGAGGAGGAAATCCGCCAAGAAGCTGTTCCCCTCGGTGTGGTGGAGGAGGTACGTCTCTCCCCTCCCACTCGGGTGTTTGTCGTCTTTACTGGGATGGCGGGGGCGTGGGGTTGCGTGAGGGGATTGGATGGACGTTTCTTTGCTGGGAGAAAGGTGAGGGCTAGATATTACGGGGAGGAGTGGTGGGACAGGGTGGATCTTTGGAGACATTGAAAAGAGATGCGGATACGATGCGATGCGATGCGCGGCAGGGGTGGAGACGGGCTCGATTGTTTGGAAGAGTGTGCTGGTATTGGTGGGGCCATGGGGCCGGAAATGAAATGCGATGCATGGATACATACTCTCGAGATGTCCTTCTTGTCGTCTGGTCCCTCCCATCAATCAAGCCTGCACATTCCCCGTCGTCGTCGTCGTCGTCGTCGTACCCGTCGTACCCTGTCCACTCGCCGGCGTACCATCCACATCCACCTGGGCGGCCCCCACGGGCACCTGCATGGCCTCGGTCCTACCAGGCTGTTGTGCCTCATAAGCGGGCGGGCCCTCCTCTTCTCCACGAGCAGCAGCCGCTTTTCGGGCCGCCTCTTCCTGACGCTTCTTGCGGCCTGGCTGCTCGTCTTCGGGCAGGGCGCCCTTATCGTCGCAGCAGTGGCAGCGGCAGCATTTGTCTAGGCAGGTTATGTCCGTTCCGATGCGACCTGGCATGCGTTGGGGATGGGTTAGAAAGGGAGCGAGGGAAGGAAGGAGGGGGAAGAGGTGGCGAGAGGGGGAAGGAGGAGGGAGAGAGGGAAAGGGAAACGGGATCGGTCAGTCAAGGGGTTCGGAGAGGCAGCGAAGATGGACGAGGAGCGCAATGCAACTCACTATTGTAGAACCAGCTGAAGTTGAAGATGGCGCAGCATGCTCCTCCGAGGTCGGCACCTACGTCTGCCATTATGGTACGTTCGTCGCGAATGTGTCCGTGTTTCGTTTGTATGAAGAGAAGCGGGGGGCGCTCTAGCTGCCTAACCTCTGATCCGGCTCAAGGTGGTGCCAGGGAAGGTTCTGATTGTGAGGAGAGACTGAAAAGTGCGACTGAAGTGAGAATGGTAAAGCGCTAGGCTCGTCTTGTCTCGCCTTCTCTCTCTCTTGTATCGATGAGTACGAAAGAAACATGGCAGTGCAGTGCAGTTGAACGCATCGCATCGCATCGCCCTCGGTGCATCGGTGCATCAACTCAAGCGCCTAACCTGCGTCTAGTCTAGTCTAGTCTATGCACGAGGATCTCTCTCTCCCTAGCGCAGTCCGAATCGGATCGACTCTCGACTCCCAGCCGCTGCAGCCGTCGCCAAGCACTCTCTCTCTCTCTTCTCCGAAATGGCCGAAGCGTCGATTATGTGGGTGTGTGTTTCATCGTGTTGCGTGAGATGAGCTGCAATTCAAGCAGGACTAGCGCCAGCGCCTCAAGCAGTCAGGTATCTGCAATGCGATGTGGACGAGCGAAGAGCACGGGGCCAGCAGCCGATTGAGGTAGAACGAGGCCGGTGCTCTGAGGTCATGCCGACCTCTGGTAGTGCGTGACGAGTTCTGGATGGCGAGGCGCAACGAAGAGAGGAGCCAATTACGGTGTCGATCTCGGTCTCGGTCTGAGATGGGACCGCGTCAGAGCCACAAAGTCACATCAGATCGGGAGGGAGGGATGAGGGGCTGTGCAAGCCCGCCGTCAGTCCGCAATGCTCGCATTAGGCAGTTACAGTCTATCGTTTGTATTCCGCTCGCTCCTCTCACCTCACATCCCCACCCTCCTCCCCCTCCTACCAGGAGTAGCCCTCGGAGTTCCCACAATAGCCATGGATTGACTTCTCTCCTTCCTCTCCCTCTCCCTTCTCCTCTCCTCCTCCTCCCCTCTCTGCTTCTGCAGAACACTCTGCGCGAACCCGTCCTCTATCTCCTCCTTCCTCCCTTCTCCCCCTGCAGTGGAGCTACTCTTCGTCGGTCCGCCCTGCCCTCGAATAGAATAGAAGACGTCCCCAATCTCTGCGAGCCATTGTGGGTCGACGGCGGTCACGCTTGACATGAAGGTGGACTTGGTGTAGACTAGCTCATGGTAGACTACATAGTCTGGCAGGTGGCCTAAACCGTAGAGGGCGGATGTGGGGTGGAGCTGCATAGGCACGCCCGTGCGACAGTGCGTGTACTCTCCGACGCCCTGGCGAGAGGGCGGGTCGAGGGGGAAAGAGGAGAGAGAGGGCGAGTCTGCTGTTAGCAGGGGAAAACATCGATGGAAGTGAGGTGGGGAGGCGCGTACAACTCACCTTGACTTTCCCCGCCTGATGGAAGTACCCCTCAACAAGGCATTTCCTCACCTTATCCCAATCCGTCCCACACGATTCGAGGGGCAATCTCAACTGCTTCAGAATATCCTCCAACTGTTGTCTGACCTCCCTTGCCTTGCGCAGGATCTTCCCATGAAGGAAATGCGCCGCACACCAAGCATCTCGATAGCCTTGGGCGCGCCATTGCGTGTAGACCATGAGGAGGGTCAGGTGATCCGACTCGGCTACGTGGAAACGTTCACGCGCTTGGTCGGACTCCTCTTGGCGCTCTTTGGGGCGATGGAAGCAGGTTGGGACGGAGAGCATTGCGACAATTGTCAGCCTGTGCGAGCGAGCGAGCGCGGGGCCAGTCAAAAAGGGTCAGCAACACCGTGACTCACGGCTCAACTCTCGGCGATGTGTCTCGCCACGCGTCGCGTACTCACATCTCGACGGAGCATCCGTACTTGGTAGCCGAGGCGATCAGCACTGCGCTGAGGGATGGCTCCATGGGGAACTCGCTCATCCTCTTCCCGACGGCCGTGAGGTCCCCGAGGTTGTCGAGGGCGCCGAGTACCCAGAGCTGGTACATAGAGTTGAGGATGTTCTCCTGCGGCGGGGGGTCCATCCAGTCGAATGTGAGGAGGTCTCTCACTCCCAAGGACTTGAGGAGCAGTATCGTGTTCGCGAGGTTGGTGCGTTGGATCTCCTGGCGAGGCCGGTGCGCGGACGGGGAAAGGGGGGGTAGGGCTTCGATGTTAGTACGAAACTTTTTCTTGCCAACCAATTTCAATCGATGCCACCTCAAACTCACGGGGATCGCGTTAGGGAACATCTCCTGCAGGTAAGCCGCCTCGGTATAAAGCCTGAAAGCCGTACCTGGTCCCGTCCTCCCAGCTCTTCCCTGTCGTTGATTCGCATTGGCCTGCGATATGGGCGTGATCTGCAGCGAGTCCATTCCCACCCTCGGATTGAAGACCTTCAACTTCGAGTAACCCGCATCCACCACGAACATGATCCCATCAACGGTCAAGGACGTCTCTGCGATATTCGTCGCAATGATACACTTGCGCTCCCCGTTCGGCGCGGGGTTGAATATGCGCGCCTGCAAGTCTGCAGGCATTTGACTGTAGATGGGGAGCACGAGCATCGGGTCTACATGGTCCAGCTGGGTGAGTCGCTCCCGTATTACGTCGGCGCACACCTCGATGTCCTCTTGTCCAGTCATGAAGACGAGGATGTCCCCGCGCCCAAAGGAAATGTGGATTTGCAGGATTCGCTTCACAGCCGCCTCGACGTAGTCGTCGCAGGGCGATTGGGACCACTCGGTCTGGACGGGGAAGGTACGGCCTGGGATGGTGAACTGGGGTGCTCCGCCGTAGAAGGTGGAGAACTTTTCTGCATTCATTGTTGCGGAGGTGACGATGAGCTTGAGGTCGCGACGACGTGTGAGGACTGCGCGGGTGCCGAGGCGGAGCCAGAGAGGAAGGGGCGTGGTGTCAGTGAACCCATGATCATCCATGACGCTTTGTCAGCACGGTGCGCTACTTACTCTTCTTGAGAAGCCCCATCAAGACATCCGTACTGAGACTGCGCTCGTGCGCCTCATCGAGGATAATGGCCGAGTATCGATCCAGATCTCCCTCATTCAATGACTCGCGGAGCAGCACGCCATCAGTCATGTACTTGATGCGCGTCTGGGGACCCGTCACGTCCTCGAAACGGATCGAGTATCCCACCAAGTCTCCTAGCCCAACTTCCATCTCCTCCGATACACGCTTGGCGACGGACATGGCGGCCACTCGTCGTGGCTGGGTACACCCGATCATGCCGAAGCTCGTGTACCCGTCCTCGTGCAAGAATTGAGCAACCTGCGTCGTCTTCCCACTGCCTGTCTCGCCGATGACGATGACCACTTGATTCTCACGGATGACGCGCATCAGCTCGTCGCGGACCGCGAAGGCCGGGAGGAACTGGCGTTGCTCCTTCAAGGTCTTGCCGCGAGAGAAGTCCGAGGAGCCCTTGCCTGGCTTTTGTAGGTGGGTGGCGAAGCGAGAGTCAGAACGAGGATCTTCCTCCTTGTTGTGCTGCTGTGACGCGTCTCCCTTGGAGTCGCTGCCTTGACCTTGGCGTTGGTCGTTCTCATCGTCCTCATCCCCTCCATGGATTCTGCGACCGCGCGAATCGCGCTCCTCTTCCTCCTTTACCCCCAAGACATTCCCCAACGCAGTCCCAGCCAAAGCAGCAGCCTTGGCTGCCGCCTTCTCTCTTTCCTGCCTCTCTCTTCTCTCCCTGACCATCCTACTCCCCTTCTTGGCAAACATGGCCAAATCGCTCGTCGGATCGCGTACGGGATTGACCGGCTCAAGCTGTTGCGTGAAGACGGTCCTCCCATCCAAGAAGGGAGGTCGAAGGTTGTGCACCAGCAGGTGCACTCGTCCCTCTCCATCCTCATCCAAATTATCCATATCGAAAGTCCGTGCCGGCCCTACGCCGCTCGTCTGCATCCTATTCGTCTCCCACGCATCCACCTCGGCCCGCTTCGCTGCCTGTCTCGCTGAGAGCTTCTCCTTCCTAGCGGCAAGCGGGGCACTCGCTGCCACTTGACTGGGATCTTGCTCGTCGTACTGCGAAAAGGGGTTGTGCTCATTGTCCCCAGCTACGGCGTCGCCTTCCTCCATGCGATACCAGTCGCGGTCGAGGTCCGTGTCCTCCTCGGCTGTGGTGCTGTCCAGGGGTACATCGTCTTGGTCCCAGGCTCGTCCTGCTAGGGTCAGACGGCCGTCTTCTCTTCCCCGCGAGGATGAAGAGCGAGGAGTGGATTCCCAGCCGCGATCTTGCCGAGGTACAGAGGGCGTCTCGTCTTGCCACCGCCGTGAGGAAGAGGAGGAGGAGGATGGACCACCTCGCCGAGGTGTAGAGTCCCAAGACCTCTCTGGAAGGGACATGCGTGAGCTGGGTGTGGCATCTTGTTGCCTCCATCGTGATGAGGGAGGTTCGCCTCTTGATACGTCTCGTCCTTCTCTTGCCGGATCGTAGCGCGTCTGCTCTCGTCGTACATCTCGATTCAATCTCCCTTGAAACTCTTGAAACCTATCCCTGCTCGACCCTTGCTGTTGACCTCTCCTGTCATCCTGCGCTGCACTTTGCTGATCATTCGCAGCTGCTGCCCTCTTTCTTCTGACTTCGTCGAGCCTAGCACGAGCCTGTTCGCTCAACCCTCCGGTATGGGTAGGCGTTTCATCTGGACGTTGTCGCGGGGCAGGGAGGGTGTGTGAGGCTGGGCGAGCTGGTATTTTGAATTGTGGACGAGCAGCGTCGTCATCCTCGTTGTCCTTGTTTCCATTGGTGGACTCTCTTCGAGGCGTGGCTTCGACGTCTAGCTTTGCCTTCTTGCGGGGCACTTGAGAGGAAGATGAGGAGGAGGAGGAGGAGCCATTCTCCGCCCGCTTCTCGTCGGCGAGGCGATCCAGCCCCAAGAGGGAGGAGCGAGGTGCTGGTCTGCGGAAGACGTGTTTCTGCGGGGAGAGGAGTAGGATGATTCGTGAGTATATGCAACAAGATGAGCCAGTCTACGGCGCCCTCGACTGACCTCTGTGCCACCCATGACGTTAAGCCCTGCCCTGACTGGCTGCTGAGCCTCCAGCTTCTCCGTCTCTTGCCCATTGATCCCTCCACCACGAGCAGCTATCGAAGGCCTCGCAGCATCGCCTGCCACACTGACATCACTCCTGATCCTATCCCTGATGCTGGCCAGAAAGGTCTCGTCTGGAAATCTGCCAAACCCTTTAGCGGCCTTTACGAATGCTGCTTCGGTGGGGAGCGACCTGGCGAGATTGATGAGGTTCTTGGCTAGGAGCTCGTTGGGCCGTGGTAGTCCTAGCTGACCTGCCACTTGCTCTGCTACGCTTGTAGTGAGCGGATCTGCCATTGGTGCGCCGCGAGCGAGGGAGGATGGAGGGATGGACTGGAGCCAAAGGAGTCGTTGGACGCGACCCACGGAAGCTCAGTCCGCCTTTGCAACGGACAGACGAGAGGAAACGGAAGGCGGGCCAGTCCACCTTGGCTTGGCTTCTTGCGCTTCTCATCGATCTCCATACTACCAGCCTCATGCCATTGCCAACGCCCTCCAATCTAAACGGCAGCAGCAGTGGGAGCGGGCCCAGTAGACCCTCTTCACGCCCAAACGGCAATGGAGGCGGACCCATTTCAGTCGACGATCTAATCCAAAAGCAGGCTGCAGCGAACCAATTCACTCCCAAATTCATGTCAAAGAAGCAGAGGGAGGAGCAGGCAAAGAAGGCTAAAGACGATGAGGAGAGGCAGAGCAGATTGAGGAAGGAGAAGAGGGAAGAGGAGGACAAGGCTAGATTGAGGAGGGCAAGAGAAAGTGAGGAGGAGATGCGCCCGCCTAGGCAGCATATACAGGAGCACCAACACCACCACCACCGTCATTACCCAACATCCGCAGGAGGACCCAGCAGCAGCAGAGGAGCACAGCCTCCACCTTCTGTACCACGACATGATGGCCATCATCATCGCCATCATCACACCCACCACCCTATTGCAGCATCGCAGCCTCTTTCTGCCCCCTCCTCCTCCTCATCCACCGCCATCCCCACCCCCACCTTGACCGAAGCAGAACAAGAACTCATCCGCTCCAAATACCTGGGAATAGCCCAAAAACACGAGAAGCGAACACGACGTCAACTCAACGACAAGAAGACGATGTTCGGCCACGACAACGAGGTAGAGGACACGACGGACCTCTCCAATCCTGTCCTTCGGCAAATCGTACCCGTTCGCGGCCTACGCGCAGGTGGGACACAAGAAGGCGAATCCTCCGCCGCAGAGTCAGGCATTCGTCGTACCAACTCGAAACTACTTCAAACTTTTAGCACTCCAGCGCATTGGTCCTCCAAGTCCCTTGCACAGATGCAAGAACGTGATTGGCGAATCTTTCGAGAAGATTTTGGTATAGCAGCGAGAGGAGGACATATCCCGCATCCGTTGCGCAGTTGGGCCGAATCGTCTATCCCTGCCTCAATCTTGGAGTGCATCGAGCAGATAGGGTACAAGGAGCCCTCCCCCATTCAACGACAAGCCATCCCCATCGGGCTGAAGGAGAGGGACTTGATCGGCATAGCCGAGACTGGATCAGGGAAGACGGCCAGCTTCGTCATTCCTATGCTATCCTACATTACACGACTGCCACGCATGGACGAGAGCAACAAGCATCTAGGCCCCTATGCCCTCATCCTCGCCCCTACCCGCGAACTGGCACAGCAGATCCAAGTGGAAACGCAACGTTTCACCAGCTACCTCGGTTTCAACTGTATCTCCATCGTGGGTGGGCGAGATATGAACGAACAAGCACTCGAGGCCGCCAAAGGTGCGGAGATAGTCATCGCTACTCCCGGTAGACTCAAGGACTGTATCGATCGACACGTCGTTGTGCTGGGGCAGTGCGCTTACGTGGTAATGGACGAGGCGGACAGGATGGTCAACCTAGGCTTCGAGGAGGTGCTCAACTATATCCTCGATTCCTTGCCAGTCAGTAACGAGAAGCCGGACAGTGCAGTCGCGGAAAGACCTACCATCGCAGAGAAGGAGGAGGAGGAGGAGGGACACAATGGCGGTGGTGGCGGCGCACTCGGCGTTGGCGTCGCAGGCGAGGGAGGAAAACGCTACCGCGTCACGATGCTGTACAGCGCTACTATGCCTGCCTCAGTGGAACGAATGGCCCGCAAATACCTCCGTCGACCAGCCACAATCACCATTGGAGACCTCAACGCCGCGGTGGGTACTGTAGTCCAATCGGTGGAATTCGTCACAGGTGGAGAAGACAAGAAGAAACAACGTCTCCTCTCCATCCTAGGTGCTGGTTTCGAACCACCCGTCATCGTCTTCTCCACGACGAGACAGAGTGTCGATATGCTCTCCCGCGAGCTGAGCAGGGCAGGATACCCTTGCGCTACTTTACATGCGGGCAAGTCACAAGAACAGAGAGAAGAAGCTCTCGCCTCTCTGCGATCGGGTCACGCCCCCATCCTAGTAGCGACCGATCTCGCAGGACGAGGTATAGACGTACCAGACGTCTCGCTCGTGGTCAACTTTAGCATGCCGACCGCCTTTGAGGCTTATATTCATCGTATTGGTCGAACGGGCAGAGCGGGCAAGAGGGGGCATGCTGTCACCTTGTTGGAGAACGGGGTCGATGATGAGTGGTTGTATGACTTGAAGATGGAGCTGGGGAGAAGTCCCGTTAGTACCGTGCCGAGAGAATTGGAGAGACATCCTGCTGCTCAGGCGAGGGGTGGCAAGAGGAGGAGGGATGACGAGTAGTAGCGCGCGTGCGAGCGTGAGTGGGATGGAAGATGATGCCCAGCAGTAGTAGCATTGCGTTTTGTTGGCTTTGTACGAGATGATGAGTGAATGACTGCAACGAAGAGATATGCTGAGGAGCAAATACGAGACAAAAAGATATCAAGAAACAGAACGAACTGAGAGTACGATGCTAACCAGTTGTCGGTCCATGCTCTCGCGCGGGTATCAAGCACGAGCGTTCAACCTCCTCTTAGCCTGCAGGGCTGCCATCAGCCCCCCAGCCCCACCAGCAGTCGCAGGACTGCCTGCCCCTCCTAGCCCGCCACTCTGACCACCTCCTAGTGCCCTCTTCGCCGGCGCAGGCAGTGCGGCTGGCTTTTCGATACCGCCCTTTGCGCCCGCTCCCTCGAACATGAAGACCTCGCCACCGCCGTTGACAGCTGCCGCGCCGATACCGCTGGCATTTGAGCGAACATTGGTACGATCCTGCAGCCCAGGGGCAGATGGCTTGTGTGGGGAAGGAGTGGAAGAGGGGGCGACGCGCGCCCGTGATGGTGAAGGGGCATAAATGCCACGCGCTTGGCGCTGTGACTGCGACTGCGATTGCGACTGCGACTGGGCGGCCGAAGGGGTTGTTGTCATCGACCCATTGGCAAAGGTGAAGCCAGCTCCTGTCGTACTGGATTGGGCAGTCGCCGAGTCCTCTGGTGAAGAGCGCTTGCGTCCTATGACGGGTGATGAGCTCGATGACGACGAGGACGCCGCCGCCGGCCTGTGAGCGGGAGCTGCGGCCGCGGCAGTGGACGTGGACGCTTGCGCCTGCTGCTGCTGCTGTGCAGTGGCGAGCTGCTTGGTCAAACTCTTGACCTTGCTGGCGAGCTTCTTGTTCTCCTTCAAACCCTCAAGGATACGCTCGTCCGCCCCCTCGATCTCATCCACCTTGGCTTCGAGGTCCTTTTCCAGGTCAGAGATGCGCGAAGTGAGGTAGGCGACCTCTTCTGCCAGTTCCGCATCATCTCCGCTTGAAGGTCGTTGCTGCTGCTGCTGCTGCTGCTGCTTGGCCGCAGCCAATTGCGCAGCCATATCGTCGAGCTCGCTGCGCAGCCCCTCCTCCCCATCACGCGCGGCCTGCCATTGTGCCTCGACCCTCACGAGCTCCAGCTTGGCGTCGCGCAGCCCGGCTTCAGCCTCGTGCGCCTTTCGCTTCAGGCTGGCAATCCCCTCCTCATTGAAACGGTGAGCAGCTTTACGGCGCTTGAGTTCGCCCTGCAAATCGGCCAGCTCCGAGGCCTTAGCCACATTGTCCCGCTCCACCTCTTCCAGTCGTTCGGCGCTGCCGCGTAGCTCCTCTTGGGCGTTGTGCAATTTCTCTTCGAGGGAGGAGAATCGTTCTGCCTCTTCGCGGGTCTCGCGTAGTTGCTCCTCCAGCCTTTCGATGGTCTCCGCTTCGGCGCGCGAGCGTTCTGCGTGCTCTTGTAGCTCGGCGACTTCCTCCTTGAGCTGCCAGTAGTCCTCGTTGCGCTCTTTCAAGGCAGCATCGCGGTCCGTGATGGCAGACTCGGCTTCATGGAGGGCCTCCTCGCGGGAACGGAGGAGAGACTGTAGCTCGTCGAGGCGGGGCTGGAGGTCGGTGAGTTGGGATCGGAGAGACTGGAGCTCCTGGCGTGCGACATCTTCTGCTTGTGACGCGCGAGATTGCAGGTCGGTGTAGCGCGTCTCGAGGTCTTGCTTGTCTGACTCCAGTGATGAGATCTTAGCGCTGAGCTCCTCGACCTCAGCCGCAGAGCTGGTGCGCAGCTCCTCGAGGACGGCTTCAATCGTCAGCTTAGCCTCGGCGGCAACGCTTGCCTGATGGAGGGCCGCGCGCAGCTCCTCTTCGAGGTGGGCCACGGCCTCAGAGTGAGCCTGCTCTACCTCTGCCTCTCTTGCTGTCCGCGACTCAAGCTCAGCCTCCAGTCTCTCGACCATTTCCCTGTTCTCGCCAGCCTTCGCAGCCTCACGCGCCGTCACCTCAATCTGGTCCTTCTCCTCCTTCGCCCTACTCAGCTGTGCCTGCAAGACTTGCACCTCCTCGCGCGCCTCCGTCAGGCTCTCTTGGCTGGCACGCAGGTCCTCGAGCATGGTGGCCTCCTTCTGTTGGTCGCCGGACTCGGCCTCTGCAAGCTGGAGGGAGAGCTTTTCGCAGCGTGCTTCGACGTCGGCGTGAGCGGTGCGCAGGGCGTCCAGGTCGGCGACAAGCTGTGCCGCCTCGCTCTCTTTGGCCGTGGCCTCGGCCGTCAGCTGTTCGACGCGGCGCTGAGACTCCGCAAGTTCATTGGACAATGTTGCCATCGCCGTGACCTCGTCAGTCTGCTGCTCGTCTTGGTCTTGGCCACGTTGTTGCTGCTGCTGCTGCTGCTCAAGGTCCCTGGCTCTATCGACCTCGGCCTGCAGCTTCTCCTCAACGTCGCCGAGTGCCGCCTTTGCCTCCTCAACCCGCCCCTCAGCTTGCTCGAGCGTCTCGGCATGCTCCTTCACAGTCGCATCCAACCTCACTTTGAGACGCTCATGCTCTTGCTCTAGATCCATCTTCTCCTCAAGCAGCTCCTCATAGTCCTCCTCGGCCATGTTGAGCTTCGTGGTGACGCCCTGAAGCTTGAGCTGTTGGCTGCCGATCTGTTCTTCGCGGCGGAGGATACGCGCCTCGAGCTCGGTGATCTTGGCGCGAAGCTGCGTCTCGCGCTTGGTCGAGGAGGCAGTCGATAATGAAGGGGAGGTGGTTGCTGACGATGAGGTGGTGGCGCCGCTTGCCAGCCACTGCCTGCACTCCGCAAAGCCTTGCATCGTCGCATCGCGCACTTCAAGCCAGGCAGCTTGGCTTTGGTGCTCAGCAGCCAGATTTGCCTCAAGCTGCTTGAGCCCCTGCTCTTCTGCTTGAAGCAGCTCGTCCGTCCTGCTCGCTGTACGCGTCTTGTCTTCAAGCTGGGCAAGGAGGCGTTGTTTGCCCTCGATGCGTTCCGTGATTGCAGCGATCGTGGCAAGGCGCGCCTGAGATGCCTGAGCGCTGTCTTGCGCTTGGGAGAGCGAGGTAGCGCGCTGGCTTTCTGCTTCTGCAAGGCGACGCTCGGCCTCTTGAAGAGTAGCGCGATGGCTCTTCAGGTCGGCGCGGTGGTCGTCGAGCTCAGAGCGCACAGCGGCCAGCTCAGCTTCGAGCTCCTCAACCCGCTCCTTCGCCAAGCGCTCGCCCTCCTGGCTCGCTTCAGCACTAGCGGCATCGTGCGCCTCAGCCAGCTCACCGAGCTGCCTTTGCGCATCGTTCAGCTCGTCTTCTAGCCTCTCAATTCTCTCCGCTTTGCGCTGCCCCTCCTTGACCAGCCCGGCCGTTCTGACCTCCTCCTCCATCCCGACGAATCTCTGCCTCTCCTCAGCCTGCTCCAACGCCTCGCGCAACAGCTCAATCTGATCAAAGAGGTCCTCATCAAAGCCGCGCTGGAATTGCTTCCCGCCAGGTGTGGCGAAGAAGTGGCCGGACTTGAGCAGCTTGCCAATAGGGGTGGCCATGGGCGGCAATGGGGTTGAGCGGGCTGAGCGAGGAGTCGATGGACCATCGCCGCCGCTGCTGCTGCCGCTGCTTCCATTGGCGTTGACGCTCTGATGGCCAGCAACGAAGGCAGCAAGTCGCTTGATCTGCCTCTTGCTGAGCTCCACCTCATCTTCCCTCTTCTTGATGACGGCGCGAAGTTGGCCGAGCTCCCTGTCGCGCACATCCCTCTCGTCGCGGAGACGCTGCAACTTCTCTTCAAGGTCTGCGCCGCTGCCAAACTCGTCATTGGTGGCCGAAGAGCGCAGCACCTCGAGTTCGAGCGAAGCCTCCTTTGCCCCTTGGCGCAGTCGAGAGACTTCGTCAGAGAGAGACTTGATCTCACTGTCTTTGATGCGGAGCTGCCGTGAGTCCTCCTCTGCGAGGGCCTCGGCTTGCTCGAGGGCCGCCTCCCGCTCAGCGACGTCCTCGCGCAGGCTCTCGATCTGGCGTGAGAGGCCTTCGATCTCGGCTTGCAATACCTCCGAGTCCCGCTGCTGCTGCGTGGCGGCCTTCAGTGCGACGACCTTGTTCTCCAGCTCGTCCGCTCTGGCAGTGACTGCTTCATGCTGCGATTGCAGCTTGGCGTGTGCGCTTCGCAGCTCGACGAGCTCGGCCGAGTTACCCTGCCCGTCAATGTTGCGCTGCTCGGCCGCTTCGACTGCCATGGCTGCGTGGTGGAGATGCTCTTCTGAGTCTTTGAGACGATCCGCGACTTCAATCAGCTCAGCCTGTTTGGCCACAAGCTGCGATGCCGTGTCCTTGAGCTGTTGTCTGACCTCTTGCACTTCGGCCCGTGCAGAGTCCCTGCTCGACTGGAGCTCCTCGGCTTGGGTTGCCAATTCTGCCTTGAGCTGAGCTTGCTGCGCCTCGTAGCTGTCGACGGAGCCTTGAGCAATCTCGAGGTCGTGCTTGAGCTTGCGAAGCTCGTCGTGGAGCTGCGCGTCGGCATCGGCAGGCGAGCCGTCTGACAGTGCTGCTCCGCTTGCTTGGAGTCGTTCAATCTCGTCCTCGAGGCTGGTGACTTCATCCTTGAGCGAGTCGCGCTCTGCTGTAACTTGGGCGAGGGATCTTCGCAGCTCGCGCAACGCACGCGATTCGTTTGTGGGGGCGGCTGCTGCTGCTGATGAAGATGTGGGTGAGGAGGTCTGGGCGTCTTGCAATGCTTGTTCCGCAGCTTGCGATTCTTGTGTTGCCTTGGCCAGTCGGCTCTCGAGGTCGCTGACCTGGCTCTCAAGGCTAAATGCGCGCCCCTTGGCCTCTTCAACCTCAGCGAGGGCCCTATCAAGGGCTGCTCGATCGACGCCCTGCTTCGACGATGACGGAATTGACGACCGATCAGCCTTGCTTTGCAGGCTCTCAGCCCTCTGCTGCTCCCTCTCGAGCTGCTGTTGACATTCTTGCAGCTCCTTTGCCACGCTCTCACACTCCTCCTTCTTCCACTCAAGGTCCTCCCTCAACTCCGCTATCTCCTGCCGCAGCTCAGCCGCCAGCTTCTCCCCCTGACGCTGTGCGGCCATAGTCTCATTGGAAGATTTCAGAGCCTCACGCTCTGCCTTAGTCGCCCTTTCCTCGACCTTTCTCATCTCGGCCTGAGCCTCTTGGTGCATCGTCTTGAGATCGTCAAGCTGGACCTGGAGGCGGGCGACGCTTGCTTCAGAGTGGGCAGCGGGGCCGGAGACTGATGAGGAGCGTGGGCGTCGGCGGTGAGAAGTGTTGAAGTCATCGCCTGCGCCGCCAAAGTGCATACTCTTCGACGCTTTGAGGGTACGTTGCGGTGAGGACGACGACGACGACGCCGTGCTGGAGAGGCGCGCATTCTCTGCCTTGAGGACCATGTTCTCATTCTCGAGTGCAATGAGCTTGGCGGAGGAGTCGAAGCCTGATCGACCTCCCTTGCTCTCTTGTAGCTTAGCTTCTGCCACTCGCAGCTTCTCCTCGAGCTGCCTCCTCTCCTCGGCGTCAGCCCTCGCCTGCATGTCCACAGCACGATCGCGTTGTTGATCCTCCAATCTTCTCCCCTTTGCGTCTGTCGACTCCCTCTCCCTCGCCTTTTCGAGCGCTTGTTGTAGGTTCGTCATCTGCATCGCTTGTTGACTCATGTCAGCTCGAGCCTTGGCCAGGCCTTCCTCGGCCGTTGCGGCTCGAGACGACTCGGCATCGTATCGCAGCTGAAGTGTTGAGAGGCCGGCGCGAAGCTCCTCATTCTGGCGGTGTAGTTGGGCCTTTTCTGCTTCAAGGGAGCCGATTGTCAAGTCTATGTCGGGGTGGCGACGGCGAGAGCGAAGAGTGATGGGCATGGCGAGTCGAGAGGCATTAGCATGAGGTCAGATGCAAGTGAGCGTGGTGTTGATTCGTCGTTGCGCTGCTTCTCTCACCTTGTGCGCCCAACTTCGTCTTTAGTCGGCGGATCTCCTGCCCTTCGTCTCCGAAGAAGGCCATGTCGCGCGCGCCAAGTGATGAGCCCGCCCTGACGATGAGCTCTTGATGTGTGATTGGGTCGATGTGGTAGCAAAGACGGGATGGATGTGCTGCGAGGGCGCCAAGGCGGACTGAATCAAAAGCAACAAACAACAGGCCTCCGCCGGCGCGCGTCCCACTCGCGCCGCGGACTGAGAGACTTGGAGACGAGCGAGCGGACAGAGGAATGTGTGTGTGCGAGCTCAGCTCCACTCGAGAGTCGAAAATCAAGCTTCGCAGGCATACGCAGCGCTTTGACCACCAATCCAACTCTCGAACAATGCCCTCAATATCAGCTGAGCCGCCACTGCTCCCATCAGCTTCCACCCTTCTCAGAGAAGTGCGCTCCAGCTGCACGCAATGTAGCCTGGCCCTCGACGAAGCAGCTATTGATGCTCTCCTCCAATCCATAGCCTCTTCCTCCTACTCTCGCCAACCGCCCTCACTACGCGACTACTCCCTCTCCCTCCCCCTCCGCTGGGACTCTCTCGGCGCAGAACTCAACTTCATCTCCCTCATTGCCCTCCTCTCCATCCTGTCCCCCCTCCAAAAGCACATCGATGCCCTCCCTTCTGACACGCCGGGCTCACCACCACCCAGCCCAGCCATGCTAACCCGTCAACTCCTGCTAGGCCTTTACCTCTCTGCCCCACCCTCCAATCACCTCTCTGCCCCCTCCCCACTCTCCGCTGGCCATCTTGCCGGGATCCAGGAGAACGAGGTAGCAGAGGTGCTCAACCTCAAGATTCACGTGGAGAGGAAGGTGGAGCATATACCCGTTGCCACGTTGGCTGAGCGTGGGGGTCCGGGGAGTGAAGTGGTCAAGAGGTTGACGGAGTGCTTGAATCGGGTAGGCAAGAGGTTGGTGGAGAGTCGCTACGTTGATTTGGGGGCTTTTGTTGCTGAGACACTGCGGCAGTGCAAGGGGATGGGGAGCGAGGAGGAGGCAATGGGGACGTTTGTGCGCCGGGTGAGTATTGCAGGCTCATGTCGGTGGTCGAGGTAACGTAGCTGATTGCAAGGCTCTGCCCTCGGCGCACCACTTTAGCTCGCCTCGTTCCTTCCCCTCGACTTCGGCGCCGATTCGTACACTGTCTCGCACCCGCAACGAGGAGGAGAAGACGTCCCGCTGCATCTCTACAAGAACGCCTGGTACCTCCTCTGCGCACTCGTACTGCGCTTCTCGGGCGCGGACGAGGAGGAGAGGAGCAAGCTGCCTTGGCTACCGACGACTTCGAGTCTGGATGAGGACTTGCCATTGCTCGCGGACGGTTTTGTCGTCGAGAGCCTGGTGGCTCGAGGCGTTCTTCGACTTGATGAAGAAGAGGGGTCTGCCTCTTCGCCGGGACTGGCCAAGCTGCGCAACGTGCTTTCGTCGAAGGGACAGGCTTCTGAGCATGCGCAGAGGGTGGTCTTGACGGCAGACGAGTACAATGTGCTTCGCGCCTCCGTCGTCTCATTGGGCGAGGCTCTCAGGAAGCGACGAGGAGAGATCAAGGAGCAGGGGGTCGCGGTTACGCCTGCGCGACTGGACGCATGGCTTCGTCGAAGTGGAACGCCCGAGGCGCACCGCAAGGTACGCTTGATCATCAAGGACGAGGGCCAGATCAGCGCCGCTGGCATGTGGTAGCCGTGAGGGCACCGAGAGAGAAAAGAGCATATCGTGTACAATTTGCATGATCGACGCACTGGTCTTGACGAGTTGGTTGCAATAGAATGGCTGCCTGCCTGTCGCGTTCTCAGCTTCAATCAATCTCCATGCCTCCGCTACCACCACTACCGTTGTTGCCCGTTGCCGCCCCCGCTTTGGCCTTCTTGCCTCCTCGAGGCCTCTTCTTGACCGCAGGCTGAGCTGCTCCATCTGATGAAGTCTGAGCAGCTGCCGCCGCCGCTGCCTTCTTTGCTGCTCGCTTCGTCTTCTTTGCTTCGAGGTTTGTGCTGGCAATGGATGGGCGAGAGAACAAAGGTGTCAGCAATCCAATTCAACGCTCTCGTCTCGCCGCTTTGCACTCACAGGTCGCTACCGGCGCCTGCTCCACCCTTGCCATTCGCGCCCGGCTGCCCCTTGACGCCACCAAGTCGCTGAGCCAGGGGCAACCCACCAAGCCTACTCGCCAAGGACGGCGCAGTAGGCGCTCCCGTCTGTCCCCTGCCACCTGGCCCAACGGGCGCCGCTCCTCTGCCTGCGCGTTGAGCAGCGGCCAAAGCGGCAGCCGTAGCCCCCTGGTGAGCAGCAGCCGCGATAGCTTTGCGATCTCGAGCGGTCATGACCTGCTGCTGGTGGCCGTGCCCGCCGCGACCATTGGCAGCAGAAGCAGCAGCAGCGGGTCCACGAGGAATGACGGCCGCTGCCGCTTGCTGAGCAGCTTGCTTAGCGGCGATAGCTGGAGTGATGAGCTCGCGACGCTGCTGCTGCTGCTGCTGCTGCGCACCGCCGTGCCCCTCATTCTGACCAGATCGTCTCGAATTCGCATTCCTCGGCCCAGTAGGCGGCGTCGCACCCCCCGAACCTGCAGCGGCAGCCGCCGAAGCAGCTTGGGCTACGGCGCTCGTTGTACCGCGTGGAGCGACGGGTACATTGCTGCTATGGTCCGACTCGATGACGACGGAGAGGATGCGACCGTCAGCGAGGACCCCGTCTAGCTGCTCGACGGCCTTTTGCGCCGCGGGCTTGTCTTCGAAGAGGACCTCGTACGCGACGGAGCGATCGTCGGTGTTGTTGTTGGATTTGCGGTCCTTGACGCGGATAATGTCGCCCTGAGAGCGCGATGATACGAAGAGGGTGAGTACTGTGCATTAGCCGTAGTGACAGGGCGAAGGCTGTTCTTGGAGCGGGGCCGAGGTAGCTCACGAATTGAAGGAAGGTCTGACGAATGTCCTCTGAAGAGGTTCCGCGTGCCAGGTTCGAGACGAGGACTTGCGTTGGGAGGCTCGAGGCTCCCCTGATGGTGATTTGAGAAGGTGGGTAGCTCTGCGAGGGGGCGTTGGGGCGCTGTGAGAGTGACAAGGGAGTGTATGAAATGAAGTGGTCAGTCCACTGCTGGTTGCTCAGCATGAATGCTTCCTTGTCGCGCTGAGACTTACGCTGTAAGGCGCCGCATTCTGCCTTGCCATGTTACCGCTGGCGCTCCTCTGCGGGCCGCGCTGGTTGCCGTTGCCAGCTGGTCCTGACCTCCTGGATGAATGCATGGCGCGCTGCTCTGAATAGCGAAAGTGATGCAGGGACGAGGTTGGGGGTGGGATGGTCCTTGGTCTTCGTCGTCGTCGACGATAGCAACGAGACGCGCCGAGTCGACGAGAGGGCGAGCGGACAGACGGGCGGAGGCAATGGACGCCACGCGGTCCACAGCTGGACGGTGGCTGAATTGGCGCCACGCGAGCGGGAGCAGAGGATGGCATTGCTTTGGCCTGTGGTCCGAGCGGAGGAGGACGACCATCGAGCTGCAATCATCTCTCGACGACATCTCGACTCCACACTCCATCACCACCTACTAACTACAACTCCCTCTGATCAGCCCTTCAAGATGGTTGTCCTCGAGACCTCGGACCAAGAGCGCTTCACCGTCGATAAGGATGTGGCTGAGCGATCCCTCCTGATCAAGCAGATGCTCGATGGTGAGTAGCGGGCGCGCATCCCCCAAGCCTGGCACGCTGTGGGCATACATGGTGATTGACTCTCTGGCTTCCCTCTTTCCGACTCGCTCGCACAGACCTTGGAGACTCGGACATGCCCATTCCCCTCCCTAATGTCACCAGCAACGTCCTCAAGAAGGTGAGCATTGCGCGGTCGAATACGCTCACAACCCGTCATCGTGTATGCTGACACTCGATCCTTTGTCCACGCAGGTCCTCGAGTACTGTGGCCACCATCGCCACGAACCCGTCCTCCCCACGGACGAGGGCGAAGAGTCCCGCAAGCGCCTAACGGACATCAGCGAATGGGACCAGAAGTTCATCTCCGTCGACCAGGAGATGCTATTCGAGATCATCTTGGCCGCCAACTACCTCGATATCAAGCCCTTGCTCGACGTTGGCTGCAAGACGGTGTACGTAGCTCCTCGATCTCTGCAGTCCGTCGCCGTGTGAGAGAGAGAGGTCGTGAGTACTGACTGGTTGTGCCTCCCCTTCGCTCGCTCGCTCCCTCGCCCGCACAGCGCTAATATGATCAAGGGCAAGACGCCCGAGGAGATTCGTCGTCTCTTTAATATCCAGAACGACTTTACACCCGAGGAGGAGGCCCAGATTCGCAAGGAGAACGAGTGGGCTGAGGATCGCTGAAGCGCATCAGAGCGAGGCAAAGAAGGAGGCAGCGTGATGGAGAGTGAAGGCCAATGATGGGCAGGCCATGAGGGCCTGTGTTCACGACGACGCATGTACTCGAGGGAAGAGGCACACTTCGCGCCATGTCATGTCATGTCAATCAGACATTCGAGATACACCTGAGTAGCTGGGGCAAGGCGATGACGATGACGATGACGATGATGACGCTCGTGCGTGACAGCGCTACGGCGCACCTCAGTACATTGGGAAACCAGGGTCTACCTGCTTACTCCACGCCGTCAGCCCGCCGGTGATGTCTACGAAGCGCAGCTGCCTCCTCGACGAGGTCGCTCGTTCTTGTTCATCGCGGTCCGCGACGGCAACGAGCTGCTCAAGTGCCGCGACGGCCATCTTGGAGTCATTGCCGCGCTTGCAGAGGACTGGAACGTCTAGCGGTCCAGCATCGTCGACGTCGTCGTCGTTGTCCGAGGCAGGACCGAGAGCCTCCTGAATCTTTGCGAGTGACGTCTGTGGATCACTTCGTATTGAAGACCACGGTACGTCTGGTGGAGAGAGAGAGGGACAGCTCTTCTTTGTCAGCTTGCTTGCTTCCCCTCTGCTTTGCCCGCAAGGCCGTCGCGCGACACTCACTGATCGTATTCACACCTCTCGGTAGTCGAATGATGCTCCACTCCTCTTCAGTCCGTACGTCAACGACCAATCGCGGTCGTCGTGGCAAGTTTGTTAGGTCTTGCACGCTCGTCCTCGCACGTCGCTCGTAATCCTCGACCTCAGTACCTGGTCCTGTTGGCGGTAGGGTGGCAAGCCCGCAGAAGGAGATATAGTCCTCCTCTTCCAAGGAGGAGATACGACGCAGCCCCTTTGCCGTGAGCGCCGTCTCATCACCGCAGACTCGACAATCAGTGCGGCGTGGGCGGAGCTTGATGCTTCGAAAGAGCGTCGAGGAGGCGACGCTCATTGGGCTGGCCAGGAGCATCGTAGGCGTCGGTGGAGATGGTGAGCCCTCCCCATTTCCGTCTGCTGAGCGATGCAGCCCTTCGAGGAGCAACTTGATCGTCTCATTAGCCTGCAACGTCCCCACCAGACCAGTGATAGTCCCCAGCACGCCGCCCTCGCTACAGTCGGTCACGTCTTGAGGGCGGGGGGCTACTGGGAAGAGGCAGCGATAGCATGGCCCGCGGCCCGAGCTCCCAGCGCCGTTGATGTCGTATAGCTCGCGATGTAGTACAACGAGCTGCCCTTCTAACCCCTGTGCCGCGCCCGATACCACGGCCTTGCCGCACAAGACTGCGGCGTCGTTGATAAGGTAGCGAGTGAGTGGGTTGTCCGTGCAGTCTAGCACTAAGTCATGGGAGGAGACGAGGGGAAGGGCGTTTGATGCTGTGAATTGCTGCGTGATTGGTGCAAGAGTGACGTGAGGATTCAAGCTGAGGTGTGGGCGCGAGCCGGGCAGTAGGGAAGTTGTCAGCGGGACGAGACTGCACGATGTTGAGCGTCGCGTGTCGCATTGTCGCGTACCGCAAGTACCACTCACGCCTCTACGGCCACCCGGATGCTTTCGGCCTTGCTCATCCCGATTCTCTTTTCGGTATGCAGACATTGCCTAGCCAGGTTGCTCCTCTCAACCACATCGTGATCCACCACGGTGATGTGTCCAACCCCGCCCAGAGCCAGGTACTGCACAGCTGGGCAGCCTAAACCTCCTGCGCCTACGACGAGGACACGGGAGCGTTTCAGGATGAGCTGAGCCGGCAAGCCGCCAAACCCAGGGAGGATCATTTGACGACCATAGCGCTGGTATTCGGAGGGCGTCAAGGGGAGCGAGTCAATCTTTGTCGGGGCTGGCGGCCACAGCTCTTCCTCCTCTTCGTCTTGCTCGCCACGGTGGTGCAACCCAGTGTCCTTCATTCGGGCACGCGGCGAGAAGACCGTAGTGCGACTGCAACACAATCCGGCTTCTCCCTAGTCCTGACTTGGCTGTGCTTAGGATGTCGGCGACGCTGCCTATCTGAGCCTTTGGTCTTGCTTTGCGGCCAACGACGATCTGTTGCCACCTGTTTCCTCGTGATTGTCGTTGCCGCCTGCTTTTTCTTCTCGCTTTCGCTGAGCGGGGAGGCAGGTGGCTGGCGTGCGTGCGTTGAAGAGGGGCAACAAGAACAGAACACGAGGCTTTGCCCTGCGAGGGGTGGCGCCCACAGGGCGGAGGAGGCACGAGGCCTGTCAATCAAGCTCACAAAGCTTGGAGCGGGCGGGCGGGCGCCAGGCGCCGCTCTCCTCGCCTCGCCTCGACTCGGAGACTGGCTCACCGGACAACGGACGAACGGGGCAGCAGCCAACCAAGGTCGTGGTCGAGGTTGAGACTCAAGGCACACGCAGGCCGGACGGACCTGAGCCACTCAACTCGATCCAGACTCAACCTACCTCACCTTCCTCTTTCCCAACTCACTACCAGCAACGCTCGGCGCCGCCTTTGCTCTTTCGTATTGCTCCCCTTGCTCGCAATCCTAGGCACGAGCTAGCTTCGTATCATCGTCGGCAGGATCACCGAATCACGACTCGAAGGACAAACGACGTTGCCTCAGCGCACTCTTCTTGGCGATTGCATCAACATACGCACGTCCAAAGAGGTCAAACGCGTAGCCACGATAATCTCGACGCTGCACCTGCCGACGACACCATCTACCTCTCGACATCCTCGACGAAGCTAGAAAGACTGTATCATGGCTCGTGACAGGCTCGCAGCAATGAGGGTAAGTAGCAGCGGCTTCTCTCGGAGAGGTGAGACGAGCGAGCCGCAAAGCTGACATCCTCTTCCTTTTGATCTCTCTGGACGCAGGCGCAGCAGGCAGGAGGCGGTGGAGCTGGTGGTTACGGTGGATACGGAGGTGGTAACAACGGCTATGGCGAGCACGCTTACCCGACACAGCAGACGGGTTACACGCCCGGCGGGTTTGCGGGTCAGCAGCAGCAGGGATACGGGCAGCAGCCGCAGGCCGGCTATGGGCAGCAGGGTGGTTACGGTCAACAGCAAGGTGGATATGGTCAGCAGGGAGGCTATGGCCAGCAGCAAGCTGGCTACGGTCAACCTCAACAGGGCTATGGCCAGCAGCAGGGCGGCTACGCGCAGCAGGACCCCTACACCGTCCCTGCAAATGGCGCCGCCAACAACTACGAGATGCAGGAGAAGCCTGGAGGAGCCGGTGACATGAATGTGCGCAAGCCGCGGCGCAGGACTGGTCGTCGAATCTGCTCGCTGACTTGCGTCCCTTCCCTTTGACCCCGCTCCGCTAGTCCTTCTTTGGCGAAATCTCAGCCATTCAGGACATGATCCGCCAGATCGAGGACAATGTTCGTCGCATCTCTGACCTGCACAACCGCTCCCTCAACAACGTCGACGAGGCTGCCTCGCAGCAAGCTCACGCTCAGCTGTCCGGCATCTCGTCAGAGACGTCCAAGCTGACGAACACGGTCAAGAACCGCATCAAGAAGTTGGAGGCGCAGAACAACAAGGTGCCAGAGGGAGGAGACAAGAATGTGCGAAGGACGCAGGTTGGTTCGCTGAAGAATCAGTTCAAGGGGGTGATCCAGAACTACCAGTGCGTAGCGTAGGAAGCGTGCTAGACGAGAAGCGGACATGTTCGCTGATTCTCCTTTCTTCTCTTCTCGCCGCCCTCGCAGGGAGGTTGAGCAGCAATATCGCCAAAAGTATCGTCAGCGCCAAGAGCGTCAATTCCGCATCGTCAAGCCCGATGCCACGCCCCAAGAAGTCAAGGCAGCGCTCGACGACGATTCTGGCGGGCAGATTTTCTCTCAGGCCCTGCTCAACTCGAACCGCCATGGCGAGGCTCGTGGTGCGCTGCGTGAGGTACAAGAGAGACACGAGGACATCAAGCGTATCGAGAAGACGTGAGTACGGCGCGACACGACGATGGCGTGTTTCGCAGCCTGACCTGTCGCTCACTGACCCTTCGCGCTCCCTTGTCTGTTCACAGCATCGTCGAACTCGCCCAACTCTTCCAAGAGATGGACATCCTCATCTCGGAGCAAGACGACCAAGTCAACGCTATCGAGGCCACGGCAGTCAACGTCGAGCAGGACATGTCCGCTGGTCTGGCCGCAACGGGCAAAGCGGTCAACTCTGCGCGTGCGGCGAGGAAGAAGAGAAAGATCTGCTTCATCATCATCGTCATCACTATCCTGGTCATTGCGGCCATTGTGGCTGCGGTGGTGTGCACAAAGAGCGACACGGCATGTGGAAGAAATGGGGGCAGCAGTGGTAGCGGGGGAACGCAACAGAGGCGTGCGCTGGCGCTGGGAGGTGGACAGGAATACGGTGATAGACTCGAGCTCTGGAGCAGGGCGCAGATGGGGAGAGCATTTGGTGTCGAGCAGTGAGAGTGATCATCACGCTCGTCCAATCTCCGCTGCTGCCTCATTCAGCCTTTCATTTCTTCTGTTCATCTTGGCCAGCGGCGCTCCTATTTCGCCGTCCTCTTTCTTCCTTGTTACTCTTGCCTCTTGTCTTCCTCCACACACACACGCTCACGCACACACACTTGCACACACACTCTCTCCCTCTTTCTTTCTCTTCTTCGTATTTTGCTTCGTGAAAATACCAAAGCACCATGTCGGAGCCATTTCATCCATCCATCCATCGATCGATTCATGCCCAAGGCTGCGAAGGGACGATTGAGTTGACTGAGCAGGAGGAATTGGCGGCGATGTGCTGCGCTGTGGCTGTGGCTGTGCTCTCGTGCGGTGCGGGACGATGCGGTCGAGCCATGTGATTTTCTCGTGGCTGGTCTGTCAGGTGGAGAAGTGGGCGAGGCGACCAGGAGTCCGCCAGAGGCTGAGTTGCCCGAGCGTCTGTCTTGTCGTCCGAACCATCACTCCGCCCAACACTCAGCCAACACAACACCATGTCAACCTCCTTCCTCAAAAAAGCTCGCGATCGTGCCCAAGAGGCTGCAGCCTCGTTCACGGGCTCTGGCCACCACCAACAAGACTCGAGCAACACGACCACGTCCTCGGCCTCGACGTCGAGCGGCTTCACCTACACGGGCTCGCTCCCCCACGTCCTTCGCCATGGAGTCGCCTCCCTCGATCCGCGTTTCGAGTCGACTCGCTCCCTCCACGTCATGCGTGGCGCCCTCAAGGCCGTCGTCATAGATGGTCAGGCCCTAGCACGAGAGACCAAGACGGCTGCTGCCAAGACGTTCAAGTGGGGACAGGATCATGCACGCCAGGATCGCGTAGATGGGGTGGCGGATGAGCCCTTGGCTGACATGTGAGTGCGAACGAACAGGAGGAGAGTGGTTCAATGAGAGAACATATACTGACCTATCTCTCCTCTCCACCGCCTCTCGCGCGCGCAGCACCGACCGTCTTGCGGCCATTATGAGCATCCTCGGCGACCTAGAATCCGAGCACTCGACCCGCCTCGCAACCGCACGCCAAGAGCTCAAGGCCATCCAACAAGCAGAGCAAGACCTCGCCGCCAAGCGCGCCCAACGAATCAAGGTGGTCAAGGAGCTCCAGTCCCTCGTCGGGGAGCGTCAGAAGCCCGGTGGCCATCCCAAGGCCGACGACTTGGAAGCACAGCTGCGCCAATTGGAGGGAGAGGCAAAGCATCCCGAGGAGGAGCTGGCACGCCTGAAGCGCAGGCAGGTGCAGAAGAGCTTCGATAAGCAGATGGACTCGTACATCGAGCACGGGGAGAAGCTGGCCCTCGTTGCTTCGTATGGCAAGTTGCTCATGCAACAGGTCCCCACAGACGATAAGGAGGACCCTGTGGTCTTCCCTGCCACTGAGAAGCATAGCGTGGGGAACAAGAGCTGGTCGGGCGCCGGAAGGACGGCACAGGTTCGTGCCATGGTTGAACCAGCGCTCAAGGCTTATGTGTCGAGGACGCCCGTTCCTAGCCTTCCTGGCGACGCCGTAGGTGCAAAGGGAACTGCGCTTGGTGGTGCACCCGCAGCCACGCACTCGGATGCCGCCTCATTTGGGACCAGTCATGCGCATGAGCTTGCCCAAGACGACGAAGATGACGAGTTCCATGACGCTCGCGATGCGCACTCTACGCCTACGGGCGGCGCTACGACGGCTCCGGCCGCGCAGCAGCACGTCCTCCCACCTCTGCCTCCCTCCGCCCCTGTTCCCCTCTCACCCTTGCCAGAGAGCGACCTCAAGGCGGGTGGACCGGCCACCTCAGCCGCAGCCGCCGCAGCCGCAGCCGCAGCCGCAGCGCCCGCACAGGGGGATGGGCATGCGCCCAACCCTCGCTGGAACCATTCCCCCTCACACATCCCTCAGGCAGTCGCCCGCCCTCCACCATTCGAACGCACATCCTCGGCCACTTCCCCGCCTCCCGCACCAGGAGGAGTAGGGGCCGTACCTCTCCCTCCCGTCGACTCGTCAACCACCACACCGGCCACGGCCACGGCGCATGGCGATGATAATGTTTTTGAGGATTCGGCGCCTCCCGGCCCAACGGTGGCCGAAACGGGCGCCGTACTGCCTTCGAGCCCCAATGGACCTGGACCGATTAGTGGCACTTTGGGGAGGAGGAGGCCCAGTGGGGCAAGCATGAATAGGCCGCATCACCCTCCGCCCCTGCCTTCCCGCCCTGCTGCTGGTGGTGGTGGTATGGCAGGCATTGGATCTGGAGGCGGAACCCCTGCATCACCCGGCGGTCCCGTGGGCAACTCGACGCCAGCGGTCATGCCGCCCTCTGCTACTTCATCGTTCCCACCTAGCATGGGCGGTGCCGGTGTCCACGCACGTCTTCGCCGTGATGGCACGATTACGCGTCGTGGCGTAGACTCGGACTTCGAACGTGCTGAGGAGGAAGGTTTGCCTCCTGCTTACGAGGAGAGCGAGACTGCTGGAGGGGGCAGCGGCGGCGGCGCTGGAATGAGCGGGAGCACGAGCACGATGGGAGACGTCAAGACGGCGAGGGGGCCGATGTGAATAAGAATGTGAATGGAAATGGATCTTGAGAGACGCATGACGGAGCATGTATTTACAATTTCACCTCTCTCTTTGTGCACGCCTGCCTAGCAGAACTGAATCCATCCATCCAAGTTCATGTTCTTGATAATGGTGTTGAACCCTTTTGCTCCAGCATTCTGGCACACCTTCTTCTTCGTCGCGGCGCTGACAGCCTTGTTGTTATTAACATCGTCTCCCTTTGGGTACTCTACGTGGAATACGGGCTTACCGGCTTTAATGAAGGGTTGCCAGCTTGCGCATTCCCCGTACTCGACACACTGCTCGTTAACGGCGTAATCGACCTTACCCACCACCCTGCTCACAATCTCGGCACCGTTCTTGAGGCCCGAGGCGAGTCCCTTGGCGTGCGCTTGATCGGCTAGGAAAGTGACGTAGTTGACTGCGTCGGTTTGGGTGAGGGGGAAACCCGGCTTGTTATTGTACCCGTCGACATTGTCCGGATCCACGGCGTTGCAGCCCTTGCTAGCCGCGAGGGCGATGCGCTTGGTCATGATGGAGCGTACGCTACTGGCACGTACGTCCAGCCAACGCTCACCGGCCCAACCTGAGAGGTTGTTGCCCAAAGTCGATTTGGGGAAGGAGGAGGCATCGCTTCGCCCTGTACGAGTGTGGGTACGTGACGAGGAAGCGACCGTGTCATTCAGCAAGAGGGTCTCCCCTCCGTTCGGCGTGCGTGCCACGCGTGCGACTCACACTCCTCATAGCTCCCCGCCGAAAAATAGCAAACGACCTTCTTGCCCTGCTTCTGCAATGCGGCAATCGTCTCCTTGCTCGTGTCGAAGAGGTCCAGACCCCATACATCAACGGTGGACGAGGAGGAACCATCAGAGGCCTTGAACCCAGTCGTGGGGCCTTGCGCGAGCGAGTAGTCCCATCGAAGCGTGCTGTTCGGCTTGGGTTGCCAGTACGTCGCGGCTCGAGGCGAGAGGTCGCAGTCGTCCGACGAGGAGGCGGTGGTGGGTGCGCCTGAGGTGAGGGGGGTGAGGCCGAGCAAGATGAGTGGGAGGAGGGGCGTCGGGGTGAACATTGTTGGGCGAGAGCCTGATGTGGTGGGAGCGATGGGAAGGAAACGGCTTCGTCGAGTCCTCAGTCAAATTCAATCCATTTTGAACACTTCTCGACCCTCCACGGCTATGAGCAAAAGCGGCTGTGCCCCTTCACTTGCTCCCACACAAGCGCCGTCGTGACGGGCGTGGATCACTCCGAAGGACCATCGCCGTCAGACAGAAGCGGCGGAAGGCGAATCATGGAATCGGTTCGATCGGGCTTCGACTCGACACTCGATGTCGACGACAGGTCTCAGGCACACAAGCTCGGCGCAGAAAAGTGGCGCCGGACGCCTGCCTGTGCAGCGGCGGAGTGGGAATCTTGTCAAGATTGAAGTGAGACCCGAATTAAGAGAGAAAGAGAAGCAGCACTGCCCTTGGCGGTCGAGGTGGTCGCAGGTTACTAGTTACTGTACCATGGTAGGCGGTGCATAGCTTTTCGGTGGGTGAAGTAGTCTTCGCTAGGCTGGGCTGAATATCACGGCAATCGAAGGTACAGCCCCGCAGTGGACGCAACGTACGCCAAAGATGGGGGCTCGCTTGCGCGTGAGGTCGGCTGTGTCAGTGGAAGGTTACAGTGATTGAATCCATCAGCGAAACGTTGTTGAGCCTACGTCTGGCCATCCTTGCGCGTTAGGAGACTCTTGAAGCCAGGCTGAAGCCCTGCTGCTTTCCGTCATGCTACCTCGATGTGCGGTCACTGACTTTCCTGGACAAGCCGAGCTGCCGGTACGAGAAAGTGCTCAATGGCGAGCCAGCGCAACAGGCTACCGCAGGTAGGGATGTGAACAGGAAGTAGAGACTAGGGGTTGAAGGGCTTCAAGGAGGAGGCAGGGCGCAACAGGCAGCCCTGCAGAGTGGCGCGGCATCAAGTGAAGGAAGGGATCAACGCTTGCCGCCAAGAGGCCTGGCCATTATGAAGAGAGAAGTGCGACCTTATCTTGGTAGCAGGGAAAAGATGTACAAATACAAATGCGTATCCTTCATCGGAGCAGCTCACAAGGGCGCTTTGCCTCACCCAGCCGCTTCTCAGCCTCAAGAACCTTGCGTCCACTGTACTTTACTTCTTGCCCCTCATCCCCCCTCACTCCCAACCAACCATTCCCTGCACGCCCTCCTCCCTCCCCACCTCGCGTCAAGCATGACCCCCGTCAACCATCGCTGTAATGCCAGCCTCCTCATCTCCAAATGCTTGGCCGAAAACTTATGCAAGACATCCTTCGGTGGCAGACCGGGCAAGGCTGGCGCGTGATGAGGCGCTTCGGCGAGCAAGTCGCGACGCAAGCTGACGAAGCTGGAGTATCGCCGATGCGCCCGGATTGTAAGGCCTTTCTTTGTCAGGAGGACAATTTCGAATGTGACATAGCCCCGCGTACGTCCCCCCACTTCAGACCAGCCGCGCACGCGTACGTCTCGAGCGAATACATTCGCTGATGAGACACCACCGCCACCGTTGCTGCTGGTGGAAAGGGAGCGCGAGTGACGTGAACGGGCGGAACCTGTGCTACTTGTTCGGCGGAGGAGGTGCCGACGGGAGGTGCTTGACGTGTCTGTTGAGCCTGGGATGCTGGAGACGGGTAGGGAGACAAGGGATGAGGAGTCACCCTGCGAGAGAGAGCGGAGAGATGCGGTCTCGTCGGGAGATGCAGTAATATCATTCACATGGTCATTGGCTTCGGGTTGCCTCGCGCTGGTGCTAGGGGTGGAGGGACCGGCGTCGATCTCTTTTCGCTCGTGCGGCGGCGAGTCGAGCTGTGTCGTGAAGAGCGAGGTCGCCCTGTCAAGCAGCGTTTGATCTGCCTTCTCTCCTTCAGGGCGAAGCGCCTCGTCGGTGTAGAGCTGAGCCTGCTGCTCTTCTGCTTCCCTCTCCGCACGCTTGTTGCCATGGAGATGTACGACGTCGCTGTTGATGTTTGTAAGACAGACTCCAGCTGCTTCCTGCTTGCTCGACGGAGCGAACACTCTTGAGCTCGACGACGGAGGAGATCTGACTGGCCATGCTTGGGACCTTACAATCTCTGCAGCGTGCTCCTCCGCGTCGCTGTATGCGCCCATGTGTGGTGACGACGAGGCAGGCATCGCATCTGGAAAGCTCTGTATGAAGAAGCGCGGCGTATGCAGTCGACTTTGTGAGCCGTGTGAAGGGTCAAAGGGAGAAGCGCGCAAAGTCGAGGTCGAAGAGGCCATGCCTAGGAGCCCACTACCGCTGGTCTCGCCGTCGTCACCAGCCCTCTCCTCATCTGCTCCATTCACAGCTACAAGTCTAGATGATGCTGAGTCCTCCGGCTCTCCGTCTGCGAGCGCCAGCTTGCTCACGACGCTCCCATCGATGACTCTCTCGCCTCGCGCATTGAGCCAGACGTCTTTGTGGCCACGCCCTCGATTCGAGGGAGACGCTGTCGCTCGTCGAAAGAATTCAGCCGTGGCTGATGCTGGTGAGGTCAAGGTTGATCTGCTGGGCGATGCTTGGCCGACCAAATTTGCGGAGGAAGGACGAAGAGGTAATGTCCTTGTAGAGAGAGCCTTGAAGCGATCGTCATCCTCCGCATCCTCCTCCACGTCGCTGCTCAGCGCGTCGCCGGCAAGCTTGATGGGCTGCCTGACGGCAACGGGCGCCAGGTGAGAATTGATTGGAGAGGTCGTTCGATCCTCACTACCGGTCGGCGACGCTATGGGTACCAGCTTTGATGCGGACGAATATGTGGGAAGGTCTCGAGGAGGGGGACGTGCCTGCTCAGCGGGTCGGGCCTGGGGTACATCGAGTAGATCGTCGGCGGCCTGTCGAAGATCGGCGGCTAGCGTGTCCATACGAGCGAGTCCAGAAGAAGAAGAATAGTACAGGCGAGCGAATGGCCCTACCCTAGTTTGATTGACTAGCGTGACGGCAGCATAGTCGAGGTCGAAGTGATGGTAAAGTCATCAAGACGATCGCCGCCAAGATGCGCACACAAAGTGGAGAGATGCCTGCCCCGGCCCGCCTCGGTGCGAGCAACACACACGCACGGCCTCGTTGAATTCACATACGCCCGCCGCCGCCGCCGCATGCCCGCCCGCGCGGCTCAGGCTCCAAGCTACTCACTCCCGCTCCTCATCGCGTTCTATTTCTCGCCCCTTTCACTTTCACTATCTTCCCCCTTCCTCAATCTCATCCATCCTCTCGCTCTTCCCATCGGCCGCCTTGTATAGCGCGCTACAATGGCTTCATACCCCTCCTATCAGCGCCAAAATGGCGGTGGGCATGCCGATGACTACTATCAGAGGTACCACGACCGTGAGGCAAGCCCGTATGCAGCATCCAATGCGTATCCTCCGCAATCCTCACTCCTCTCACCCGCCAACAATGCCACCTCTACCCAGGCCAATGGCGGGTTGCAGCGCGGCCCTACTGTCACTACGACGAACACGCAAGCGTCACACAACCGAAGAGACGACACACGTAGCGCATATACGGGCGCAGCCTCGACTACAAACACACGCCCCTCGGCCACATCAAGGGGCATCGGTTCAGCTCTACGCACCCCCCGCCGAACTCTCGGATCAGGTATCATCCCATCCTTCTCCTCCGGCCTCTTTCTTGCCGTCGTCGTAGTCGAGGCAGCGGCCATCATCGGCCTGGTCGTGAGCGTCTTTGGCATCGTCGAGGTACGAACCAAGATCCTCACCCAGGATGCAAAGACGGTCCCCGTCTTTTTGGCATTGTTTGTGTTCGGAGCCTTGTTCTTCGTGGTGATTGCGCTTGACGCATTCAGGCTGCACAACACCATCCAAATCGTCGGATGCGTCATCTACAATATCGCGCTGCTAATTACGGCGAGCCTGGAAGTCTCCCAAGTCCGGGCCGCTTTTGCCAATCAAGATCGATATGGCACTGGCGTGCCATGCCCCTTCAACGAGCGCCGCAGGTGTGGAGCGGTCGACACCCTCTACCCTGCCGTGCGACCGCAACTCATCGCCACGCCCATCATCATTGGAGTCGCCCAGATCCCGCTCACGCTGTTGAGCTTCAGGCTCTGGCAGGATTTTGGATGGGAGGTGTACAAGAAGATTGGAGCGGATGTGATCAAGAGAAGGATGATGCTCGTCTACCAGATCTTTGTGTGCTTCCTCAAGTTCGACTTCTTCTTTGGAAGTGAGTGCGCGCGCGGCCAAAGACAGAGCCCCAGCCGCATTCACGCAGTAGACTGACCATCCCCTTCCCAACCTTCGCGCCTCGCACAGGCGCTTTCTGCATCGCCTTCCTCATCCTCGTATCCGATCGCGGCGATTATGAGTTTGGTCTGACAATAGCCGCCCTACCAATCGCCCTCGTCATCCTCTTCCTCAGCGCCTTCGCCGTCCGCAAGGAGATCTACAGCTTGATGACTCTCTGCATCATCGCTATGGCGGCCGGCATGGTTTATTACATTTGGAAGCTGACCCGAATTTTCAGCTCAGAGACGGAGCAACAATATCGCACTGTGCGGCTCACGCTCACATTCTTCAGCATCTTCTCAATCGTATCGCTTGGAGCGACGATCGCACTGGCCATCTGGTGCACGATCAACTTTGGTAAGGGGCTGAGGGAGGCGCACGAGAGCATGGGAGGGATCATCCCTGCGCTTGATGCCAAGATTCGAGGCGGAGGCAACCGCAGCGAGGTAGCGAGTAAGCCGTTTGGTATCGAGTACGACGATGATGCTGGAACAGGTGACCCGGCAGAGAGGCAGAGGCTGGGAGGAGAGAGCGCGTCAAGCTCCCCCGAGGCGTACTCTGCTGGTCATTATGGGGCGGGGATGAAGCAGCAGCAGCAGCAGCGTCCAATCGACGAGGAGGACGAAGATCAAGAATCTGCGTATCCGAACTACAATACCAAGGTGATGCAGGCGAATACTGGGCGATACCACACCCCGCAGCACCAGAAGCAGCAGCAGCTCGGTGGCTTCACATCGCCGCCTGTCGGTCCCCAGAGGAGGGTGTCGCTAGATTAACCAGCCCGCTAGCCGGAGTCAGTCTGGTCCACAGGAGACGTTGCGCTTGTTACCACTGTCATCTTGCTTTCTCACAAGACGAAAGACGAGAGGAATGAATACCTTTGATACCATTGCGCCAGCCCAACTGTGATCGTGGAGACGAGCCTCTCGACCTTGTTGCGGCTCGTTGCTCAACCTAGTCGTAGCCAACCTCAACGTCTGCCAGAGGGCGCAGCGGATTTGGCCCTGCTAGCGTTTGAATGAAATCGATCGACCTCGTCAGACGGACAGACGCACGATGGATTGAATGGCTGAGTGCATTGCAAAAACGCAGCAACGCAGCAACACGCAGCCATCGAAGCCTCCACGCGGGAATGTCGGACGACGCCTCCGTGATGCACCGAAGTGTTGGATTGGCAGAGGCCGCCGCGGCACGGCACGCGTCAGGCGGGCGGGCGGGCGGGCGGCGGACTGACAAGGCTGGCTCTGCTCAAGACGAGCGGGCTGCCCGTCCGCCGTGTGTTGTTTTGAGTTGAAGGTTGAGCGAGCTTCTTCGCGTCCGTCGCCTTGCTCTCCGAGAATTCGCAGCCAGCAACCTTTGAATGGAGAGGGACATGAGCCCGATGAGCTGCGCGAGTGGCTGTCATTGAATCCATATCATCGCCACGAACCCGTCGCCGTTCTCGGCCGCCGTTGTTGCTGCTTCTGCGTTCCTTGTCAGCAAGCTAGGCAGGCAGGCAGGCAGGCAGGCAGGCAACCAGCCAAGCCTCGATCTCGCCCTGCTCGCACAGGCAGAGACAGACAACCAACACCAACACCAGGTTGCCTCGCTCCTCTTGCATCGTCCGTCGCATCAAACTACTCTTTCCTTTTTCACTCACCCTTCCTCTCTCGACCTCTCACCTCTATCACTCTCACTCACCACCTTCCTGTTTCAACGCCGTGACCACATTGCGAGTGCTCCACGCACCAGGCACCACGCATCACGCTACCTGAGACAAGGCAACGCAACGCGCTTGCACGCTGCACCAACTGAGACACTTCAGCGGATCATCAGAGACGAGGCCAAGTCTCCTCTCGAGCTCCTCACCTCGACATCCAGTCACCCAAACCACTAGCGCCTCCTCGGATGTCAGTCGCAGCCCCACCGCTACAGCACCATCACTACCACCACACGCAGCTGTCGTCACCAGCCTTTCGCAGCCATCAATCAATCGCACCTTCGACGATCTCTCTCTCCGACGTCGAAGGCATGTCCTCGCCGGCCGGTAGCTCGGCCGGAGGAGTAGGCGGCGGCGGCATGATCTTCCACGCTACCGACTCTACTGGCCAGAACTACACGAGCCCGTACGGCGATCTGCAGCTGTTGCCGCCTGAGCTACACGCTGCCTTTGGTAGAAGGATGGGAGGGCATGACAGCATGCCGCTATCTTCCCAGCCAATGGGAGAGGGAAGCGATGATGACGAGGATGATGATGAGGACGAGGTGCTGTCTCTATCCGGGCGGAAGGGCGCGAGCGCGGGCGCAGCCGCGGGGGCATCGGCGTCTACGAGTACGATAGCCGCGACAGCTGGTTCGGCGGCAGTAAAGGGCAAGAAAGCTGCCGCATCGCGCAGACCATCCAAGAGTGCCTCGTCTGCCTCGAGCAACAGCAGCAGCACAAAGAGTCGCAAGGGCAGAGCGGCCGCGACGGAGGGCGCAGATGACGTCCAGACTACGCCGAAAGCCTCAACGAGTGGGAAAGCCAAGGCCACAGACGATGCGACTGCCACTCCCACTGCGGCGTCAAAGAAGAAGGCAGCCAAGACCGGCTCTGAGGTCAAGGGAGAGCGCGACTTGGTCACTGGCAGACGCAAGATCAAGATCCAGTTCATTGAGAACGACTCGAGGAGACATATCACGTTCAGCAAGCGCAAATCTGGTCTGATGAAGAAGGTGAGAACAAGAGGGCGAGCGTTCAGCTCCCGTTGCCTTCGCCACTAATCGCTCCTCTCTTTCTTCTCTTCATGCACACAGGCATACCAACTCTCGGTCCTCACCGGTACGCAGGTACTGCTCCTCATCGTCTCACAGACAGGTCTCGTCTTCACCTTCAGTACACCAAAGCTTCGCCCAGTTGTCATGGAGACGGAAGGTCGTGAGCTGATTCAACGCTGCCTTTCTGCACCGGACGACGAAGTCGAGGACGAAGAAGAAGGCGAGGGGGAGGGCCTCGTGGGGGGAGACGACGACGATGATGATGACGACGATGACGACGAAGTGGTAGAAGCAGGCTCCGATGACGACGATGAGGAAGACATTATTCGCTCACGTGGGAGCCGCTCACCCAGCAAGAGCTCCGCAGCCAACGCAGCCGTATCCGTGATCCGACCAGGCCCAACCATGACTGCCTCAGGAGGGACGCCCAAACGCTCCGGTGGCGGTACAGGAGATGGAGGAGCAGCAGGCCGTCGTTCACGCGCAGCTACGATGTCCAATGCCACGGTCAGGCAGCACAACAACGGAATCGGCTCGCCAGAGCAAGCCGTTACGGGTCTCAATGTCCCCTCAACTACTCCAGCTACCCCGAGTAGCAGCGCGTCTCGTAGTCGAAAACGTCGCCGCACAGCAAATGAGGGTTCTGCCGTTCCTGTCGCGCCCATTGGGCCAGGCGTGCCCACTACGGCGCTCAGTACCGCCTCGTCATCTGCCACTTTTCCCTCGCCAGCGGACGGGCGAGTTGCTCCCCCGCGTCAGCAGCAGCAGCAGCAGCCACAGAACCACTATCCTCAGCATCATGCAATGAGTCCACCCAATTCTGCCCCTTCAACACTCGAGTCCCTCCCACCGCCGCACATCCAACAAGGTCACTTCTACAATCCGCAGCACAACAGCGGAGCTTCAACGTCGAACTCGTCCTTCCTCCTCGGTCCAGGGGGCGGCATGGACCCAACGAACGGGGCAGGGTCGGTGAACACGGACTTTTTCTTCAACCCGGTGGAGATGGGCAAGCACTACCAGCACCACACAGGTCAGGGGCAGCAGCAGCACTTGGGCCACGGCTTCCTTCAACAGCAGCAGCAGCAGCAGCAGAGTCACTTCCAAGGCGGAGCATCATCTACGCCGAGCCTGAGCGGCTCTGGTCCACCATCAGGGTCAAGCATGGCGAGCACGGCGGGCGGTCCGGGTCCTTTCTCGCCGCACCAACAGCAGTTCCCTTCCTTTGGACAGGCGTACACGGGCATGTCGCAGGGTCCGCAGCAGAGTCAACAGCAGCAGCAGCAGCAGTACCATATGCAGCAGCAGCTTCACCACCAGCACCACGGCCAGCAAGCCCACCACACGCGGCACGACTCGACGAGCTCGAGCACCCTGTACTCTCCCCAGGCTAATACTAACGCGCAGATGGGAAGTGGTGGGGGAGGATTGACGCAGAGTCCTTGGAGCGAGCCTATTGGGCTGACTCCCATGGGTGGGCCGGGGGGTACGGGGCCGATGGGCGGAGGCAGTGGAAGTGCCCAATTCTCTCCTACGGCTACTCAGGGGCATCAGGCTTTTTGGGGCCAGTGAGACGGGGCGATGAGGATCGCACATTGCGATGATACCCGGCGGCGTTGAGCTGCCACCTTGAGACGATTTTCAACTTGTGTCCCCTGCTTGGTTACATCACATCCCGCCTTGTTCTTGCTTTCCTGACGCCTCACTACGCTATCACGCTAGACGATTTGCTCCTTTATTCAATGACACCCTTCCCCAGCGCGATTGTGACTGCCTGATGCGATGGTTTGCCCACCGTGACACCCTCTCGTCGTGACAGCGTGGACCCCTTTACCTGCCTAATGAGCTCTCGCCCTCGAGGATGCCGGCCTCGTGAAGTTGCAAGGGACCTCGGCCGAGAGGCATCAGAGCAGAGGGGCTCGAGTTCAAACGCCTGGCTGAGCCACGTCCAAGTCCGTCGGTCGGCCGCCCCGCCACGAGGCAGGCAAGGCAGCGACCAAGTGACTGGTGAACTTTTTGCCTCACGATAGCCAGCCTCGTCCGTCGTCGTCGCATATCATCACCCACCCACTCTCACTCACGAGCTTCATCCGCTGTCACCGACAAAGAGCGTTGCTTCATAGGAAGGGCGCTAGATTCCCTCCATTTTCTAGCCGGGAAAGCCCTGCCATATTTCAGTTGGGCGGCTGGCCTGCTCTCTGGCCAAGTCTAGTCAGAAGTCGGCGCCGCCTCCAAGTTGTGCGCGCTCTCACCGCGCGAAGGTCACCCCCCTCCATCAGACCAAGGCGCATACATCCGACCCTATAGAGTGGTGAGCGGGCCCCGGTGGCTCTTACCTGGATGCCATCAAAGAGGACAAGGGCATCGCTCCCTACGCCTCCCTTGTCTTCTCATCACGACGACGACGGCGGCGGCGTCGCTGTCGTCGTTGCAAAGGGGGACCAAGGTGAGGAGGTGGATAGGGAGGACATCGTCCTACCGCCGCCGCCATCTGATGGTGAGGATGCGGATGGGAATCAGATAGATCCGCAATATCATCATGAGCATGATGACCAAGAAGGTGGTGATGATACTCGGCACTACCACGATTCGGCTGACGATGGAGACCATCAGAACGGGGAGGAGCAGCCTCTTGTAAACGGACAGCCAGATACCGTACCAGAGGGTGACCCCGAAGCCCAAGCAGATTCAGCAACAGCAGCAACATCAGCAATCGCGGACTCAGCGTCCCACGCAGAGGACAAAGAGCATCAACATCACTCCGACGATGCGAATGAGCATGCATACATCCACGCAGACGTCAATGGTCACCATGAGGAGGGCGATGCAGGAGGCGAGGCCGAACCCTCAGGTGAAGGTGCCAACATTGAGCATCCACCTGCCGAAGAGGAAGAGGTCATTACCCACTACGCTCCAGACGACCCTGCACAATACATCCATGAAGGTGGCGACGAGGAGGGTAACGAAGCGCAACATCACGATGCCGGAGAGCACGCCGAGCCTACCGCCTTCGACTTCCTGCCCTTCTTTCCAAACGGCGCCCAAGACATGGAAAGGCTTGCCGAGGCCTGGCAAGAGCAGCAGCGCTTAGAGCAACAGGCGAGAGAACAAGCCGCCGCTGAGTCGACCGAGGATGGCGCCAAGAGTGAGCAGCAGGGTGAAGGCGACGATGTCAAGCCACAAGCCAACGGCGATCACGTTGGCGACGCCGGCTTGCTACTTGGCATGGCATCAGAAGCGGGCGTCGATGGCATCAGCGCTACCACAGCAGAGCAGCTGCAGAGCGTTCTCTCCTACGCAGCAGTCTCTACCGCCCCGTCGTCCTACCCAGCAGTGGCCGGATCAAACCAAGCCGCAGCTGCCGCCGCAGCCGCTGCCGCTGCAGCTATCGGCCAAGCCGTCAGTCCCCAATCTGCTATCGCTGCAGCTCTCGCCGCTCAGCGAGGAGCTGGCCCGGCCTGGGACTATAGCCAACTTGCTCAGCAGTACTCTTCTGGCGCTTCGCCCTACTCCAACCCTTCGTACGCAGCCAGCGTCGCCGCATACAATGACCAGCAGTCGGCCAGCTCTGGTCATCATCAACAGCAGCAGCAGCAGCAGCATCAGCAGCAAGCGAGCTCGAGTAGCAGCAGCAATGTAGGCGCCAGCGGGAGCGGCACCGGGACCGGCAGCTCTTCCTCTCACCAGCACAGCCAAGGCCCACGAGAGCGTCGTGTCGGCTCGTCCAACAATCCTAATACCATCGGCGGGCACACGCATCGTCCCGGCTCAGGTCACGCCTTCTGCTCCGGCCCTCCCGTAGAGGGCACACCGTATCGTCGCTTCGTCTTCCCAATGGGCGCAGACGTCTCTGCTGGTCGCAAGAAGCACGTCAAGTCCGCTCAGGACATGGCCGACACATTCCCCCTCGCTGAGCATCCCTGCGATCGTTGTGCCGGGTACGACAATCCGCTGCCTTGCTTCCATCAGGCGGGGAACAAGTGCGTGTATTGCAAATTCTTGAGCAAGCCCTGTAGCTTACAACCCGGTGGAACGAACAACAAAGAGAGGAGGGCGGAGGGGAGCGCAGGGAGTGTAGGCCTTCCGCCCGGGCAGGGTCAGTACGGATTCAAGGAAGAAGAGAATGGCGAGTACGGCGAAGATAGGCCAATGAAGAAGCGCAAGCGGGAGGATGGAGAGGGTGAGGAGGGAGGAATCATGGACGTGGACGACGTTATGCATGCCGAAGGGCACGACCAGCACGACCTCGCCCACCACGTCGGCGTAGACCTGAGCGGCCTCGATATGAGCAGCGTCGTATCAGCCGACGAGGCGCAACGTGTTGCGCAGGAGCTGGCGGCTGCAGCGCATCAGCATCAAGAGCAGCTCGCTGCACAGGCCCAGGCTGCTCAGGCTATTCAGCAGGCGGCGGAGGCGCATCAGAGGGCGCAGGATGAGGCGGCAGCTGCGGCAGCCGCAGGCGACCATGGCGACTTCGTTCAGCATGATGCTGATCAGCAGCAGCAGCAGCAAGAGGGCGACGGCGAGGGGCAACATGATGAGGCAGGAGGCGAGGAGGAAGGTGGCGTCGCCATCGATGATGCGAATGCCATTGCAGCCGTCGAGCACTTGGCTGCGGTAGCTGCGGCTGAAGCGCAAGCGCAAGCGAGAGCAGAGGCAGAGGCAGAGGCAGAAGCTGCGCAGCAGGTGGAGGGCCATGAATTGCTCAACGACCTGGGCGATGGAGAGGGCCACGAGCAGCTTGAGGCGCCTGCCGAGGATGCTGGTCAGTCCGCGAACCCTGATGGAGAGGAAGCGCAGCAAGACCACGCAAATGATCAAACCGATCAGGACGACGATGGAGCAGAAGCGGCATTAGAAGCTGCTGCTGCTGCAGCCGCAGCAGCCGCCACCGCCAATGTAGAGCAACCTCTCGAAGGCGAAGAGGCGGAAACCTCCCCGCCTGTGTACGAAGAGCAGTCTGAGGCCAAGGGCCTCACACACCAACATGATGGCGAGCAGCAGGACGAGGAGGAAGATGAACCCGCTGTCCTACTCAACGAAGGCGCACCCGTCTTGAGCGCCTCCTCCTAGACCTTTCCCGTCCCTCCTCCCCCCCTTCACCGCCTACCCCGCTACCACTCCGGCTGCGTTCATCGTTTTGTAATCTTTGTTCCCCTGTTCCCTCCCCCCCAGATGTACACTTAGGCACCCGCACCCCGATTCGACGCTTCGATGAGAAGCAAGAATCTATGCAACGATATCCAGACGCAATTGAGCGTCGCTACTATCCTGCGTGGTGGTGTGAAAAGAGCAGCTTGGTGTGGTATTACAGGGAAAGAGTGTGTGTAGAGAAAAGAGCGGATATTAGCGTAGAGCATGGGAGACTGAGAGTGAGGCAGAGCGGCACAGCATGTGAAGGAGAGTGTTGGATGAAGGATCGTGTGGCGGGTTCCTGAGTCGGGGAGGCAGGGATGGGAGGCGAGAGGGCGTCCTGACATGATTGGGACTAGGGACTGAATGCGTGCGTCTGAAACGGTCTACTCCTTGTCTCTCGACCGTCTCAGCGCACATACGATGAGTGCAGCCATAGCGATGCAGACAGCCACGAAGCATACGCCCGCCAGGACGACGAGAGTGAGGGTGCCAATCGCGCGAGTATCTTGCGTGACGCTGCCGCCGCGGTGGATTATCAGCCAGACGCTGAGAGCAACGCAGTAGGCGCTTGAGAGGGCAGCGAAGCCTAGGAAAATCAGAGTCGAGGGAAGGTGACGTGGTCGAGCCGAACGTGGAGCCGCACCAGGTATTGCTTTGCTACTTGGAATCTCCAGGACGGCCATGGGACCCACTGGCGTTCTCGGTTCGCTCTGCGGCTCAGCTTGACTTTGCGGCTCGACCATACCCCAAAGGCCGCGACCGGAAGCGCCGAAGGACGGTCGAGTGGACAAAGTCAAAGCAGGTGACGGTTGAGGAGGTGGGGGCGGGAGTGGCGGAGAAGCTAATGGCTGCGTTGAACCTGTGGGTGCTGAGTCGCTCTGACTCAATGGAGCGTCAGTAGCGCCGCCAGAGTAGAAGGGCGCGGACGGCTCGCTCTCTGCTGCCCTACTCATCACCCCATCAGCATCGCTGCGTGACGAGGCAGGACGAATCATCGTCCGTCTCATGAGCTGTTCCTTCAGCCTGGCGAGAGCAAGCTTCCTTTTGGGGGAATCATCGTCCAAGGCAGCAATGGCCGGATCCTCATCCTCGTCTCCACCCGCTACTGATTCCTGCCGGCCTGACATCACAGGACGAGTCGCAGCCGGCGTCGCGGGCACCGTGGGAGCTGTCGGCGCCGAGCTCTTCTCGAGGTCAAAGCAGGTGAGTTGGGCACTCGACATGGCCTGGTAACATTGTCGCCTCCAGACGAAGAAGCTGGCCCAGCTCGCCACGAAGAGCGGAATCGGGGCGTAGATTACTGCGGGAGAAAGGTTGGTAGCGAGGTAGCTGGCCTCGAAGACGTAGAAGAGGGCGGGGCATCCGGCCAGAGGTATCGTCGTGAGTGCTGAGGACGCGACAAACGCAGCAATTGATAGCCGCGATGGCCGTGAAGATACAGGCGGCGTAGCCTCTTCCTTTGCTGCCGTCAGGCGCACAGCGCTTCGAGACTGCGGCGCTACTTGCGTCCTCGTCTGAGCGGATCTGGTGCGCGTCCGTGTACGTCGAACAGTCAAGCTTTTGCGTTGCCCAGTGTCAGCGCTTGTCCGGTCTTCGCGTTGCGCTACGTCGTTCTCCGTACCTCTACGGCGTGGCGTCTCCTGCCCTCTTGCCTCGTCCTCTGCCCTCTCATCGAGCTGCGAAAAGGTGGGCTGACTTGGCGGCAGCGGTGAAAAGAAGCTGAGGGGCGACTCGCTCCACGAAGCCGCCCACGGTTTGAGCGAATCGAGGTCTGCGTAGCCGTCTTCTGCGCTACCTCGGCTTTCCAGATTCTCTCGACTGCGCCGTCGACAGAGGCGCTCGTTGCTCGGGCCGGGCGTGAGGTGGGTAATGCTACGCCGCGAGGCTTGCGAAATAGGACGTGCAGACGCAATGGTTTTGTGAGGCTCTTCCTCCACAAGCTTGCTCTTCTGTACATCCACTTGTTCTGCACCTGTATGGAAGCTGTCTTGCACAGAATTAGAGCCGCTTTGACTCGTGAGGTCTGGAGACTGTTGTACGGCCCTCGGCGCGTTGGTAGCCTCACCCACGCCGCTCTCATCTGTGTCATTGCGCTCGGCGTGACGCTCAGCGAGCATGTACAGCGAGCCTTGCGACCCAAAAGGCGTCTGAAGATGAGTCGACGCTGAAGGCCCGAAGCGTGGCGTGACTGCACTGGCGGAGCTCGCCGAAGTTGTAGGCGTGGTCAAAGTCTCCTCTGTCGCGTCGGACTGGCCGCGAGGATGAGCCGCAGCGCGCTGCTGAGCAAGCTTCGTGAGAGAGGGGCGAGTCTGAAGGAACGTGTCATTGAAGTCGCGGTTCCAGCTTGACGAACGGTGGTATTGGAAGCTACTTCGCCGAGGCGACGCCGATCCAGGAGTGTAGGTAGATGACGTTGGCGTGGTGACGAGTCGAGCGTCGGCTTCACTCACACGTCTTCGAGACGTAGAGTAAGCCGGGCTGGTAGGCCGGGAAGATGGCGATAGAGGAGGAGCGTTGTTGCGCAGCTCGAAAGAGGACTCTGCGCGTCGTACGCCCGCGCTGGAGCTACTGGCTTGGACGAGCGAGAGTGGCCGAGGTGTACGGCGTTTACGTCGAATAGGTGGTGAAGGCGGTGGGGAAGATGGAGCGGCGTCGACCGCTACCGCGGTCGCTTGGGAGTTCAACTCGGACTGAATCGTGAGCAGCTCTGAGAAGATGACGAAGCACTAGCGCCGGCTTCCCAATCATGCTCCTACCCTATTTGTCTTGCCCCTCAGCGGCTTCAAGACGGCGTTGACCAAGACGCCTCGCTGGGCTACGTCGCTCGTTTATAGCCTTGATGAGGAGGAGGCTGCCGCACAAGCCATAGCAGGACACGTCGTGGTGTGGTGAAGAAGACAGTGCAAAGAAGAGGGAAACGCAAGCAGGGAAAGATGTTCGCTTTTGAGTTGAGGGAATTGGGCATCTCCCGATCTGGGCTTTCATGGCCATTCAGTTACTTGAGCCGCTCATGGTCAGGATTATGCGGCGATTTGGCCTGTCAAATGTCACTGTGGTCGACTGCGTGGGACGAAAAAAACAAACAATAGCTGCTTGCTATGCTCTCGTAGTGCTCTCGCACGCTAGTCGATGATCGTGGTCCGAGAGAAGAAAGCGGTCTCCCCCTTTCGATGTTCGGTGCATCGATGCGAGGAAGGACGTGCGGGCAAAGCGCCAAGCGAGTCGATGTCGACGCACGAGCACGGAGGGTGATGAGGTCGGAGATCGGCTCTCCGCCGCCACGCAATCTAGAGTTGACTATATCAGCGTTAGGCATTTTGACGTGTGAGAACGTCAGGCTACAGGCAAGAGTGCTTGGACCCGCGTTGGTTTTCAATTGTCTTCTCCATCTCGATGGAAGATCGGGACGCGGCCAAGGCGTGTTTGGTGAGCTCGAGAGGACGAGTGGGCCTGACGATATCGTGCGACGATGCTGAAGGCTAATCACCTCGTTGGACGAACACCAGTCTCTGCGAGAGCAGCGTTACGATTGGGTCCTAGTCGTACGTGCGGCCCTTTTGTTGGCGGCATGCTGAGCTCACCCTTCACTCATCACCCGCTCCAACCAGCTCCGCCGGATCCCGCGCCCGCGTGAGCGAGCGAGGAAACAGATGAACGCCCTCATGTCTAGCTACTCTAGCCGCCGCCGCATCCGCGCCCACCGAGTGATGCCTTTAGATGCCGAAAGTCGCTCATCGATCCTTGGCTTCACTTGGCTTCACCGCCCACCGCTCGCCTTCGCCCACCGACCCTTCATCGCCCGTTGGAATTGATCATCGCCGCATCATCGAGACGATCTCGAGGTGCTTTGCTTGATAGCCCAGCCAGCCAGCCAGCCCTCGCGCCTCCTCCCGCTGCTTGCCTGCTGGCTGTTGCCTGAGATAGAAACCACCGCCCATCGCCCGCCCTGCCTCCCGCCCGCCTTTTCGTCTTCGTCCGTCGCAGCAAGCAAAATCCAAAGTCGCGCCGCCGCCCACTCGAGTCGCGCCGCGCCGCGCTGTGCCCGCCTCCACGTCGTGCGCCTAGACCTCTCGAATACAAAAGGTCCCGGCTCCTCTCGTGCCACCCTCTCCCTCGATCCCGAGACCCACTATCCACTGCTCGCGTGGCAAGCTTTCCGCCCGACACGACGACGTCCGAAGCGAGACCAGCGATCGGGATCATGGCCACTCGTGAGTAGTAGCAGGCGCAGCGCGACTACGACGGCGAAGAAGACGAAGACGAAGAGAGGGGTAGATCAATTTAGTCACCTCTCTAGCGCTTCTCACCGGGCTTCACACGCAACGCACGCACAAACGCACGCACAAACGAAACGCACGCTCACACGAACACGGTACCACTCTTTTCTGCTCTCCCCTTTTCCGCTCGCTCAAACGCAATCGCATCGTACCAGGCCTCGACCGACTCGTCTCGCTTCTCGATACTGGATCAACTCCGGCTATCAAGGGTACGGCCGCTCGCCAACTGGGCCAGATCGCTAATCAGCGAGTCAGAGGTGGGGCGAATCAGCCGCAGCCTCCACCGCCCCAACAGACGCAACACCAGCATACGTCATCCGCACCTTCTTCTTCAGCCTCTTCGCCTGCCCCTACCAATGGCCACACCCATGCGCCAGCGTCCTCGTCTTCATCGCATACGTATCACGGCTCAAAGGGCCAATGGGACGAGGCGTTGCACCTCTGCTCCCGCGTAGTACCCTTCCTACACTCTCGCTCGTGGGACACTAGAGAAGCAGCCGCCCTAGCCATTGAATCGATCTGCAGAGGCGCAGGAGTTTGGTCTGCCGACGATGACGTGAACACCGAACAGGACGGGTCGACAAGCCGCATCAAATCGGAGCAAGATGGCGAAGCATTGGCACCAATGTCGCAGGACGACCTGGCTACTCTCGAAGACTTTCAACTAGATCGCGTTCTATCCAATGGCGTCAAGCTCCTCTCTTCAGCCGGCAAAGAGTACAACATTTTCACGTCAGGAGGCAATGTTGCTGATCACCTGGCGCAGGCGAAGGCAGACATGGCCAAGATGGGACTGGGCGGGCTAGGCGGAGTCGAGATGGACCTGGGCCTTGACTTTGAGGCTGAGCTCAAGCAGGGCGCCACGGCTTCTTCGCACGGCTTCAAGACATCACCGCCTGCAGCGTCACCTAAGCTTCCGCCCCCCAAGTTCGCGCCGCAACCGGCTGGTACATCGATCAGCAGGTTCGCGGGCTCCCCCGGCGCCGTAAAACAAGAGTCAACGCCGGGGATCAAGCAAGAGCCTACTCCTGGAGTCAAGTCACCGTCATCCAGCGGGCCCAGGTCGCCCGCCGACCCTGAGCCGCCGGAGATCGACATGAGCAAGCTGAGCGCGCGAGAGCGCAATCAGCTGAAGCGTAAGCGCAAGCTCGAGGGCAAGTCGGGAGACACGCCCAAAGACGAGAAGACGCGAGTCGTAGATGGCGACGATGCGCAATCACTTTCGCAGGCTACTGGGCTACGGCTCAAGACGCCAGCCACTTCCAGCTCAAACAGTGGCGGCGACTATTTTGGCTCTGCAGCGACGAAGGCAGGCGCAACAAGTACACCAGCGGCTTTTGCAGGCACCGCAGCACACGTCTCTCTTGTTGCGCCCGCCGGAGAGTGGCCCTTCACCCACTTGACTTCGGTTCTCCTCGCGGACCTCTTCTCTGCAAAATGGGAAGTTCGTCATGGCGCTTGCCTGGCGCTTCGATCGATCTTCTCCGTTCAAGGTCACGGTGGAGGCATGTCATTGCTCGCCGCCTCTGCCACGTCCAACCGTCAGCGCAAAGCCAAGTGGGCCGAAGATGCAGCGGTCAAGCTTCTGTGCCTCCTCTGCCTGGACCGACTCAGCGACTTTGTCTTTGATCAAGTCGTCGCTCCAGTGCGAGAGGTCGGTGCTCAAGCACTTTCAGCCCTGCTTCCTCACCTATCTGCAGACTCGCGCTCTTGCGTGCGCGAACAGCTAATGGCCATGACCAAGCAGGCGGTCTACCTTCCGCCAAACAGCGGCCGTGAGCACGCCCAGAGGGGAGATGCCGGCTACGCCTGGGAAGTCCGTCACGCTGGACTGAGTGGGTTGCGTTGGCTGGTTGAGGCAGACACCGCAGCAGGCACTGCATCGCAAGACGCCCTCACGTCTGTCTCCTCCATTGCCGTGGCCTGCTTGCGTGACAGCGACGACGATATTAGGGCCGCCGCCTCTGCCGTTCTACTCCCACTCGCCTCCGATGTGCTAGTCAGTGACCTCAGCGCCATGCTTCCATCCCTCCTGCAGACGCTGTGGGACTGCCTTGGCGAAGTCAAGGACGACCTCAATAGTTCTACAGGCAGCGTAATGGACCTCCTCGCTCGTCTCGTCAAGCATCAAGCGGTCCGCGAGATGCTCCATGCCAAGTCGGCGAAGCCACTCTCTGCGTTGATCCCGCTCATCTACCCCTTCTTCCGCCATACGATCACCTCCGTACGACTCTCCGTCGTTCGCACTCTGCGCGTGTTCCTCGATGGTCAGTCAGCGCCGAAAGCCTGGCTCGATGAGCGGGTCTTCCGCCTTCTCTTCCAGAACCTCATCGTCGAGGAAAAGATGCAAATCCGAGACGAGACAACAGCGGCTTGGCACTCAGCAGTGACATCTGTAGAGACTGCCCGCTTGCACGAGCTGCTCCGTCCTCACCTCGGCCACTTCGCAACAATTCTCATGACGCCCCTCGGTGTAGCTTTTGATTTCAGCCTTTTCTACGACGCCTCGCGGCCGACAGCAAGCCAAGGCGAGGCAAGATACAACGTCGACAAGTCCATCCTCGCACAGGATCTCTCACTAGTCGGCGTAGACACAGTCATTCGAGGCCGATTGGGCGCTACTCATGCTCTTGGTCAGCTGTTCGCGCGCCTACCGGCAGATGACGCCCTCCCCCTCGTCAGCTACCTCGACTCGCAGTCTGCGCTTCAGAAGTGCCTTGCGGCGTACGTCGTTCAAGAGTGGGCCAGCATCAGCCCTGATGTCGCCACAACGAGCGAGGTCGGCAAATCGCTCAGCACCAGACTGCTCGCCATCATCGAAGGTCCGCCGCCGCCGACGTGGAGTGAGATGGCTGTCCAGCTTAGCCGCATTCAGCTCGACTGCCAGTCGCTTTACAAAGCGTTCATGTCCGAGGGCAAAGTCAGCAAAGCCAAAATCCCCGAGCTTCCCACCGGTGTCGACCCCACTGGTGAGCGCAAGGATGCCTTCACGGCCGAGACCGCCGAGAGAGTTGTTACGCGAGACTACGAAGCTCTGCTGGGCGCAGTCGGTCCGAAGATTCGAAAGACGGCGACCCCTGTTCTAGAAGACCGCCGCCGCAAGATCATCGCCAGCATCGGCTTCTACCGCGACGCCAAAGACAAGCAAGATACTCAAGTCATGGCTGCCGTATCTGCCGCCGTCATCTCGCTCAAGACATTGCCCGCCAAGCTTAACCCGCTCATCCGCAGCATCATGAATAGTGTCAAGTTTGAGGACAACGCGGACCTGCAGGCGAGGTCAGCTAAAGCCGTCGCTGATTTTGTTGCGCATTGTCGTCGACCTGGATCGCATGCAGACCCCTCGTCGAAGATCATCAAGAATCTGTGCGCATTTGTCTGCCAGGATACGACGCAGACGGCTGTCTTTGCCTCGCACAAGAGCGTAGAAGAGGGCATCATGAGCCACGCGCAGGAGGTCAGCCTTCCGGCGAGGGGCGGTAAGGCTGTTGCTGAGGCGATGGAGTCAGAAGAGACCCGCCAAGGAAAGCTCATTCGTCGCGGTGCCGAAGTCACGCTTCAAGAAATGGCCTCGCGCTTTGGGCAGGAGTTATTCTCCATAGCACCAGCTCTGTGGGAGGGCATGACTGCCACGCTTAAAGAAGTGTTCGCGCAAGGCTCGGCGAGCGCTGATGAGATCCTGTCAAAGGAGGAGGCACGGGGACAAGGCGTCCTTGACTGCTGCACCCTTGTAGCCACGGTCAGCAGTCGCCTATCCTCGACGCACGACGACAGAATCGAGTCGCTCCTTCCACTCCTCACCGCTGCGTTGCAAAGCAAGCTCGCCGTCATTCGATCAGCAGCAGCACGTTGCCTCAGCAGCCTGGCCGACTCGATGACGCTCCCCACGATGATCCACGTCGTCCGCAACGCTCTGCCCCTCCTCGGCGACTCGCGCAGCGTCACTAATCGCCAAGGCGCCATCGAGGTGCTCAGCCAGATCGTCACTCGCCTGGACATCAAGCTTCTACCCTACATCATTGTCCTCGTCGTACCCGTTCTCGGCCGTATGAGCGATTCAGACGAAGCTGTGCGCTTGGCTGCGACAAGCACCTTTGCTGCCCTGATCAAGATGGTGCCCCTCGAGGCTGGTCTGACCGACCCTTCTGGCTTTCCTGAAGATCTCCTACGTCGACGCGACGAGGAGCGCACCTTCCTCTCGCAGCTCCTCGATGGCAGCAAGGTCGAGCCCTATCAACTGCCGGTCAAGATCAATGCCGACTTGCGCAAATACCAACGCGAGGGTGTCAGCTGGATGCACTTCCTGTCTAAATTTCAGTTGCACGGCGTGCTCTGCGACGACATGGGTCTGGGCAAGACGTTGCAGTCGATCTGTATCCTGGCTGCCAAGCATCACGAGCGTGACGAGCGCTACAAGGCTACGCAGGCCCCTGACAGCGCACCGCTCCCCTCGCTGGTGATTTGTCCACCTACGCTCACCGGACATTGGGTACACGAGATCCAGCAGTACTCGACGAATCTCAAGCCACTGCTCTACGGAGGAGGCCCCTCAGAACGTGCAGCTACCTGCAAGCAAATCGCACGCCACGATGTCGTCGTCATGTCTTACGACGTGGTCCGCAACGACATTGCCGCTCTCTCATCGCTCAACTGGAGCTACTGCATCCTCGACGAAGGCCACATCATCAAGAACGCCAAGACGAAGACGACGAAAGCAGTCAAGCAGATCAAGGCCAATCATCGTCTCATCCTCACGGGCACTCCGATCCAGAACAATGTGCTGGAGCTCTGGTCGCTCTTTGACTTCTTGATGCCTGGGTTCTTGGGCACAGAGCGAGCCTTCCACGAACGCTTCGGCAAGCCCATCGTGGCAACTCGCGAGGGCAAAGCGTCAGCCAAGGAGCAAGAGGCTGCCGCGCTTGCACTTGAGTCGCTGCATAAGCAGGTTCTCCCCTTCTTGCTGCGTCGTCTCAAAGACGACGTCCTCGACGACTTGCCGCCCAAGATCATCCAGGACGTCGAGTGCGAGCTCGGCGTGATCCAGAAGAAGCTCTACGATGAGCATGCGAGAGCGGAGAATGGCGAAGGCGACGCAGTGGATGAGGCACTTCAGGAGACCGCCGCACCACAGCAGCCTCATGTCTTCCAGACGTTACAATACTTGCGCAAGCTCGTCAACCACCCTGCCCTTGTGTACGACCCTGCCAAGCAGTCACACCTTGACATCGTCGACGATGAGTTGCGCAGGACCAAGTCGACGCTGCGGGATATCCGTCACGCCCCGAAGCTAGCGACACTCATGCAACTCCTCCAAAGCTGCGGTATCGGCAAGATCGGCGACCCTTCCGAGGTGGCAGCTGAGCCTGACGCTCCAGGTGAGGTTTCATCACCGCATCGCGTGCTCATCTTTTGCCAGATGAAGCAAATGCTCGACATCATCGAGAAGGACCTCTTTGCACCGCACATGCCCTCCGTGTCCTACATGCGGCTCGACGGTTCTGTCCCTGCGGAGAAGCGCCAGGGGATTGTCACGACCTTCAATGCCGACCCGTCCATCGACGTCCTGCTGCTCACCACCTCCGTGGGCGGTCTGGGGCTTACGCTCACGGGCGCCGATACGGTCATATTCGTGGAGCATGACTGGAATCCCATGAGAGACCTGCAGGCCATGGATCGTGCGCATCGACTGGGGCAGAGGAAGGTGGTCAATGTGTACAGGCTGATTACGAGGGACACCCTCGAGGCGAGGATCATGGGTCTTCAGCAGTTCAAGTTGAACGTAGCCAACACAGTCGTGGGTCAGCAGAATAAGGATCTGGAGAGTATGGCGACGGATCAGGTGCTCGACCTCTTCGGAGGAGCCGGAGGAGGGGGTGCTGGTGGGAAGAAGGAGCAAGCGCAGAGCTTGCTTGAGCAGGCGGCGGCTGCTGCGGGCGGGAAGCGCGGTGGCATCAGCCAAAAGGCGCTGCTGGCCAATCTGGAGGCCATGGGCGATACGGGCGATGACTATGCGGGCATGAATGAGTGGCGACCGTCGTAATGCGGCGAGAGAAGGGGTCAAAGGGGTATATTGGCGCCACTGTTGGTGTCAGGATGTAAATAAGCCTAGCTCTAAAAGTAGCAGGAGCTCGCGCGCTTGACGTGCGCATTCGTTGTTCAGCCATCGTAACCATCGTACTTTCCCTCTCCTTCGCGGACTCAGTGCCGTCAGTCCGTTCTGCTGCGTTTGTCTGACCCCTCTACCTCTTGAATCGCATGCTTCGCCTTCCACTCGCGATACGAGCGCTCGATATCATCATCCAGCTGTAGCCAATGCGACAGCTTCTTCATCGGCTTCGGGTCGACATCGATCAGATGGATGCTCCTCCCGTCCACGTAACCAGGGTGGCCTTCATTCGCAGATTGTGATTGCAGCTCTGCTGATGACGGCATGGGTATTCGGATCCAGATGCTGGCGTCCTTGAAGGTGCCTGAGAGCAGGGTGCCGATGAGAGCGTGGCGCATCTCTTTCCACGTTGGTGGCGTGACAATGTCGCTGCTGCGGCTGTGATTGCCCCCACCACTCGCCTCGCCGCCGCGGGCGCGCTTCGTGTCCCGAGCGGGAGCCGGCGTCGTAGTGCTTGCGGCCCAATCCTCGCTTCTCTGACTAGGATCCTCCTTGGAGAACCAATACGTCAGAAAGTCGTTCCAGTCGTGCATCGAGGGATCGAAAAACATCGGCTCGTCCTTCTTGTCCCCTGTGAGCGTAGCGTCCTCAAGCTTTCTCCCCTTCTTTTCGCTAGACATATCCCAGAGCGCCTTGAGGTGGGCAAGATCCCCTCTCGGGCCAGGGACGAGGCTACGCTGCAGGAAGCCAAGCCGAGCAACGAGAGCCTGAAATCGAGGGCTGAGCAGTGCGGGAAGAAGAGCAGGAGTGACCAAGTCGGCCGCGTCTGTGGTAAGAGAGAGATTACTGCTCCCTTTTTGTGCGTTGATGAGTCGTTCCAGAGCGTTGGCCAAAGGGTTGTTCCCCTCTACGCCGCTGCTAGCACGGGCGGGTTGCTGTGCCCCTCGACAGAAGAGGCGGAGATTGTTGCCGCCTTTCTGCCAGTTGCGGACTAGACCTTGAAGAGCTCTGCGTACCCGCGGAGGGTCAGCTGACGCTAGGTCCAATGGCTCGTAGAGGTCGTCTACCTCTTGAGGAGTGAGGGCACCGTCTGCTTTGAGGATGGCGTGTTTGCGGTAACGTGAGATGGGACGGCTGTCGTCTTTCCCTGATGACACTTCGTCATCACCGGGCTCAAAGAGCCATTTTGGCTTGATCTCGACGCAGAGGACATCTTGATCTACACCATCCCTCGGTGTCCAAGAGAGGTCCTCGATGACATCGAGCGCATCTGGGCAGTCGATATCGATCTCATCCATCTCGCGACGATGAGAAGGGCGGTGAGGCTCAGCCGCATTCGCGATGGCCTCAAGAAATGCTAGTCGCTTCCTTCCGTGCCAGCGACATACCAAGCGTCTATTGTACGGTAGCAGTGGAGAGAGATAAGGTGGTGCTTCTGAGCATTCCCACTGTTCGCCGGTGGTCTCTCCGTCTGATTGGGACGAGGATGGGGAAGCGGGTGTGCCAGACCCGGAAGAGAGACCGCGCAGAAAGTTGGTGATGACAGTCGTCTCGAAAGCGTAGCGTTCTGTGGCTGGCCATTCCAACCGACTGTCAGCAGAGGGAGGACAAGAGGTCTCTGTGAACTCATGCTGCACATTGACCTTAAGCTTTTGCACCGCCGGTGGTGGTCCTCTCCTCTTGCGCTTGTCCATCCGCAAAGCGAGTGCTCGTCTTCCGTCAGGACTGGTCCAAGGTACTGGCGTGTCTTGGCCCGTCTTTGGGTCCTTGCATGTCTGCGGGCCCATGTATCGAACGAGGAGACTCTTTCCCCCCTCGGCGAGGTAGTGCCAGTCGTTCGCGTCGAGTAGTTCGTCTTGACGATACTTAGAAAGCATCTCGACCGAGGGCCACGGCCACTCCTTGTGAGTTCTCCGCTCAATTTCAGGTTCCGTTTGTGAGGGACAGTGATATCCGTCCTCCTCCTCCATGGTGAATGCTGTGGTGGATAGAATCAAGTAGAGCGCGAGGGGCCGACGCGGTGAATGAGGATGGCTCGAGCGCGCCAGTCTATCGACCACGTGGCCCCATCCGCATCCGCGGATCGATTTGTCTGAGCTCCCTCGAGAATTTGGCGTCGAGGAGGCGGGAAGCGGACGCAGCTACTCTTCCTCATCACCATCATCACATCACCTCCATTACCTTTCTTCGCAGAGCAATGCCAGCCAAGACGCTCGCCGCTTCACTCGCCGACTTGGATGATGTAGCACCGCAAGATGAGGATATGATCGCTGCTGGTCCATCGAAGCCCTCAAGGTCGAGAAAGAGCGGCGCGTCAGACGATGAAGGAGGAAACGACGACGACGAAGGTGATGACGACGACGAGACAGCGTCGATCGATCGATCACACTACACCGACGTAGGCAAGAGCGATAGGAGGAGAAAGGCAAATCTGTCAGAAGATGCGACGGGTACACTGAGATCGGGAAGATATGCTGGCAAGACGGCTACGCTGGCTGATATGCAGGAGAGCGAAGACGGCGACGACGACGACGACGAGGATGAAGATGAGGAGCTCGACAGCGGCAGAGAAGACGAGGATCTCGATGAAGAGGATGGCGATGAAGAAGAAGAGCTCATGGGTAGCGATGCCGAGTCAGTGGGCAGCTCTGCTCCCTCCATCGAGCCAGTCAAGACCAAGGGCAAAACAACGCAAGCCAAAAAGTCCAAATCAGTCCGCTTTGCTCGCGAAGATGAGGACGACGCCGATGCAATAGCCACGGCATCCTCTTCGCATCCTACCCTCTCTTCCTCTCTTGCCTCTCAATCACGCCTCCTCAGCACGCTACGAGACGAGGCAAAGAGCGACGCCGAGCGCGGCGAGGTCGTGGAGGCCGACTTGGCGCTGTGGCATCGAACTTTGGAGAATCGTATTCGCCTCGAGCGGGTGGTTGGGGGAAGCAAGGGCTTGGGAAAGATAGAGCCAAGGGCGTACAGGCGTTTGTTGGAGGAGGCGGAGGAGCAGGAAGCAGAGAGTAGCAAGACTGCGCAGGCTCATCGTGAGCTCCTTGCTAGCTTGCAAGACCATGCGGATCTCCTGCTGGAGGCGCAGGCTGAGCTGGTGGCTTCGTGCGTGGGACGAGAGGGCGAACAAGAGGACGAGGAGCAGCGTGCCATCCTGCAGGAGGTAGCAGCCACAGGGGAGAAGCGCAAGGCTCGCGATGAGGCTGGAGAAGAAGAGGAGGACGAAGACGAGCTTCGTGCTCGTCATTCTCGGCATACCTCCCTCTTACTCCGCTTCACACGAGACGCTCTGCAGCCCTTTGCCACCTCGGTCTTGGACAAGCACTCTGCACAAGCGTCTAGCTCTGCATTGGGTGCTGACTCGAACAAGTTCTCGGCCAGCTCAGCCCCGCTCAAAGCCTTTAACCAGAGCATCCCACGTCAAGTCGACTCGGCAATGGCAGGCGAAGCGGGTAAGAGGTTAGTGGAGAGGACGAAAAAGTTCAGAGGCGCCGCCGGGGGTGTTGAGGGGGCTCAAGGTGCAAAGAGGATTGGTGCTGAGCTTCTCGACGACGACGGCAACGAAGAAGAAGACGAGCAGAACGGTGCAGCGGCGCAGGACAAGGACATGGACGTGGAGACATTCGACGACTCGGACTTCTATGCCTGGCTATTACGCTCCCTCATCGAGTCGCAGCAAACTACTGGGGCAGCAACGAACGGCTCCGCCCTACCATCGACATCCGATGGTGCATCCGCCACCCCCCTCTTCCACCCGCGCACCAACACCAAGACCAAAGGGATCGACACACGCGCTTCCAAGGGGCGTAAGTTGCGATTCGAGGTCATTGAGAAGGTGGCCAACTTTATGCCTAGGATTGAGACTCAAGATGGAGAAAAGGGGGCGAGATGGACGAGGGATATGGTGGATAGACTGTTCGCGTCTTTGCCCTTTGCTGCTACTGTGCAGAAAGGTGGGAAGAAGGCGAAGAAGGCGAGATTGCCCGTGGAGGAGGAGAAGGAGGAGGCGGAGAGTGATGATGAGGAAGATGGGGAGAAGCCGATAGCAGGTGGGGAGCTGGGTGATTTGAGACTGTTTGGGTAGGACTGCTCGTAAGTCAAAATGCAAAGCATATCCTCAATACTCGTCAGTGCGTGACGCGGCGCAGGCAGAAGAGCAGAAATGTGCTGCTGCTTCTCTGGTTCATTGAATGATGCTTTGCATTGCGATCCTGGACTCAATCGTCCATCTCATCATCGTCATCCCCACCAGCGTCTCCTTCCCCATCAGTAGGCGCTGCCGGTGCGACAGCTGCTGCCCTCCTGGACCTCCTCGATCTACCTCCCTCCTCCCCTTCATCTTCCGCAGCATCAACCTCCTCTCCACCAGCCTCCTCGCGCAGAGCTGCAAGCTCGTCGTCTCCATCCAGCGACTCGTCGTCCTCATCTTCGTCCTCCTCGCCAGAAGAACCAGAGTCGGAGCGATTCGATTTTGCGGGGCGCTTCTTCTTGGGAGCGTCTACCTCCTCCTCCTCCTCCTCCTCTTCTTCCTCTTCTTCCTCGGCTTCTTCGTCGGCCGGCTGCGCTGACTTGTCTGCTCCGTCCGAAGTCTTGGGCTTCTGGCTGCTACTTGTCTCGCCGCCTGTCTCTTCGTCATCCTCATCATCAGAGAAGGCGGCTCGAGCTCTAGCGGCACGACGGGCTGCAGCTGCAACATCGTCCTCTTCCTCCTCTTCATCCGCATCCGCATCTACCACTCCATCCTCTCCAGCAACGCTCTTCTGTCCGTTTACCTTGCCAACCTCCTCGTGTTCCTCTGGCTCCTCCTCCTCCTCCTCCTCCTCGCTCTCACTCTCACTCAACTCAGGCAACTCCTCCTCCTTCAACGCTCCGTGCTCAATCTCTACCCTCTTGCGCAGTCGCTTCACCAACTCCTTGTCGGTGACATCGCGATGCGTGAGCGCCAAGTCGGTCCAATGACCTTCGTCCTCTTCCGCCTGGCTCGCAGCACCTCGGCGACGTTGTCGCTTGACGCGGAGTGTGGTACGTGTGGTGATAGGGTGGTAGTATACCGTACTTGATGAGGTGGATGCAGCAGGCGAGTCGAGGTATTTAGCTTCACGCTCCAGGAGAGGAAGCTGGGTTGTGGCTCCCTTGTCAAAGCTAAGCACCAACAATCTTGCCAGATCCTCCTCCAATCCTTGTCTCTCAGGATCATAATCCCTCTGATGTCTATAAGGGGTCGTGCACTCCGCCCTCTTCCTGGCATACTCCTCTTTTGCAGCGCGCATATCCTCGCTCTCCTCCTCCTCTTCCTCCTGCTCATCCGTAGGCTCCAAAGGCAACTGGCTCGCCCAGCCTCTTCGCCTGCGCATCTCCTCGCGACGGACGACGGCTCCCTGACGAACGGAAGCGTCAAGCTGGCCTGCTTGGTCGGAGAAGAATTCTCGCTCTTCATCGTCTGCAAACGCATCGGGGTCGGCGAGGAGGAGCTCATCGAATTCTTTGAGTGGAAGGTCGATGGGCTCCGCTGAGGGCACGTAGAGGGAGACGTGCGTTTGTCGGGTAAGGGGATGGGTGCGTGGTCGCAAGATGGAAAGTGGTAGAGTGGCAGAGGTTGCCGCGGCTGCCGCTGCTGCTGCTGCCGAGTCTTCGTCGTTGTGCTTGCCCGGTGGATCCGCAAACTTGAATACATGCATCTCTGTTGCCCAAGTGTCGAAGTCTGGGTAGAGGTCCATAACCTCTACAGGTTGGAGATTGCGCTTCGCCGGGTTGGGATGACGAAGCGACGCATCGCCCAAGGGCTGTGACTCGATGGCGCTGAAGGTCTCATTAATGCGTTGCGCCTCTGCGTCGGGTGTGACCTCCTTGTTGGCTGAGGACGAGGGCTTCGAGGCGCGCAGAGCAGCTTCTGCTTTGGCTTTGCGGTCTGCGCCGAGATACTCTGTGCGACGTAGCCATGCGACGTCCTTTGCGCTTACGTCGGGGGTGCCATCACGACTTGCTATTGCGGCTGTGTCTCCCGAAGAGGCGAGGATACTGGATGATGATGGCGTAGCTGTGGCTAGAGGGGGAATGGGCGCATTGACGAGATCTGGGTTGAGCAGCCAGGCATCCTCGGCGTCGAGGTCTGCGGCATCCAGCGGCGGAAGAGTAGCATCCGCGATGGGAATGGGCCTTCCTCGCTCATCTGTAGCCCACAGCTCGGGGAAAGCGTTTATATCGAGGGGCATTCCACCCTCGGAATCGACTACCAGGGGTAGAGGCACCGATTGGGCGAGACGATTGGCCCATGTTGGATCTGCGTATCGTGTTGCTGGTGTGGGGATGGAGAGGAGCTTTGGTGGATAAGGAGGCAGAGGAAGAGGGTTCGGGTAGCGAGTGCGCTCGATGAGGTCGGTGCGTTTGCGACCAGACGACATTGCGGCGTGTCCCACTGCTGGTGGTGGTGGTGGTGATGATGCAGAGGGACGCCAACGACGGGAAGGAAGGAGCTGCTCCTCGTCGAGGCAGCCGACACAAGGGCGACGAGAGGGCATAGTCGACAACACCACGTGGCAGTGGTCTCGCGTCGAGCAGTTGGCTCCGTTGGTCTGTGGATGCAGCTCGTCCACCGCTCGCTCGCCGCCTGGCTGCGTTGCCGCTCGCTCCTCGTCACCACACTTGAATCCTTGGCTCCAACTCATATCCCCTCTCTCTACTCTTTGAGCCCCAGTCGATGGCTCTGAGTCCTCAACGGACTAGGCTCCTTGACACTCGTCGTGCCCCAATCATCTTGCGCACATCGGCCAATTTGCCATTGCACTCACTCATGCCGCCACCCACGACGATTTCCCACACGACGACGACGACGACGACGACGACGACTGGTGAGCACCAGCTCTAGTAAGGAGCATACACGCAATCATGTCCAACCCATTGGTTTCACCAACACTGGAGCATAGATCGCTCCTAGCACGGACAGCTGCATCCAACAATGCGAGCGCCAGCTCTAGCAGCTCCTCATCATCACCGGCAGCTGCTCCACTTGCGCCCCTTTCATCATCCTCAATCATCAATGGCAGCGGCCCATCATCTGCACCCAACTCCCATGCTAGAGCATATCTCGACGCCATCTCACCACCAGCGCGTCGTCTAGCTCTGCAGCGCACCTCTTCCTCGGTCAGCTACAAGCCCCAGAAGCCTAGCTCTCTCGCAGCTTCCGTCGCTGGATCTGAGCATGACGATGATGACGACGAGGAAGACGAAGACGAAAGACAAGATGATCATGAGGCACGACGTCGTCGCAGTCAATCATCGAGTCGAGCAGGTACCAGCGGCTTCAGCGGCGTCTCCTCGTCTGCCTCGTCCACCTCCTCTGCATCGTTGCGCAACTCTCTCGCCATGTCCTCCTCTTCCTCTCCACCCGAGGATCAATCCATCGCCTCGTCCACGGCCACGACGACTGCCGCCTCCACACCGCCAACAATCGACGTGTCCAGCATCCTCTCGCTACTGGACGACGTCCATCTAGACGAAGAAGACAAAATAGAGCGGGTGCGGGACCGCCTTGGCCTCTGGCTCGAGGAGATCGAAGGAGGCGTCAAGCCATCTCCTTTTCGACTGGATACGGTAGTTCTCGACCTCATGCATCGACACCGCGAAGACGTCAATCCAACTGGCGCCTCTTTCCCTTCCTCCCCGCTGAGAAGACCAGGATCGGCAAGGAGCTTCTCGGGCCAAAATCTTCATCGCCCTTGGACACCCTCCAAGACGCCTTCAGCTGCATCGATACAGAATGGAAGCGATGCACCTAACGCAGCGTTGTCACCGACCTCGAGCGCTCATCTCGGTGGAGTACCCGCACCTCCGCGAAGTAGCAGCCCAGCACCCACGGGTCCAGACCCAGGCGTCATCGGCTCAGGCAGTCCTCGCGGCTCACCCCGATTCTGGAATCGAGCCCCCGCACCTCTCTCTATCTCCTCGACGCATAGGGACAGCTTCGATTCCACCGCGAGCATAGCGGGCAGCTCCAGCAGCCCCTGGGGTGGTTTCAATCTTCTGGGTAGTCCTTCAACTACCCCCGCCTCTTCATCCACGGCGGGGTCCAGCAGTTGGCTCAACGCGCCCTCTTCGCCTCGCTCGGCTGTCCCACCTCCAGGTCTGCCAAGCACGGCCACGACCGCCAGTGCAGCCAGCAGCAGCGGAACGGGTTTGACTACCCCCGCACAAACGCAGAGTAGTAGCAGTCGCCCTACATCGCCTTCGCCCTTTAACTCGCCACGCCTCAACGTCGCCGCGGTAGCGTTCAAGCCTCGCACACCCTCGGCCAGCACGAGCGCGAGCAGCACGGCTGGCTCCGTACTCAGCAGTAGCGCCGGTACAGGCGCCGGTACAGGCGCAGCGATCAGTATTCCTGCCCGCCGAGGGGATCTCGCTGCCCCTGCACGTCGCTCTTCCAGTCAGGCTATACTGCACAAGAATCACCCGGTCGGAGCAGACGATGAGGATGAAGATGATGAATTCTCGCCATTCGCTGGCGCTCCTGCAAAGGCGGACGCCCTTGTCGCGCCGGGTAGTAGCTACTACAGTTCTTCTGGAGGAAGCAGCTTCGGTGAGGCAGGAGGGGAGATGGCGCTCGCTGCGACTGCGGTAGCCGCAGGAGAGGAAGATGAAACGGGCTTGAGTGGGGGTGCAGCCACTCCGTTCGATGTGCTCTTTTCCATCCTTTCGGGCGTGGGAGCCTCTTCGTCGGCTGGGACGGCGCAGTGGACTCCTGAACAAGTGGAAGAGGCCCTTGCTGCGCACAGCTGGGATGTCGAGGCCACCTTGTCAGCCATCGTCGACGCAGGGGGCAAGCCGCCTGCTGCCGGGTCCGCTCGCAACAGCAATCTGACTGCTGCGGCTACTCGCTCGCCAAGACCACCGCCTACTGGACCTGCTAGCTGGGCCGGTGGAGCCACAGGGCGAAGCTCGAGCGGCGTCTCCCTCATGTCGCGGGACGTCTTCTCCTCCATTAGAGGCGGCACAGGTGGGAATGGCTGGTCCTCTTCAATCTCATCTCGCTCTCGCCCTGGCGGACTAACTGGCTCTCCAGCGCTCAGCAACGCATCCCCTCTGGCCAGCCCACAACCTTCACACTCCTCGGCTTTCGCTAGCGGAGGTAGCGGGCCCGTTGGACCTGGTAGAGTTTGCCGCTACTTCCTCTCGGGAGACTGTAGAAGGGCTGATTGTCGCTTCTCTCACGACTTGAGCAAGGCGCTCTGCAAGTTCTGGCTCAGGGGACAGTGTCTTAATGACCCGTGTCCCTTCTTGCATGACGAGGGAGTGTTGCTCGCATTGGCTAATGGTGGAGCGCCCGGAGGTGGGGTGACGAGCGATGCCGGGGACAAGGACGGTGGTCGGCAGTCGCAGCAAGTAGACGACTTCCCCGAGCTGCTACCCCCTTCAGGTCCAAGGGCGCAGCGCGCTGCTTCGGCTTCAACGAGCGGGCCGCCCGCAGGTGCGCCAACGGGTCCAGCAGCGAGCGATCCAACGCGCTCACGCTGGGTCCATGCAGTGCAGCGCAATCCTGCCGCCTCCTCTTCGACTGGTCCAATTGCAAGCGGAATTACCACCCCTGTGGCTGCCATGCTAGCGGGATCGGCCCCAGGCTCAGAAGGAGCTATCCATCTACAAGCGCGCAACGCTCCCGTCACCCGCCCACCTCTGGGTCCACGAACCGCCTCCTCCACATCCTCCACCGCCGGCCCAACGTCCACTGTCACCTCCTCCAAACCCCCCAATCGCATTCCTCTCCATCCTCCCACCCTCCTCCCAACCCTATCCCACGCTGCAGCCCACTACACCTCACATCGCTCCTCCCTCCTCCCCCTCATCGAACAACGCAATCGTTGTCTCGCCCGAGCGTCCGAAGCGTTCCGTTCAGGGGATGGGGCTGAAGCGCGACGCTGGAGTGCAGAAGGTCAAGCTTTGAATCGCGAAGTGGCCTCGAAGAGCGGAGGCGTTGCGCGGGGGATAGTGAGGGAGCGCATGGCTGAAGTGAGGGAGAGGCTCATGGGCGGGGGAGACGCGGCTGGTGGAGGTGGGGGGATGGGAGTGGGTGGGTCGACTGAGCCTGCCGCGAGAGGGTTAAAGGGACGGGTTTTGGCCAATGGGCTAGCCCTCTGCCTTGGTGTAGCGAGGAAAGAGGCCCTGCCCACTTCTGCTGGAGGGGCAAACTTGAGCGCGGCAGAGCGGACGGAGATCCTGGTTGATCTACATGGACTGCACGCAAGTGAGGCAGTTGAGATTGTGGAGGAGGTGTTGCTCTCCCTTGAAGAGGAGAGCGAGATGCGCGGCTTGGTCTATTTGGCCGTTGGTGTGGGCAAGCATACGAGTGTTGCGACGGATAAGCGCAGGGGTACACGGGTGAGCGCTGGGGTTAAAGGTTGGTTGAGCGGGTGGGGGTACCCGCACGTTGAGTGGGAGGGCGTCGTTGGGGTTGATGGATTGAGTCATTGGTAACAACTAGGCGATGAGTGGGCTCGATCGTAATGCGGGACGTAGAGAAGGGAGCGAAGGAGCTAGACGATGGGGGAGAGAAGACATGAAGAATCCAGACTACCTGAAGAAATCACAAAGAGGCATTGCCCCGAGGTCTTGGAGTGGAATGATCATTGTCTCTTGGGTACTCGTGACTATCCTTGTTACACATCTGCGTTCGGACGTATGCTCAAGATGCCAGTATCGCTCATCTTCCTCCCTCGGCGTGGCTCGCTCTCTCTGTCTCTCTTGGAAATTTAGCGCCTTCTCCCCCCCTTCTACTAGGTCACGTACCCCGCCTCCTCATCAGCCAAAAAGTCCCGCATAGCCGCTTCTGCCTCTTCATCCCCGACTCTCGTCGTCGCCTTTGATGATGAGAACACCTTCTGCCTCTGCGTCAACCCCAACCCACCACTCGCAGTCCGGCTTGTCCGCACAAGCCCCGCCGGCCTGCATGCCGTGGACCTGCCCTGCTGGGAAGCAGAGCCCAGTGTAGCTCCCGGCCTGAACCCATTCGTAGGGGACGGCGCTCTGCTCCCCGCACTTGTGCTTCGGCCCGCGAGGGCGACTGCGCTGCCTAGTCTCTTCTTTGCGGGGACGGTCGCGCCTGCGGGAGGATTAGTGATCGAAGAGACAGCGGTGCCGGAGCGCTTTGTGGGGGAGGTCGAGGTGGTACGGGCGCGACGCAGGTGCCGAGGGTCAGGGAGGTCGTCGACATCGCCATTGCCTTCTCGCTCTGATGCGGCCTGCTGGTCAAGAGAAGCTGCTGTCTGGCCGACGGCTTCCATCCCTGCCCCCGAAGGTTGGGCGAGCGTCGCAACCTCACGGCTGCGCTTTGTGGCCCGTCGCTGCACCGGCTCATTGACCTCGCCATGAGAATGAGACCGCTCGAAGGGACTCGACGGTATCCTCCCTTTGCCAGGTGCAGCCTGAGCTTTGCTCGTCGAGTTGGTCTTCGGTGGGCCGTAGAAATTTGCGGGGGCGACAGGATCCCTTGCCTTTGCTTTGAAAGCTTGTGGTGGCGCTTCAACAGGAGGCAGAGCCACGGGCGCACCGGGCTGTTCGGGTGCACCTTGCGTGTGTGAGTACGGAGATGAAGAGGTTGGACTCCGACGAGTGACTGTCGACGCTTGGGCTGCCGCAGGAGGTGGGGCGAGAGCGGACGGAGGCGTTGCGGCGGCTGGGAGCGGCATCTGGCTCAGGATGGCGTCGTCGAAGCACTCGACGTCGAAGGAGTCGTCGTACGTCGGGTGTGGGTGCTGCGACTGCTCTTGCTGTCGGCATGGCTCTGCTTGGGCGGCCTCTGACCGCCATCGTAGCTGCGTCTGCTCCTCTGCCGCCTCTTCCTTCTCTGACAGCACCTTACCGACAGGCCCGGCGCCCGTTCCCTGCTCAACCGCCTGCCCGTCCTCTTCTTGCTGACGCCCGCGATCAGCCAGTGCAGCTGACGTACCGTCCACCTGCTCCTCGTTCCCCTCATCCTCCTCCATAAAATCACTCAAATCCAACAAGTGTAAATCCTTCTGCCAATCAATCTCGTCCACTAGCACATCGAACTCGATGTCCGTTCCTGCTACACCCTGCCCTCTACCCTTGACCGTCGTTCCTCCAGCTGGAGAGCCTTTCGCCTTGGCAGCAGCTCTCGCCGCAGACGTGCCACCTACTAGTGTAGCAGACGACTTGCCTAGTGTGGACGTGCCATTCGCTGGTGAGCCAGAGGGAGGGAAAGTGGCTGTTCGCTCCCAGCTGGAGAGGGTGGGCTTGCCTTTGGTTGGTGTGGGTCGCTTTTCTCTTGATGATCGTGGGGTGATCAGACTGCTGTTGCTATTAATGGCGGTGCTTCGCTTGGCCTTCTGAGACGATTGGATGGCTGGGCTATTTCGCTGCCGGGCACAAGGGCCCAGAAGGTCGTCGTCGAGGTCCCTCTCCCACGAATCATCATCCAAGCTCATTACTCCATCCGCATCATGACCTCCAATGCCTACCCGCTCCTGGCTCTCATCACCCTCCTCATCTTGCTGTTGGAGCTGAAGTGTCAGATCCTCTAGCAATCTCTGCACTCTGCCTTCTCCTGCACCCGTTCCATTACTGTCCGCCCGCTTCCCGAGCGGGGGCGCAAAGGCGTCCAGATCTGCGTGATGCTGCTGCTGCTGCTGTGAGTGATGGGCAAAAGCGGCCGACGAGCTGGCATGGCGTCGCAGAGGTCCACTCGCTGCAGCGGAGGGGAATCGCCGCGGAGGTGGGCGAGTGAGCTTGCTTCGTCGATGGAGAGGACGAAGGCTGGACGTAGTCGAGGTGGAAGCTACTGAGGCGGAGGATGAAGAGGAAGAGGCGCGACTGCGATGCTGAAGGAGCTGATCTTGTAGAGTGGATGCGTTCGCTGAAGGAGGTACCGCTGGCAGCCTGCTCGGTCCTGCTTGGCTGGTTTCATCATCATGACCAAGAGATGGCAGCGATTGAGAAGGTGGCGCGTGCCAGAAGACTTGTGGACCTCGATCTCGGGATCGCTTCGTGGGACTGGCACTTTTCCTGCTAGTTCTCTGGTGCTGTTGCTCGTATGGTTGGTCCTGCTGGCTCGATTGCGACGACCGCTGCTGTGATGACGACGGGAAGTTGAGCGAGTCGAAGAGGGAAGACATCGCGACGTGATGCGTTTGGGTCGGCCTTGTCTCTAGCGCGAGGTGGATATCGACGACGGTGTGGGCGCGGTTGGGACCATGGAGTCTTTGCTCATGGTCGTGATGAGGATGAAAGACGACCGAAGCTGGACGGCTGTAGTACAGTGATGCGTTGAATGAAGGAAAGATGGAGACACAGACTAGCGCGGGAAAGCGGAGACTCGCGCCCACACTTCAAGGAGGAGACGGCAGCCGCGCCGAAAGCCACGCGACACCGCGTCACCTCGTCTCGCCTCCTCCAACACCTCCCACAAGCTTAGCGCTTCTCCTCCTTCTTGACCAACTCCTCATCACTGCTACTCTCGCTCTCCTCACCCTTCATAGAGCAGTGATTCTCCCAATCTCCCAACATGCCCTCCACGCTCGGGCTGACAGTGAATTTCCTATGCACTTCCCCCAACACCGTGGCCCTCTTCTCCTTGGCATCAAGCAGCGCCACATCCTGCAAGAAGCTACTCTGCGATCCTCCTGCTACTTCCATTACTAGCGGATTGTCAGGCGAGCCAAAGTGCATCTCGACGCGTCCGTCGCGGTAAACTTGGAGGCGGCCTACCATTCCTTCGGGGCCGGATTGGGAGGACGAGTTGCGGAGCGGGTCTGAACCGCTGGAGAAGCCACGTTTGAGCGCCTCGGAGTCGAGAGAGGAGCCAGAAGGCTTCGTGTCCGGAGGGGTGGCCGTGCCCCGTTTAGAGCCCTCGGCAAAGGCGACGCTGCGTTTGGGTTTGGTGGAACCACCTGGTGGTGATGAGGACAGGGCTGATGGTGGTGGGCCAGCGGCCGAACCGCCCCCTTCATTGTCTGACTCTGCTTTTGCCGGCTTATCCTTGGGCGCTTTGAACTTAGGGAATACCTGCGGGAATTGGAAGAGATATAGCCGATTGCTTGCATCGTCTCCTCCGCCCACGTCGCTGCTGTCGTCGAATACAAAGTCGTCGACTAAGTCGTCCATCATTTCCTCCTCTTCCGACTCGCTGAGATCAAGGGCGTCTGCACCGCGCACCACCTCATTCTCCTCTGCATCTGCCTCGGCTTGATCCTCTGCTGCGTCTTCCTCTGCTTTGGTCTTGAGGAGGGGAGTGGACGTATTCGAGTCAATGGTGCCCGCGCGCGAGGAAGGGCCGGACAGCCTAGCTCGCTCCCCTGCCTCCTCATCCTCCGGGTCAGGCTTGATACCGAGAGACTTGTCCTTCTCTTTGCCCTTCTCCTTCTTGACCTCGCGCTTCTTGATCTTCTCCTGCACACGAGGCAAACTGCGCGGCGCGAGGCTGTCCAGCTGTCCGACTTGTCCCATGTCCACAATCTCGATGTCCTCCTCTGGGTCTGAGTACTCCTCTGCGTCGCGCAACTTGTCCGGGTCGCGGTACGAGGCGTCTCCTGGTCGGCGCGGCTTGATGTCTGGTTTGAGGTCGTGCATGGATGACGAGGTTGTGGGTGCGCTGTAGGCGGGACGAGGGACAACCGAATCAGTTGTTCGTATGCGAGAATGTATGCTGGTCTAGTTGCCCGGTATTATACTCACAATCCACCACCACCTGCCCCGGTGGGACCTCCACGCTTAGAGCGCTCTGAGCGGCTCAAGCTACCCGTACCAAGTGCGAAGGGTCCGCTTGCAACCATCTCTATCTCCCGTCTCCCCCCTCGTCCGCCTCTTGCACCTCCCCTTCCACGTCCGCGGCCAGGTGTCGAAGACGAAGCACCAGCGCCGCTGCCACTCCCGCCCGCACTGCCGAAGCTCGAGGGAGTGGCTTCTTGCTTCACTGTGGCAGAAGCGCCTTCACTTGGCTTGCGTCGCTGAGGCAGGACAGGTCTGAAGGTCATACGGGGCTGAGCACGACTAGCTCCTCCAGCAGCCCCACGATTGACCATGCTGACCGTGGGGCGATTGAAGGGAGCTGAAGAGGATGAGGCGGCGGCGGGCCCAGGAGTGCCAGAGGGGGCACGCGGGCGAGGCTGATTACCATCTGTCGGGTTCGAGGGACGCCGAGGCGGCGCTGAGCTGTCCTCTGGTGGAGCCATCTTGGCTGGCGAGAAGTTGTGCTGGTGGTGAGGAGGGAGGAGGGAGGAGTAGAAGCAAAGTGCATCGCGACTTGAGTTGGACGGACGGACGGACAGAGGCCAACTTCTCGAGGCGCGGCTGGCTGACGTAAGCCGCGTCCAAAATCTGGCCGCTATCCGCCCTCGACTCGACCCGACTCGAGATGCACTCTTTCGCTTCTCTCCACCTCGTCCTCGTCCAATGACTTCAATAGCTGACGAGGCGCCGAAGCCTATTGGCATTGAAAGTCACAGAGATGTGCGTACAAGGAAGAGCTTCCGCTGGACAAGCTGCAAGAGACTGATCTCGATCCACCGGCTCTCGCTTCGCAGTACACCCCTCTCGCCCCGCTCCTTTCGCGATATCCTCGTCAGGCCGGACCTCTGTTCCACGCCTATCATCACCTCGTCCACTCAGCAGCTTGGACCGATGTTGCGCCCGTAGATATCCGTGGTGATGACGAATCGGATCCAGCACCAGTGAATAGCGGCAGTGGGTGGGGAGCGCTAATAGGAATGCGGCCACAAGGGGTAAGTCGACGCCGATCTTTCTTCATGTCCTTTCTCCTCATCTCATACTGACATCGCTCTCCTGCAGACCCAACCCGAGCTCCTCCTTCCTTGCCACGTAACAGACAACCTCTCCGTCGCCTACTTCCAAGCCGTCTTCTCATCGCTCGAGACGCAGGCCAAATCCCGAGACGGTCTGCAAACAGGACATATCCTTCTCGCAATCCTGTCACCAGATTCTACGGTTGTGTACTACAAGCTGGCAAAGGGGCTGGTGAAGCCGGTCAATTGAGATAAGAGAGAAAGATCAGTAGGACGAAGCCAGGGAAAAGGGGAATCGAGGACGGACAATTGCTTCAGCTCGCCGCCAAGCAATGTATTTGTACGACACGCAATCATCAATGATGACATCACAAAGACACCAGGGAGCTCTATGATCTCGTAATTGTGCTACCAAGAACAAATTTCAAGCATGTATCGACTACTCAGCATCGCTTCGCCGTTTTGCGCCGCGCTTTGGCTAGAGGCCCGCCCATGATGATATTGCAGCTTTGTTCGCTCGGGTCAGTCTCAAGATTTGCTCTTGTATTCGAGTGGTCGTGGTGGGAGATCACGACAAAGGCGACAGGAGGGAGAGGAAAAAAGATGCGAGCTCAACTGGCGACATTCAGAAAATGGGTTCACGAGCATCACGACGCTGAATCCCTTCAGGCAGTCACTGCCTCAACGCAGCCACTCGGCCGGCCTCAGCACCTCCTCACGTCCAAAGCTTAGACGAGCGATCTTGAGGAAGAAGGTGCCAACCCACGGCTCCGCCCCTCCTCCCGTAGCCACATTCCAGAAGAGTTTCCACTCGTCATCCCGGATCGGCTCGAAACTGCCCCTCGACCTGAATGCGTGCTCCAGATACCCGTAATCGCCGTCAAGAGACCGTTTTACACGCAGAACGAGGTCCTGCGGCTGCCCTCCCGTTACCTCGATGCGCAAGTTGACCTCACGCTCCTTATGCCAGTCTCGCTCGGGAATATTAACGAATGTGCCCCACTTGGAGTGCAGGAAAGCCGTGCTCGGCATCTTGATGCGCTTGCGATCTTTGCCCTTGTTGATGATGGGGAATCGAGCCCCACCGTCTCGCAGGCGAACGCCGACGTCATGGCAGGCAGCAATGCTCGGGTGCGGCTCAGAGGCCACAGAGTAGAGAATCTTGCCTGGGCGCCCTTCTACTGAGGCAAACTCGCCTAAGATGCTGAGCAGGGTATCGAGCTCCATGTCCAGGTAGCTTGAGAGGGGCTCGCACACAGGGATCTGCTTGCCATTCTGCGCCAGGATGAGTTGGTAATGTTTAAGGAAGTAAGAGGCTTCTGCGCTTGCTGCGGAGGGTTGGCAGGCATATCGCGAGGCATCGACAGGAACCATCTTCAGGAGGGCACGACCCGGGGTACAGGCATGACCCGCAGGCAGCGCGATGCGATGCTCTTTGCTGATGGTGACTTCGAGCGTGCTGCCCTTGATCGTGCAAGGCAGTCCGGCGCCAGGCTCGGTCAAGGTTGTCCACAGCGGCTTGCGACGCGCTGCAGGCATCGAGGTGATGTAAGAGAGGGTGCCGTTCTCAACATCGGCCGACCAGTACGGCTTCTTGCGTACCAGACGTGGGTCTGCCCGCTCAGCCCGCAGTGGCACTCGGTCCCCCTTGGGCACCTTGTCGACGTACTTGACCCAATTGATACGATTATTGAAAGCGGAGTTGACGTTTAGTCCGGTCTCGAGGTGGTAAGTGCCCCGCATGAAAGTAGTCGCAATGGAGCCGTGGGGCAATTTGATCTCGAACAGTTGGGCTTCTGGGTCGCTGAGGATGGACTCGTACTGCTCGTCTGTAGGAGCCGGACCGATGCCTTTGCCGTAGGCAGCTTCGAAGGAAGAGTGGATTGAGTTGCTTTGGCTCCCAGACTGGCGCGTCGAGGAGGAAGAGGGTGCTGATACGGGACTTTGAGTGGGAAGATCGATGTATTCTGGGAGGCGAGGGGCGTCATTGCTCTCTTTATCGCCGTTGTCGCCCTTGTCAGAGATCGATACAGAGGAAAACGCAGATGCGAGACCGGAGGATGTCCGCCCGTTGTCGGTCACCACACTGCTTGAAACTGCGAAGAGTCGCGTACGAAACTGGCGCGGCTTGCTTCGGCCCCGCAATTGAGGCTCAAGAGCATCGACCCACTCCTCGGAGCTGATAGGTGCCTCCTTGTGAAACTTGCGTGCTGCGTTCACGTACTGTCGCTGAGCGCCCTTCCTCATAGCGTGAGCTGGCAGGGGCTGCCAGGCAGTCTCGGGTATGTTCGTGGCAAATGCCCACTTGTCGGTGGCGTAGTCGAGCGAGCGACTTGAAGTCATCTCTCTCAGCCGGATGAGCTCGAAGGATGATAGCCGTCGGTGCTCCATCAGAGAATGTCTCGTCTAGCCAAGAAGGATCGAAGCTGTCTCTCTCAATATCTTTCCACTCCCCTTCATCATCGAATTTCTTGCTCAGGTCCTCCGAATCGGACGAGTCTTCGTCACTGCCGTCTCTACGGACGTAGCGACGCATGACATCTGGCCTGTCGTCCTTCTTGAGGGAATCTTTGAGCACCTGTCCCATGAGCACCGAGGACTGAAAGTAGAAGTACGACCCTCCTGCCGTAGCTTGCGAAGCAGTGCCGCCCGCAGGCAGTCGCCTCACCCTCACGCGAAACGTCTCTGGCACGCTTGTCCCCTGCGGCTGCAATACGGGCAGATACCAGATCGCTTCAGCGTGGCAGACCTCGATGGTGTCGTATTCGCCAGAGGGGCATCGCAGTCGGGGCTCGCTACGCTGTGCGGAGTAAGTAGGTAGAGGCGTGAGGAGGTGAAAGTACTTGTCGGTGATGCTGACTTCGACCGTGGCATAGTCGCCTTCGGGGTCGGGGAAGCCTAAGGGTGGGAGGGTGAAGCGATATCCTTTGCCGTCTATGACTAGACGGCGGGTGAAGCCCAGACTAGTCATGGCGAGAGAGTGAGATTCGTAGAATGATAAGAAGGGAGAACAGAGGCAAAAAAGCTTGCGAGAGCTTGCAGCTTTGATCCCCGCTTCTGAGCCGAGCCGACGCGGCGGGCCAGCAAGGGGGAAGTTGGTCTGGGTCAGCTTCGCTCGTTCCGCCGCTGCGGTCCACAATCATCACGCTGACGAAGAAAGGAAGACTTCGTTGATTTTTCACGAATGGGAATATGAGAGAAGAGGATGACGCTAAAATACGAAAGAGCAAAAGACTGGCACGGGCGACGAAGGGGAGACCGTCTGAGCGAGCCAGAAAGCACGTCTTCACGCCTTGTCGTGCGTGATGAAGAGGTCTTCTTACCCAAAAGACAGTCTTCCAAGGGTAACGAAGAATACTGCCGCCCATTTCATCATGTTGAGCTTGCAAGAGAGGGTCCAGAATGTCTTCCATTCCTTCTCCGCAATAGGCTCCGTGCTCTCATGACGGCGAAAGATGTACTCTAGCGCATTGTATCTCCCCTCCATTTCGTCATGCTTCACAAAGGGATGGCTGAGTTGATTTCTTCGCTGCTTCACGCCAGAAAGACAAGAATTGCGAGGAGATGCGGACACCAGAGTTGCGCCCGTGACTGGCGACACATTTGCGCGACAAGAGACATTCAATCGGAGAGAGAAAGGAGAGAGAAGGAGCAGACAATGCGAGTCCCACTGTCCTACCCCTCGCCCGCTTCCAGTCAGAAGTCGGGCTTGAACAGCTTGTCAGTCCCGAACGAGAGCCTCGTAGCGTTGATGAGGAACATGGCCGCCCATTCCTCGATTGCTCTAGTGGCGAGCGGATCCCAGAAGAGGCGCCACCCGCTCTCATCTACTGGCTCAAAGCTGCCATGAGTCCTGAACGCGAGCTCGAGGCGCGTGAACTTGCCTCTCTGCCCCTCTTGTACCCTCAACAGCAAGTCTTGTCTCCCGTCAGGCACCTTGCAACGCAGATTCACCTCCCTTGGCTTGAACTGATCCCCTTCAACCTCTCCGCTGCTCAGTCCCCTTCCATCGTAGATTGAGTGATGAATCGCCAAGCCCGGCATCTTGATACGCTTACGATCCTTGCCCTTGGACAGAATCGGCAGGCGGGCTCCACCGTCACGCATACGTGTGCCAAAGTTGTACACGTCTTCAACCCCGGGCAGGGCCTCAGGTACCGCAGTGAAGAGCATCTTGCCCTGCGAGCCCTCTGCGGAGGCGAACTGCCCTAGAAGGCTGAGAATCGAGTCGGCATTGTAATGCACGTCTTGCGCCAGTGGCTCGTAAGCGCTGTACATGTTGTCGTTCTGTGTGATCCACAGCTTGAAGTGGTTCAGGAAGTAGGACGCCTCTGCTCCTGCGGAGGTCGGCTGGCAGGCGTAGCCAGCTGGGATGGGAGTGACTTTCAGGAGAGCTGGACCGTTGCTGAGCATGACCCCTGATGGGCAAGGCATACGGTGGTCGAGAGGAAGGCCAAAGTTGACCTTGATTTCCCCGTCCTCAACCTTGCAGGGGTGGCCGATTTCAGTCTTGGTTAAGGCCAGCCAGAACATCTGACGCAGCTGTGCTGGTATGCTCGTAGTGCGGTAAACCGTACGCTCCTTCAGGTTGACAGCCCACTCGGTTGGGCGTGCCAGACGGGGATCCTCTTCCTTTGCTCGAGCAGGCACGGGGTCACCTTTGGGAAGCACGTCTACGTAGCGGGCGTAAGAGAGACCATTCTTGAAGGCGATGTTGAGGTTCAGGTCGGGTTCGAGGTGATGCTGCCCCTTGGAGGCGGCAATAAGGTCGGCGCAGCACTCGCATACCGCGCCCACGCCGCCTCCAGGCATTGGGATGGGGCGATGATGAACTGGACGACTAGGTGCGGAAGCCGTGACATTCCTGCTGCTGGACGACGAAGACGCGCCCAAGACGAACGGCTCTCGCTGAGCTGAGTAAGCCGTCGAGTGGGTCTGCTTGGACGAAGAGCTCGGCGTGGAAGAAGAAGCCTTCTTGCGGTGAGCAGGCACATTGGCGGTGGAGCTGAACCCCTCCCACTCCTCGCGTGAGATAGGTGCCTTGCCAGACCCTTCTCTGACCATGTTGACCATGTAGCGCTGAACGCCAGGCTTGGTGGCATAGGCAGGCAGCTGTAGCCAGGTCTTCTCGTCTGGAGCCTCCTCCTTTGAATTCCAGCTGACGGCATAATCCATGGATCTGAAGTCTTCGTTCTCAGCCGGATGAATTCGTAGTGTGATGCAGGGACCGTCTTTGGGTGGGGTGGCCAGAAGGTAGGCTTGACGAGACACGGTGGCCATGAATTCGGACGTGAAGATGTCACCCTTCATGATGTCCAACTCGCGAGTGCCCTCTTCGACTTTTGTGAACAGTTCGGGGTGATCCTCTGTCAGGAAATCCTCCATTGCATCGAGATCGTCCAAACCAAAGCTGTCGTCCGAGTGATCCGAGTCGTCTGAAGCAGATACGGATTCGCTGTTAGACCTGGCGGGTTTGGAAGACTCGGGTAGCACTGGCTCCTTCTTGACCTCGTCGGGTGCGATACGATTCCACTCCTGCTCAGAGAAAGGCTCCTTTCCAAAATGCTTTCTGCCAGCATTCACATACTGCAGTTGCACCCCAGGCTTTGTAGCGTCGAGCGGTAACGACTTCCACACGTCGCCTTCTTGCGGATCGAGGCCCTTCTGGTCGATTGGGCGCAGCGTGTACATGAGGCCTCGAACATCCCCATCTCTGATGGGTTTGTAGGCAATGATGATGTCGACTGGTCCGGAAAAAGGCGCATTCTGCGTAGTGGACTCCCAGAAAGACCTGGTAAAGATGCCTTTAGGGTTCTCCCCTAGATCAAGAATGTCCTTGTTCACGTCTACGCAGCGGCCCCAGTGTCCTTCCGGGGCTGAACTTTCCGCTGAGCCCGACTGGGGCGAGACGAATGAGGCGGCAGCATCAGTGAGAGATGCGCTGGTGTAGGAGTACGAGGACTTGGCGAGAGAGTGAGCAGCTTGAGGCTCCGTAGGTACGCGACGGACCTTGACGCGAAATATGTCCGGGTCACTGTTCCCTCGAGGCTGCAGGATAGGGACGCACCAGGTAGCGCCCTCGTGCTTGACTTCAATGATGTCGTACTCTCCTACTGGGTAGCGGAGTCGAGGCTTAGGGTCGGCGCAGCTATGAGCCTGATCAAGGAGAGCATGATCTTGCGTGAAAATAGCGACCTCGACTGTGGCGTAGTCGCCCTCGGGATCGGGGAAGCCCAGGCGTGGCAGCGTAAATCGATAGCCCCTGTTGTCAATTACGACTCGATGCGTGTGCGACATCGTGTCGGAGGACGTGGAGGAGGACAAGAGAGAGTCGTGCCGGCGATGAGACAATGGGGAACGAATGGGGCGAGGAGAAGTTGCAGTGGTTGGTGATGAGGGAAGGATGAGTTGATGAGCGGTAGACCTTGCGATCCTCCGCTGCCGCACCCGCTGCCAATCTCCGGCCGACGCGTTCCTCGTCGACTTCGATGAGCGGAAGCGCGCGAGTGAGTGAATGAGTGAGTGAGCAAGACTCGAGAGACTGGCTCGGCAACGAGGTGCGACCTTGCCTCCGCACTTCGCCATCATCTCCGCGGCGTCTAGACTACAAGCCACCATCGAGACCGCCTCCACTGCCATCGCTGCCGACTCTGCAAGCACTGACCGCCTACATCGACAGCCCCTCTCACCTGCAAGATCCCACCTGCAGGACGCATTGGGTGAGCTAGACCGGCTCACGTAGCGCAGCCCATAGGGGCGTGTTGGCGGCGGCGAGCGGTTACGTTGAGACAAGTGAGCTGAGAGAACAGATCAGTGATACCTGCACACGCACAGCTACTGTTCTTGTCGCTGATGCCAGCTTGGCCCATCGTCACCGCAGCACCTCCCAATCAGTGCGATGAATGGGCCTCCGACCCCGCTACCGCCAGGAGCTGCAAACGGCGAGCAGCCCATCCTTGCTTCAACGCCCTTTGCCTCACCCCCACCTGGGCCCACCACCGCCAGTCAGGCTGCTTCTTCCTCCCTGTTTCTTGGGCAGCACCAGCGCAACATCATCGATCACCAACTGTCGGTACAGCACAAACGCATCCTTGAGCTGGAGCGTCACAATGCCAGCCTCCAAACAGCCCTCAACTGGCACTCGACCAATGCATACAACTTGGCACCGCCTGGATGCAGAGCCGTTCCCATCTCACTGAGGCCGATCGTCGAACCCTTTCCCTGGCCGGTGAGATCGCATCAGGCTACGATGGAGGATGTAGAGTATTGCAGGAGGCTGAGAGGGTGGGTCGAGAGACTTGAAGGTCATTTGAGGCTGGAGGAGGGGGCGATGCTGGAGCAGATCAAGGAGGCTGCCAGACCAGCAGAGGGTGAAACGTCGCAGAGGCCAGTCACTGCAGCACCGACTGGAGCTGGAGGTGAGCAGGCTGGCAAGCACGATCGTCAGGACGAAAGAGCTGCCACCACCCCTGTTAGGAACAAACGACCCAAAACGACAGAAAAGGCTAGGAAGTCGGCCTAGCAGAGCGAGGAGCAGAAATGGAGAGCTGTCATGTAGCCTCCACGGTCAGCCAGGACCAAGCCTTTCAACTTCTGAAACATCCGGTTCCGATACTCCCCGCTATCACCTCGCCTCGACAGCGGATGACTTTTGCGCTCCTCGAGCCTGCCGCAGCCAATGTCGCTCCTTGTATAGCCTTTTCTCCTCTCTCAGCTCAAATCGAAGCAAGTGGTCTCCTCCTCTTTCAGACACTCTAAGAGTTCCGCTGACGGGAAGGGAGCTGTCGGGCCTCATCCTCATGTTACGTTCCATTTCGATCCAGTCAAGCCAAAGAGTCGAAGTCGTGCGCTGTGCAAAGCGACCGTTCTGGAGGAGCATTGAGCAGGTACGCTCGTGACAATCGTCACGTTGCATGATCGACGGCTTTCCATGGGCCAGATGAGGCCCGGGAAACGGCGATGGTCGCTGCCGTCGAGCTGGTCGCTGCAATGTTCAGCGACAGCGGTCCACCGATCCTCAAGGACATCTTCATTGCGCCACGCTCCAGTGAGCTCGATCAGCTCGATCAGCTCGATCGGCGGCTTGTCCGTGGCGATGATCAGGAGAAGGAGCAAGAGCAGAACAGCGCGAAGCTCGGCCGTCTCTCTTGCGCGTCCGTGCACGCGGACCGAGCTCAAAAAAGCAGCCCGCCTCTCCAGCCACCCCTGGCTCGTTGCGCCACTCCTTTCAATCGAGACTCCCGCTCTCAACCTCACTGGATACAGTGAATCGCGGAAAGCTTGCGTCGTGCGGAAGACCCGCTCAACGCCATGACCTCTTTGACTGGTGTCAAGCCGCTCTCCTTTCGTGGGTGAGCGGGGGTCGTTCAACTCGGCGGCGGCGTTGAAGCAGCTGCTAGTCCAAAATGGGGTCGGGGTGCAAAACCACGTGGAGAAAGTGGCAATTGTGGCTTGGTCTGACCCGCTCTTCCCTGCCGGCAGCGGCCGGTTGTTCTTTGTCTGTCGACCCAGCAGGCGCCTGCAGCACGAGACGGGAAAACGATGTCGACCTCGGGCAGGCCCAGACTCACACAACGGGGCATCGCGCCGTCGAAGGGAGAGAGTGCTGAGATTGAGGCGCTCCCCTCGTTCGTTCTCATGAGGAGCTGCTAATCCAGGTGGTGACGATCAGGGCGCGACAGCGTGTCCATTTCTCCTCATCATGTCGTCGTGAGCGAGTACGACAACCTCCCCCCTCTCTCTCTCTTCTTCAACAACCTCACCATCTTTTGCCCTGCCTGATCGCGCACCCATCGCGCAACCACTCCTTGCTCCTTTGCCAACCTCGGCTCGCCTGCCGACGCTCCAGCTCGCAGCTCGCCCCTTCCCACCCCTCGCATCTCAAGGTTACGGATCAGGGAGATCCCTGCAGCTAACGAAGGACCCGGATTACACCCTTGGCTTTCTCCCGTTCTTCCTATCCACCGAGCTCATCACCATCTGCTTGTGAGCATCCGCCGCACAAAGTTGTGCCAAACGAGGCAAGGAGCTTGATTGCCAACGTCGTCGCCAAGCGTAGCGACCTCCCCGCTGCCCTGGTGGAAATCCTCCTACGTCCGGGCCCCACTCGCCAGTCCACGCAGACGCAGGACCCTAGAACCTGACACGCCGCTACCGCCGACAACGACAACGACGATGAGAGCTTGAGCTTCTCAAAAGCAAGAGAGCCTTTTTCGACTGCACCACCATCTGCATCGCGCCAACGTACCACTCGATCGATCAATCCTAATCCTACACTCCCAGCATCGAGCCAACCTACCATGGCTTCGGGGCAACATCGCCACGATGAGCTCTTTCCCTGCTCGCGCGAGGGCGACTGCACGGGTTGCACCTTCGGTCCTGATGGACGGCTCCTCATCGGGGGCCTGTCCATCGATGGATCCGCGGCAGGAGAAGCAGGATGGGCTTCCATCGACGTCAAGCCTAGCAGCCACGCCTTTCAACCTTGCCTGCCGCGAGATGGTCCATCTACCTTTGGAAAGGACGTGGCGAGGGACTCTTCTCTGACCACCACTACCACCGCCAACGATGAGAAGGACAGCAGCATTGCTCGGGTGGCATCGCGCTGGACCTCTCGTCTCTCGCCACGCAAGCGCGACAAGATGTCAGAGAAGGCGGCTCCCCTCCCGCAGCTCACCCTCGCGGACATCGTCGAGGGCAGAACATGTCGTCCTATCGCCCTTGTTGACCTGCGATCGTACCTCGCCAACCGCAGGGAGCAGGAGCGTGGACAGAGTAGTGGGCTTGACGACTTCTTCGCGGGTATCGTAGCCTCACAGTCAGCACGCGACCTCGATGCTGTCAACTTTGTCGTCAGCTATGATCGTTGCGTACGGGCTTATCGCTCGGGAGAGGGAAGCATCGAGACACTGCGACGAATCCTCGTTACGTACGTAGGCGGTAGCAGTGATGAGAAGGTCGCCACCTCGCGCGCATCTTCACGGTCCCGCCGACTCGACTGGATGGTCGACTTGGGGCTTCTCAGCGAGGATGCTGTTCGTCATTCCCTCAACGAGGCAGAACGCAGCTCCCACCCTTCTGCCCTCCTTCCACTAGTCAACGCCGTCTCATCCTACATCGATTCGCACGTCATGCCCGACTTTATGGAGGCGGCCTCGCAAAACCTCTCGAAGCGCACATCACGCGGTCGACTCGCAGTAGGAATTGTAGCCACGGCCCTCGCCATCCTCTTCAGCGTGCTCCTCGCCGTCGAGCCTAGCCCACTAGCAGGAGGGAAGCAGCACATCTCAAGATGGTGGCGCGTCCTTACTTTCCCGCTATGGGCGATGGGCTTCGGCTACATGCTTGCGGCGTGGACGGGCGTCTGCGTGTGGCTGAGCTTGAGGGGTAATCGCGAGCGCAGGGAGGAGGAGTGGGCTACGCCTAGGCCAAGCATGGAGGCGTCGGCGGATGAGGGGAACCTGGCGGAGGTGGACCGATCTGCTTGGTTCGTCGCGCCAGAGGTGCGCCGCATTCTTCCTTTCCTACCCAAGACGCTCGGCCGTACGAACAAAGACGAAGACGCGACTAGTGCTCCGCCACCAGCGCCACCAGCACCAGCACCAGTATCAGCGTCAGCAGCACCGGCACTCGCAGCGGGGCCGGCTCCGCCTCTCTTACGCCCTTCTACCTCTCGTCCCCTCGCCGAGCCTCGCACAAGCAACGCCGCAGCAGCAGCAATGGACGGCGGGGCCGGCAGCTGGACACCCCCCAGCACGGCCCCTGTCCTAGTCAGCAAGAAGGTCTCAGTCCTCCCCGGCGTCCAAGTGGGGATGCGTACCGTCCAACCTCCCGTAGCGATGAGCAGCATGTCCACCTCCACCTCACTCCCGCGCCTCTCCACTGTCACGGGACCCTCGCCCTCTCACATCGAGAAGGGTCGTACTGGTCGCCGTCACGAGCGCATCTGGCATACGGTACAGCGTTGGACTGGCTTTGCAGTTGGTACGGAGAGAGTGAGGGACAAGAAGGTCAGGCAGATTCATCAGTGGAGGGCTTTCAAGGCTGTTGCGCTCGACGGAGCGCTGGCCCTCATAGCGACCATTGTTGTCGTGGCCGTGCCGTAGGTGAGAGTGACACGGCCGTATGTACTTGTATTGTAAACGTAGGGGTGTCAGTGCGTCTCGTTACGGTCTCAATGATATCCGGTCCAGTGGTGCGGTCGAAGCGGGCACGCGAATGACACAGATGACTGATCTTTGATTTCAACCTGAGCAAGTAACAAGTGGCATCCCCTTCCCCTTCTCAACCTTGATAAAGCTTAGCTACGATAAAGCTTAGCTACGAGACATAGACGATTTCATTTTGACTTTTCGGTAGCGAGCAACACTTAGTAGTCGTTGCCCGAGCTACGCTCGTTGTCGCCGAACTGGCCGCCACCAGAGCCACCGTAGCCGCCACCCTGCTGGTTGCCGCTAGAGTAGGAGTCGCCCTGGTCATTTCGGCCGTATCCGCCCTGGTCGGACGAGTCGCCGAAGCTACCACCTCCACCGCTGCGGCCACCCCCGCTGGAGTAGTCGTTGTCGCCTCCACGGCCACCTCCGTACGAGGACGAGTCGTTGTCTCCGCCACGGCCGCCACCGTACGAGGACGAGTCGTTGTCTCCGCCACGGCCACCTCCGTACGAGGACGAGTCGTTGTCTCCACGACCACCGCTGCCTCCGAACGAGGAGCTGTCGTTGCCTCCGCCGTAGCTCGACTGCTGGCGGTCGCTGTCACCACCGTATCCTCCGCCACTGCTGCGGTCAGAGTCGCGTCCACCGCCAGACCCAAAGTTGTCCGACTGGTCACGGCCAGAGGATCCGTACGAGTCAGACTGGTCGCGGCCAGAAGAGCCGTAGCTGTCGGACTGGTCACGGCCAGAGGATCCGTAGCTGTCAGATTGGTCACGGCCACTGGATCCGTATCCCGAGGAAGAGTTGTCATTTCCTCCGTAGCCAGAAGACGAGTTATCGTTGCCTGACCCGTACGAGTCATTGTTGTTGTTGTTCGAGTTGCCGCCGCCGATGCCGGCCTTCTGCATCATCTCGCGACCCTGCTCAGAGCCGGCGAACTCCTTGGCCCTGTGTGAGTGAGAGAGTTGGTGGTAATGGCGAAGAGGGCGCGCAAGAAGGTAAGAGGTGAGGGAAGTGGGCGATGACGTGATGACGCGATGATAGGGGAGAAGGGAGCGAGCAAGCGAGAGAGACGGTGAGCAGGGGCGTCGAATGCTGCGTACAGCTGCGCGCAGGCTGCGCTGCGCTACGAGCTACTCACTTGTTGATGAAGTTGTCCATGTTTGGTATTGGTGGTGTGGTGTGTGTGTGTGTGATCAAGTGGATCGAGTTGGTTGTGATGGAGAGGAGGTTGAGAAGACCCGACGTTGCCTAGGCTCTCTATATAGTCTCACATTGCTTGCCAGCAAGAGTGGACGACGAGCGAGCGAGCGAGCGAGATGTGTCGGCGGCGGCGAGGGCGGCGGCTGCTTCTTGTGGAGATGCTCACTCTTCGACTGGCCCGTGCATAGCTCGGTCCAGGCACTAGGCCAGTCTCGCGCCGGGCTATGTGTCACGTTGCTGTTGGTTTGCTCTCGCTCGCGGCCGCGATTGACTCCTTCCCAACACAGCGCACCGCACACCGCGAAGCAGCGCGCTGTGCAGCATAGAAAGGCAGCACAGCCATCGGCCAGTCGGTGAAGCCAGCAAGTGGGACGCGAGGTGATGGGTCGCATTGGCCCCCCCCTTCTTCACGGCGCGAGGCCGGCCCACCAAATTGTTCACCTCAACTCTCTCCGAGCGACCGGTGCAGTCAGCAAGCGAGCGAGGAAGAGATGACGGGCACGAAGGGGTCGGGGGGAGGGGCCAAGGACGAGATCAACGAGGGGCCGAAGGGGGCTGTGAGAAACGGGAAGTGGGCCCACCGCCTTCAGCCCCGCCGGTCCAGGCCTTAGTCTCTCTTTGACCGAGGCGATTAAAGCTCGCCCTCGCCTCTCGCAGGTGCAGGCCGACAGGCACGCAAGCAACACGGGGCAGGGCAGGGCGGGGCAGGGCGACGTGGAGGCTACAACGGCGCTACAATACAATGGCTCGCTCACCCTTGCCTATTCCTGAACAACACTGCATGTGCGCTGCGAAGGAACGCGAAGAAGCTCGGGTTCAGAGAAGTAGTGACGCAATCGCCGTCGAAGGCCGTATCGTAAGCGTCACCATTACGACCTCATCAGGCTCGGAGCTCATTGGTCGGACCTTCCTCGATTCTGGAAGGAGCGATGAGCCGCGACGATCCTCAGGGCCGGGGACAGCGCGGGGGGAAGGGCTCGTGCACAAAGTGATCGTGTTCGATCGAGTCCTCTTCGCGAGGATCGAGGGGTACAGCTCGCTCTTGGAACTCATGCTGTTGTCGAGTCGAGCTTTCACACGCTATGTCATGACCGAGAGCGAAAGGTGTTGATCTCGGACTGGCTCGGAGCCTTTCCTGACATTCCAAGTGACGACAGCAGCGACGATCAGTGCGTTGCGCCCCACTTACCTCTTTGCCCTCCCACCATGAGCCCGCCTCACGCAATGAACTTCGTATGACTCCCCTCCACACACAGCCTCTCTCCACCTTCTCCGCCCTCAGGTCCCCCCTCCTTCCCGCCAGCCCAGATCTCCACCCCAACCCACGCAAGCCTCTTGCCCACCTTCTTTGCCCTCCCCACGATCCTGACCCTCTCTCCCTCCTTTGCTTCCCTCAAGTACTGCGCACTGATATCTGTAGATACGCCGCGCTTCGCCTCGAGCGGATTGGACGAGGTAGAAGCGATGACGGGCCCGCCGAGGAAGTCGATGAGGGTCGCAGAGACTGCTCCGTGTAGAGTGTGGTGAGAGTTAAGGCAGTGTGCCGGGAGTTGAGGCCAGATGTAAGTCACTTGGCCCGGTGAGGCGGATTGGAGTGAGAGGGAAGAAAGGAGATGCGAATAGACGGGCGAAGCGGACAGTATCTTCGTCGTCAGGGACTCGATGGCAGAGAAGAGCTCGGCGCCCTGCAAAGGCTGCGGGCGAGAAGAGGGCGCAACTGCTTTGCTGCTTGTAGCTGTAGCGGCGCTGGTAGCGTTGTCGCTTGCTGCTGCTGGTGCAGCACTGTCAGTGTCCTGCGTGGGCTGTGATGTGGACATGCTGATGGGGATTTCGCTGTGAGCTGTTGTCAATGAGACGAGATGAGAGGGTGGGAGAGCAACACGAAGAAGTGGGAGGTCGCGAGTCCGCCGACGCCACGCCGAAGCCGCGGCTCACGGCAACCACCATGTGTGGGGCGATGAGATCGACACTTTTGCTCACAAGTCAGAGCAGAGAAAAATCGGAGCGAGCTCTGCTACGATGCGACAGCTGTTTCGCATTGCATCCAGAAATACAAGTGTCTATCGAATCCAGCAAGCCATCCACCGTCTCTCCCTCTGTCCCATCATCACCGCTAGTCGTCATCCCAGTTCGGGTTCTGCTTGGGCACCTTGATCCCGGCCGGCTTGGACATGATGATCCTGTGCAGCGATGCGAAGAAGAGCGGTCAGCATCATCACTTCTCTGTCTCGTCGTCGTCGTCGCCGCCGCCGCTCGCTACTCACGAATCCACATTCAACACCGTGATCGCAGCCCCTACCGCGTACTTGATAGCCCAATGCTTTGCCGCCAGCACGTCGAAGATCTGCGACTCCTTCGTAGAGACGATGCCCTCCTCACCTTCGCCCTCGATGTCCACACCGGCATCCTCTCCTGAGGGGCCAGAGGCATGGCGCGCTGTCAGAGAGGAGACAACCTGAGTAGCATCGAGGCCAGCGTTCTCAGCGAGGGTGCGGGGTACCACCTCCAAAGCTTCCGCAAATTTGCCTGTGAGAGTAGAGAGGATGATGAGTGTGAGCGATGCGAACGCTGTCCCGCAGCGTGATCGACGCTACTTACGGATCGAATGCTGGTTCAGTCCCGCCGTCTTCTCTCCATACTCGCCCACACGTCTCGCCAACTCAACCTCTGTCGCTCCCGCACCAGGCACCAGTCTCGGGTCACGGGTCAAGGACTTGATGACGTTGACACCATCATCGATCGCCCTCTCCACATCGTCCAAGTGGTTCGCTGTAGCCCCACGCAATACCACAGTCGCCATACGAGGCTTAGCCTTCCCGCCCGGCTTGCCCTCCTCTTGCCTGAATACCGTCACGCGATCTCCTCCGATCTCCGTCGTCTCAACCACGTCCACCCAACCTGCCTCCTCAGGGGTGGGCGCACCGACTCGTGCCAAGGGCGTAGCGCCGATGAGCCTGCAGAGACGCCTGAGCTCGAACTTGGAGAGGATCTTGATGCAGAGAATGTCGAAGCGGTTGAGGTAGTGAAGTGCAAGCTCGCCCACGCTCGATTGTGAGACGACTACCTTGACCCCCGAATCCGCAATCTCCTTGATGATCTTCTCCAACTGCTTTTCCTCCCCGTGGCTAAACGTGGAGAGCTCTTTGGCATTGTGCAGCAATACGGTTCCCTTGGTCTCGGTCTGGCTGATATCGAGACCGCAGCTGAACACAGCAACCTTTGCTCCATCGTTGATGCGCTTTACTACGCCTTCGGGCTCACGACCGAAGACCATTCCTCGTACGACTCGCGAGTCGGGGAGAGAGCCGCCCATGATCTTGACTACGCGGACGTTGTCCACATTGAAGTCTTTGAGACCCAAAGTCTTGCCTGAGGTGGAAGAGGTCGGGGGCAGGACGAGGGAGACGGCTTGAGCTACAAGGGGGGCGAGGACGTCTTCTTGGCCGTATTGCTTGGAGGCGATGCAGGGGCGAAGGGCGAGGGCGAGGGAGTCGACCGTGGGTGGGGTGGTGAGCTCTGCAACGGCCAAGTCTGCGAGAAGGAGTGTGGAGGGACGAAAGGTCAGCATGACGATCCGAGCTAGGGCATTGCCCTCATCGGCGCCACTCACTCTCCAACTCAGCCAGCGCCTTCTCTCTAGCCAACTCGTACCCCTGCAAGATTTCCGAAGGGTGCAATCCCAGATTGATGAGCTGCTCTGCCTTTTTGAGCAGCTCACCGGCAAGAGTGATGACGAGAGCGGTAGCGTCACCCATCTCTGCCTCCTGCTGCTGTGATGCGAGGACAACGAGGCGACCAGCCGGGTGGACCACTTCTAGTTCGCGCAGAATAGTAGCCGCGTCCGATGTGATAAAGGAGCGAGACAAGTGATTGATGAGCTGTCGAAGTGAATGAGAGAAATAGGTCAACGCTAATGTCCAGTAGCCTGGTTGTATGCACCATCACTTGTTCCCCTCGTCGATGCTCACCAACTTATTCCTGCCATTGGGGCCAAAGCTCGTCCTGAGCATATCACTGAGCTCGCAGACGGCCTGGATGTTACGCAGTACTGCCTCCTCCGTTCCTTGGAGCAGCTTGTAGCCGTCCTTGAAGAGGTTCATGCCCGCCTTGGGCACTTTGAGGGACATGATGGGCCTGCGTGGTGTGATCGACGGTGGTGATGAGAGGACGTCAAGGAAGCGGCGGGCGGCCACTTTGGTGTGCTTCTTCGTCCGTCGTCCGTCGTCCGTCTCTGGCGCCCTCGCGTGGCTGCGCGCTCAGCTCGACTCAAGCCACTTCCACTCCCGCCCGTCGATCCATCCATCCGCCTCTGCACCTACGTCTCCACTCCACCTCGTTCTGTCTATTGTTGCTCGCTCTGAAATGCCCCCGGATCCTAAGCTACAAGCCTATTTGGCGCAACACTACCTCTCCGGAGCAAAAGCAGAAGCCATTCTAGCCAGGTCAGGGGGCGCAGAGGGGGAGCGCAAGAAGAAGAAGAAGCGAAAGAAAGTTGAGACGACCGACGATGGGCTGCGAATGCGGGACGAGGAGGATGAGTGGAAGCGCAGAAGCGATGATGACGAGGATCGCAGTGATGCTCAAGTAGTCAAGGATACTGGAGCTGGCAAGTTCAAGAAGGCAGCGTGGAGCAGTCTTGGCCCTGACGGCCAGCCCGTAGCTGAGCCAGAGCCTGCCGCTGAGGAGCAAGACGAGCAGCCGCAGATGGTCGATGCAAAGGGTAACCAAGTCTCAGCCGAAGCGCTGCACAAAAGTGAAGCAGCTCAGGCAAGCTCGCAAGCTGGCCCGTCAAAGCCTCGAGCCGGTCTGCGTACCAAGGAGGAGGTGAGGGCAGAACGGGTGGCAAGAGAGAAGGCAGAGAAAGCGGCAGAGGCAGAGGCAGCATCGAGAGGCGTCGAGGATCCAGACGACGAGGAAGCTCGCGCAGCACGACTGGCTCAAACCACAGTCTACCGTGATGCCACTGGTCGTCGCATCGATGTCGAAGCCGAAGACAAAGCCCTCCGTCTCGAGGAGCAACGACAACGTCGCAAGGAACGCGAACGCAAAGACTGGAATCGCGGCCAGCGTCAGCAAGCCGAAGAGGCTGCCGCTCGTGCTGAGCTCGCCTTGGTAGAGAAGGAAGGCGTGGCACGCTACAAGACGGACGAACGTATGAATGCCCAACTGCGAGAGGTGGAACGAGCCGACGATCCTGCTTTGGCTTTTCTGACCAAGAAGCGGACTAAGGGACCCCAGCTACCCAAATACAAGGGGCCTCCTCCCCCGCCCAATCGTTTCGGTATACCCCCGGGATATCGGTGGGATGGAGTGGATAGAAGCAATGGATTCGAGAAGAGGCGATTTGAAGCGCTGGGATCGTTCAAGAGACGACAGCAGGATGAGAGGGCATTTGGGACCGAGGACAGTGAGTAGCGCGAGTGAGACACAGGCATGGCAGGCGCGTGCTGACATACCCTCCTCCCTCTTCCGCCCATTACAGTGTAATTGATCGAGCTTCACCATGTATATTACCATTCAATCATATCACCACATCATCATCTTTTGTTCTCGACGTGCCTCTCTCTCCTCGCTACTGTGCCATCGCTCGTGTTGGTCTCCCCCCCCTCGTCCGCCGCCATGTTGCCGAGCCGGCTCTTCTCGTCGATTTTGCCCTGCACACCGCGCGCGCGGGCGAAAAGTTGAGGTGAACTGGAGGCCGAAGGGACGGACGAGACGAGGGGCGTCGACTTCAAACGTGAGGGCAAAATCGCAGCGAAATCTTCCTTTCCTTCTCCTCTGCATCTCTAACATCGTTGCCCATCATATCCCTCCTTGATCCTTGGTAGCAACGATGGATCCCACCTTTGTGCAAAATCTGCACAACCTCCTCGCGCAGACGAGCGTGCCGGACACAAACGTCGTCAAGAACGCGACGGAGACGCTGCAGAAGCAGTACTTCCCCAACAGCAATTCGTTGCCCGCCCTCTTCGAGATTGTGTCGTCAAGTCAGGACCTCAATGTCAGGCAGTTGGCGGCCGTCGAGCTGAGGAAGCAGGTCAAGAAGAAAGATGGGGCAAATTGGAAGAAGCAGCAGCAAGCGACGAGGGAGCATATCAAGGCGCAGATCTTGGATGGCATACTCAAAGAGACCAGGTGAGTTTGCCGCACACGACACGACCTAGACGGCCACTGCTTGAGCAGCTTGTATGCTGACCTACTTCTCCTCTCCTCGCTACCTCGCAGCGTCCTCGTACGCAACTCCGTCTCCCGCGTCATCTCGGAAATCGCAGAGATTGAGCTTCCCCACAACACCTGGCCGGCTCTCCTTCCCTTCCTATTCAATGCGGTCTCATCATCAAATTCAGTCCACCGCCACATTGCCATTTTCATCTTCTACACCATCCTCGATACCCTCGCCGACGAATCGCAGTCGAGCAACACTTTTGACCCTTACCTGCCGCAAATTATGGCCGTTTTCGAGAAGACACTCCAGGACCCGGAATCCCTCGAAGTCCGCATCACTACCGTCCGAGCTTTGGGCCGTGTAGCCAACAACCTCGAGACGGACGCAGTTGGTGACCTCTCAGCAATGCAGTCGGCCATCCCCAAAATGATCGAGATCCTCCATCAGTGTCTGCAGGAGACGCACACCGATGGTGTCCGCCACATCTGCGAGGTCGTCGAGGAGATGTGCCTCCTCGAGACGCCCGTTTTCGGCAACCATCTGCCCAACGTCATCGACTTCCTCCTCGTCAGTGCAGCGAACGCAGACTACGAGGAGGACATGCGCCTCGCCTGCCTCAACGCCATCGTCTGGATGTGCAGCCACAAGCGATCAAAGATCCAAACGCTCAACCTCGCACGACCTATGATCGTCCGCCTCATTAGCATCGCGACTGAGGAAGAGCCAGAAGACACCGACGAGGACTCACCTGCTCGCCTTGCACTGCGCGTCATTGATGAGCTGGCGACCGAGCTTCCTCCTAGCCACGTCTTCCCTCCCGTCTACGAGGAGATGCAAAAGTACATGTCAAATGGCGATGCCGGTCACCGCAAGGCCGCCCTTATGGCACTCGGCGTCTCAGCAGAGGGATGCACCGAGTTCATTCGCCCCCACATGAACGAGATCTGGCCCTTCATCGAGGCAGGTATGCGCGACAGCGACGTACGAGTCCGCAAGGCTGCCTGCATCTCCCTTGGATGCCTCTGCGACGTGCTGGACGAGGAGTGTGCAGCAAGGCACGCTGTGCTACTTCCCATGATCATGGACCTGGTTGCCGACCCTGCCACTCAGCGAGCTGCATGCACGGCCTTGGACGGCATCCTTGAGGTGATGGGCGACGACATCGGCCAATACCTCCCCGCCATCATGGAGCGCATGGCCGCCCTCCTCGAGTCCGCGCCCGTGATGGTCAAGAGCACAATTGTCGGCGCCATCGGCTCGGCAGCTCACGCATCAAAGCAGGGCTTCCTCCCTTACTTCCAGCAGACGATCCAGCGATTCCAGCCTTTCCTCCTCCTCACCGAAGATGGCGAGGAGCAAGACCTCCGTGGCACTACCACCGACACCATCGGCACCATCGCCGAAGCGGTAGGCAAGGACCACTTCCGTCCCTACCTTGCCGATGCGATGAAGATCACCATCGATGCGCTCAGCATCGAATCTCCTCGCCTCAGGGAGTGCAGCTTCATCTTCTTTGCCGTCATGGCCCGTACGTTCGGCGAGGAATATGCCCCTTACCTCCCCGCCACCGTCCCGGCCTTGATTGCCTCTTTCAAGCAGGCGGAGCACGACCCCGTTCCTGGCGCCTCGGGCAATGGTGTCGTCGACGGCGTTAGCGTAGACGATGGCGACGACGGCTTCGTCGACATTGATGCGGTCAATGACGCCTTCATGAACGTGAACAGCGCCATTGCCGTGGAGAAGGAGGTGGCCGCAGACTCCCTCGGCGTGGTCTTTGAGTACACGCGCCAACACTTCATTCCTTACATGGAGGAGGCGGTCAACGAGCTTTGTGAGATGCTGCAGCACTTCTATCAGGGGATCCGCAAGTCTGCCGTCGCAACGCTGTTCACTTTCATCAACACATTCCAAGACTTGAACAACCCGCAAGAGTGGAAGGCAGGTGCTCAGCCGCCGGTCCCCCTCAGCGCTCCTGTGCAAGCGCTGGTCGACAAGGTGGTGCCCGGTGCGCTGGAGGTGTGGGAGGACGAGTACGAGCGGTGAGTACAACGATTTGCGATGATGATCTGCCAGACCCTCCTTTGCCGCCACGTCGCACGCACACGGTGATGATCCTTTACAGTATCTCAGCTCACAATGACCAGTTCCGGCCCACGAGGCTGTAGAGCTGAGCATGACAACACACTGTTCCCTATTATCTGAGAGCGAGCGCGACATTAGCGAGGGCGAGGGAGGCGGGACTTTCTCCACGATGCTGGAGTCACAGAGGTACTGACAAGTCCTGGCGTTTCCCCCTCTCGTTCGCAGCGTCGTCTCCATCGAGATCTGCCGCGGTCTCGCAGAATGCTTGAACAAGAACGGCCCGGCTATCATCGCGCCGCAATACCTCGAGGCTGTCTGCACGCAAACCATGCTCACTCTCGAGGGCAAGACGGCCGCGCAAGTAGACGCAGACGGCGAGGACGACGACTTGGCAGAGGAAGCCTCAGAGTACGGTTCCCTCCTCATCTCGGCCGCTTCCGACCTTGTGGGCGCGATGGCCACCGTCCTTCAAGCCGACTTCACCGACCCGCTCCGTCAATTCCTGCCGGCGCTCATCAAGTACTATACCCCTGCCCGCTCTTCTGCTGACAGGGCAACAGTCGTGGGCACCTTTGGCGAGGTCATTACGGGCATGAAGGAGCACATCACTCCCTTCACCAATGAGCTCCTCAGCGTCATCTCTCGCGCCGTAGCCGACGAAGACCCGTCGGTACGCTCCAACGGATGCTTCGCTGCTGGTGTGCTGGTGCAGAATAGCAAGCAGGACCTCTCACCTCACTTCCCTGCTCTCCTCAATGCCCTCCGTCCCATGTTCGACAAGCGCCAGAGCGAGAGCAATGACGAGCAAATCGCGACGGATAATGCAGTCGGATGCGCTTGCCGTATCATCACATCGAAGCCCGACGGCTTGCCTCTTGACCAGCTCTTGCCCGTCATCTTTGGCTGCTTGCCACTGAGGAAGGACATGGCCGAATGGGCTCCCGTACTGCAATCGCTCATGAGCCTGGTGCAGAGCAACAACGCCGTGGCGGCACAGCACATTGATACCATTTTGCAGCTCTTTGCGCACGTGCTTGGCCAACAAGAGGACGTCCTTGGAGGGCAGCTGAGGGGCCAGGTCGTTGCATTCATTGGCGCTCTTAACCAGAGTGCCGGTGACAAGGTACAGGCTGCGGGGTTGAGCCAGTATGTCGTCTAAGCTCCCCTCTGCCTCTATGCCTCGCTCTATCTTCTTGTTCATTCGTCTTTACCCCTCCATCGCTTCTCGACCTTCTTGATGATAATGTCTACACTCAATGCGGTTAGCATACTCTACGTAGATGACCACCACGGGCCGTGACGACGGCTGTTCATTCTCGATGTTGCGCCCAACCGTAGATGGCTTTGGCTTGGCCTGCTGCTGCCCGCTCGGCCCTGCGTTCTGCGCTTTTGTTTGTTGGCTGAGCGACGGTTGAGAGCCGGGTGCACTGCGCCAGTCTTAGCCCGAAGTAACACTTTGAGCGGGCGGGCGGGCGAGCGGGCGGGCGGGCAACAAGTGAGTGAGTGGGCGGGGCGCGGCCAGCAAGGAGAGGAGAAGGACACGAGGCGCACCGACGCGGCGAAAAGCGCCCACGGGCTGAGAGCGCCACGAGCCCGAAGGTGAAGCTGCTCTTGGACTTGGTTGCAGCGTCGTAGCGTCCGTCGGCCGTTTGAGAGGGGATGACTGACCTCTATTTCCGTTGATCCTCTCCTACCTTCCTCATCGCAGCCTTGATCTGGCTACCCACTCTCCCCTTCCTTCCCTTCCCTTGTTGATCGCCCCCTCGAGACCCCCGGCTGGCTTCGGGTTGGCTACTGCTGTTGCTGCTCATTGCCCTGGAGAAAGAGAGAGAGAGCGTGACTCCACGGCCGCGTCAATACCAATCAGGGACAAAGAGCCACTGACAGCAACGACTCGCCTCGCCCTTCCTGATAATCGCCGCCGACGCCTTCGCCTCCGCTTTCGCCTTCAAACTCTACACAACTTAACGTATACAGCGACTTGACCCTACTTCAAACCCACCACCCTTCATCGCGACTGCCCAACATGGCCTCGAGCGAAGCGATGACAGCTCTCTCCCCCTACGTGCCCGGTACGCGCGCCTGGTTCACTGACAAGGACCTTGGCTGGATCTCTGCCACGCAGTCTGGCAAAGTGGGCGTCAACGAAGCGACAGGGGAAGTCACCATTGAATTCACCCTGGACGACGATGAGTCGCAGCGAGTGGTCAAGACGTCACTGGAGAAGCTGCGTGGGAAGCAACGTGACGAGCAGCTGCCACCTCTGAGGAATCCGCCGTTGCTTGAAGCGACCGACGACTTGACGAATCTGTCCTATCTCAATGAGCCGGCGGGTGAGTAGCAAAGCTAGCAAGCCATCGCGCTCCCCATCACGATGCTGACGGCTGATTTCCCGCCTCGCCGATCGCAGTTCTGCACGCCATCCTCAGCCGCTACTCGCAGCGCCTCATCTACACTTACTCGGGCATCGTGCTCATCGCCGTCAACCCCTTCTTCGCCCTCAACCTCTACAGCCCCGAGATCATCCAAGCCTATTCTGGCAAGCGTCGAGGCGAGCTCGAGCCTCACTTGTTTGCCATCGCAGAGGACGCTTATCGTTGCATGATCCGCGATGAAAAGGACCAGACCATCGTCGTCAGCGGCGAGTCAGGGGCGGGAAAGACTGTTTCGGCCAAGTACATCATGCGCTACTTTGCTACGGTGGAAGACCCAGATCGGCCAGGCAGCAGGAGGGCAGCAGCGAACAGCGCTGCCCAGGCCAGTGGGACTGCTTCTTCGTCGGCGGCAGCCAGCATGAGCGAAACGGAGAGGCAGATTTTGGCTACGAACCCCATTATGGAGGCATTTGGTAACGCCAAGACTACGAGGAACGACAACTCGTCGCGATTCGGCAAGTACATCGAGATCCTCTTCGACCGAAACCATGAGATTGTTGGGGCCAAGATTCGTACATACCTACTGGAGCGATCTCGTCTCGTCTACCAGCCAGAAAATGAGCGCAACTACCACATCTTCTACCAGCTCTGCGCTGGTGCACCGGCCTCGGAGCGCAAAGAGCTCGGCCTCGATGACGCTTCCAAGTTCCACTACCTCAATCAAGGAGGCAACAAGACGATCACGGGAGTTGACGATGCGAAGGACTTTAAGGAGACACAACAAGCGCTGGGCACCGTTGGCCTTACCGTCGAGCGCCAGTGGTCAATCTTCCGACTCCTCGCAGCGCTGCTGCACTTGGGCAACGTCGAGATTGGCGCCACCCGCAATGACGCCATGCTTGCGCAGGACGAGCCCAGTCTCTTCATCGCTGCGAAGCTCCTCGGAATTGACCTGGCCGAGTTCCGAAAGTGGACCGTCAAGAAGCAAATTGTCACCCGCGGCGAGAAGATTGTCTCCAACCTCACGCAGGCTCAAGCCGTCGTCGTGCGCGACTCAGTAGCCAAGTACGTCTACTCATGCCTCTTCGAATGGCTCGTCGACCAGCTCAACCACAGCCTCGCGCTGGGTTCTGCAGACGCCCGCAAGTCCATGATCGGTGTGCTGGACATCTATGGATTTGAGCGCTTCAAGGTGAACTCCTTCGAGCAGTTCTGCATCAACTACGCAAACGAGCGACTGCAGCACGAGTTTAACAGGCACGTCTTCAAGCTCGAGCAGGACGAGTACATGGCAGAAGAGATTTCGTGGACTTTCATTGACTTCTCGGACAATCAGCCTACAATCGACATGATTGAGAGCAGGCTAGGTATCTTGTCGTTGCTCGACGAGGAGAGCCGCCTGCCCTCGGGTGCGGATGCGTCTTTCCTTCAGAAGCTCTACACACAGATGGAGCGCAAGCCCGAGTACAAGAATTCGTTCAAGAAGCCGCGATTCGGGCAGAGCGCCTTCACTGTTTGCCACTACGCCCTCGACGTCGAATACGAAGTGGAGGGCTTCCTGGAAAAGAATCGCGATGCCGTGCCGGACGAGCATCTCACGCTTCTCGGCGCCACAACGAGCAACTTCCTCAAGGAGGTCCTCGAGACGGCCACGCAGCTCGCTAACGCCGCCAAGGAGCAGCCGTCTGCGACCGCTGCTGACGGAGAGAAGACAGCTGCTGCTGCTGCGGTCCGTCGCCCGGGCGCAGGCATCGTCAAGAAGCCGACGCTCGGATCACAGTTCAAGGCGAGCTTGGTATCGCTCATGACCACGATTGATGCGACCAACGTCCACTATATCCGCTGCATTAAGCCCAACGAGGCCAAGAGGGCCTGGGAGGTCGAGCCGCAGAACGTCCTCGGTCAGCTACGAGCCTGCGGTGTGCTCGAGACGATCCGTATCTCGTGCGCCGGGTACCCTTCGCGCTGGACTTTCGCCGATTTCGCAGAGCGCTATTACATGCTGGTCCCCTCGGCTCATTGGGACATGACCAGTCTCGAGAAGGCCAAGGAGCTCGCGGCGTATATCCTCAAGACTTGCGTAGATGACGCAGACAAGTACCAGATTGGTCTCAACAAGATCTTCTTCCGCGCCGGCATGCTGGCACAATTTGAGCAGCGTCGTGGTGACCGACTCAAGAGCCTCGTAACGCTCATTCAGAAGAACTTGCGCCGCAACATACAGATGCGCAAATACGGCACCATGCGATCTTCAAGTGTCAAGCTTCAGTCCTGGTGGAGAATGCAGGCGGCCAAGAAGCAGGTCAATGGCATGCGCCAGCAGAAAGCAGCCGTGCTTCTCCAGACGGCCTTGCGCGCTTGGCTCGCCCAGCAGTCGTACCGCCAGACCCTCGCAGCCGTTGTGCGCATCCAGTCTCTGGCTCGTGGCAGGGCAACTCGCTCCAGGTTTGCCGACACCCGCGTCACTTCGGCCGCTGTACGCCTGCAAAGCCTCTTCCGAGGTTTGCTCGCCCGACGTCAATTCCTGTCCCAGCGTAAGGGCATCGTACTTCTCCAATCCCTGCACCGCCGCCGCCTCGCAAAGCGCGAACTCATCAGCCTACGCAACGAGGCCAAGTCCGCCAAGCACTTCAAGGAGGTCACGTACAAGCTCGAGAACAAGGTCGTCGAGCTCACTCAAAACCTGCAGAAGCGCACAAAGGAGAACAAGGAGCTCGTTGCGCGTGTGCGAGCCTTGGAGGCAAGCATTGCAGAGTGGCAGGGCAAGCACGAGGAGTTGGATGTCAAGTCGAGAGGACTACAAACCGAGCTGGACAAGCCGAGCGTTCCATTGCCAGAGTTTGAGGCCCTCATCGCCGCGAAGAAGCAGTTGGACGAGCAGCACGACGCGGCGAGGCGGCAGATTACGGTCCATGAGGAGAAGATCGCTGGCCTTGAGGAGGAGGTACGACGTGGCGCGGAGGAGCTCGAGGCTAGGGAAAGTGCCCTGAGCAAGCGCGAGGACGAGGACAATACCACTGCGACTTCCCTTCGTGCGGAGATCAGCAAGCTGCGCGAGGAGCTCGCCCGCGCTCATTCTCTTGCGCAGCTCAGTGGTACAAGCAATGGTGAGCCCGCAGGTGGCGCCGCAGCTACACGCGACTTCAACGGCTTGTACGATCTCACGATGGGCAAGGAGCCTACTAGCGCGACGACTGCCAACGGCAGCGGTCGGCGAGCACAACGTCCGCGCTCGGCGGACGTTGCACCTGGTGGTAATGTGCGCAAAGCTCAAGCGGCCGCCAATCGTCACGTCTCCGTCATGCCACCTCAGCAGCTTATGGACCGCGACGAGGATGCCGTCGTGGAGGAGATTGAGTCCATCCTGCTTGACGAGGCTCAGCTGGACGAGGACCTTCTGCAAGGCCTCATCCAACAGCTCCGTGTGCCCATGGGCGACGACATTTCGCCCAAGGAGTGCCTCTTCCCTTCGCACCTCATCGCATTGGTTCTCAACGAGTACTGGCTGCGCAGCATGATCCGCCCCTCAGAGCGCGTGTTGGCGAACGTGATGCAGACGATCCAGACGCACGTCATGAGCTTGGAGGGAGACGAGCTGGTTACGCAGGCCATCTACTGGATCTCGAATGTCCACGAGCTCCTGTCGTTCGTCTCTGTTGCAGAGAGCGACCTCCTTGCAGGCATAACGCCCGGGGACAATGACCAAGCATTTGGCGACTATGAGCGCCTCATCGTGCTGGCAAAGCACGATCTCGAGTCGCTGGAGTACAACATCTACCACACTCTCATCGACAACACCAAGCGTCGCCTCCACAAGATGGTCGTGCCAGCCGTCATTGAGTCGCAGTCGCTTCCCGGTTTCATCGAGAACTCGAGCGGTCGTCTGTTCAATCGTCTCATCTCGAGCGCGACCAACGCTGCACCGGCCTATACGATGGATGACGTGCTCAATATCCTCAACACAGTCTGGCGCGCCCTCAAGACGTATTACCTCGAGGCTGCCGTGGTTCACCAGGTGGTCACAGAGCTCATGCGCCTCATCAACTCGACGGCATTCAATGACCTGGTGCTGCGTCGCAGCTTCTGCTCGTGGAAACGGGCGATGCAGATTCAGTACAACATCACGCGTATCGAGGAGTGGTGCAAGACCAAGGGTATCCCAGAGGCGATGCTCCAGCTTGAGCACCTTTCCCAGTCGGTTAAGCTGTTGCAACTGAAGAAGAGCACCGTCGACGACGTGAGCATCATCTTCGATGTCTCTTGGATTCTTTCCCCCTCGCAGATCCACAAGCTCCTCGCCTCCTACCACACGGCAGAGTACGAGCAGCCGATCTCGCAGGAGATCCTCAAGGCAGCTGCAGCGAGGGTTGTGCCAAACGATAGGAACGATCACTTGCTCCTCCCGCCAGAGGTGGATGAGGCTGGTCCGTATGAACTACCGATGCCGAGGGAGGTGACGGGGATCGAGACGTACATTCCGTCATTTATTCAGGCGCCGAGCTTGAGAAAGCTAAGCTCCTTGGTTGCGTGAGGCGTGGCCGAGGGAAGAAAAGGAGGGTAGGAGGGGAGGAGGATTGAGTTTGTCGTCGTGTAGTCTCCTTTCTATTACACCGGTGCCCTGCCCTATTGTCATCAACATCATCATCACGAGCATCTCTTCTCTGGGTAACAACGTCTGAGCTGCGGCCTTCAAGGTTTGCCCCGCCAGCGCAACCTACCATATCTCTGCGCCCTTCGTAGCTTTCTCCCAGGCGCAAGCGGAGATCTCTTGGCCCGCCGCCTGGCTTCGCGAGCCACTGCGCCTGTGTCATGCCTGAAAGCTGCACGAGGTGTTGCTTTGGCCTGCTCCGCGCAGCGCGAAATTGGTCCATCTCCAACCATCACGCGGGCGGGGTCGCGACATCCGGCAGCCAGCGTTGAGCCTCAGCTAATGGCAAATACTCGATGATTGAGCCGCAACGATCGCGTGCCTGCGGCGCTGTTCTATGCTCCGCCGCATCCTCGGAGCACCGTCGTCGTTGCTGGGTTGCCGGCCTCTGGTCCCGTTTGACGATGTACATGAATGTCCGCCGCTATCAAGGCCCGTCCCGTGTTCTTTTTGGACGCAACCCGTTTCTCTCTGCGGGTGCCTGCCTCAATCTCGAACGTGATTACCAGCCTTCATGGCCCGTTGTTGGTGGTGGCGGTGGTGGCGGCGGCGGCGGCGGCTAAACGATCATCCTCCCCTCACCGTCCTTGTCTGAAGCTTCAATCAATCACGACTCGACGTCGACTGTCATCCCGCAACCTTAGCGTGATCCAGGTGGCCCCTCCTCGCCTCTGGCCTCTTTCTCCCTCTTTCAGCTTTCGCGGCCAAACCATCTCTGACGAGAGCGGCTACAACGCCGACGCCGCCCAGGAAGCGCCTTCTTCCCAGGCAACGGAGCTAGTCTAAGTCACGCTCACCTCGCAAAGAAAGACCAGCCAGTCGGGCGAGTCGCGGCCATTTGCGACTTGACGCTCCTCCCCCCCTGCCTTTCGATCGTCTGTCTCGTCTGTCCTCGGCTCGCCCAGGCCAAAGCGGGACTGCGAGTCGAGAAGCAAGCAGCCAGGCGCAAGGCCCGAGACACCAAGCGCACTCTCTCCTGGGCCGCTGCCGCTACTCTGCCAAAGCACACACAGAGTCCAACGCAACGCAACGCAACGCAACAACGCACCGCTGCTCCTTCTTTCCAACCATCTCCCGACCGACCGGCACCGACGCTCCTTCCTTTCCCTCCTTTCGTCCCCCATCATCGAGGCTCGATCCCCTTGTTCCCTTTTCGGCATACCCACGAGGTCGACGAGTCTTGTCACCCTCCCTTGCAGCGCAACGCAACGGTCTCAAAAGCACGGCGGCTTGCTTTAGGCTCCGTGCATCCCAGTCCTTCCTTTGTTCGTCCTGCTACGCTACCACTACACCGACGTCAAGTTGAAGTGGACGAAGCAGCATACACGCACGCTTCGACATCAGGAAGCAGCATACAAGGGCGCTTCAACTAATACACGACTACCGACAACAACAAAAGACGACGATATACCCGCTCCTCGCCTCTCCCTCTCCGCGGTTAGCTGCCCCTGAACAGCCTGCTCTACGTCCACACGGCCTTCTTCAGTTGCCGACATGTCATCGACACCATCTCCCTACGATCCATCCCCCTCGCCCTATGCGGCCGGCGACGACAGTTCGCGATTCGCTGCTGGTGGTGTTGGTGGTGGTGCCGGGGGTGATGGCATGCGCCGCTCCCCTTCGGGTCTTCATCAGCATGGCCTGTCATCTGGCGCAAACGTCATAGAGTCTGCGACTGGAAAAAAGACTCGATTCACCTCCGACAGTAACATCCCGAGCGTCGTAGCGTTGGGCGGATATCGATCTCATGCCACCTCGGGAGGAGGAGCGTCCTCTACGGCAGCAGCTGGAGGAGCAGCCACCTCGAGCGCCCCTCTAAGCTACGTTATGCCATCCCCTACTGAAGAACATCAGCAAGCAGCAGCAGCAGCAGTTTCGCCTGCTATCCATCACCACGATGTCCATGGCAATGGCTACGTTCACGGTCACGCCGCCTCGTACCAGCAGCAGCACGCAAGCGGCGCATCGTACCCCAGCACATCGCAGCCTCCGCTCTCTCATTCGCCATCGCCGAACTACCCAAACGCGCATGCACACGCGCACCTATCTCCTCTCAACCTGACAGCAGCCAATGCAGTCGGCCCGCATCACCACCATCACAATTACCTCCCCCATGCTGTCCCTCAGTCTGCGCCTTACATGTCGGCCCCTTCGCCCATGTTCTCGCCATTCTCGCCCAACTTCTCCTCCCACCCTTTCAGCCCGAATCTCCTCTCACCGGGTGCAGGGCCAGGTCGCACTCCGACTAGCGCAGGAGGAGCAGCAGCGGCAGGTCGTACCGTGTACGTCGGCAATCTGCCCGCAGATGCATCTGTCGACGAGCTCCTCAATCACGTCAAGTTCGGTCCAATTGAGAACGTCAAGGTCCTGCCCGAGAAGAGTTGCGCCTTCATCTCGTTTCTGGACGCCAATACAGCCGCAGCCTTCCATGCTGACGCATCAGTCAAGAAGCTCACGCTGCACGGCAAGGAGCTCAAGATTGGGTGGGGACGACCGTCGCCCGTCCCTCCCGGGGTAGTCATGGCAGTCCAGCAGAATCAAGCAACTCGCAACGTCTACGTTCAGCTCGGTCAAGACGACAACACCACTGAAGAGCAGCTCCGAGATGACCTCTCGCATTTCGGGCCAATCGACCAGATCAAGATCGTCCGCGATAAGAACATCGGCTTCGTCCACTTCCTTTCCATCCAGACTGCCATCCAGGTCGTCTCTCAGCTCCCTCAGGAACCAGAGTGGGCGAATCGCCGCGTCAACTTCGGCAAGGACCGTTGCGCATACGTGCCCAAGTCGCAACAGCAAAATCAGGCGCACAACAGCCATGCAGCCGCAATGGGCATGGCGGCAGCCGCTTCGCTGGGCTACCCAACTGCATTTGGCTTTGCGGGCGCCGGTGCCGGAGTACCAGCAAGCGCTCCAGCTCGAGTCGGCGGATTCGCAGACGCCCAGGCCGGCACCTCCTCAATGGACGACTCCCTTACATCCCCTACCTACCTGGATCGCTCCCTCGACCAGATCGGGAACCGCACCGTCTATCTAGGAAACATCCACCCCTCAGCCACCATCGAAGAAATCTGCAACCACATTCGCGGAGGTATTCTGCAGACGGTACGCTATTTGCCTGAGAAGCACATCGCCTTCGTCACGTTCGTCGATGCCAACTCCGCCTTGGCGTTCCACCATCTGAGCAGCGAGATGGGCATCTTGCTTCACCATCGCCGACTCAAGATTGGCTGGGGCAAGCACTCCGGACCACTCTCGCCGGCAATCGCCATGGCAGTTCAGGCCGGGTGCTCCAGAAATGTCTACATCGGTAACATCGAGGACGCCAACTTCCTCAATGAGGACAAGCTGCGCGCCGACTTCTCCCGCCATGGGGATGTCGAGCTGGTCAACTCTCTTCGCGAGAAGAACTGTGCATTCGTCAATTTCTGCAGTATACAGAACGCGATCAAGGCTATTGAGGCAATGAAGTCTCATCCAGACTACTCGGGCGTCAAGATCTCGCATGGTAAGGATAGGTGCGGGCGGGTAATCCAGGTCAGGGATGGAGGAGGCGGGAGGGGAGGAGGAGGAGGAGGAGACAGGGGAGGAGGGCATGCGATGCACGTAGGGATGGGCATGGTCCCTTCTGGCGCGGTGGCCCCTGCAATGGAGCCACTCAGCCCGGCCTCACACGAGGCCAACGCGTCGGCGACCAATGGGCTCGGCCACTCTCTCTCCCGCGAGCCAAGCGCCCACGATATGCCTCCCATCCCTGTGAGTACCATCGCCGAGGAGGACGGGCTCGGCGAGGGAGACGCATCGGGTGAAACTACTGCGGCCGGCAGCAATGACGAGGAGCTCGCCAAGGCTACTGCAGCCAGTAGCTTGCAAGACAATCCAACAACGGTCACCGGCAAAGGGGCGTCAACGCTCACGAGCACCAGACCGGTAAGGAGAACCGTCGTGGTGGGCAACGGCAACAGGCAAGGGCAGGAAGGATCATAAAGGCGCTGCAGGCGAGGACGAGCCTGTGAGAGAAAAGAGACATGAAAAGGAAAGGCTGGCGAGGAGAGGTCGCAGCGTCGTGGACCATATTATTGTACTCACACTTCTGTTGGCCACCTACTTTATTTGGCCTCCTCCTCGCCCACACTCTATCCTACCTCGCTCCACCTTATCATTCGCTTTTTGCTATTAATTATTCCCTTTTGAGATTAGTGTTTTTCCAGGGAGCGTGACGATGTGGCGAGTCATTCCTCCAAGAACGCAAGTCATTGGGCGGGCGCTATCGCTGGCGCTGAAGTTCGCGGCAGAGACCACGAAGTGGGAAAGCACACGTCTCGTATATTGACAATATCGTTGAAGAGGCTGACAATGCTCTACACCGCTTTTGTTTCAGCTCTCTGCGCTCGTACTCGTGCCGCCTCGACGATCCCTGACCTATATGCGCTCGATGGGGCATCGTAGCCCATGGATTGGGCGAGGCTGAGCGGTTGTGTCCTCTTTCGGCGGCAGGATGAGCCCGGTGCGAGGAAGTGGACAAGGTGTAGCGACCCACTCTGACTGGGAGTGCGATGATCCTCCTGTTTCCTGCTCCTGCCCCTGCTGCTGCTCTTCCCTCCTAGTCTTCTGCGCATCGCTCGGCGTGATAGGCACGATAGGCGGCCCAGGCCTTGCCTTCGGGGTCGCTTCGTCGCCCATTGGTAGCCGCGGAGGAGTTCGAGTCTGTGCTCCTCCACCACCATCATTGGTACTGGCTCTCGGCTTGGCCGGACGTCTTGACCAAAAGTCGTCGTCGTCATCCTCGTCATCGCGTAAGACGTGGTGTAGATCGCCGGTGATCCTAGGCTTCGGCCTGGGGCGACCCGGCGAAGGCGTGGTGAGATCTATAGCATGGCTAGGGCGAGCTCCCTCGGCGTCGGAATCGTCGTCGAGGAAGGGACGGCGTGTGATGCTAGTTGTAGAGGCGGAGGGCTGAGGACGTGGACGCGGGCGGGCTGCTTCTGCTGGCGGGCCCGGAGGGGTCGCTAGCTCGCTGACCTGGCGACGAGCTCGCCGAGTGGAACTCGAGGTTGTCGAACTTGACGCTGACGCTGGCACCGAGGCTGAGGCTGCGGCCGTCGTCGTCTTTTTCTCCGTCGTGCTGCTGTACTCGCCAAAGAGGTGATTCCCCCTCCCTCCCGTCTCAGCAGGATACATTGCCATCCCGTAAGGGGTACTCTGTCTCTTGATCTCTCTTGCCTCTTCCATGCTCAAATGCTTTCTTATTCTCCTCGGCCTGGCCGCATAATCCTCCATGATCAAGGTGCAAGCCACCTCGGGCACAAGTATGTTGTCGACAAATTCGATCGCCGTCAAGGGTTGAATACGCGCCAGGCCGGCAGGCTGGGTGATTGATGGAAGGTGCGATCTTGCAAGTGACGAGCGGATGACGTCGCATCCCTGTTCGCCGTAGTAGCCAGCTTGAACGTCAAGCATGCTGGTGAGCCAGGAAGTGGCGGCGGGCTCGTCGCGCCTCGCCTCTGCCTCCGCGTCCACCTGCCCGCCACGCCTTCCTTTACGCAAGCGCAAAGCCGTCTCCCAGAAGACACTCTCCATGGGCTCCTCCATCAGCTCTTTGACCCTCACGCTCGCCACCTCTTCGACCCTCTCTAGCAGACTGGCCAAGTCTAGTTTGGTGGGCCAGCCCTCTTTTTTCCCGTTCGGAATGACCTCAAGCTCCTCTTGGTGCTTTGTGCATGCCGCGAGGGTCTCCGTCGCTTTCAGTGTGCGACCATCATGCCATTTGTCCAGGTAGGGCTGCAACATCTCGATGAGTTCACGGCTGGGCTTGTTGGGCATGGGTTGATCACAAAAGGGGCAAGACTTGAGATCTACGACTCGGCGGGGAGTGGCGGCCGATTTGGCTTGAGAACCTCGCCGTGTTGCGCGTTGCTTGGGTGTCGTGCCATCGGAGGCTTCAATTAGCATTCGGCGAAGAGATTCTTGAGAGGGGCTTGCCGTAGCCGTAGTGGCCGTCGCAGGGGAAGAGAAGATACTGTCGGCCGATGAGGCTGGAGTGGTCGTCGTCTTGTCCTTCGGGGGGAGCTGCATACCTACAGCGGCTCTGCGTCGCGGCGCCTCTGCCAGCTTCTCGACGGCGTACTCGTTGCCTGAGGCGAAGGGAGAATCGCTTGAAATGGAGCGGACGAAACTACTTGCAGCGAAGGGGTCGCGGGATGCCTGCCGTAGCTCTCCCTTTGATGCAGCATCGGCTACTTTGAGGATCGATTTGCGTGAGGGAGCCGAGGAGCCCGAGGGACCGGCAGCGCTGGCTACACGATGCGATGCTGCTGCTGCTGCTGTGGCAGGCAGCTTGAGCGGGCCGAAGCCTGAGGCTCGTTTCTGTTGAGACCTTTTCTTGGGCGGCTGCAGCGCCTCGTCGTCTTCGAGTGATGAGCTCGAGACTTGAGCACTCGACTCGCGCGATGATTCAAGCCCCTTGACCCTCTTGATGGGGGCGCAGCCTACCTTTGGCGGCGAAGACGATGCATTGCTTGCGGTCCTCCGTCTATGCGGTCGTGCTGAGTCGAGCGGTGAGCCCGGTTCGGCCGTCTTGTTGCGGCGTTTTTTGCTCGACGCCTTGATCGCAGCCGCGTCCCACTCCTCTCCCTCGCTTTGATGCTCGCTACTGCTGTCGCTTGCGTCGTCTACGGTGGCAGGGTCGCTGTCTTCCTGGTCAGCAGCTGATTCTCTTCGGGAATGAGACGATGACGACGGCAGATTGCGTACGCGACGTAGGCTGCCGTACTTGCGCTCTTGTGAATGTGGGACACGAGAGGCACCAAGCTGACGCTTGCGGAGGCCTTCCATGCGGAAAGGTTCACGGCATTAGTGTTCACCAGTGGTGGTTGAGGTCGTCTGTCGTCTTAGCGGAGAGGACAAAATGCGGAGAGGACAGCCCAGCTCGACGCGGAGTCGCGCCTCGCGGTACGGGCCACTTTACTCAAGAATCCAACACGCCACGTGGTCAGGGATTCTCTCTCCGACCTCACACGCCTCGACGCGCCGGGCTGCCAAACAACAACAGCAAGCAACAGAGGCGGACTGAGAGTGGGAGAAGCAGCAAGCGGCGGGCGACTTGTCCTCAACACCACCGCATCATCGACAACCACCTGCTGCATCCGTCAACGACATGTCCGGCTCCTCTTCATCATCAGGAGGACCAGCGCGTGCCTCTCGCATCGCTCCTCCTTCTACTCTGCGCAAGCCATCGTCTAGCGGCGCCAGCTCTTCCAAGTTGACGATCCCTGGCGGTCCAGCCCCGAGAGCTCCTCTCAACAATGCTACCAACAGGAACGCGAGCGCCACTTCCACCAGGAGTGCTAGCGGAACGACGGCCATCAAGAGACCCTCTGCCGTGCCGACGACACGACGGGTAGCATCGGGCTCCTCTGCAGCATCAGCAGGCACTAAGAGGCCAGCACAGGGTCCGCCACCAGCGGAAGAGGTGAGCATACGCCATGAGTGGGTAAAAGCGAAGAGCAGAGTATATGCTGACCTCCCTTCTCACCACTCCTCTCGCGCTAGGCCTCACCCTCCCAGCTTGCCAACATTGAGTCCCAGCTAGCGCAGATGGCTGCCCTCTTTGACCGGGAACGCGCAAACACGGAAGCCCAAATGGCCGCCGAGCAGCAAGAACGAAAGAAGTATTCGGAGAGAGTTACGCAGCTCGAAGAGTCGCTCGAGGAGCAGAAGCGCCTTGCCAAGGAGAGCAAGCGCGAGGTGGGCAGAAGAAGGACCCTGTTCGACGATGAAATGGCTCAACTCCGTCAGGCGCACGCGAGGGAAAAGAGGGCATGGGAAGAGGATTTGGACAGGGAGCGTAACACCGTCAGAGCATTGAAGGATTCGATGGCCCAGAATAGTACTGCCCACCTCACCATGGAAGCCACAAATTCGGCATTGCGCACTGAGGTGCAGAGATTGCAGGATCAGCTCAGGGAGAGTCAGCAGCGTACCGCCGACGTGGAGGCAGAGCTGATCAAGCAGCGCGAGGCTGTCGTTGAGATTGAGGGGGAGCTTAGGGAGGCAGAGAGCCTCAGGCGTAAGCTGCACAATGAGATTCAAGAGCTGCGTGGTAACATCAGGGTCTTTGCGAGGATGAGGCCGGCGCTGCAGCATCAGGGCAACTCGCTCGCTACGTGAGTCTCGGGCTTTCGACGTTGATGCTCTTCTCGCCCATCCTGACCTTCATCCCTGTGACAACTCGCAGAGTGCGCTTCCCCAACCCCAAGGAGGCTCGATCCATTGAGATTCTCTCTGCCGGCGAATCAGCAACAGGCACGGCCACAATGCGTACCTTCCAATTTGATTTCGACCACGTCTTCGGCCCCGATGCAACGCAACGAGACGTTTTCGACGAGGTCCAGCACCTGATGCAATCGGTACTCGACGGGTACAACACCTGCGTCTTTGCCTACGGCCAGACCGGATCTGGTAAGACGCACACGTTAGAAGGGTCAGGGCTACCCACGGCGAACTACGAGGCGTCGTCCGTCAGTGAAGGGGCGGGTCTTATCCCAAGGGCAGTGCAGATGCTCTTTGCCACTGCCGAAGCGCTCAAGGATAAAGGCTGGAGCTATGATTTCTCCGGCTCGATGCTCGAGATCTACAACGAGACGATCAACGACCTGCTCGGCAAGGCTGACCCGAAGAGCACCACTCCCGTCAAGCATGAGATTCAGCACGAGAAGGGTCGTACAACAGTCAGCGATGCGGTCGTACTGCCCCTCTCGAGCCCGCAGCAAGTGTTTGCCCTCCTCTCTCGCGCGTCTGCTCGAAGATCAGTAGCCGCCACACTCATGAATGAGCGATCCTCCCGCTCTCACTCGGTCTTCACGCTGCGGGTCAGAGGCAGCAACAGCACGACAATGGAGTCATGCGATGCGACTCTCAGCCTCGTCGACCTTGCAGGCTCTGAGCGTCTGGCCAATTCTGGCTCTGGTGACGACCCGCGTCGCTTGAAGGAAGCCGTGAGCATCAATAAATCCCTCTCCTCCCTCGCGGACGTCATTGCCGCCCTCGGGCAAGGCAAAGCAGCAGGACATGTGCCCTACCGCAACTCCACACTGACATGGCTGCTGAAGAACTCGCTTGGTGGCAACAGTAAGACTTTGATGTTGACCAGCTTGAGCCCCGTGGCTGAGCATCTGGGAGAGACGGTCGCCAGCTTGCGGTTTGCTAAGCTGGTCAATGGTACTATCATCGGGACGGCGAAGAAAGTCAGGGCGTCGGAGTAGCCGTGACACCATAAAGAGGCACGGCTGAGGGGAGAATATACTTGCCTTTTCAGGCCATCTCATTTCTGTTTCGCGCACACTCAATTTCATCTACGGTTTCGCAAGCTCTTCTGTGAGATGGTGTGCTTGGTTGGTATTGAATGAAGAGACATGGAATCGACGGAGAAAGTGACATGAACCACCAAGTCTAACCCTGCTCCCCCTTTTTCCTCATACACCCCGCTTTCGCCTACATTCCCGCCTGCCAGCCATGGAAGATGGCGCTCAGATTTCCTTCATCCGTCGCCGCTCCAATCAACTCGGTCACCGTTGTCTGTACGGACAGTCCCGTCGAGAGCTTAGACAGTACGGTTCCGATTGCCCGCTCAGCGCTCAATGACGCCGTGTCTCTGCCAGCGATATCATCGCCGCCTCCTGGCGAGATCGTAGCCCGACTGCCACTCGCAGTTCCAGGCGTCGAGACTCTACCACCCTTGGTCTTCGCCTCGGCTGCCGTTGGCCCTGTCGCAGCCGCACCCTGCGCCTGCAGGATCTTCACGGGATTGCTCGTCCACGCAAAGAGTGGGTCGTACTTGAACACTTCCAGCACCGTCTGAATCACGTCCTTGTTCCCGCGCAGCACGCGCAGCGTCTCCTCGCAACAACGCCTGAAAACGCCCTCTACCCCTGAGAGGCCCATCCCATCGACGATATCCCGGGTGAGGCGGAAAGGCACTAGCTCCGGAATGGGAAGGAGGCGGCCCTGCTCGAAGGCGACGCCAAAGTCGATATGGATGACCTCACCCGTCTTCTTATCCATCAGTATGTTCGAGACGTGCCTATCGCCCAAGCCGAGCACATGCCCGATGATGCTGGTGGTGGCCACGGAACGTGTGTAATTGAGTCGTACGGCGAGCCACGTAGGTGGGTTCTTGAATTGCTCCATGAAGTAGTGACGGAAGGCTGGAGGCATATTCCGGCAAACGGCGCGATACGCCTCCAGCTTCTCGTAGGGTGTCTTGCCCATGACGGCCGCTAGGCAGGAGCGTGCGTCTCCCGGTGACCACTGGCCCTCGGTGTGATGCGAGTGGTGTGCGTCAACCAGCACCTCACCGATAGGGCAGGTGTTCTGCACAAACTCGAGAAGGCCGCACTGCGGTCCTAGCGGTAGGACAGCGTAGGTGCGGATTCGCAGGTGGCGTTGAGCGGCTTTGCGGTCGCGAATGAGGAGTTCGTTGAGCAGCCTGAATACTTGTTGCATGACCGCGTCTTGCCGAAGATCATCGTCGCTCTTGAAGAGCTGCTTGTAGCGCTCTCCATTCGAGCCGATGCAATCGGTGATTTTGGGCAGATGAATTCCCCCTGCTGTGGTGAAGAGGTCGCTGTATCGCTCTATTGTGACCATATTGCGGTACGCGCCCGATGGATCGACGGGCAGGTCGGCCGTGGCCACAGGAACTGTGTAGGAGGGCAGCTGCTTGATCTTGAGGGGCAGATTCTCTTGAGAAGGGAACGCGAAAGAGCCAGACTTGATCGCATTGCCATGGAAAAGGTTCGGCACGGAGCGACGCAGATTCAGCTCAGCCCACTCCACGTAGGCATCGCAGGCGTTTTCGAAGGCAACGACGCGGGCCTTGTGGGGAGAGGAAGCTTTCACCGTGTGCCAGAGGTCGTGGGCCGCAGCCGCACGCTGCGAAGCAGGCGAAGCGTTATCGCTGGGATTGCCATTCTTGGTGCCCGCGGAAGCCTTCTTCTTTGCCGCTGTGCTTGGCTGCGGGCTTGAGTCCTGGTCAGCCTTCCTCAAGGCGTAGATGGCGTAGAGTGAGTGGAAGGGATGCGCCTGGCACATCCTCTTCATGACGATGGAGACATTGGTCGAAAACGAGCGAGGGTCGGATCCCAATCTGGAGGAGAGCTGGTGAGTAAGCGGGAGAAATTTGTGAGGCGGCATCCCACTGAGCGCTTGTCGGATTTCGCCATTGAACTTTTCATCGCCGGCGTTCTCAAACCATAGGGACGTCAGTCGCACAATGCTGCCATCGTACTCGCTAGCGTAGCGCATAGCGCTTGCGTACATCTTGAACGCCTGCAGCAGGAAGAACTCGCGGCTGGTGATGTGCTGACTCAGTAGCGCCTCGTCCTGGCGCAAAATCTTCTCTGCTTGACTGCGGTACGAGTGAAGGTTCTTGTAGGCTTCACTCTTCCTGTCCACGCGAGACATCTCGGCCTTGTTCTGGCGTAGCTCTTCCTGGCGATGGCTGACAAACGCTTCCAGCTGTTGAACCTCTGCCGCGTTGCGTAGAGCTCGGTACTGATCATCCGCGAAGACGGCGTACTGGTTGCAGACGGCAGCACACTCTGCGCTCGTCTCGTCCTCTTTCACCAATGCGTGTGCTGGGCGAAAGAGATGATCGTCGATTTCGCGAGGCTGTTGAGATCGGGCGGTAGCTCGCCAGTGGCCCAGCTCGGCCAGCAGCTTGGCCTTGTGAAGGCGGTCGTCGCGTGAAGTTGCCGACTGTGGCAAGGCTTCAATTTCCTCACTCAGGGCTTGAATTGCAATCACCTCTTCGCCTTGGTTCCACAACACACTGGCGAACTCTGGAGTGAGGTCGGCTGGTCGAGCCGATGGGGCCAGGTGCTTACAGAGCTTCTGAGCTCGAGTCACGGCATTCATGGCAGCCTGCTGGCGATCCTGCTTGCGAGCTGCGCGGCATAGATTGAGGAGCAGGCGACTCTCGCTCTTGAGCGCCTCTTCTGTTGCTGGCTCAAGTAGGTCACCGATCTGACTGGCTTGGATACGGTAGCGCTGTGAGCGGAGTAGAGACTGGCGGACGGTCGTGATGCGCTCAAAGTCGTCAAAATCGAGGCGTAAATCAGCCGAAAAGTTTTGCTCGCCGCTAGTGTTGCTGTGATTCCATCGCCACGCCTCACTCAGGCTCATGAGGTCGCGGCAGACTCGTCGTATCTGGCTAACCGCCTCGACCCCAGCGCCAGAGAGCGCCCTTGCCTCTGATGCGAGAGCCTGAGATATAGTGCGCCCAATGACCGTGTCGTCCTGCTCTTGGTGCAGGGCTCGCAGAGCAGCAAAGACATTGACTCCGTTGCCAGGCTGAGGGTCTCGATCGGTAGGCAGACTCCAATCCTCCGTCCTCCAAGCAACCTCGTAGTCCGCGTACACAGCGTCCATCGAGCTCGCCAGCTTGTTGAAGCCCATCTGATGCAGCGACTGGGCAATAGCAGCTTCGCTGCCTGCACTACCGCCGCACTCGTAATCTGCTGCGTGAAGCTCAAAAGCTCGCCGCCACTCCTCTTCATGGTGCAAGCGGCGCACGAGTGACCCACGTAGGTCCTTGTGATGCACACCGTAGAAGCTATCGGGGTCTTCGATGTTGCTGTACACAGAGTAGAGGAGCTGGGAAACCTGTTCCTGCTTTGCTGCTTGTGCCCACGTCTCGGATTGGTGCTCGCGCTCAAGCTCGATCCAGAGCAGCGCCGTCGAGTAAAGCTGGCAGTCGATGGCGCGTCTGGCGAGGAGGAGATAATCGACAGGAAGCCAGTGATCTGACGACCTACCGGCGTTGACCGGCAATTCCTGCTTGCGCAGGTAGATAAGAGCGTTGATTATGGTGGCCCAGGATTGGCGGTCGCTGTCGTCGTCCTTCAAGATCCGGCCTAGGTGGTCTGCAAGAGATGCAGTTTCCCTCGCCATGTCCCCAGAATCGTGAGTGAGGTAGAGGTAGGCGTGCAGCAAAGGAATGAAGACGTTGCTGGCAAAAGACGCTACCGCAGCCACAAGCTCGCGCATCTGAGCGAAGAATGACTCAGTTACGATGGAGGACAACCGGTCACATAGAGATGTGGCGATCGAGCGTATCCAATCGTCGAATTTGCGAGCGTCGACTTTTCTCAGTGAGCAGTCGACGTGGCTGGACTGTCGAGCAGCCGGCGCCGTCGAGTAATGGCTCAACAGCGCGAGCTCCTCAGTCATGAGGTCCGGCCATTTGCCCGTGGACATGTGCAAATCTGCCTCCTGGGTGAGAATGGCGCGCAGGCTGTGGAAGGCTCGCTCAGCAAGATGCAGATCTACTCCTCGCTGTAGCTCGAGAAGTTTGAGGGCGATGAAGATCTTGATGGGCTCGTACGGCTTCTCTGCTCGACTGAGTGCGAGAACGAGCGGCGTAAGATTGGCATTGGGGTTTCCCAGGGTCTCCTCTGAAGCCTGGTATTGCTCGGCGGATGGAGTCTGGATCTTGTCGTGGAGCGCAGAGAGGATGTCACCTAGAATGTACGCTGACTCGGCTGAGGGTTGCCTATTTAGACGGTCAAAGAGATGCCAGATCGTAGAACGAGCAAAAACGTCCGACTGTTGTGCCTCTCGGAGCGCATCCCTGAATCGAATGAGGAGGTGAAGATTGAGGGAGACCTTGGAGTGGCGAACGAGCACCTCTGTCAATGCTGCGAGATTGAGATGGAGGTCGAGTCGTGTCAACGACGATACGAGAGGGACAGGCAGCCGGCGAGGGTAGGCACAAATTGCCACAAAAGCGTGTTTGCGAGTCCCTTCTGCCTCTACGAGCGGCAAGAGAACGCGGCTTGCCAGCCACTCAAAGGTTGCCTCGTCACGGGCCCCCTCTGCCATTGCGATGAGAATCGAAGAGAGCTGTGGCGGCGACTTGTCGATTTCGATGCACCGTTGAATGCACCATGCAGCGATGCCGGACGACAACGCGAGAAGATCTGGCTGGCCCATCAGCAAGCTGCAACCGTGAAGAAGTGCACGAAGCAGCACGAGGCTCGAAGCGACCCCCTCCCTCTTCATTGCTATGAACAGACGCAGCGCATGGAGGTGCCGAAGCTGATCATTGACCAGTCGCTCACGCCAGATGAGGCTGAGCATCTGGTGGATAACATGGTAGGCCAGCGAGCGCTCGGAATGGGGGTCTAGCTCGGCAGTCGCAATGGCAATGGTTTGGTAGACTTGAAAGCCGCTTGCGATAGGACGGTGAGGGACGTGGGCGTGCGACTTTGAGTTCACTTCAACGCCATTTGAGAGCGCAGTCAGCTCCTGCGCTACGCGAGGGTCGGCACGCTGTAGCTGAGCGTGGTATACGCAGTCGCTGCCGAGGTCTTCCTCCGCAAATTGCGACAGCGTCTCGACGATGACGCGGTCGAGTGAAAGTGCGAAGGTAGTCTCCAGAGCTTTGACCGTAGTGACGCCCGATGTAAGGCGCTGCTGTAGCTCGCTGAGAATGGGCGCCGAGTCCAACAGCTGGTCTATTCGCCGGCTGGACTGCTCAGCTAGCGAGACTTCGATCACGAGCTGGATTGCCGCAACGACGGGCAGGCACTCCGCCACCGCTTCCTTCATCGTCTTACCAAAGGATCGCGCAAGGTCGCCAAATCGCGGGAGCACCTCGGGCTTATCCACCGCAATGGCCGCCATCATCGATCCAATTCCCATGAAGTTGTACTGCAGGCAGTGGAAGGCCGAGTCATAGCCAAGTACAGACCACGGGAGGCGAGTCGGATCGCTGTCCATGCTGTCGAGGCCGAAAGCGATCTGCGCTGCAAAGACGCGGAAGAGATCTGTCGGCGCCGAGAAGCCCAAATTGTCGGACACGGCTGCGAAGAGGGCCTTTGCGTGAGGGAGGTACGGCCGTCCCCGCTCTCGTCCGCCAAAGGGCTCAATGATGTTGAACAGCGCGGCTGCTCGCAGCGGAGAGCTTCTGATCATGACGTTTGACAGAGTCAACAAGCGCGTGAGCGTCCCCTCGAAGTCGTCCCAGTCCGACGTCAAAATCTGCAGCAACTTCTTGTCATAAAGGTCACTCTCCGAATCGGTGGGTACGCAGTCGAAGAGACGAGCGATCATGGTGGCCGCAGCGAAACGTACGCGGATATCGCCTTCTTGCATGAGACCGTAGATGATGAGGAGCAGAGAAGTGGAGCACAGCACGTCGTCATCGCCGTTGTCGGTCCAGTCACGTGTGGAGGTGGATCGTAGCAGCACCTCGAGGTAGGCTGCCGCTCTGACTCTCGCTCGCCACGACATCGGTTTGCCTTTGAAGAGGGAGCGCGCAAAGTACTCGTTGAACTGATTGGCGCCCATTGAAAGCTGTCCGCCCGTCGACTTGCTGCTCGACGGTGTTGCGCCAGGCAGCCACACCGCCATTGACGCCTCGCAGAAATTGATGACATTCATGAGCGCATCTTCGTCGAATTTGAATTCGTAGTCGTTGAGGTACTCGTTGCCCAGCCGGTCGATAATTGATGCCAAGACCTCGTCATCGAGGATCAAACGTTCGCGCGAGTAGGCAGCAAAGACGGCTGGTGCCGCTCGATCAAAAGCAACGATGGGCCCGTCGAGCAGCACATCGTCCATGAGTGGGTTGGCTCTCGCGGCTGATTCGGTGATGCGAGCCACCTCGACCAAGCCATTGACGCAGAGAGCGATTGAAGCCGTCAGGGCAAATCGTTCACTACCGTAGTCTTTCGCCGGCTTCATGATCTCGTCTGACTCGCTTGTGGCCTGGCGCGCCTGTCCCCATTCGTCGTCGTCGTCGCCTTGCTGTGTCGCCTCCTCTTCACCGCCTGGCATGTCGCAGATCGTGTGCAGGCAGCGCTGTAGGGCTTTGAGAAAAGCCTTCTGCGCATCGCGAGGGGCTGACGTCCAGATAGTATGAAGGACAGGGTCACTGGACGTGGTGCATCGGTCTTCTGATACAGACTGCAATGAGAGTGTGTCTTGCCGCACACCAGAGCACGGACCGGGTTTGACGAGCGCCTTGAGTAGGGAGGAGACATCATTGCTGACCCGGACTTGCGGACCAACGAGAGGGGCGATGGCAACCAGAAGGGTAGAGCGCGAAGAGACGGACCATCGACTACGCTCCGAGACGGCGGTCATGATGGTGCGAAGGAGCGAGTGTGCGGCTGCGGTGAGCATCATGTTCGCTTCGACGAGGCCGAGAGTGAGAGTGGCTTGGAAGAGAAGAGTCGTAGCGATCACGTCTAGCGTGCGGCGTGCCTGATCCACTGAGGCTGACTCCATAAGTGAAGGGCCCTCCTCTGACGGACTGCTGCTCGGCCGCCATTGCTCGCTGAGAACGTCGATGGCTCGCTTGAGCAGACTTGTAATGCGCTGCTCAGTGCCTTGTAGCGGTCGTAAGGGCGTGTCATTCTTGTCTTGCACCTCACTTTGCTCTCTCGTTGCCTCCTTTCCATCCTGTTTGGCTTCGTAGCTCAACGCGGCCGTAAGCAAGAAGTTCCGCAAGTCTCTCGTCTCATCCTCGTAACCCATCTGCTCGACTACGGCGTTGCCTGGCAGCAGCATAACGGGCTGCTGAGTAGCGACGGGCCGCAGCTGGCAAATTCGGCTCAGCAAGGCGTTCAAACCGCTCGAGTCGTGCTCCTCTATCCTTTCCCTGGCACGAAATCCCCTCTCAATGCCCGCAGCCGGAGCCCAAACTGAAGCCAGCCATGCTGCCACCTGATTGCGACAAGGCGACTTTGCCATCGCCACATCTGTCGCACAGAGGTCGAGCGCACTAGCAAAAAGGTCGCAGACAGAGTCAAATGGGAATGGTGGAGCGGCCAAGTCGAGATCGGAGAACAGCGTCTTCAGGTCGTGAAGGTAGCGATGCTTGTCTAGTAAGTTGCTTTGCAAGAGCGCGTGTGCGGCAAGGGCTGCTTGACGGGATACGGCCGCGACTTGAATGCGGCGGCAGCAGAGGGTCCAAGTGCTTTCTAGGCTCGGGATTGCTGCGGCGATTAGGTTGGTGGGTTGCGAGAGGAGGGAGGCGAGGCATATGAAAGCCCAGCCCTGCAGCTCGTGATCCCCATCGCTAAGCAGGTCGATGATGCGCGTGGCCAAGCGCTGCTGCTGCTCAGCGTCCAGAGCGGTGGTGTAGTGGCGGCCGATGAGGAAGCAGGTCATCTGGAGGCGCCATAGACGATTCGAGCGCGCCTTGGCGAGTGTGGCTCCGGGCGCTTGAGCTAGACTGTCAATGAGGCGAGTGAGCGGGTCAGTCCGTGCAGACTCGTCGAGGCGTAGACGTTTGGACGGGCTTGCTGTATTGTCGCGAGTGCCAAGAGGTGATTGTGTCGTCTTCGATAGAGGGCGAGAGGCTGCTCTAGCGCGCGGTGGGGCACGCTTCCTTGTACCGGACCTCGCTGTCGGCTCGTCGTCGTCCACGGGGACATCCTCCGTACGAGATGATTCTACGAGCTCTACTCCTTGTCGTTCGATCAGTGTCGCAGTGACATCTGCGCAGAGCTCAAGCGCAGCCCATGACACGGCCGAATCTGCCGAGAAGGTTCGGCCAGCTGAGAAGAAGGGGGTGCGGAATGGCGACGATGCCTGCGGCTCGAGACGCAGAGAGAGCTGCTGCGGGTTGAGGGGGCCCAAGCTGAATCGATTCTCGCCATCTCCATCAAGCCGCTTCAGCAGCTGGGCGAGGTGTCCTCTTACCGGCTCGTCATCCTGGGATGCGAGGTAGGGCAGTAGGATACGAAACGCCACGACGAGCTGCTCCTTGACCGTCTTGTTCTTGCTGTCCCACAGCTGACAGAGTGGCTCCCAATGGCTGAAGGCGAAGCTGCGCATGGCTTGCGATTGATTGAATTCAATCTCCCGCAACAGCTCGTTCAGTCCAGCAAGGGCAGGGAGATGTGCGGTTGACTCCGTTGGGAAGCTCTGGAGGAAGCAGCCGTAGGCGGCCAGGAGGCGCAAACCCATCTTGTCGCGCTGATCGTTGAGAGGCGCAATCGGCGACGCCATGAGCTCTTCTAGGCAGCTCATCACTTCGATGTCCTCGAGGCCGAGAGCGCGCTTTGAGGGGCAGGTAGGCGCGGCTACTGATCTGAAGTCCACGAGAGGCAGGTCGGCGTTGAGGGGTCGAGTGAGGACAGCATTGAAGCAAAGTGATGCAATGGCGCTCCACTGATGGACATCGACGCTGTTACGATGCCCGCGATGAGACAGAAGCACGTGAAGAGCTCGAAGGTAATCGAGGGCAATAGGACTGAGCAGCTCCTTGCCCGCGGACAGCATCTGCACGAGATGGTTCAACAGCGGCTTGGCAGTCTGACGCTGAAAGCATTGCACGCTTCTTGCAACCAGCCAGCGTAACGAGGCTGCGGCAGCTTTGAGTCGATTGACGGAGACGGCGGTAGCGGAGGCTAGGCCGCCCTTCTTGAAGCAGGCCTCTTTCTCGAGGACAACACATTGGAAGTGCGCTTGAAAGACGGAAATCCAGACCTTGTCCTTGCCTCGGAGATCGCGAAGGACTCTGTTGCGGCTGAAAATGTCGCTGTATGCTGCTAGCCCGGCCGTGCGGTCGGAGACGCGCTCGCTCGAGATAGACTCGATGGCCGCTTGAAGAGATGAGGAGGCTGACATCGTGGTGCCGCAGCTGTGACGGGGCTCGCTCTTCTCTCAGGCAGGGATGCTGTTGCGGCGACGCCGTCCCTCAGCACTGCGTCGTCGTCGATGAGAAAAGGAATGCGGTTGAGAGATGCCTCATCTCCTTGATAGGACGGGATGAAAGGAAAGAAGCGGCTCAGAAATACTCACTGCAAGCCGTCCCGCATCGCAGCTTCCCCCCTTCCGCGTGGCCGCTTCCGTGGGGAGTCCGAGTGGAGCGTGACGCGAGGTTCATGGTCTCCCCGGCCATGCCGCGCCTGCATTGCCAGCCCAGCAGCCTCACGATCCACGGGCCTCAGATAGGAATGAAGAAGCGTGAGAATGGGTATGAATGAATCAGAATACAACTTACGGCTGCGTCAAGACGATGACGAGCAGATGCGACAGGATGAAGAGCAGTCTAGTCGCGTCGCAGCACCCTCTCATCCCTGTCGCGTGTCTCCCTCTGCTTGTCCACTCTCGCGCCATCATCGTCTTGCCTGCTCCTCTGGTATACTCTCACCCAATTGGGAGCTAAGAAGTTCAAGTGTAGCAAGGGAGATTGTCAGGCGGGCCGCTACGGTGAGGTAAATCATGTAGATGAGGATGAGCAAATGTGAGTGTGAGTGTGAGTGCGACGGGCTAAGGGCAGATGAGTAAGTGATCAGGGCAGCCTGATAGCTGATCTTGTGGAAAATGGCGTGGGTGTATGGTTGTGGAGTCAAGATGTCTCACCCTTCGCGATGCGCGACTCATCCCCGACTCCCCTCGTAGAGTCGATAGCGCGCCAATGCACTCTCAGCCGGCTGCCGTGACATTTCACTCGGCGCCGCGTTCCCGCACCACGGGTTGACGTGGTTACTTCATTGTGCGCTGACTTCAGTGGCCACTGAATGCACCGAGGGGTGAGCTTGTGACGCAGTTTGGAGGCTTTTGTGTAGCGCTTGCTACTTCGAATGCGCTAGGCCTGTACCGATGGGCGTCCGTGCGTGTGGCTGCGAGGGGGGCGAGCGGCGTGGGAGTGAGTCGAATGGCGGTCTCAAAGTTGTTGAGTATCTATACGCACTGTTGATCGATCCTTTCATAAGCCCCTGATAGCTCAGTTGGAAGAGCGTGAGATTGTAATTGGACATTCGAATCTTCAAGATTCTCTCGAGGCCGCTGGTTCGATTCCGGCTTAGGGGAGTTTGAAATTTTTAAACTCCGCTCCTTTTTTCAAACTCCGCTCCGTTTCTTTGTGTCTTTGCCCACCTCTGCGTGCACACGAGTGCATGAGGGTCTCGCCAACCGTGCTCACTCGGTCACGCTGTTGAGCATTTCATCGGATATACATACAAGGTGGCATGGATACATAGTTGGTCCTTCGATGTCGCCAGAAATTAGAATGACATGGCCTGCGCCTGCTTGAGCTGCTCGGCCCCACCGACACCATGAGCCGCCGCAGCGCTCCTCGTCAAGTTTCTCGGACTAGCGAAACGAGTACCCATACTCAGCGCACTCGCCCCGCCACCACTTGCACCACCGATCGGTGGCGAAGCGCTCCTCTTCTCAGGTCCCCCGCCCACTACGCTACTCTCCGCCTTCTTCTTGGCATTCGTGGCCTCATCAATCGCATTGTCGATGATCTGCTGGAGAAGCTGACGCGCTTTGAAAGAGGCTTCGCACTGCGCTAGCATCGGGTGTGTGTATTCAATGAAGTTCGTGCAAGCTTTCACCTTGTCCTGGTCCTGCTTAGCTAGGCGCTTGAGTGGTTCGAGCCATTCTTGGTAGGCTAAACGGCCGCTTTTACGCGCCGCGAGATACTCGGTCTGGTTGACCTCGAGGTAGTCTCGCAGGGGCAACCGGCCCAATTTGGCCATCGTGCGGCCAGTCTTTCGTTGCAGGTCCAAGCGCGCCGACTGCAGGGTTCGCCACCTCGGTTTTTCGAGGCTTCGCAGCTTGGCCTCGGGTGGTTTGGGAGGATTGGTGGCCCACATCTGCCAGTCGCCCATCACGCCCGTGACGCTCCCCGCCCCAGGTGAGAGGTTGCGACCACTGCTGGTGGGGTAGTTCATGCTCATCGACGCGCTAGCATCAGCATTACCTTCGTCATCGCTACCCGCGATTTCGTCGTCACTTTCCTCTTCCGGGATCGAATTGCGCTTCGCTGTGCTGCTCCGGGCAGAGACTCGCGTAGGGGCAGAGGAGCGGGGCCGCTTCTTCAAGGATGATGAGGCAGAGGCGCTGGGTGCGGTGAAAGAGTTGTGAGGGGGCGAGCCTCCCGAGTGCGACTGCATCGGCACGGCATCCACGCTGTGTGAGTGGGAGAGAGAGGGGGGGTGCGAGTGAGGGCCACCGTGCGGGACAAAGGGCCCTGGCATGCTTGCCCCGCTGCTACCGTCGTAGATGGAGCCTCGGTGCATGTCATGGTTAGCGTGACCTTGCTGCTGACCCATGTCGAAATGAATTCGCTGCTGCTGCTGCATAGGCGGAGGAGCCATGGGAATAGGATTCGTAGGCCGTTGAGAGTGGTCGACGGCGGTGAAGGGTCGTCCACTGCCGTAGGAGCTGCCCGGACGGGCGCGAGAGGACTCGACGTGAGGGACGTCAAAGCCGACGCTGCCGGGCATATTGGTGGAGTAGAAATCGGCTTGCGCCATTGGAGCGCCACCATTGCCTCCGCCGGAGCCGTCGTTGGGAGGCTGCCCGTTGCCGTTGATGGACGGTACGGCCGGATAGAAGGTCATGCCATTTGCGGCACTAGCATCGCCGATGACGCTGCCATCTGCCGTGGCGGGTGGCTGAGGATACTGCTGATGCATAGCATCATTGTTGTCAACATCGTATACGCCACGCTGCTGCTGCTGCTGCTGCTGAGCTTCGTCAGCGGCGGGATCAAAAGCGAAGGGATGGTTGGAGTCGCGGCGGAAGTGGGCCGGTCCGGCATGCTGAGGATCGTGCCAAGCTCCATCCGCCGAGTGAGGAGGCTGTTGTTGCTGATTGTGGTGAGCAGGAGGTGAGTCGAAGCGGCGGCGTTTAGCTTCTGCGCCGCGACCGTCGACGAGTTGCGACATCAGAGAGACGAGAGAGCTGAGTTGGACCGAGAGTGAGGAGAGCTGCATAAAGCGTGCAAAGTCAGACGACATGCCTCGCTGACATCAGGCGCAAACTCACTTGAGCTCCAAGGTCTTTGCCCACTCTCTCGACGGCGTCAACCACAGCGTCGTTGCCACTGTCATGACCTCGAGGTTGGAAATGAGGCGGCGGCATCGAGGCGGACGAAGAGGGGCCCGCAATGGATCCTTGCGGCTGCTGATGATGATAGCCCTCGATGCCTGCGGACAAGTGGTGCGACGAAGACGAAGACGACGAATTGTTGTGCTGATGATGAATGTGATGATGATGGTGGAAAGGATTGCCGGCCATGTTGTTCCTGGAAGTACGCGCCGACGAAGCATACGAGGACCCAGATACAACAACTGGGTTGGCGGCGGCGGCGATGCTGCTCCCCGCGGATGCTGCTGGGCCCGCCGTGTACTGCGCTTGTGGGTCTGCTGCTGCCCCAGTCGTGGGCGGCAAAAACGACGAAGACGATGAAGGATCGTTTGGATAGAATGGAATTGAGGGCGGCTCACGACCCGTCGAGACCGACGAGTGCATAGCGCGCGCTACGAGCAGCAGGGACGATGTTGATGATTGATGATGAAGGAGGACGACCGAGGAGAAAGACGAGGCGAGGGAGGGGACAGTGAGATAGGCGGAGGAGGGAGGGGAACGGACGGCCGTCTCTTGGACGTGGTGCCGGCCTCGGCGCGACTTTGGGCCTCAGTCCGACGATCGTCAAAAGCCAAGGCGGCCCAGGAAAGCAAGCAAGGAAGCAGCGGGCGGCTGAGCAAGGCTGAGACGCAAGACGACGAGATCGGGCAGGAGGACCAGCGTCCTGGGATTGCCCAAGTTCACACGGTTCTCGTTGACGAGTTCTTGATAGTGAACACAGAGAGAGGAGCGACAGTCTCATGGCGAGGATTGCTGTATGACAACCGCAACAGCGATCTGTCATTCTGTCAACGCTCACGGCGTCCATCGATGTCCGTTTTGGCATCCTCGATTTGGGGGCGGGGCGGCCTCGGTCGTGCCTGAGTGCTCTGACCCAAGCGTACGCTTTGACCTCGCCGTGCTTCATGCCTTTCCTCCACCTTGATCACCTTTGCAGGACGTCATTTTGGCTATCGATCTCACATCCATCGCAACGCAACGCACCGCATCGCATCGCATCGCCGGGCTGTTCAATCTGGACATGCACTCGCGTCTTGGCTCCCAACGTGGCTCAACAAGCTTCCTTTGTTCGTCTTGGGCGTCCCTATGTTCGCTCTCCGCTGCCGGTTGTGGGGAGCGAGCGAGCGACGCGGCGATGCCGTCAGACCTTGGGAACAAAGGGGACGACGAGGACAAAGGAAGCTTCATAGCGTGGCGATGATACCTTCGGGCGAGGTGGACATGGCATCTATAGTTGCCGCCGTCATCTCACATCTGCTTTTTCCTGTGTACGCATCCACCATGAGCACGTAGAGACACGCGCCCGACACCGCCATCATCGATACCAGCATCATGACGTCGAAGCAAGAATATTATGCAGCCTCCATCCCACCCTCTCCCATCACCTCGACCGCACAGTTGCCTCTCAGGGATGATGTCAAGCCCATGGCAGCATCGGCAGCCTCCTCAAAGCCACGCTCGCCGTCTCTACGCCTCCTATACTCCTCCCTGTCAGCTCGGCACACCCCACTCCTCGCCGTCGCCGTCATCCTCTCCATAACGTCGGGGGCGCTCCCTCCGCTGATGTCCCGCATCCTCGGCCAGCTCTTCGATGCCTACACGGCATACAATCCCGAAGGTCTGCCCGCCTCTGAGATCTCGGCGCAGAAGAAGGCTGAGCTGATGAGGAAAATCGTACAGGGAGTATGGCACCTCGCTCTTGTCGGTCTGGCAGTAATGATCCTCAGTACGCTCATGATTTCGACGTGGATCGTCATCGGCGAAAAAGTGGCTAGTAGGCTACGTCGCAGAGTGTACGTCAGCGTCAGTCAGCGCAAGATGGAATGGTTCGACATGGGGGCTGGAGCAGAGGAGACGGGCGAAAATGATCCTGACGGGGCAAAGATAGACTCAGACGTAGCGACGTCGTCCTCTTTGGGAGCTGGCGGTCTCATGGCCAAGTTTTCGCGCGAGACGGACGACGTCCGCCTAGCTACCTCACAGTATTCGGGGCAGCTCCTTCAGTACCTCACCACCTGCCTGGCATGCCTCATCCTAGCCCTCGTCTCGGAATGGAGCCTCGCTCTGGTCATCCTGGCCAGCATACCCGTAACCATCTTAATCACTGGTGCTGTAGAGAAGTATACAATACCCTTCTTGGCCGAAGAGCGAGCCATCAGCGCCAAAGCTAGCAGCCTTGTCGAGCGTATCGCTCTCTCTATCGCCACGGTAAAGGCATTCGCTGCGGAAGCGCGCGAACTGCAACGCTTCAGTAAGCTTCAGCACGCTGGGTCTGCGGCGTACAAGAAGGTGTCCTTTGCATGGGGAGTGCGCCTGGGCCTCTCGAGCTTTCTCGTTTTCTCTATGTTTGTTCAAGTGAGTAGGCGAGCTACACAGCCTTGATATCGCAGCATTGTAGCTGACCGGCTCTTGATTCCTCGCAGGGCTTCTGGTACGGTAGCTACCTCGTACAGCGCGGCAAGACCACACCCGGCACTGTCTTCACCGTCTTCTCGGCCTGCCTCATTGCAAGCCAGCACCTTCAGCTCATCATTCAGACGCTACAGATCGTCGAAAAGGGCAAGATCAGCGCCCTTGGCTTGGAGAGGCTGATGCACAATGACGAGGATGCAGCGACAAAGCCTCAAGGCAACACGAGCGTACGAAGGCAGCTCTCAAGCTCACGGACCCGCAATGCAGCCCGAGTTGTGTTGCGACTGGAGGACATACCCGCCAGCCCGCTCAAGAGCCCGCTCAGCGGCCAGTCATCTCGATACGGCTACTCAGACTCTCTGCACACGCTCACTTCTCCCAGCCGTAGCCGCTTTTATCAACAGGCTATAGGGACGGGCACTATTCGCAAGATCAGGCCCGACTCCCGCTGCCTTGGCGAGATCACACTGACCAATGTAAGCTTCACCTACCCATCTGTCAAGAAGAGTCTCGTCACTGGAGGCGAGCAGCAGCTCACCCTCGATGGCATCAACATGTTCATTCCGGCGGGCGAGATTACTTTCATCGTCGGCGGCAGTGGAAGCGGAAAGTCGACAATCGCGCAGCTCCTTCTGCGCTTGTATCGCCCTGATGTGGGGACGATTGAGATAGACGATCGTGATGTCCGCTTCCTGGACCCAGAGTGGTTCAGGGCACAGATCGCCTCCGTCGACCAACATCCCATCGTCTTTGACCTTTCAGTACACGATAATGTTGCGTTGGGCATCATTGGGAGAGCATCAGAACTCAAGGCAGGCTCCGTCACGTACACAAAGGATCACGTTCCCGTCGTTCCCCGCTCGGAGGTCGAGGCGGCATGTCGTACGGCCTTGCTCCACGATTTTGTCAAGGGCCTACCCGACGGCTATGACACCGTCTTGGGCACGCGCGGCTCCTCCTTGTCAGGAGGACAGAAGCAACGCCTCGCCATCGCGCGAGCACGTTTGCGTGACCCGCCCATCCTGATCCTCGATGAAGCAACCAGCGCCCTGGACCCCACCTCGCGACTGCTCATCAACGAAGCGGTCAAAATTTGGCGGAGGGGCAGGACCACGATCATCATCACGCATGACCTCAGCCAGGTCGAGGGAGAGGACTTTCTGTATATGATGAAAGAGGGTAGGATCGTCGAGAATGGATATCGCGATGATTTGGAGCGTATGGGGTCAGGCTTCTTTGCTAGCTTGGCGGAGCAGCAGAGGGGTCAGGCAGAGGAGAAGCGCGAGCAAAGGCATGCTGGCTCCGGCTCGCCACCAGTCATCTCAACACCGAAGCTTGCGCGCATGCCCCCGCACAATGGAGAGGATGTTGAGGAGCTTATTGAGGCGCTGCCTCAGAGCGCTCCAAGCTATCGATCACAAATCCGCACAGCAGAGGGATACCCTGCGTCGCCGGCCCGGCGCTCGACTTTCCGCTACAACACAGCAGCAGTGTCCAGCGACCGTAAGCTCTCCCGACACGGTCGCCAACTCTCCTCCGATTCGCTCCACTCAACAGGCTCTGCCTACTCGTCGTCTTCCTTGGACTCCGCCGCAGGACCCTCAAAACCCAAGCTCATGAGAACGAGCAGCGACGACCCAGGGTCTGACCGATCTGGAGCCAAGGGACTACGCACGCTTCGCCTTGCTGAACAGCAGCACGCCTGGGTAGCTACACGAGATGCGCCCTGGCTGGAGGACGCGGGGAAGATGGCCGCCTCACTGCGCCACCAGCCCTCCACGGAATTGAGCCTCCGCACGCGCAAGGTCTGGAGCGAGGATGACCTCAACAAAAGCGTTGCAGCAATCAGAGACGTCAGAGTTGACATGCACCTCTGCGCAACGGCCTCTGCAGCCGCCAATGCTCTGGACGGAGCTGAAGTTTTGCTGTCTCCGCCAGCCCCACTCATCGCCACCCTACGCTTCGCGCTGCGTACCATACCTCTCAAATCGCTCTTCGCCCTAGGCTTGATCTGTTCAGTCCTGTCAGGTGGCATCACGCCCATCTTTTCCTTCTTCCTCGGCAAGCTTCTCGCCACCATGGGCCTGCAGAATCAAGCGCACAATGTCCTCCTCTACGCTATCTGCGTGCTGGGCCTCGCTGTGCTGGAGGGAATCTTCTCTTTCGGTAACTTCTGGCTGATGGAGTTTGTGGGAGAGAGCTGGATCGAGAAGCTGCGCTGCATTGCCGTTCGCAAGGTGTTGCGCCAGGACAAAGGGTGGTACGATACGGCTGAGGATGCTAAGCCGGGCACGCTGGTGGCGCGCATTGTCCAGGACGCAGAGGATGCGCGCAATCTCATTGCTCGACAGATGGGGGCTCTCCTCATCGTGGTGGTCATGGTCCTTGCCGGCCTAGCGTGGGCCTTGCTGGTAGGCTGGCAGCTCACCCTAGTCGGCATGGCCATAGGACCCATCTTCGTCGCTGCCATGACGCTACAGTCGCGCATCGTCTCGCGCTTCGAGACGCGCAATAAAGCCAGAAGAGAGGGCGTGGCCAAGAGCTTCTACGAGGTGGTTGCTAACATCAGAGGGGTGAGGAGCATGGCGCTTGAGCCCGTCTTTGCTGCACAGTTCAACGATGCCCTCATTGCGACGGAGAGGGATGCGCTGCGGGCTGCGCCCTTTAGTGGGTTCGGATTCGGGATGGGCGAGGGGTTGACGTACCTTGCCGAGGCGCTCCTCTTCTACGTGGGGGCCGTCTTCATCACCAAGGGGATCTACGACTTTGAGCGCATGGTCGTGGTATTCAACCTCTTCATCTTCGCCATCACCTTTGCGGCCAACACGATGGCGTACCTGCCTGGCTTGAGCAAGGCGATACAAGCTACGGCTGACTTGAGGAGGCTAGTGGAGTTGAGTGATGACAGCGGGAGCGAGCAGGCTAAGGAGCAGCAGGACACCGCTTCGACGCCGCCCGAGGGACATGTCGTCTTTAAGGACGTCTCCTTCAGCTATCCTTCGAGGCCCGACGCGCCCGTCTTGACCAGGGCCAATTTCACCGTGCAGCGAGGCGAGAAGGTAGCTATCGTTGGTCCCTCGGGATGCGGCAAGAGCACGATTGCTGCGCTGCTCCAGCGCCTGTACGAGCCGGAGGTGCCTCAGGACTCGATGGGCAAGGATGGTAGCGACGCCGGCATCTACCTTGGCGGTCGCCGAGTTAATACTCTACTCGCCCCTGACCTACGTCGCCATCTCGCCATCATCTCGCAGCACCCCGACCTCTTCGACATGACGGTAGAAGACAACGTGGGCTACGGCCTCCCCGACGGCGAATGGGAGCAAGGGAACGATCCAATCGCCACAGCCGCAGCGATTCGCGCTGCTTGCTCACTTGCTCAGAGTAGCGGCTTCATTGCGGCACTGCCAAAGGGGTACGGTACGCAGGTGGGGGACTCGGCTTCGCTCATCTCGGGCGGACAGAAGCAGCGATTGGCGATTGCGAGGGCATTGCTGAGGCTGCTTCCGCAGCGAGACGGTCATAACCGCTGCGCAAGCGTGCTCGTCCTGGACGAAGCCACCAGTGCTCTGGACGACGTGACTCGCGCCGCCGTCCTCGACGCTATACTACCCACCAGCAAGGCCAGCAAGACCAGCCGAGATGCAGCCACGGCTAGCCTGCTGGAAGACACGACCGTCTTGGCAGTGACGCACAAGCTCGACGAGATGAAGCGATGCGATCGCATCGTGGTACTAGAAGCGGGCAAGGTGGTGCAGCAGGGCAGCTTTGAGGAGCTGATGCAAGTCAAAGGTGGTGCTTTCAGGACGTTGGCAAGCGCGGGCGAGTGGGGGGCATGAAAGGACTATACCCGGGTCTGCAGTCTATGCTGCTGCTGCTGCTTCTCCTTCTTCTGTTACCATTACCGTCATCGCCATTGCATCCATTATCTGTAGCATTGACGATTCGAACGTCTTCATGCCCGCCTAGTCATCGAAAATCTCAGCTCTAGCCTTCTCCTCCTGCACCTCTCTCGGCGCCTCAATCCCCTCACCGGCCATTCTCCTCTTGACCTTGTCCCTCCTAGCATGGTTGACCTGATCGCGTTCCCATTGGTCCGTGAGCAATTTCCTATCCTTCAGACCTTCCTGGCCTGCTTTGCTCAAGACGCCTACGATGAGCTCCAGTGCTCGGAGGCTCTCGTCGTTTGCCGGGATGGGGTAAGTGACGATGCGCGGGTCAACATCTGTGTCTACGATTCCGATGGTGGGAATGTTCAAGGCCGTAGCCTCGCGAATGGCGTGCAGATTGTTCTTTGGGTTGAGCACGATGAGCACGTCGGGCTGCAAGAGCTGACTAGCCAGCTTGGAGGGGGAAGGCTCCGAATTCACATCGGCGAAGGGCGAGTCCCTCGCCGCTGTCTGCCCTCCGATGGCAGCATTGCTCTTGTGCTGGGCGATGTAGTCATCCATACTTCCCATGATCGCCCTCTGAAGGATCTTGGGTGCATTGGAGAGGACTCCGGGTGTCCATCGCTCCGTAGTGACATGGAAGCCGTGCGAGCCCATACGAGCTGCGGCAGCAATGACTGCGGGGGAGGCGTCCTTCTGCGTGCCTACGATGAGGACTACACCATCGTTCCTGACGATATCGCGAACCACCCTGCAGGCTCTACGGAGTGCTGGCAGCGTCGCCCTTTCAATGTCAATCTGCGCAATGCCGTGACGAGTGCCGTAGATCCAGGGCTGGTAGGCCTTGGTCACTTTGGCCATCGAGTGGCCAACGTGGGCGGTCGCTGCAATCAAGTGCGACATCGTCACCTCGCGCGGTGAAGGGGGCTTGGTACGCATCTCTCTTGGATGCCATGCAGATGCGCGAGTCTGGGTGGAGCCTAGGTCAGAGAGTTGGGAGAGGGTGGTGCGGGTCTGGCGGCGCTGTGCAATTGCGGGGGCGTCCGTAGTAGTGGCGGCCGTGGCGGCGGCTTGAGTGTGCGATGTTGAAAAGCAGCGCTGCAGGGTGTGTCGAGATGGACCTGCGACGCTCGATGCTCGCATTGGTGCTGCCATGCTGATGCTGAGGATGCTAGGGATATGTCAGGACAAGATTGTGCTGCTCAATCGACCGACTCGTTCCGCCCTCGAAGTTGCGCAACTAGCTGGTCAGCCCGTCTGATCAGGCCGCCTGTCCGCTCGTCCGCTCGTCCGCTCGTCCGCCCGTCCGCCCGTCCGCCCGCCGCCTTCCGCCGCCTCCGCGATGACTCTGCGGCAGTAAGGAGTGGTGGTAGCACACAGATGCTAGACTTGAGAAGCCCTTTTTTCATTCGCTAAGCAACATTGACGCCACTCTCAGCACGATGACTGCAGATGATAGTTACTTTGCTCGACGTCGTTCTATGTGCAGCTTTGTGAGGCAGTCATCGCAGCGAGCTTCATGGTCTGACTGCTCTGAACCTGTCCGGGGCGGCGGCGGCGCATCGCTCGACAGCTGAACCCAACCCGGAACCGACCCTTCTTCGTGTGCTGCTTGGACGAAATTCTTACCTCGGCGCGGGCGCGGGAGAAGAACCGTCTGTCGCGAGCCAGATGGCGGCAAGGCGGAGGCAGGAGGAAGGCAAAGCAGGCAAGCAGCGCCAGGGCTCACAACGAAGGAGCCTTTCGCGGGCGGGCGGCCGCACTCTGGACTGGGAGCAGCTAGGGATTTTCGATCTTCTTCACCACCCACCACCCTACCACCCTTATCCTTACACCGCCCCCTTTTCATTCACAATGGCTTCGGAGCAGGTCCCCGCCGCTGAGGCTGCCAACGACGACGTCTTCCAGGGCGCCATCGGTATTGGTGCGTGCCACAACGATGAGCTGATGAGCAGCTGCGGCTACCTCCGCCGCGGCCAAGTTGACACGAAAGTAGCTCACACTCTGCATCCTACCATCCCCTCACAGACCTTGGTACCACGTACTCATGTGTTGCTCACTTCGTTCCTGGCTCTGAGCGAGTCGAGATCATCGCCAACGACCAGGGAAACCGCACCACCCCTTCATACGTCGCCTTCACCGAGTCTGAGCGTCTCATTGGTGACGCTGCCAAGAACCAGGCTGCCATGAATCCCAGGCAAACGGGTGCGTTGCAGCGACAACGGGCACGCTTTTTGAATCTATGCAGCCATACTGACCCGGCTTCTCCCCCTCCCCTCCTCACCTGCGCAGTCTTCGACGCCAAGCGTCTCATTGGCCGCCGTTATGACGACCCCGACGTCAAGAAGGACATGCAGAGCTGGCCCTTCAAGGTCATTGACCGTGATGGAGCCCCCGTCATCCAGGTCGAGTACCTCGGTGAGACCAAGCAGTTCTCCCCTCAGGAGATCTCTGCCATGGTCCTCTCCAAGATGAAGGAGATTGCTGAGGCCAAGATCGGCAAGGAGGTCAAGAAGGCCGTCGTCACTGTCCCCGCCTACTTCAACGACTCGCAGCGTTTGGCTACCAAGGACGCTGGTGAGTATGCGTGGCAAGATGACGAAACACAAGGGAGGTCCAATGGGGGGCGGGCGCCGGGATTACTCCACTACTTCTCGATATTCCATGCTAAGACTGAGGTCGCGGTGGGGCAACCCGCCGTTTGGCCAATGTGGAAGAAGAGATATTCGCACATGCTTGGCTGAGCGCACGGAGAGAGGATGAAGGCAGATGAGGAGGAACAGCATAACAGAGGCGCAGCAGCTGGCATACAGAGGCTGACCAATCTCTCTCCTTCCCTCTACGCCAGGCTCTATCGCTGGCCTCGAGGTGCTCCGTATTATCAACGAGCCCACCGCCGCTGCCATTGCCTACGGTCTCGACTCCAAGTCGTCGACTGAGAAGAACGTCCTCATCTTCGACCTGGGAGGAGGAACCTTCGATGTCTCGCTCCTCAACATCACCGGTGGTGTCTTTGCCGTCAAGGCCACGGCCGGTGACACCCACTTGGGTGGTGAGGACTTCGACGCTGCTCTCCTCGACCACTTCAAGAAGGAGTTTGAGCGCAAGAACAAGCTCGACATTTCCGACGACCCGCGAGCTGTTCGTCGTCTGCGTTCGGCCTGCGAGCGTGCTAAGCGCACTCTGTCCTCCGTCACCCAGACGACCGTCGAGGTTGACTCGCTCTTCCAGGGCGTCGACTTCTCGGCCAACATCACTCGTGCTCGTTTCGAGGAGATCAACGCCACTACCTTCAAGGGCACCATCGACCCCGTCTCCAAGGTCCTCAAGGACGCCAAGATGAACCCCGACAAGGTCGATGACATCGTCCTCGTCGGTGGCTCGACTCGTATCCCCAAGATCCAGTCCCTTGTCTCTGAGTTCTTCAACGGCCGTCAGCTCAACAAGTCGATCAACCCCGACGAGGCTGTTGCCTACGGTGCCGCCGTCCAGGCTGCTGTCTTGACCAACCAGACCTCGGACAAGACTGCCGACCTCCTCCTCCTCGACGTCGCTCCCCTCTCCCTCGGTGTCGCCATGCAGGGTGACGTCTTTGCCCCCGTCATCCCCCGCAACACCCCGATCCCGACGACCAAGTCGCGCACCTTCACGACCGTCGAGGACAACCAGCAGCAGGTCACTTTCCCCGTCTACGAGGGAGAGCGCACCCAGTGCAAGGACAACCGTCTTCTCGGCGAGTTCGAGCTCACCGGTATCCCGCCTATGCCCAAGGGCCAGGCCGAGCTCCTCACCACCTTCGAGGTCGACGCCAACGGTCTCCTGCGTGTCACTGCTCAGGACAAGGCTTCCGGCCGCACCGCCAACATTACCATCACCAACTCGGTCGGCCGTCTCTCTTCGACTGAGATCGACCAGATGATCAAGGACTCTGAGCAGTTCAAGAACTCGGACAAGGAGTTCCAGGCCCGCCACGACGCTCGCAACGACCTCGAGGCTTACGTTTCGTCCGTTGAGTCGACGATCAGCAACCCTGCGGCGACGATCAAGCGTGCTGGTAAGATGGAGGTCGAGCAGCAGCTCGCCAAGGCGCTGGAGGTTCTCGAGCTCGACTCGGCCACGTCAGACGACTACAGGAAGGCTTCGCTCCGCCTCAAGAGGGCGACCAACCGCGCTTTCCGCAACTAAGCATGTGCGTGCGCGATTGTGGGGCTTTTCTAGGAGGAAGTCAGTAGTGCGGGCGAGGCGATGTTGGAGGCTGTGATGATGAACTCTTTTTTCCTGGTCTCTTGCATCTGTTCTGTTCTCCCGTGGCTGCATCTTGGGTCTCGTCTCCTGTGATCTCTCTCCTTATCAAAAAGACGTCCTTTGACTCGGCCAGAAGAATGTGAAGCCGCGTAAGCGTGAGCACGATGATGATGATGATCACGGCGTCGGTTGCTGGTTGCTGGACATTGAGGCCTCGTTACGTTGTGCATTGTCGTCGCCGGCTTCGTCGGCTCATTGCCATCGGCGCTTGCTCTTGATCGGCGAGGTGCCCCCACGCCTGTGTGCACTTTTTCTTCACGCGGCCGAGTCAGACGAGGCCAGCCGCCCAAGGTCCGCCCGCTGCCATTTTGGTCGGAGGCGCGCAGGTGAGCGAGCGATAAGGCAGCGACGGCCGTCCGTGCGCTTAACAGGCAGTCTTTCTTCCTTTCTTCCTCCCATCACACGTATTCTACTCTCACAACATCACCAAGATGGCTTCATCAAAGGGAAAGGTTCTCCTGGCTTACTCTGGCGGTCTCGGTGAGTATCATCAAAGAGTGGGGAACACATCGCTGCTACGACTTGCTCATCATCACGGCTCTACCCAACGTACCGCACCCGCAACTAGACACGTCGACGATCCTGGCATGGCTCATCGACGAGGGCTACGACGTCGTCGCCTTCATGGCCGATGTCGGTCAGGAGGAGGACTTTGAAGTCGCTCGTAGCAAGGCGCTCAAGTGCGGTGCCAAGGACTTCATTCTCGAGGACCAGAAGAGGGAGTTCATCACTGAGCTCATCTACCCGTGAGCATGAACCAGCATATATTCACGAGATCCCCTCCTCTTACGCCATCTCATCCCTCCTCGTCCCACCAACAGCGCTGTTCAAGCCAATGCCATCTACGAGGACGTCTACCTGTTGGGCACCTCCCTCGCCCGCCCCGTCATCGCTCGCGGTATGATCGACGCCGCCGCCAAGCATGGCTGCCAATACGTAGCGCATGGCTGCACGGGCAAGGGCAACGACCAAGTGCGCTTCGAGCTCGCCTTTTACGGCCTCAAGCCCGACATCAAGGTCATCGCTCCCTGGCGCGACCCTGCCTTCTACAACCGCTTCGCCGGCCGATCCGCCCTCCTCGAATATGCAGAGTCCAAGGGCATCCCTGTCACGCAGACCAAGAGCAAGCCCTGGTCTACTGACGAGAATCTCTTCCACATCTCCTACGAGGCTGGCATCCTCGAGGATCCCAACACTACCCCTCCCGCTGACATGTGGAAGCTGACCAACTCGCCCGAGACGGCACCGGACCAGGGGGAGAAGGTTCAGATCACCTTTACCAAGGGCGTACCTACCTCTGTAAAGGTTGCCTCGACGGGCAAAGAGCACACCGACGCTGTCGACATCTTCTTCACCCTCAACAATCTCGCCCGCCTTCATGGCATCGGGCGATGCGATATCGTCGAGAACCGTTTCATCGGCGTCAAGTCTCGTGGATGCTACGAGACCCCCGCGGGCACCATTCTTCGTGCGGCGCACATTGACCTCGAGGGCCTCACGCTGGACCGTGAAGTTCGTCGCGTGCGCGATCAGATTGTCACGACCAAGTTCAGCGAGCAGCTCTACTACGGCATGTTCTTCACCCCCGAATGCAAGTACGTCCGATCCTGCATCCCCGGCTCGCAGGCTACCGTCAATGGTACCGTCTCGCTCAAGCTTTACAAGGGGAACACCATCGTTGAGGGCCGTGTCTCGCAGGAGCAGCTCTACGACGAGAAGTTCTCGAGCATGGACGAGCTGGGTGGATTCAAGCCCGAGGAGACGACCGGCTTCATTGAGGTCAATGCCATTCGTATCAAGCGATACGGTGTTGGGCAGGCGGAGAAGGGCAAGGGCGGGAGCAGTCTCAAGGCTGCCTACGCATTGGAGTAGACGTCGATGTGCACTTGTGAATGGTATTGTAATGAGGATATTTTCTTTCCTTTACGCCGCCTCCGGCACTACGACGCCAGCCTCGTCTTCGAGCTCTCTGACCGCTTCGACGGCCTCGTCAGGATAGCGGATGAAGAGACCCTGCAATTCGGCCATGCTGACTCCTCCTTTTGCTGCTGGCCGCCTTGTCGCCTTGCTGCGCTGCTGCCTTCGACTCGTCACAGAATCGTGAGCCTCGATATTTTCTGTCAGCTTCTCGCTGCCCGCTGCGTATCTACCGGTAGCGTCCAGGCCCAACTCTTTGCGCCTGAGCTGATTGACAGCCCTGACGGCATTTTCAAGCCTATCTTTGAAGCTCACAAGCTTCCCCACCTGCCCGTAGAAGCGCTCAAACAGATCCCCCGCCATCGTCTCATCCGCGTCGCCCAACTCCTCGATAAGATCAACCCTTCCTGGCCTGATCAGCGCAGGGTCCAGCGCCTCGACGTGATTGGTCGTCATCACTACCAATCGCGACTCGCTCGAGGCGATGCCGTCTAGGGCATTGAGCAGGCCGGAGAACGTGACAGAAGATGAAACGCCGGGCCTCTTTGTGGCTGCGCTGCTTTGCTCGGCGCCGTCAGACGAAGGCGGGGAGCGAGAGGGGAAAGCGGCATCTATGTCCTCCAGCAGAATGATGCTCCTTTCCGGGGCCATACTGAGCAAGTGGTTAAGCTTGTCGTCTGTCAGTCCCCTCTCCGATAGATTCAGCAAGCAGATGTTGAGGTCTAGCTCGCCTGCTAATGCCGAGATGATGCTCGTCTTGCCGCTCCCTGGCGATCCGTGTAGCAGGTAGCCTCGTCGGTAGGGAATACCGCGTTTGGCATACCACTCTCCTCTCCCCAAAAAGGCCTGGATATCCCCCACAAGCCTCTCCTTCTGTCCCCGCTGAAGGACGACACTCTCTAGCCTCCTCGCCTTTCTTGGATTACCAAAGGCACGCCACTCGACGCCCCACGCAGTGTACACCGTCGTTTTGCCTTCAACCTTGCTTGCAGCCATCTGCTCTGCCTCGGCCAACAAGGCAGGGAGTACAGACCGACACGAGTGTAGTGTAGTGAGCGTCAAAGTCTCCCATGGCGCGCCGGTGGTCACATCGATGAGCTTGCCGTGCCGCTCCCGTACCAGACGAAGCCAGACATTGCGATAGCGGAAGAAGTGGGTCCCGGGGCCGGGGACCAGGGAGAAGGTGGAGCGGGTCGGTCTGGTGTTGGTAGCCTGAGGCTGAGACGAGGGCAAAGGCCCACCTGATTGATAAGCTGCGGCCTCTTGTTGTGCGGCCGTTGGGCCTGATGCAGCGGCTGTCGAGGTGATGACGGCCAAATCGCGTGAGATGATCTTGACTGGCCTAGGCGCACTTCCAGCGAATCCAGCAAGATGCAGCCCGTCCTTGATCCACTCCCCTCTCCTCTGTCCCCCGCTCTGTGAAGCAAGGTGTTGTCTTCTTGCCTGTTCATCCATCCATGCCAGCAGCCACGAATGGGCACGATCCCTGCTAGGCACCTCGAGGGAGACGAGCAAGCGACGCTGGACTGTTGAGGCTCCTTGAATTATCCCCTTTCGTGCGAGAGAGATGGCAGTCCCAAAAATGAGAAGGGAGACGCCTGTAGAGAGAAGCGGATTGGAGGAAGGGTTGGTCAGGGAGTGCCAGATGCCGGCATTGTCTGCGGTAGGAGGAGTAGGAACGAAGGAGGAGGACGACGACGTGTGGTGGGGGACTGATTGTGTTGATGACCTCGAAGCCGCATCATCCAGACTTGGCCGTGATAGGCTGGACTGCGGTAGCGAAGAGCCGCTTTCACTCCCCGATGCCTTGGATAGGAGCAGTGAGGACATCGGGCTGGCGAGGAGTGGAGAAGAAATGACGGACTCGACAAAAGGTCAAAAGCGGAGGCACGGAAGCGCGATGTGAGGAGCCATCGCGTGCGAGGCGAGACTTGAGTCTACTCTACACCTACGATGCCTACGATGCGATGCCGCGATTTGTGGCCATCCGTTAAGAGCAAAACAAGCCTCGCCTTCCGAGCAGACCAATGTGCCCATCCAAGTGCGACCGGGACCTGACCGCGGAAGCTCAGCTTATAGGCACCAACCGGGAAAATCCATGTGCCCATCAACGGCATTGCGGCAAATCTATTTGCTATCACGAAGCTGCAGTATGTGACTTTTCGCTGCTGGCATCCAGCCTACTTCTCCATCCCTACCACTCTGCTTGTCGCTATGTCGCCCCCGACCAACGCCACTGAGTTCGCAGCTACTGAGGCTGTCCTCCAGCAAGCCCTCGCTGACTACAAGGCAGCCCTCGAGGTTGACAAGGTTCCGCCTCCCCACCTCAACGACTTCAAACCTGCCGTCTTGGATGACCCCAACTTCGTTCCTTCTCCCGCCCTTGGTCAGGCCACGATGACCCTCATCAGCTCCCTCGGTAGGATGACGCACATGGTCCAGACTAGCGTGGAACGCTACCGTCTTCTTTCCTTAGAGCACTGGATCAATCGATCCGTCGTGCTCGTCGACAAACAGAAGATTCCTCAGCTCCTGATCAATGCTGGCGACAAGGGAATGTCCGTCGAGGAGCTCGGACCCAAGGTCAATGTGCACCCTGAGCGCCTCCTTGCCACGCTCCGCCTCCTTGCCAACGAAGACATCTTCGTCGAGGTCAAGGAGGGTGTCTTTGCCCACAACAGGACTAGCATGGCACTCGCCCAGGTAGAACTTTGCAGCGCAACCGTTGGTCACCTGTGAGCTTGCGACGAGGAGCAACATGGTCTCGCGGACAATCGACTCACTCAAAACTCCTGACACTCTTATGCTTGCACAGGGCTTTCCACTCGTACCTTGCCGCAGTCGAGATGCCCCGAAAGTGGGCTGATTCCGCAAAGCAAGGCAAGATTGAGCCCGATGTTACGCTGTGGTCGGAGCAATTCGGGTACACGGGCAAGATGACCTACTGGCAGTACCTCGAGAGTGCTGGACTGACCCAGAGGTTCGCCACGGTGAGCACGATTCGAAGTGCCTGAATGCGCCGAGTCTGACTGACCGAGACTTGGCGCCATGGGCCGCAGATGATGGGCTGCATTCCCACAGGTAGCCTCGCTCAAGCCTTCGACTTCTCTGGTCTCCTCGGTAACGGCACCACCATCGTTGATATCGGTGGCGGGCGCGGCACTACGCTCATGGCCATTCTTGACCGCTACCCTACACTCAAAGGGATTGTGCTCGACATGGCTCCCGTGCGTCAGGCCTTTGATGACTATTGGCGGGACAGCACTGTCGTCAAAGAAGGGCGCATCACCTTCGAGGTGGGCAACTACTTTGATGAGCAGCCCGAGAAGCGTCGCAACGAACAAGGCTATCACTATCTTGTTCGTTGCATCTTGCATGACCTACCCGACGACAAGGCTGTGACGGTCCTCCGCCGCATTGCTGCGGCCATGCATTCTTCCTCCAAGCTGATCGTCATCGACGAAATCATGCAGCCTGCCCTTCCTCAGCCCGTTGGCACCAAGCCCCTTCCCTTGGAGACGCCTCCTGGACCTCTGCCTGCCTCGGGAGGGATGGCCAAGACCTTCCGCAATCTGCTCGATCTCGAGATGCACGCAAGCTTCAATGCAAAGGAGAGGACGAAGAAGGACTTCGAGGCGGTGAGCATGCCGACCGTGGCGGAGGAGGCATAGCGCTAGCCACTCATAATCTGCACTCTGCGTTTTGTCTGCCGCACAGCTCTATGCTCAAGCTGGCTTGAAGCTGGTCAAGACTGCTCACTTCACCGCCTCGTACCCTTTGCAGGTGGTCGAGCTCGCCCTCTAGACGTGCAACGGGGGCCAGAAGGGTTACCCTCAGAATGAGCTGACGGGCGTGATCCATACCTCTTTCCTCGCTCTCTTGGCTCAATGATACACGTCCTGCTTGTGCTGCGTCTGCAGAGAAGTCTGATCTTGAGCGTTGGCTGAGGCCGCTCCCTTAGACTAGCAGGTCGATTCCTGACACGTGGCTCTTCCCGGCCCTCAGCCAATTGTGGAGCCCGCCTGCGACGCGTATCATATTCGCGTGCTTTTGATTCCATTCCACAGCTTGAGATCTCGAAGCCATCTCCTACGAGCATGACGGCAGGCTAGCCTTGCTTAGCAGCTGCGATGGACGACATCGCAGAAGCTTCGGCATCGAGCTCGAGCCAGCAGCGTCGTGGCCGTAGCAACCGTGTAGCCCCACTCTCAGTCCAGAGCTACCATGCTCGTCGTGGCTACTTCAGCGTGTCCGATCTCGTCGGCCCGCTATGGTGCGAGCAGGCATTCACGTACAACATCCTCGGACTGGGACACCTGCCAGTCTCTGAGAGGCCTGCAACTATTACGCTTCCTTCGGGCAATGTCATCCAGCCAGATCGGACCATCGCTGAGCGTCGTGAAGAGATACAAGTCCAAGGACGAGAGGTCCATGCTAAGCTTGAGCGCGAGATCCATCCGGTACAGGTCTACGTGCACACCAAGACGGAGGAGGACGATTGGGCGCTACGCCTGCTGCGCCTCGTCATTGGGTTGCGCTCGCTCCTCGATCGGGGCTGTGTTAGGGAGCTGCCCATCGTCGGCTGGATGCAGCACCATCTCGTCGTCGGCGTCATTGATGAGATCTCGCGCAAGCCCGTGAGGCAGCCTAGACGACCACCTGCAGCTCCTGCCATTCCGTCGGTTGAGCTATCAGAGGATCAGAGCAAGCTTCCCTTCGCCTCTGTATCTGTATCTAACCCTCTCGCGCCAGCTGGGTTCGTATCGCAGGCCCGCTCGCCAGGCAAGAAAGTGTGGGCATCGCAAGAAGAGTGGAAAGCGCACCAACGCAAGGTCGAGGCGGCCAAGAAGTCTGCAGCAAAGAGCAAAAAGCCGTCTACTTCATCGCCGAAGCGTGCGAAAGGAGCATCGAGCTCCTCGCCGCCTGCTTCTCCGGAGGCAAAGAGACAAAAGGGACTCGCAGCATTTGCTGGATTCAGCGCCAAGGCGAAGCAGGAGCGCGAGCCCTCTACATCAATCTCTTCGATCGCAGACCCGCCTGTGTCGGCCCCTCCTTCGACTCCTCCTCAACCTTCGACGCCTCCTCTTCCCATGCAGGTCAAGCCTCGTCCGCATGCCTTTTACATGTGCGATACCAAGACGCGCCTGTTCAACTCCTTACCCGCAGCAGAAGACCAGCGTGCTGGCCGCCTCCAGCTGCAGATCTATCGTCGCCTCTTCGATGGACTCTGCCTCGGAGCGGTCGAGCGATCTAAGGATTACCGAGCTAGTCAAGGGGACATCGAGCGGAGAGGAGGAGCCTTCAATGGTGAATCTGCTGTCATGCCCGAAGATGACAACTACTTGAACCTCGATCCAGAAGCACAGGCCCTTGACTTCGCTGCGCTCTTCGCATCCCTGGACCTCAACGCAGAGAGACGCCTGAGCGACGTCTTCCTCGACGACTCGACCGAGCTTCTTGAGGATGTCGACCTCTCCAAGCTATCCCTCGACGCCAAGTCCGCTTCGTCACCGTTCAGCAGCTCAACTTCCACTATGAAAGCCGCATCCCGCCTCACCACGCTCAGCGACGTAGTTCGACTCGTCGACGCAACAGTGCTCGAGCTCATCAATGCAGCGCAGCGCGATGCCGGACAGGCCCTCTCACCAGATTCTGCCCTCACGAGGGAGCACGCAGCGGTCCTTCATCCCGAGCTGAGCCTCGTCTACCGGCTGCAGGACAAGCGCGGCAAGTGGACGCGCAACAAATCGCAGCAGCAGCGCCTCACCACCAAGACTAAGAAGCAGAATGAGAAGCGGGAGCCAGCCTACCATATCAGTGACGAAGAGGATGAAGCGGAACTGCGTCTGGCGCTACAGCTGAGCCTTGAGGGGCAGGCGGGGGCACTCACAGAGAAGGAGACCTCTGCTGCCGCGACTCGTACAGTGGCCATGCCATCTTTGCCGCCGAGCCAGGGAGCGCGCAGGAGTCGTCGGCTGGCGAGTAGAAGAGCGGCGGCGTACAGTCCGGGGAGGCCGGCTGATAGCACGACGAAAGGGCTGGAGGGCTCTCCTGCACCTGCTACTACCGCCGCCCAGCCTGCTCAGCCAGCTCGACCAACCGAATCTCTGAGACCTACAACACCAGATCGAGCTCGAGCATCGACATCTCAGTCCTCCAGGCTGATAGGCATCTCCCACTTCCCTCACTCCCCCCCCGACCTCACAAACCACCTCATCTCAGTCCTCGACTTTTGGCTCGGTCGACGCCCTGCAACGGGCGTGAGCGAAGATCACTCGTGGCGATGTAAGGGTTGCGAGTTCAGAGAAGGGTGCGAGTGGCGCGAGGCGAGGGGTGAGGAGAAGAGAGAGTGGGCAATGAAGAGGAGGGAGGAGAAGAGAGAGGAGGCGAACGGCAGGGCAGGAGAGGCAAATCAGCAAGAGGACGACCAAGATGAGGAGGCAGCATTGTGGCTTTCCTTCGGGGGTGGAAGGGGGGAGACGCTCCATGTTGGTGCCGATGAAGAGGCGCTCAATCACGACGAGGAGGACTTTGCGCTTCTCGATGCGCTGGAAAGCCAACATGCGTCAGTAGCCGTTGAGGGAGGCGCCGCACCAGCACCAGAACCAGAACCAGACGTCGGTACGCCATCGTAAAGGCAGTAGTAGTGTGCAGTGTCACGAGAGTAGAACCTTGTTCAATTTTGTGCTCGATTTGGCCCAATCGGGCAGTGACTGCACCAGCGGAATCCATCTTGTCTGCTCACGCTACTTGGCACCCACCACCATCTATGAAACGAGCCCTGTCTCTCTCTTGCGCCCTCCTTGGTTGGAATCGGGGATATCAGTACGTGGTTCCCTCTGCTGGCTGAGGGAGTTTGCGGTTGGCAGCAGAGGCCATGTCTCTGGGCGAATAGAATGAAAGTGGCTGGTGAGCAATCGCCCATTGTGTGATGAGCCCACCCGCAGACAGGCTCCGGCAGAGGTTCTTGACGTATGGCATACACTCACCTCCTCAGCTCAACAAGGATCGTCTCGAGCGAGTAGTCCCTCTTCCACTTGGCCAAGACGGGGAACGACTTGTCGGAAACCTTTCCATCCCCACCCACGCAAGGGAGATTGATCCTCGTCACGAAGCGCACCGTAGGCGGCTGGTCTGGGTAGCTCTCACCGCAGTGGATGCTGAGCGAGTAAATCCTATTCTGGTGGACAGAGTGTGAAGGCCCGATAATGGTAGCGTTCCAGTTAGACATGAGGGTGTCGGTCCCATCGTCGAGGCCGTATGAGCACGATCCATCGCCAAGACCCTTTTCGCCCTTTTCGAGCTCCTCAAGGAGGCGGAAATTGCGTGGAACTAGGATTGCGAGGGGATGGCGGGGAAGGGGGTACAGAGGTAAGCATAGGGGATGGGGAGGTGCTTGCGCCTGCGCCTCACTCTTTGCCATGTCCGTCAATCCGCTCGTGTGGATGTGGTTCGAGTAGCAAGATGATTGGGTCGTGGACCGGTGGTGTGGGGCCTTGACTTGACCCTTTGAAGTGGGTGTGAGTGGAGCTGCCTGTCCGCCGGCTGGTCTGGTCTGAAAGGGCGCCACGCGTCTGGCGACGACGACCTGCACTCCCGTCCCGCTCTCGACGGATGATGGCTTAATTGCCATCCTAACCACCACGCCTGCAACGATGCCTAGGCGTGCTAAGGCCTCGACGGCCGCAGAGGCGTCTTCTAGTAGTAGCAGTGCTGCTCGCGGTCCTCAGCTCAAGTTCCCCGTGGCTAGAATCAAGAAGATGATGCAGGCGGATGAGGATGTGGGCAAGGTGGCTCAGGCTACGCCCGTCGTCATCTGTGAGTGGAGCGCTAACACAGCAAAGCACATCGAGATTGACCCAGTCATGCGATCCTTCTTGCAGCCAAAGCCCTCGAGCTCTTCCTCGCCGACGTCGTCTCCTCAACCGTCGCTCAGACTCAGGCAAAGGGGGCGCGCAAAGTCACGCCTCATCACCTCAAGCGCGCCGTACACGACAACGAGACGCTCGACTTCCTCAAGGACATCGTCGATAAAGTACCAGACCCAGTCGAGGGGCAAGGATCAGGAGCAGGTGGCGGCAGGAGGGCATCCAATACCACCGGGCCTAGGAAGAGGGCTGCCCCTGCTGCCAAGAAAGAGGAAGACGAGGATGGGCAAGAAGAGGAAGAGGAAGATGATGAGGACGAGGCCTCCGTCAAGCGGGCCAAGAGGGAGCAGAGCTAGAAGGGCAGGTTATAAAGGGAGGCTCACTTCGACGAGCGCCAAGCGAAGTGATGCCTTGTACTTGTATCTTTGAATCTACATCACATCATCTCGTGGTCATCGTCATCATCATCATCACCGCAGCCTGTCTCGGCGACGTACGCACACGCGGGGACACGCGCTCGCACATGCGCATGCACACACACCAGACGGCGAAGCTCTCAGTAAGATAGTTGATTGATCATCAATCCCCACCTCCAGCATGTATATCTCCTCCATTCCCTCGCCTTACTACTTCTTCAGCCTCTGCCTCTCAGCCCTCTGCCTCTTCCTCAACTTCTTGTACTTCATTTTGTTCATCTTCTTGAGCCTCTTCCTCCTCGTACTGTCCATCTGCACCACGACATCCTCTCCTTGCTCCCCAACCGTCTTCGTATCCTCAATGGTCATATTCTGCGTCGGTCGGACAGCGATGGTTTCGAGACCGCGACTTCTAACTTCGCTCCCGGCCGGGAAAGCGCGCAAGGATCTCAAATTCATCAGGCCCTCGCGCATAGAGGGGAGGCGAGCCGTACGGCCTCCATTGACGCTCGCGTCCATCTGGGCAAGAACGCGGGTCCATTCGAGGGCGGCGCGCGTCTGATCCTGAACGAGGGCATGGCCCAACCAGAGGTTGACGTCTTCGAGCGAGCCGTGTGAAAGGGGCCAGACAGGTGACGAAGCTGGTGATGAGGCTTCTAAAGCTTCGACGTCGAGGTCCTCCTCCTCCTCGAGGGATGAGCGCTCGTCGCTGCGCACTTGGTAGCTGGTTACATCGTCGAGGCCCTTGACATTTGCTGCCGCTTCAGAAGCCACAGGCGCTGGTGGGGCTTGGTACGCGTTGCCGAACCTAGCAAGGTACGAGGCAACACCTCGACCCCATTCGGCGCGAGCTCCCTCTGGCTCTCCGACGACGACGAGGTCTGCCTCAGGGCCAAGGGACTCCGCGACAGTCGTGTCCTCTCCTCTCTCCAGAGCAGACGAAACGGCACGAGCCTTCTCTGCTTGCCATGCTTGCTCTTGTGCAATGGAGACGTGCAATGAGAGGGGTGTCTTTGCCTTTGGCTTTCCTGCTGATGGTGAGAGGATGCTGTCGAAGGACGAGGAAGATATGGAACGCAGAGGTGGAAGATGAAGGGAGAAGCTGAGAAACTTGACGCGGGATGAGCTATTGTCGTCCTTTGATGGTGAGGCCAGGAGACTGGAGAGGAGCTTCTGCTCTGCGGTCATGTCTGCGTTTGCGTCAACGGGAGTCAGGGATGCGCCTCCAGTCATGTCCTTGAACATGGCTCCCCTCGCTTCGGGTGAAGCCGCTTCGAGTTTTTCGCGCATCTCCATCATCCTCTCGACGAGGGCGGTAGCCTTGCGCTTGATCTCTGCATCAATGCTCCTGCCGGCGGCCATCTTGTTGTCAGGACTCTCGGGTAGGACGACGACCATTGCATTGGCATTGGCGGCCATCGTGGATGCTGCATCAAAGTGCGAGGCGTCGGTCGATCCACCGAATGCGTGTGATTTGTCGAAGATGTTGTTGTGCTCCAGGAGAGGCCTGCCTTGGGAAAAGAAGGCCTGAAGGCCGACGGAGATCTGAGAGTGAGGTGGCGGGCGAACAGGGACGACTGCATCGTGGAGGGAGAGGCCTGAGAACTTGAGGGCCTGTCGAGCTGACTTGGATGATGACGATGGCGAATTTGTGTGGGAGAGGCTAGATCGACGCAACGTTGCTGATCGGGAGCGATGTCGTGAGCGAGTAGCGGTAGAAGGGGATGCTGCGCTGGTGCTGCTCGATCGACGATGAGTCGTCGGCGGTTGGGCGGCCCTTGACGACGATGGAGAGGAACCGGCAACGGTTGCCGGCGCTGCTGCTGCTGCTCCTCCCGCAATGCGAAACAGAGATCGTGGTTGTAGCGCCCTCGATCTCATCATGGCCGAATACTGAGTGACGAGTCAGGAGTGATGGCTACAAGTTGAAAGGCAGACAACGTCGATGGCGGACTGAGGGCGAAGTCGACCCGTCGACGTCGTTGACCGCGCGCCAACTCAGTCTGCCTGTCCTGTCCGCCTGGTTGACTGACTTGCCTCTGCAGACCATCGTCGAGGCGACCTTCAACAAGCTCCTCGAGGGGGCTATGAAACAGGTCAATGGTCACACAATCGGGGAACACGAGGGTCATTGAGTGTGACACTAGGTAATCACTACTGGTCTATGCTGCTGATGCCTTGGCTAGACCATGGTGTTACTGTGAGCGCTTGCCCGACTAGCTTAGCTTCGCCCGCTCCGGTCTCTCAAGGGTCATTCTCCCGATGCTGCCATTTTCGCTGCGATATGGCAGCCTCGCCTTCTTCGTCGCTTTGTACCGTCCCCCTTTATGCCCTTTGTATGCACTGCTCCTCTTTGTTTGCCATTGCTGGAGCTAGCTACGTCGTGAGCTCACCGAATTGGTGCCGGGGCGGCCGAGGCGGCGGCGGCGGGTCCTGGGGGTCCTGACCTCGTCGTGCTGCGCGTGGCCGCGTGGGCTGAGGATAAGCGGAGGTGGACGAGGCTGTCTCTGGCTGCCCGCCCTGGCGCACGTCGTCGTCGCCGTCGCGCACAATTGGTCCCCACTGACCCACTTGACTCTCTGCCTTACCATCTCACTCGAGAGAGGCTTCCTCTTTCTCTCGCTCATCTCCTTCATCACCATCATCTAGAGGGTCTACCTCTCTCGCTCTTCAGAGCCACTCTTGACCGCCGCTACCATGTCGTCGCGCACGACAGCGGCAGCCAAGCGCCGACGCACCAATGGCGGCACAGCGACAACGACGACGACGACGGCGACAGGCGACCTCACCAATGACTCTTTCAATGCACCTGAGGCATCCACATCAGCCCAACCCGTTGGCTCTCACAATGGCAGAGATACTAGCACATACTCGTCATCGACAGCAGGCTTAGGCAACACCTCGACGACGTCGATGATGGGATCCACCTCCACCGCGTCGGGTCTCAGGAGAAGCGCGAGAAATCTCAGGAGCGTAGACGAAATGATCGGAGGAAAGGTAAGCATCACAGACTAGTCGATACCGGTAAATCAGCGCGCGAGCTTGTATGCAGTGTGGACCATCGAGAGCATGTGAGCAGCAACGCGGCAGCGCCATTCGCGAGCCGCGTGATGTGAGCTGCGAAGGGCAAGCTGCGAAGCGCGCGAGGATGGGAGCAAATGGTGGGGAACAACGTCGTTTGCCGCTCTGCTCCCCTTCAATGCCGTAGCCGCTGGCGCGACCCCGGGTAGGTGGTTGACGATGACCTCGTCTCCCGTTCGCCTCGTCTCGTTGTGTCAGGTTGCTCAAGTTGGAGCTGCTGCTGGCGCTGGCAAGGCTTCTGGTTTGCCAGCCCTCGAACCTCCTGTCCCCAAGCCTCCTCGTCGTCATTCTGCTACTCGTCGCCCTCGCTCTGGCCCAACGAAACGACAGCCGCAACGCGTCCCTGCACGTACTCACACGTCCTCCCGCTCTCAGGTGCAAAAGGTCTTCCTTCTGGACGAAGACGATGACGACGAGGCTCCTCCCGCCAGACCACTCGCCGACGACCTCTCCAATGGCCACAAAGAAGGCAGTGGGGCCGCCAGCCTGGCGAGGCTCAACGGAAATAGCACCAATCACGCAGCACAAGGCGTAGGCACGAAGGGCAAGCGCAAGGCTCAAGCATCCCCGCCGCCACAGCCACCTCCGCAAGCTACGTCTTCCACCTCTTCGTACGATGCGGCCAAGAAGAGGCGAAAAGATGAGGCGGAGCCGCTCGCTCAGAGCTCCATCTCAAAGCAGTACCAGGATGCCATGCGGGCGCAGCACGGCAATCTGGCCCAGAGCTCCATCTCGATGCAGTACGAGAGGGCGATGAAACAGCAGAGGGAGAGGGATGCGGCGCAGATGGCCCCCAATTCGATCTCGCAGCAATACGAGCAGGCTATGCGGGCTCAGCAAGAGCGACAGGCGGCTCAAGGTTACCCTCAGACTGTTCCAAGCGGCGCCGTTGGAGACTGGAGCTACCATCAACAGCAACCACTCGCAGGATACCCAAGCTCGTCGTCAACGGCCAACTATCGCGGCGGCTACCCTTCAGGCGGCGCGTCGCTCATGCCACCCGTTGCCAATGGCCACGCATCAACAGCCAACAGGCAACAGATTCTGGACTCAGCAGATCAAGCTTCGAGGCGTCTGGTGAGTAGCTGTACGCGAAATTTTCCGCGATCTGGCGTCTTGATGACTGATGCTCTCTTCTGTTTCGCTCCAACCCAGATGTACGACCGTGCTCTTCAACAGCAGCCACCGCCAGCAGCTCCATTGCCCATCGATGATAAGGACGGCCACTTCATCGTTCGAGAAGGTGACTGGATCAGTGACCCTCGCGGGGGAGAACATCGCTACAAGATCCTCTCTCAGCTAGGTCAAGGTACGTTCGGCAAAGTTGTAGAGTGCTTTGATCGGCTACAAAGACGCTACGTCGCCATCAAGGTCATTAGGGCTATCCAGAAATATCGGGATGCCAGTCAGATTGAGATCAGGGTACTGCGCACTCTCAGCGAGAACGACCCAGCCAACGAGAACAAGTGTATCCACCTTCTCGACACCTTTTCCTACCGCAACCACGTATGCATCGTCTCTGAACTGCTGGGCAAGTCTGTGTTCGACTTTCTCAAGGACAACCAGTTCAACCCGTTCCCGCCTGCTCATATTTGGAGCTTCGGGCAGCAGCTTCTCAAGAGCGTCGCATTCTTGCATCGCCTCAACCTGGTCCACACTGATCTGAAGCCGGAAAACATCTTACTCGTCAACTCTGAGTACGACTATCAGCCGGTGTCACGGCGAGCCAATGCGAGGAGAAGAAAGGTGCTCAAGGACACGGACATCCGCTTGATCGACTTTGGCAGTGCGACGTTCAACGACGAGTACCACTCGCAGGTCGTCTCGACTCGACACTACCGTGCTCCAGAGATCATCCTCAACATGGGTTGGTCATTCCCTTGCGACGCTTGGTCGGTTGGCTGCATTCTCATCGAATTCTACACCGGTGAGGCCTTGTTCCAGACGCACGACAATCTGGAGCACTTGGCCATGATGGAGCAAGTGCTTGGGCCGATGCCAGACTCGTTCAGGCGCAAGGCAGAGACGTTCAAAGCAGAGTGAGTAGCAGCTGAGACATTGCGTCGTGGCAGAGGATCGAAACGCTTACGCTCGCTCCCACAACCTTTCCTCCCAGATACTTCCGTAATGGTCGCCTTGACTTCCCCAACAACGAGACACCCAAAGCGAGCAAGAAGTACGTCTCGGGCATGCGCAAGCTCCCCGACCTGCTTAGCAAGGCAACGACGTGGAAGAAGCACAATGAGCGCTTCCTCCACCTGCTACGCCGTCTGCTCGAGTTCGACCCGGCTAAGCGCATCAAGGTGTCCGAGGCTCTCAAGCACCCGTATTTCGAGCTCGCACCGAACGAGATTCCTCCCTAGACTGCACATGTAGGACTTTGGCTGTATGACTGTTCACGGGGTTTCACTTGTCGTATCACCATCATCATCATCAGCACCACCTCAACTCACATCACTCAGTGTCAACGCGCCGCTACTCCATCGGAGGGTATATATGCCTGCCGCTCCTCTAGCGACGTCCACGACTCCTTTTCCTCTTGAACCGACTTGTATTACATCAATATATTCACTGATTGCTTGACTACTCTACTCTACTTGGAAGCAGTCTGAGGGCTGCTGAGCCATAGGTCGTTTGCTGCTTGGTCTGTCGACGAAAACGGGGTGGTCTGACCGCGCGCGGACTCGGCCCTGGCACTCTTGGTTGGCTGTGTGCCAGTGAAGTCGCAACCAACATCAAGCCGACGGCGTGCCTCGATCAATTCCTTCTCATTTCGCCATCCCTTGACAAATCCTCACAGCATGGAGGCTTCGGCGGCAACGAAGGCGCCTACGAAGACAGCAACAAGGCCGCCGCCGCCGACTGCTCCCAAGATACCGGGAGATGTCGCTCCCCCTTCACACAACCCTCTGCCTTCACTCGCCGACTTCCTCATCCAGATCAATGCCGGCTCATCCTCTTCCACTACCCTGCCTCTGGAGGCTCAGCACTCCCTCATAGCAACACAGAGGGCAAATGTCCGGTCTTCTCTGACGAAGCAGCTGAGCAGTCAAGAGACGCAGATGCGCAATGTCGCCTCGAAAGCAGCGGAGAATCGTAAGAGCCTGCGAAAGCTGGAGAACGAGGTGGACAATGTCGAGTCAGCGGGGAGGGCACGCGCTTGGTCTGCTGGGCTTATTGATGCGCTACAGGAGTTTCGCGACGCTAAACAGGAAAAGCAGCAGCACGAGAGGCTTATCGAGGTCTTGGAGGTCATGCAAAGAGCTCTTCTTGCCATTGAGGCATTGGAGGAGACGATTGCGCAAGGCCGACTGGAGGATGTCGCATATAAAGGGGCAAACGATGCTGCAGAAGCCGCTTGCGAGCCATTGACTCATGGCTGGCTGTCAGCTGATCAGAGCGTGAGGGCGTTCTGGGATTTGCAAAGGCGACTGCGACAGTGTCGTGAGAAGGCGGATCAGATGCTCGACGAGGGTTGGGAGAGGAGCGTGCAGGTCATCCCGAGCGAGGCTGCGGCCAGTTGGACATTGATCGTCATGAAGGAGCTGAAGTGTGAGTTGCTTCGGAGGATTATCATTGTCGTGACGATGCTGATTGTCAGCTTCTCTTTTGCCATTACCAGTCTCATCCACGGCAGCGCAAGCTCTGCGATCCGCTAGCCTTCTGCAAGCCCTCGAGCGCAAAGGAAAGCTAAAGGACAGGGTACCGACCCTTGCCGCTCAGCTCGCCGAGCGACTGATACAATCGTGTCTCAATGAAAGTTGTACGGTGCGAAAATTGCAAGGCGCAGGGGACTCGGACCACATCTCCCTCGTATTTGCCCCCTTAGGCTCATCGACGCCCGCAGCTGGTCTCGAAGCTCTTCAGCTGGCGTTGCTCTTCATTGGCAGCGAAATACTCTCCGACCTCCCAACCAAGGCTAGGCAATCAGACTTTGCCCGTGCGCTGCTCCCCAGGCTGGTCCAACCGATCCTAACAAATCTGCGAGCTACCCTTCCCTCACGGTATGACCCCGTCGAGACCATATCCGCTCGCCTCGAACAATCTCGTTCCCTCGCGCTCTCCTTGTGCTCCTCCCTTGCCTCCTCTGGACTGCTCCTCACCCCTGACGGGGCCGGTCCTTCTGACCATTCGCCAGAGGACAATCACCTCGGTCAACCTTCGCGCATCATGGCTTTCGCGCAAGACGTTGGCCGTCAGTACGTCTCTAAGGTGGCCAACGAAGCGCGCGACGAGGCACGACGCATCTGTACGACGCTGTCGCTCAAGGATGAAAAAGGCTGGCAGGCAGAGGAGATTGAGATCGCAAGCGAGGAGGCCCAACCGCTTGCGCAGCAGATGACGGGCATGGGCAATGAGCGACTTGTGGACGAAGATCATGAGATTCGGGGGACGCTCACTACTCAGAAGGACACCAATGGGGTTGGCGTCGGCGGGGGAGATGAGTGGCAGTGGGGTGACGATGATGGGCGCGATGATCCAGAGACGTACAGACATCCTGCCAAGGCTGGCATAGCACCTTCTGTCCTCAATCGCTCCGCCTCATCGGCATCTCAACGGTCAACAGCTTCATCAGGCCCGGAAATAAGGACAGCAGCGCCGGCGGCAAGAAAGCGAGCCGGAGGTCGCTCTGCTCTTGGCGGTGTGCGTGTTGTCAAGCCTCAAGATCAGATGGGCAGCGGACCTTTGCCTGAGGGAGATCAGGATGACGCTTGGGGCTTTGGTGACGAGGATGATGCGCCAGAGGCTGCTGCGCCGATTGCAGCACAACAGGCCCGAACAGTATCATCGAGCTTGCCGCCGCCGCCACCACCATTGGGCGATGAAGAGGATGCTTGGTTTGCGGAAGAGGAGCCTGCTGCGTCACCGCCGCCGCCACGAGCTGCTGAACGGCGTTCCACGCTGTCCTCAACCTCAGCGGCGCCATCGACCTCTCCAGTCATCGCCTACACTAGTCGAGCACCCCTACAGGAGGCCGAGCTCGATGACGAGGACGCCTGGTTCGCAGACGAGGCGTCAAGGCCGATGCTTATTGACCACTCTCAAATGCCGATTCCCGACTCGTCACTGCCAGTTAATACAGCACCGCAACCGGTGGCCGTAGTGCCTGCTCAAAGCGACACGGGCAACGAGGATGCCTGGTCTACAGAAGGACCACCAGGCACTAATGACGGAACGAGGTTAGCATTACCACTACCCAACATCTCCGACCCTATTGACGTTGACGAGGATGCCTGGGGTCTTTCGGAGGAAGAGAAGGCAAAGCGGGCAAGCATGATGCTGTTGGGTAATCATCCTACGCTTCAGAGCCTGTACGAGCCTTCAGCGACCGCTCAGACCAACACGGGCGCCGCCGGCGAGAGCTCCAAGGTAGAAGAGGACGACTTTGACGAAGATGCCTGGGGCTTGTCCCTCGAGGAGAAGGTTGCGAAGCGAGCAAGTCGACTTTTGCCGGTAGCGGGCACCGCAAACGTCCCTGCTGGGAATGAGGCATTCGAGGCCGAAAGTGCACCACCTACCTCAACCCTGATTCATCCTGTAGAGCCCTCTCAAGCCCGCGTTGAGGAGCCTGCACTACAAGACGGGGCACGCGCCCAAGAGGAAGCTCCACTCACCGAAAAGAATCTCGAAACCGCTGCGGCAGAGGAGAGCCACGACGAAGAAGCCCAGGTCTCCGCGCCACCGGCCGCATCCGCTCGACCCGCTCCTCTCGGTGTCAGCCGCCCGCCATCCGTAGTTTCATCCGTCTCCGCCATCGCTCCCGGCTCTTCTCGCTCGGACAGCGCCAGGAGCACCATCGCTGGCGTGCCGACAGTTCGGGAGCCCGAAGAAGGCGAATCAGCCTTGGAGTCAGCCATCCTAGCCGACGACGTGTCTGTCGCCGGCAGTGACAACTCCCGGCGCCAACCCTTCCCTATCGAATCGGCGCTGCCTGAGAGCTTGCCGACGAGCGAGGGGGCTGAATCGGATACCTCGCTACCGGCTACACCCAAGACGGAAGGCCGAGCGACTCTCTCGTCGGGTAGCAGTCTGTGCATGCCTCCCTCGTCTGACGTGGGAGCTATCGAGGAGAGCACGACAGCAGAGCCTTTCCCCGTCGAGTCAGCTCAGTCCGTTTCGACAGCCAGCCAGGCTGCGCCTCCGATCGCTCTGACGGATCTTGACGATAGGAGAGGTGGAGCAACGGCTCCTCTTCCATCCCACCTGATTGACACTGCCGCCACGCCACCAACAACAAGCGGGCCCCCATCCATCGCATCCCTCCCTCCTACTCCTTCAAGAGAGCGCGCTGATCCCGGCTTCACGCTCGAATTCGAAGATTCCTCTGCCTCGCGACCGCGCACGCCGACACTCGCGAACTATAGCAGCACAAGTAGCGAGGTGGACGATGACGAGTCGGCAGCTGCGATACCCTTTCCCATCCGCTCTGCGGTCCCTTACAATCTTCAGCCGAACAGGCAGGGCAGTCTCTCATCATGGACAGAGTCGTCTTCAGCGCCGCGCACCGGGCCGCCCTCCGTCGTGTCCGATTTAGGCGCAGCATCTGACATGGCATTGCCTCCATCTCCTGGGCTGCAGAGAGCGGATGAGGATGACGGGGCGAGCGGCTGGGGCTTCGACGATGGTGATGAGCATGAAGGAGAGTTGGGCTTTTCAAGTCAAAGCGCGGAGAAGCAGCAAGCTGAAGATGAAGGAGATCAGTTCGCTTCGAGAGGGAGGGCAGGGACCGCTCTGCCTCCACGCCCGCCTGCTTCGCTGCTTCAGGCGGTCAACAACTCAAGTGAAGCGCAGAGCGATGCTGGCCAAGAGTATGGCGATCCCTGGGCTAGTCTTTCGGACTCAGCCCCCATGCCAGCAGCAGGGACGGCGCCAGTCGTCCCGATGGGTGATTCGCACCCCCTGACGAAAGAGGCACTGCAAGTTCTGGCAACTGAGAGGGTAGCGAAGCTTGAGACGCAAGTAAATGACATCGCCGAGCAAGAAGCGCCTTCTACTACAGCGCAAGCCCCGGCGCAGCCGGCTGACGACGTGAGCGGATGGGCATGGGATGAAGAAGCCGACGGCACTGCTCCCGCTGCAACGCCTTCCTCCGCAGCTTCAGCAGCATCGCCACCAGCCGCTGTTCAGAGCCAATCGGCAGTCATAGGACGCGTCAGCAATGCCTCTCCTCTGCTTGGAGCTCGCCAAAGCTCAGCAATCCGCCCAGCTCCACCCCCCGCAACCGCCTCCGAGCTTGCAAGAGCGACGTCGCGCGGCTCTACTCAAGCAGGAGCAGCAGCGGGGGCTGGAGCGCTTGCGGCTGGCGTAGCAGGTGCAGTAGCCACCACGCAGTTGCCCGATCCTCAGCCTCAGCATGCCGTACCTCAGCCTGCTGCAGCAGCCAAGGAAGCCCAAACGTTCGAAGCACCTAAAGGACCGCATCAGGAGACCTGTCGCATATCCTTGCGCTCGCGTCAGCTCGTCAATCTGGCTCATTCTCTCATCGATCAGGCGGTAGCTCTTCGCAGCGCGCACAGCAACGGAGTCGCTGTCGAAATTCAGCCAGCCTCGCTCCTAGACCCTGCGCTCGCCGACATCTTCGATCTTCATCTCGCGCTGTTTACGCCCGAGACAGCTGCAGCTCTACAGCAAGTCCCAGCCTTGAGCATGCAGTTCGTAAATGACTGTCGCTTCCTCTCTCGCCAAATGATAGCGCTGGAGTCACGAGTCAACAAAGAGCTCCCAGACGTCGTCGCCGATTCCTCCGGAGCTCTCAGCAAGCGTATCACAACGGCGGCGCAGCGCACGTCCCTACTAGCCACGCGCTACCTCACAGCACACCTCTCAGGGCATGCCTCTCATCTTGCCAACCTCATCGCAACAGGATGCGACTCCTTCCTCTCAGTATACAACGACGAGCGCTTCGTCTCTTGCTCGCGGACGCTCTCTCAGGCTTTGGCCACTGTCACGAGCCTGGACCGCAGCTGGAGAGGCACACTCGGTGACTCGCAAAGATGGACAGCTGTGGGGGCGTTGTGGGAGGGCGCGGTGGTCAAGAAGGTGTACGCTGATGTGTTGGCGCTGGATGATGTCGGTGAGAAGGAGGGCGAGAGGTTGGCCGAGCTTATCAGGTCTATTGGGGATGACAAGGTAGCGGGATGGTTCACAAAGACGAGTCGTGATGCCAGCCACCAGGTGCAAGGTGTCGACGAGGAGGAAGAGGAGCAAAAAGCGGCCGGCCATCGTCTGGCCACGTACGTGCCTTCGCATCTCAAGCTCACGGGCTACCTGCCCGAGATGCTTATTGGGTCTCTCGCCGACGTCGAGTACCTGCTCTTCGAAGGTGGAGCACTTGCGTCTCCCGACCTCGAGGCGACGGCCGGTGGTGGCGGCTCGCCATGGTACGTCAGTCGCGAGGAGGCGAAGGGGCTCATCAGGGCGACATTTGCAGACTCGAGGAGGAGGACAGATCTGTTAATGAGAGTGGCTAGAGGGGTATGAGGCAGAAGGGACACAGGGATGCAAGACAGCATGCAAAAGGGCTTCGCCGAAGGAAAGCCAATATCACATTATCATGACATCGCGCCTTCTCACGCCTACTGATCAGCTGCAGCCGCTGCCATTCGAGCTGCCTTGAACCTCGACATCTTCGGCGCTGAAGCAGCATTCTGCGGTGCTGCGGGCGCTGCGGGCATGAGAGATGGTGGCGCCTGTGGCTCAAGGTCTGTGCCACTGCCTCCAGAGGAGACGGGCAGCTCACGCTTCTTTGCCAGGGAGCTGCCACTCCGCCCTCCAATGCTGGGAGGAGCAGCCATTGCCACGCCACTCCTGTTTGGCCTGTCGTCTTCGTCAATGCCGTTCCAGCGAGACCGGAGGGGCGGAGGTCGAGGCGGATTTCGCTTGGCTGCTTGATCCGACGGGTCGGCTGTCGCTGCATTTGCCCTCTGCTCCTCGCGATGCTGCTTCTCTTCGAGGCGCACCCGCATCACGTTCATGAGCTCGTCATCCTTCTCGTCCTCGTCCGTTTCGCCTTCGAGATCGACCCCTTCACGGGGCAGGCGATCGCCTTCTCTAAGGTGGCTAGAGCGCGCTGGCGTCGACGATGACGTTGCTGACCGAGGGTAGCGCAGAGGCGTGAGCGAAGGCAGGATCATGACCGGTGACGGTGCGCCTTCTTTTGGCTGACGGTTGCTCGTACTGCTCGGCCCAGCCGATGGCTCTGGTCCAGCATTGGTCGCTCCCTCGAGCAGGTGAGCCAGCTCGTGGCCCGCCTCATCGGCACGACGGTCACGTTCGGTCCCTCGGTCCCTGAATCCAGCGCTGGGCCTGTTCGAGTCCGTCTGGTTGGCCACGCCATCCGCTCCCATCCCAAGAGCCTGGACGATCCTCGACGCCTTGAACCTGCTCATCCGATTCGGCGGATCCACGCTGCGCTGCTTCTTGATCTCCTCGTCCTCAAAGCCCATCGAAGAGACCAAGTCGCGCCCATCAATTTCGTCTTCTCTCCACAGCTCTCCACCATCGTCCCCACGCGCCATTCGCTCCTCCTCTCTCATCCTCTCCCCGCTGATAGCCATAGCGAGCTCCTTCCTTCTCTCTTCGCTCATCTCCTGCCGCTCAGCCATCTGCTTCGCCTGAGCTAAAGCGTACTCACGAGCAAGCTCGGCGTTCTCGAGGTCAGAGACGAGCCCAGAGAAGGTGGGCTCAAGGTCTGCAAGGTCTGATGCAGAGTAGTGCTCATACGAGTCCAGCGACCAGTCTGAGTCATGGGCACCGTCCTCGTCCGCTTCGTCATCTGCGCCGTCTTCATCAATAAGATCACCTGAAGCGTAGGCTGAGCGGGCGTAGGCTTCTTCGTCGTGCTCGTCCAGCTCGAGCTCGGCCGTGTCGCCTTCGAGTAGCTCCGCGAAGTCGTCTTCCTCTTGCTTGTCACCGTCATCGTCTTCTTCCATGGCAGAGCTGTCCAGCTGAAAGCGCACGCCTTTGCCTTCGGCGTTTTCATCGCCACCAGACCCCTCCTTGCCCGTCCCGACGACGACCTGACCATCGAGGCCTGTCCTCGTTCTAGCACCTCCATGACCTCTGCCTTCTTGCGCTTTCAGGCCCTGACTGCTCCTCTCAAGCTTTTCGCGATACGCTTTGCTAGGCCTGGCGTGCGGGACGGCAGATGGCAGGCCCTGCAACTCCCGCTCAGCTTCGAGGGGTCCGTCCGAGATCAGGGACCGGTCCAAGGCAGACATGCCAAGAGACTGACGAGGCCCCGTCGCAACGGGAGGACGAGGACTTGGCATGTTCGCTGCCGCCGTCTTTGAGGAAGGAGGGGGACGATTGAGGAAGCCGCGCTTGAAAGCGGCTTGTTTGGCGGCATTGAGCGCAGTGGCCGTACTCGACGAATCGCTGGTGCTCGCTGCTGCCTCACGAGGTCTCTCGAGAACGGAAAGCCCAACTGCAGGGCCCTTCGCCTTGTTCTCCTCTTGCTGCTGCCTTTTCCTCTGAATCTGCTGAACCTGTTTCCTTGCCATCTCTTCAGCTTGCGTCTGCTCCTCTCTTAGCCCCCGTAAGGCGTCTTCGCCGCGATCGGTCCCCGAGACGATCTCAGGACCAAGCAAGTCAACAATGCGAGCCGCTTCGTCTTCAACGCCAGCGTCTGGATCGGCAGCTGCTGTAGCAGGATCGGCAGGTGCCGCTGAGAAAGCCTTCAAGCTCGCTGATGCTGGTGCTGCCTCTTCTTCTTTCGCCCCTCTCTTGCGACCTCGCTCTGGACTTTGGATCCTGACGCTCTTCTTCTTGCTCTTGGCGGCATGAGCCGCAGGTGCCCCGTAATTATCAAGTCCTTGCATGCTGCGGGTCATTGCCTCGACGTTGGCCTCATCCTCGCGCGCTGAACCCTCGCTCTGGCTCATAGAACGCGGCATGGGAGTCGGCGATCCTTCGTCGAAGCGCTTGTCGAGGGGGTCGGAGGACGAGGCGGCTGCAGGGCTAGATGGATTCATGTTGAGGAAGCCTCGTCTGATGCCTTGGTGGCCGAATTTGGACGACGTCGTCAAAGGCGGGACAGGGCTTGCTTTGAGCACAGACTTGAGCGGTTTTGACTGAGAAGGCTTCGGTGTTGGTGAGCGCGTACGCTGTGCCTCTTGATGCGGCGCCGCAGTCTGTTCGCTGGCTGTCTCTCGGGCCTCTCCCTCTTCGTCCTCTTGGTCCTCGGTCATTCCTTCGAATCGACTAAAGACGCTGTCGATCCACTTCTTTCTGTCCTCGCCCTCAAGTGCATTCTGCGGCTTGAAAGCCTCGACGGCAGCCAGCTGACTTTGGGCTGAAATGGTGCTGGAAGGTGTCTCTTGAATTGTTTCCATGGGATCGACGAAGGGCAAGCCTTCTTCATTGAGTATCCTCCCATCCTCGTCTACGATTTGTCGATCTGACGAAGCCCCCATCAAAGCAGCGGCTGGGTCCTTTGATGCCGCAGCCAAGGTCTGCTTGATCCTCTCTTGCGCCTCTGCGACGAGAGTGGACCGCAGCGACTCGAAGTGCTGAGTGAGGCGGGCCAGGAGGTTTTGAAGGTACGATACGGCCTGTGCCGTCGTTTCAAAGGGCATATACGACGCTGGTCTGGGAGATGGCATTGCTGCTGCTGCTGCTGCTGTTGCTGCTATTGACTGCCATGTTTGTCCCGGAGATAGACGAAGAAAGGGCGGCGACTCAGAGTGGGATGATGACGTTACGGGAGGATCAAGGCGGAGGGCAATCTGGCAATCTGGGCTGACTTGATCATCGACGAGGCCCTTGACTAGAGGCGCAAGGGCATCGATGTCTGCCTTTAGCTTAGTGAGGCGACCTCTTGCCACTACTAGTGGGTCTGGCCCTAGAGGCTGAGCAGCTGCCTGACCATTATCCTGCTCGGTGCTGAGGCCTAGAGATGACAGGAGCTGGACGAGATCTGACGAAGGATTCAGGTGCGGCGTTGCCATGTCGAAGTGGTCCCTCGGATCGTGACCATGTGAGAGCGCGAAGGAGTGGAAAAGCTTCAAGAAGCGGCGGGTGGAGTCAGTCGCAGTCAGTCGCAGTCAGTCGCAGTCAGGCAACGACGAGCAAAGCGCGCCGATGCAGCAGTCTAAGATGGAAATCTCTCGCCAACGACGGAACGCGGCCGGGGAAGCCGGAGGAGCCTTTGACATCTTCCCATCACGACCTCAAGATGATGCACCAATTAGTACGGAGAAGTTTCGCCGTCGCAGGTACTTCCAGGCATGCCATCAAGGCGGCTAATGCCCGCGCTGTGGCCTCTACGTCATTGATCATGCCCCATCACCTACCTACTCCGACGTCATTAGCTCGCCCAGTCCACACCTCTCCCTCGATATATGCTCAGTCAACGACGCCCAATTCTTCCCTGGCCAACCCGGCTGAAGAGGAGGCTCAGAAAGCCCTCGATGAAGGAACGTCAAGACTGGAGGCGGGTGACTGGGAGGCAGCAAAGGAAGCCTACGCTAGGAGGTGAGCAGCAGCAGCTCCAGCGCTCCCGCACTCCACCTTCTCTATCCGTGGTACTCACTACCCTCTCTCACTCTGCTTTTGACCTTACAGCTTGACCATTCACCCCTCTTCCACCGCTCACTTCAATCTCGGTGTCGTCTACTTCCGCCTGGAAGACTTACCCGCCGCTATCAAGTCCTTCGAGGCGTCCCTCGCCCTCTCCAAGGAGCAGAATCGCCTCAAGTCTGCGGACAGCGACGCCGAGTCCTCCACCGAGGAAGCCAAAGAGTTCACCGACCTAGGTGATGCTGACGCTCACACCAATCTCGCCTCTTGCTATATCCTCTCCCAACCACCAAGGCCAGATCTGGCCGTCAGTCACTTACAGTCGGCCGTGCAGCTCAGCCCGACGGATGGCGAGTCATGGTTCAACCTAGGTGCCGTGCTCGAGGCCTGTGAGAGATTAGAGGAGAGCGCAAAGGCGTATGAGAAGGCGCAGGAGCAAGGCGTCGAGAGGGCGACCGAGAATTTGAGGAATGTTGGAGGTAAGATCTTGGCTGCGAGGCTGGGTGTGGGCAGTGGGGCTTTGCCGCAAGAGGAAGATACAGAGGTCAAGGATACGAAGGAGACGACGGCGGCAAAGGCCAAGTGAAGTCAAAGCGGGAGGTGAAGAAAGAGATAGACGTTGCATCTGCATTCTCGGTACTGGTACTCGTCTGCCTGCGCATGATGTGCTGTAACGTCTGCCAACGCGGGTAGGACCTCAACGTGAGCCCTTTCCCTCTCCTGAGCCCCCTCAATCCTCCCTCACATAATTACCCGGAAACACTCCCCTCGCTCCGCTCTCACCGATGCCGGTCCACCAATCCTCTGTCGAAGCCGTCCTCTCGACGACTTCAATTCTCTCGCCAGCCCGCAATGACAAATCTCCCTCTGCCTGAGCCGCGTAGTCGTAGAGGGCCACGACGTACGTCTTTGCCGCCGCTGCTCCTGGCTTAGGCTTCGTCGGCGGAGGCGGCGGTGGAGCTTTCCGACCCGCTGCTGATGCTGATGATGATGATGACCCGTACGGGGGTGGGGAGGTCATGCTGCTCGCGGAGCTGCCGCTGCGACCGAGGCCGCCCTTGCTTGGGGCGCCAGCTGCCAGGCCTCCCGCCCGCGATGACGACGCAGATGGCGAGCCTGATACTAGACCCCCCCTCCCTGAGGTGCTCAACACTCTGGCACTGGCTGTCGCTGGCTTGCGAATCGAGAGCTCTTCAAGCTTCTCGGCCGCATCGGTCAACATGTCGGCGTAGCGCTGCTCGACGGCGGCTGGAGAAGTGTCCGTTAGGTCGTACTTGCCATCGGCAAAGGTTTGAACCTTGTCGAGGGTCAAGTAGAAGACGTTGAGCCTGCGCACGTCAGGCAAGGGGGCCAGTATGAGAGGTCAGCGAGAACGACTTTTTGCAGAATGAATGCGCGTGGGCGCTACGCACTGCATGTAGTAGAAGGAATGGAAGAGTGGGCTCATGAGGCCCTTGACCTTCTCAAAGAAGATGGGCAGCTCCTCCTTCATGGCGTTGTTGTAATACTCATAATCAGCGCTCGCTGCGTCAAACTCCTGCTCAAGCTTGAACAAGTTCTGCTCGTCCTTGAGCGTCTTTTCCTTCTTCTCCTTGAGTTTGGTGAAGGAGTTGTTGAGGCGATCGAAATCTACGAGCTTATGGTCTCGCTTCGTAATGTTCTTGCGGATCGCCTTGAGGCACTGCTCAAACTCGGTGAGCGGAGCTACGACTCTGGACTCGATGAGGTCGATTTCGGGGGTGAGGATCTCGCGCAGCTCGTCCATCATCTGCTGATAGTGGACGATGTTAGAGACAGTCGTGGCTGCGGATGGATGACGGCGGTCGAGGTCGGTTTCAGTGCCTATTGGGTTGAAGAGGATCGCGAAGGCGCTGCCGAATGAGGCGCCGCTGAGGAGCATGTCTGGGCGAGGCGAGTGCAAAAATGATTATCAGCACCACGAAGAAATGTGCGAGACTCTGATCTTGCTCACTCTTGACGGCATCACGGAAGGTCGCGCAGTCCTTGCTGAGCTTCTGGGCATTCTGCTCGATGGCCGTGAAGCGTCGATTGAGCTCGTCAAAAGCGGCGTCGTGCGACTTGGTTGCCATGCCCACCCTGGTGGTGAGCATGTGCGGCGTGCGCTTGGCAAATTTGGCGATTCCCTGCCGCGTGAAAGGAAGACGGAGGAAGTCGTGAGTATGGACGAGAGGCCGGGAGGAGCGAGAAGGCAGAGAGTGTAAGTCTCTTTGGAGTAACTGACCTTCATGGTGAGGACGAATGGGCAAGCCGACTAGGCGACGATGGGAGGAAGCAAGGTAGAGACTATGCAGACAGGGGACACTGCTAGCTGAGATAACGCAAAAGGAGCGTGAGTTGTGGCGCGTCGTGGTAGCCCTAGTACGAGGGGAGGAGAAGATGTAGGGATCGGGATCGCGGTCGAATGGAGAAGGAGGATGCATTCGTTGGCTGCACCGCATCATCGCCTAGCCTCTTGGTCGTCGGAGGGCGGCGCTGGTCCGCTCCGCCCTGCCGCCCGTCCGCTTGGCGTCGACCCGCCGCTGCTCCACTCGAGACGACGCACAGGCGGGCGAAGACAGCAGCCAGCCGGGCACCGACTGTGAGGCACACTACCATTCAGATGTCACGAGCTCAAGACAGACGAGGCGATATCAACGAATTGCAATTAACGAGAGCACATTTCCATGTGACGCGGCCAGACGCAACGTCGACTGAGCCGCACCTTCTCCTTTTGCTGCTGCGATCCATTGTCCACCGCTGCCACCCCAGCTTGCTCAGGCCAGCCTGAGAGCCGTCTCTGGCCTGCCTGCATGCCTGCCTGCCTGCCTGCCTGACTGACTGCCTGCCATGGCTGCTCTTCCTGCTGCGTTCATCTCGATGTCCCACTCGAGCTACCTTGCGCTGCCTCTGACCCCGCCTCTCCTCCTGCCACTGCTGTCGCTGCCGCTGCCGCCTTGTTGCTCTCTGCCAGCCTCCTCCTTCTCCTCGCCAGTCTGGCCTCCATTTCCTCGTCCCTCTCTCTCTCCTCGAGCCTCTCGCTGTAGTACTGACCGCATTGCAGGATGACGACGCCGACGAGAGCGGCAGCGAGGACTGCATTGGATGCTGCAAGCTCTCGCAAGGGCAAGACGGTGGGGTCCGAAGGATTCGATGGGTCTGCGAGGGGTGGAGTGGGAAGCTGCGCCGGGCTCAGCAGGCCCAACGAGGGCAGGATGCGGGTGAGGTAGACGAGAATGGATGCGCCATAGAGGACTGCGGACGTGGCAAGGGCCAGAGGGCAATCAGATGGTGCGACGTCGCCAATCGTTTCGCCGTACTCACACAAGCTCGCTCCATCGAAGAGCCAGTTGCTCTCCCTCCTGCCCTTGGCCAGCTTGGCCAAGACGATGAATGCGCCAATGATCCATCCAGTGTGCAAAATGCGAGCAAAGGGCACGGTAGATGGCGTGGGCACAATAAGGGTGTTTGAGTAGTAAGCATGCGCCGATACGACGGAAGCATGCGTGAGGGGCGACTGCCAGAGGAGGAGATGATCCGCAAGCCAGTGCATAGAAAGGGTCCCTGGCAGAGAGCGAGATTAAGATGGTCAGCAACTAGTCATGGATTTGTCGTCGTCGTCGTCTTCGCACCGCGCTCACCCAGCAGGAAGGACGTCGTAGCCACAACTAGGGCAACTGCCACGCCCGTCATGTTGCAAGTCGGCAAGGATGCGAGCGAGCAGGCAGTACGGGTCAGGGTATGTTAAGGTTGGCAAAGAAAGCGAGGAGACGAGGTGCGGAATGCGGGTCTTGATCCCTTGGCCACGCGACTCCGACTTGCAGATGCAGCTCCCGACTTGAATCAATTGGCCTGTTCATCTGCGAAACAACACTTGGCTCCCCTCCTCACTCTTCCTGCTTCATTCTTCATCATATGGCTACTGGGTCGGTCGCAGGCATCGCCGAGGTGGGAGATGGAGGTGCACTCTCGAACCAGGCGGCCAACAGCATGCTGCCCTTCGTCGCAGCCTTCATTGAGACGTCGGCGAGAGATCCAAGGGCCTTGTGGAGCAGCTTCAGCATGATCGTCGTGAGTGCGACGGCAGCACACCGATGCCACTTCCTTGCCAAGCTCACACAGCCTCTTTACCGCTACGCCTGCGTCCACTTCCACAACTGCGCCCGCGCCCGCAGTTCTCTGAGATTGGCGACAAGACGTTCCTCATCGCAGCCATCCTCGCAATGCGCCACTCGCGCCTCATCGTCTTCGGCGGCGCATTCGCCTCCCTCGTCGTCATGTCAGTCCTCAGCTCATTCCTCGGCGCAGCCTTTCCCTCACTCCTCCCAAAGAGCCTCACCACCTTTCTTGCCTCGCTGCTCTTCTTTGTCTTTGGGGCCAAGATGTGGAAAGAAGGCAAGGAGATGAGCGGCGAGGAGATGGGCGAGGAGTGGGAGGAGGCCAAACGAGAGATTGAAGAGGAAGAGGAGGAGCATCACGAGTTGGAAGATAGGCAGCAGCAGAGCTTGGAGGAAGGGACGACTTACCCGCGCATCAATCTCTACCCTGCTGCGACCGCGCCCAATGGTAACGGGCGACCTGCCAAGAGGAGGGACAGCATCAACGGCAAGGCAGCAGCGGCTTCGACGTCGTTTGTCTCGTCGCTCAAGGAAGGGACGCGCAACCTCTGCGGGCTCTGCTTCTCGCCCGTCTTCGCGCAGGCGTTTGTTCTCACCTTCCTCGGCGAGTGGGGCGACCGTAGCCAAATTGCAACGATTGCCCTCGCGGCAGCTCATGTGAGCAGAGAGAAGCTCGCCGGCAAGCTGGGAGGAGATTCGATTGTGGCTGACCAGCTCTCTACTCGCGCGACAGAACATCACACTCGTCGCCCTGGGCACCGTCGTTGGACACTCGCTCTGTACGGCACTCGCAGTATTGGGCGGCTCATGGCTAGCATCGCGCATCAGTCCCAAGCACATCACCCTAGGTGGCGCCGCGCTTTTCCTGCTCTTTGGCTTTGTGTATCTCTTTGAGTCGTGGGAGGAGTACACTGCGCAGGCGGCTGTGACGGCGAGCAGTGGCGGGGTGGCAGCGGTCACAGGGGCAGCGCAGGCGGTGGCAGACGGCGTAGCAGGGCAGGCCGACAAGATGGCGGCGGCCATGCCTCTGAGATGACGGGACGACGGGCGGAACGACGGACGAGACGACGGACGAGACGACGGAAAGAACACTGTAGACTACGACTCATAGCATCAATTGACATTTGCCGTCACCGCGGCATCACGCAGCGCTTCTGATCAGCAAGGCGGCGAGATTGCGCCCAGCGCGGCCCTCAAAAGAACCAGTCCAGCAAAGGTTGATAGCTATCAGGTCCCGCTGTGCATGGCGAAGCAAGCTAGTTCGTCGTCATGCGGCGCTGCGAGCGGACTGTTGTCAATAAACTGGCACCTTCTCGACTCGTCTCGCCGCGATGATATCAGTCGAGCAAGCCCGTACACAACTGAACACAGCATGAGAGGCAGCAGAGCCTACGATGCAGCAGGGCTTCAGTCCTCCCCAGTATCAAGGCTCGAAACGCTGCGGAATATCAGACAAAGCGGCGAGCGCTGGCGCAGCTGACCACAGCGCTACAGCAGGGACGTCCATCGCACGCCGCTGCAAACACCCGTCTTTCACATTGCGAGGCTTCTTTAACGTATGGCGAACCTGGCATTCCGACATCAGCTGAGTGCGGCGCTGCGATGCGCACCGCTGTAGCACCGCTCGGCAGATGATTGTCAACCGTGGAAGAGCTCAAAGACGCCGGCACAGCAGCAGTATTGCACTTTCCATGGGCGTCGGTAAAGCCTCATTGCAAGAAGAGACCGCTGACTTCGTTCTCTGGCCCATTTCACGGCCGCGCTGGACCATGCTGGCTGCGCGCGCTTTTGAGAGGTCGGTACAGCGCCAGGTGATGTCAATGCTGCCTTTGAAGCTATCTAGGATCCATGAGCGCTCATCTTTGAAGGCTTGACGCGAAGCAGCGCGTTGTGGACAGGTTCAAGCACTTGAGATTGCTTCAAGCAGGAAGTAGACGGCCGTCGAGCTGCCGCCGCTGACGCTGCAGTGCACAGCGCGGGGGACGGAGAAAAATTGGACCTGTCGAGTTGGTGACATTCAGATTCAATGCCACTGAAAATAGTCACGACAAGAATCACGATCTCTGATCCAGGATTGGGAATGGGTCCCTCATGGTACTGACATAGCAAACGAGAGCCGTGGTTGCCGCTGCATTAGCGAAATGATGGTAAGTCTGATATTTTATGTCGCGATACGACGTCCTAGGCAGGCGCGTGCTGAGGGCGCTGCGCGCTGCGTCCGCTGATCTGGCACGCGAACGAGAACATCCCGAGGTACCACAGGCCGCTCTCTGCTTCACTTGCGGCGACATTTTCGCTCTACTTCCTGTCCCGTTCCGCTGCGCAGCGCCATTGAGCCGGCGCTACCTGGCAATGCCCTTTTCTCCACCTGCTGTGCTCGTCCGACTGCTTTTGATCTGCTGGTTCGTCGTCTTGTCGCCGATGGATGTGCGCAGCGATGTGCAGCGCTCGTATTGTGATGTGTGCTTCTGATCTGCTGAATCTCTGCTTTGCTGGTCTGCTCTTGTCGCCGCGTCGCGTTACGGTGTGGGCAACAGCGTCACTTCCGACGCTGCGCACGTCCTCTTTCTTCCTTCCCTTTCCCGCCATCGCTGCTCAAGATGTCCAACAATGCTGCGCGGTTCGCGGCGGTCGATGCCTCTCACGGCCACCTTCTTTCAACGCTCAGCGAGACAGAAAAGTCGCTACTGGGCCTGCCGTACGCTGCGAATGAGCCCGCTCTCGTAAGGGCGAGGCTGCGAGCGAGACGCCTCTTCCTACGCTACAACCAGACGGGGCCGTCAACCCACGACCCTGCGGACCTACCTTCCGGCCAGAAGCCCCAAGGCATTGGTGGATCAGACGACGACGGTGCAGAGGTGGCGCCCGGCGTCAACAGCGAGGAGCGACGACACTTGCTGGCCGAGCTGTTTGGCATCAGCTTCGAGCAGACTGCTCAGGTCGAGGTCGAGGTGAGAGGTGCGGGGCTCCGTAGGATGAAGAGATCAATACCTGCTGACCCTCGCACGACCCTCGTACCGCCAGCCTCCCTTCTATTGCGACTACGGCACCAACATCAAGCTCGAAGGTTCGTGGTACACCAATTTCAACACCGTCATTCTCGACTGCTCTGAGGTCAGCATCGGTACGGGCGTACTCTTTGGTCCAAAGTGAGGACGGCGAGGCGTGCTGCGCGACGCTCAATTCCTCGGCGGCTGACCTTTCCCTCCGCCCGCTCGCGCAGCGTCTCCATCTACTGTGGCACCCACACCACCGCCTTGCCCGAACGTCAGGCTGGTCTCGAGCGTGCTCTTCCCGTGAAGATTGGTCGTGACAGCTGGATCGGCGGAGGAGTGACCATCATGGCCGGCGTGACGATTGGTCGCGGCTGCACCATCGGCGCTGCGTCTACGGTGACGCGAGATATCCCAGACTTCTCCGTCGCAGTGGGGACGCCGGCAAAGGTTGTCAAGATGCTCGAGGGCGAGGAGAGAGGGTCGTTGGCATAGTAGCTACAGTATCGCTGCGAGGAAGGCGAGCACCACGGGCTGCACTGCTGTCGAGTCGTGGCCTGCTCCGTCAACAATGTCCAATCTCACCTTGAGACCTTGCTCCCGCCAATGCTGAGCTAAAGCGTGACAGTTTGCTAGCCTGCTGGCCTTGCCCTCCTCTCGCTGCTTGTTGTCGCGACTGCCCACTACAATCTGAACTTGCATCTCTTTCGCTGCTTCGATCGCTGCCCGTGGTACCGGCGAAGGGGCAGCGAAGATGCCTCTCGGCCACCTTGAGCCCGTGTCCAACAATGTGATGCTCCCCGGCGCCCCTACGCTCAGTGCTCTGATCCGGTCAGGATACAGGTAGAAGAAGCGGTGCGCGTACCCTGCCCCTCCCGAGAATCCGGCGAGCACCACCTGCCTCACGTCGAGCTGAGGGCACTCTGCACCGACCTCGTCGAGGATGCTCAGCAGAATGCTGCCTGCGTGATAGGTACGTCCTTGTATGCGTGCATAGCTCGTCTCATCGTCTGGGCTGTCGAGACCAACTGGAAAGAGTGGAGCGAGGATGGAGCATTGATGCGCCGAAGCGAAGCGCTGCCACGCCTCGTTGAGGCAGTGATCAGTGCCTCTCTGCGTGCCATGAACATTGACAACGACTGGCATAGCATTGGTGGTAGCGGCACTGACAGTGCTTGGCAAGAAGAGCGTATACTCGAATCGCTCATCGGTTGCGAGGCTGCGAGTGACGATGGCCATGAGGTGCGACGTCAAGCGTGGGCAGAGGGCACAGAGAGGGAATCACAATGGCCACACATCGCTGCGCCTCGCGCCACGCCTCGCGCCTCTCTGTCTGTCCGTCCGCGATCGATGATCAGCTGAGTCCCGCCGACGGCGACGACGGCGACGACAACTCGACGGACGTCGATTCTCACCTCGTCTCCACAACCAACCAAATCCGCCTCTCATTACACTCCTCGGCGTGATGTCAGGCGTGTCTCGCAGCATGTCGGCCATCCCGCCAGAGGAGCTGCCCATCCTAGAGTCCCTCATCAACATTCGCAACCGACTAACGGCACTCAAGAAGAACTCGTCCGAGTTCATTCGAGCTCAGGACGTACAGACGCTCTACCAGGCAGTCATCAAGCAGGGTGGGTATCACAGAGTCGGGATCAGACTGAGTATATGCTGCGCTTCTAACACGGTACAACCCTCCCACTCAGTGACCAAACTCAATGCCGTTCGAGATGAACGTGAGGCCAGCGAAGTCTCGTCTCGTAGCGGGCAAGCTTCCACAGCGCCGTCGACCGAAGCCACGCCCGCCTCATCGACATCGTCGTGCAACACATCCACTCGCACCGACGTCGATACCTCTGCCACTCAACACAATCGCGTTGACACCACGCTCCAAGACGTCTTCAGCCTCCTCTCCCTCTTCTTCCTCACCATCGGCAAGAGCAGGGAGACGCCGGCTACTTTCAGCCAGCTAGGTAGCATGAAGCAGCTACTCGATCACATGGCAGAGTCGGGCATTTACACAGAGGCAGATCTTGAACCATTCGAGAAGCGTCTGAGCGAGCTGCGTGAGATCATCAGGAGAGACTCGGATCAAGGTGAGCGAGGTGTGGTGTGGCAGTGCGTCAACTTGACAAAGTGTGTTGGGTCTCATCTGTCGTCTATCTCCCACACGCAGGCAAGCACCCCGCACAGCTCACCAAGTTAATGATGAGGAGGCTCGAAGGATGCGCCAAGGTCCTCCAACAGCTGCAAGGCACCCTCTCTGTACTTTCCGTCGAGCTCGTCCCAATCCACCAGAAGCTCGTATCAATCCGCCGCCAGATCGCAGCAGCCGCAGCAAGACCCAAGCCTGCCCGTCAAGAGATTCGCAAGCTCCAAGACGAGCTGCGAGCTATTGATGGCAAGCGTGTCGACGGTAAATTCTTGGGACCTGGAGGCTCCTCCGTCCCAGCCGGCCAGGCCATCCTCGTCGGTCTTCTCGAGGAATGCTTCGAAATCTGCCACGACGTCGTCGTCCGCAACGACGAGGTGCCTATGACCCTTCAGCCCATCTACGACCGCCTCAGCGGCATCAAAGGTCAGCTGGAGCACCTCGTCCTCACCCACCGATGGACGCTCAGAGAGACAGATCTGTGGAATTACCAAGTAACGCTCAAGGAAATTGACAGGCTGAGGGTGGACGGCAAGTTTGTCGACTCCGAGGGCAAGCAGCCTGAAGGGCAGCTCGTCTTGCTGTACCTCCTCAGGCGATGCTACGGTCTCATCTACCGCCTAGTGGCTTCGAGTGAACCAATCAGCGAGGAGCTGATGCCGGTATCCAATAAGCTGTCGACGGTTTCCAAGTGCCTCAAGGAGGTGTCAAAGTATGGCGGACCTTTCACGATGCGCGACCTCTATCCTTACCGCCTCGCCCTTCACCAGATCGACAACCTCAAATCGCCTGTGCTGGACAAGGACGGCAATGACACTGGGGTGAGAAAGTGGCTCGGTCGAGACGGGTCAGTGCCAGAGGGGCAGGCCATTCTCAAAGCCCAATTCGAAGAGGTCGAGCAAACGATCAACGAAAGTGAGTGAGGCGTTCAAGCCGGTCAGGATCTTTCCCTCTTGCTGACGCTTTGCTCCACCCACTCCGCACGTAGTGCTCAATCAGGAGGAAGAGTCGGACGACGACGATGAAGAGGGAGCAGAGGGATCGGAGGGAGATTGGGGTGCTGGCTCAGATATCTCAGGCTCCGTTTCAGATGATGCCGGTGTAGCTTCGGACTCAATGGGCTTCAACAGCGGCGTGCAGTCGCGCGACATCTCGATGCCTGCTAGCCCCTCCGGCGAGGTAGCCAGCCCAGGAGTTTCTGGCCTATCAAGCGCCCTTCTCACTGCTGGCTACGGCTTCTCCGGAAGCAACTCCCCTACTACTCCTCATACTGCTAAGCCCAATGTAGCAGAAACATCGGCCCAGGCATCGCCTTCCGTCGCTCCTCGCCCGCCGGAGGAATTGTCCCCGGCATCTGGATCCACTTCTACCGCAACGACGATCAGCCCTGGCCTCTCGAGCAATCCTTTGCCCCCTGGAGCAGCTACTTTGGCAGTACCTCGACCAGGTCAGACGTCTTTGACTGCCGCGGCCGTATCCTTGGATGCAATGAGCGGGGCCGGATCATCTCCGCCAACCCACGCGGCAGCATCCAACGGCCTGTCCCCGCCGATGGCTCCACATCAATGGGCTCACCTGCGGGACAGCGCCCCCTCGACAGCAGCGATCAGCTCAACGGGCGCATCAGCAGCGAGCAGCAGTGGCGAGTCGACAAACACAACAGCGGCAGCGGCGGCAGGCAACGCACCTAGCAAGGCTTCCGTTCCCGCCCCCGCGGCACCGGTTCCGATTGAGCAGAAAGCGCAGCATATCTGCTCGCCAGGAGAGGCTGGCATGTCGCCTGGGTCGCTGGAAGGGGAGAGTAGAGTCGAGGTGGCTAAGCAGCTTGAGGCGAAGCTCAGGCTCGAGGACTCGTGAGAGTGAAGCTGCGCGGTATCGTCATTATCACCTATCACCCTTTTTGTTAGAAGCTGTTGCTCCTTTCGGTCTCGGTCTTTTGTGTGGAGTTGGATTGAATGCAGCAGCATACGCCATCACGCATCGCTCGAGATTAGATTTCATGATGTTTGCATTGCTTTGCCGTTCACGACGGCGCACCCACCGCACTGGCAGCCGCCCCTGCCGCGGCAGCTACAGCGGCCGAAGCGCCCTGCTGCTGCTGCTGCTGCCCCGCATTCGCCGGTGGCCTCCAGTTGAGCCTCTTGCCCTCCTCGTACAGGTCCTCCATCACATCCTCCAACCTCCCACTCATCTTGAATGTCTCATAGATGCGGAACAAGTGCAAGGCAGCCCTAGCATCTTCAATCGAGTCGTGGCCCGACACGAGCGCTTCCTCCTCCCCTGTACGGTCAGCCTGTATGGCCTCCTTGAGGAGGAACCAACTCAGAAAGCGCAGAGAGAGCTTACGCGCCTGCGAGGTGGACGAGAAGAGGTCGACTGTATCGATGACCTGGCGGGGTGGGACGTGGATGTTGATGATGCGGAAGTCCTTCTTGAGCCCATGACCGATGAAGATGCAGCCCATATCGACCAGAAGACGCAGCTTCTTGTAGGCGAGCTTCTGCGGCACAACGGTATGCTTTGATCTGGCGGGATCCAGATCCCCATCGACAATGCCTGAAAACTGCGTCAGGTAGTCGAACACCTTGGCCGTCGTTGCAATGTGGTCGTCAATGAAGGTTTGTCCCTCCGCGTCGCCTTGACCATGCAGGACCGAGACGCGGGCGAGAGACATGGTGCTCGGTCGTACCAGGGAGCGTGTGCCGTTCGAGCTGATTTCGAGCTCTTCGGGATTCAAAGCGATGAATTCAGCATCGATGGCAACCAAGTCGCCCGCAGATGGAAGGCAATCTGGCGTAAGAGGGCTATGCCGGACCAACTCTGGGTCTCGTCTTTCGGTGATGCAGAGATCTTGCGTGAGAATCTCCTTGTCCACTTGCCACGGAATGGAGCCGATGTCGACTGGCTGGTGGTCGATGCGCTCAAAGTAGACGACGGCAGGGATCTTCCACATCGAGGCGGGAAAGCCGAGTGCTTCGCTCTCAGGCACAGGTCGAACGAGGAAGTCGTTGAAGAGGAACCATTCGCTTTCGCCATTGTCGCCCTTTCGAACGACAGAGACTAGATGAGCAGGATCCTTGGGTGCTTGTACTTGCATTGTCATCGACTTGAGGCGGTAGATTGCTGCGCCTTCAGTCGCACGCTCCCCGTCGGCAAGATCGCGCACAACGGCCTTCTCCCCATCTCTACCGCCGCTAACAATGGAAATGCGGGATGGTAGGTATCTACTGCGGGATGATCTGCCAGGGTGCGACGCTCCTCGTCTGCTGCTGCTAGAGGGCGAGGCAGCGGCAGCTGCTGCAGCAGCGGCCGAAGTCGGTGGTGGAGGCTTGTCGACCCAGATGCCCATTTGCTCTGCCGTGAGGATGTTAGCATTTATGCTGAGGACCGGTGGCAGGTGCGAAGTGGGCGGCAAGGTCCTCCTCGTCTGAATTGAGGCGGCATGGTTGCCGCAACCTCGACAAGAGCCCTTGGCAGACGATTCACGCGTCAACGAAGCGGCGAGCACCGAGGCAAAGTCGGATGGCGCCGTAGGCTCATTCGAGAGCGACTTACGTGGGTAGATGAGGTCGACGACGAGGCCCTTGTAATCGCGAACGACCTCATGGTGGCAAATGAAGCAGCGGTTCTTCACCTTGATCGTTGGCGCAAAGACGTTCTCCAGCATCTCTTTCCTCGGCGCGCCAATCTGAGCCTCGTGAGCCCACGCTCGGACGGCCATCTCTGCCCACGAGGAGGCCAGGGTGTCAAGGAGGAAGCGATTAGCATGCTGAACGAGGTTGGCGTACGCAGCATCGGCTTTAGGTCGGCCTTCGTCGTCGATCAGAGCCAGAGAGACGGCTGGGGATACAAGGACAAAAGGGTCATCAGTAGCCGCATTCACAAGCTCCATAGCGCCATTATACTCACCTCTGTGGCTCTTCGCAAAAGATCGCAGGAAGTTGGTCGCCTGACAATTGGCGCCCGCAGCGTCCTCGAGCATCTTGAAGAGGAAGCCTGCCTCACATAGAAGACAATCTTCCCTTTCACACCTGCCGCTGCCGCCCGACATGGTATGAATCTCTGCCAGCTTCCTGAGCGGATCGAGATGGAAAAAGCACTGCAGCAGAGAGTTGAGGTAGCAATTTGGGATATGCGTCTCAAGACCAGAGTGCTTCGTTCGATTGTAGACGCTGCGAAGAGGGGTAGATGGTAGGGTCAGCAGCCGTATACTGTCCTTGGTCGCTTGGCGCACCCACTCGAAATCAAAGTCCTCAACGCCGAACTTGCTGTAAAGAATATTCTTCTTGCGCCAATAGCCCGGCGGACCCGCCCCTGCATCGCCGTTGAGACTGCCGCCATCGTCCTCCTCGTCACCACCATCATCGCTCGTCGACTCTCCGCCGACGTCTTCGCCAGACAAGGCCGCAGCTCTCGTCTTCTTGATACGCTCTTTCTCCTTTTCGCTGCGAAAGAGAGTCTTGCTCGACCCTCCTGCTGACCCTGCGCCTGCCCCACTGCGAGCACCGCCTCTGCCGGGAGCACTCGGCAAGCCTCTGCCTGTGACCTTGACGACGTTGCGTTTGCCCCGCAATTGACGGGGCAGCGGAGCGAAGTGCAGGCCATCGATCTGCCTGACGGAGTGGAACATAGTCGGATCGACCTTTGGCATCGGGTTGAAGAGGGGGGAGGACTCGGCTACGTATCTGTCGAAGGGGAAGACGGAGCTGAGCGTATCCTCATAGTAGGGCATTCCAATCGTCGAAAGAGGCGTGTCCGCAGTCCAGTCGATGCGTGGCAATCGTTCTGGAGGATCGGCAACTTCAGGAGGTTCCGTAGCAAAGGGGTTGAATCGGGGAGCGTTTGCGGCAGACTCTGGGTGATTGAGAGCCGACATGGCTTCTGCAGATGCCCAGAGGCGTACCGACCCATCCGACTCTCCGAAGGCGATATACTCTGCGCTTGGGGAGAAGGACAGCGACGTGATCATCGAATTGGTATTGAGCTGGAAGAAGGCAGCCTCGCCGGGATTGTTCATGTCGACGACTTGCCATGATCCTTGAGGAGCGGCTACGACGACTGTAGAGCTGATGCGAGGATGGATGTCCAGGAGAGCAGGGCCGCCTGGGGCGGCAAATGGTACGGGAACCAGAGCTCGTAGGTTGCGAAGATCATGGACTACAGAAAGAGATTGAGATCCAGTCGTCAGCATTTGATTTTTCCTCTATATCTTTGCCGCAACTGCTCACCCTTGATGAGAGGTTCTGGGACGGGATGACCTAAACGCATCGTCCACCCTACGCTCCAGACGAGACTGCCATGGGCCTTCATATCGATGACACCTCCTGGATGAGCATGCAGCTTGTGTTCCGTTTCGAGAGAGCGAGGATCTCTGAGCTGAATATGCCCACCTGGCGTCGATGTGAGGAGGTATCGCTGTGACCGTCTGACTTGGAGGAGTGGTCCCCCTGCGGCAACTTTGCGTACCACTGCGCCGACGTGACGATTGAGCGATATGACTTGCTGATCAGAGGGTGATGGTGATGAACCGCATACAACGACGTCAGATGACGAGACGACAGGCGATGGCGAGATGGACGAGAGGCTGAGGGACGAGTGACCCATTGCAGCGACATCTTTGGTCCACCTAGCCAAGCCTCTGCGATTGGCACAGTGAAGCCCAAATGGGCTGATGGAGAAGACGTTGCCTCCTTCATTGTAGACTTCGCGTATGCCATTGCCTCCTGCTACAGTGCCGGGTGGTGCTGGTCCTGAGAGTTGAGGCGGGGGCAAAGGTTGCGCCTTTTTCCAGCTGACTCGCAGTCTTCTCTGTTCCTCGTTGTCATGGTAGAGGGGCGACGTGAGAGAGACGTTTGCCTTCCATGCGGTATATCGGGCGAGACTAGGTCCGTACCAGCTCTGTACGGCTCCTGATGAGGTGGCGGTGAAGAGGAGATCGGATGAAGTGTCGAAGCTGAGGGCAGAGAGGGAAGAGGGAGGACGAGGAAGGGCTCCTAGATAGGGAGGGGGAGGTGGAGGAGGGGATGCTAGAAAGTGGGACAATTCATGCCATGAGGGAGGGTTGCCCCCGGCCATATGGGCTAAGGCCAATGAGGATCACAAAAGGATGATAATGATGTGATGATGCGGCGGTCCGGACAAGACGACACTTGCAGATGCGACGCGTGCCTGACGGGATCGCACCTTGACCTCGCCCCCGCTTTCCGGCGCACCCAGACTGGCGGCCCCACGCGACATCAAACGCAAGCCTATCCCACCATCTTATCCCAACCCATCGACATCGACGTGTGTGAGACACAATTCACTGTCTGCACTGCACGCGATGATGCATCAAAAGAAATCAATCCATATCGAAGGGCAATCGCCTTCAAAGAGTGCCGTGCTGTGAGGCCACGCCTTCTCGTGCCAGTGTCGTCATTCTCATGGCCAGCAGGCAGAAGAACAGACTGGACGTTAGCACACGAGCGTGTGATGTTGAAGAGATGCTCGTCTGATAAAGAGACGTAGGCCTCTCTACCATTTGGTGGCTCGGCGCTCGACATTGACGTGAGGACCGGTCCACCGGGCAGACGTCGTCTCGTCCGCGGACCGGAGAGGCGCGGAGAGAGAGACGAGGCGGGAGCACAACGGCCGACGTCTTCGCATCGCTGCATTTACTCAGTCGTTGCCAATTTATCCATCCAGATAGCCAGACGGAGAAGATGTCAGCACCTCAGAAGAATCACCACGAAGAGGAGGATCTTGACGACCTTGATGGTGAGTACGTGGGCGAGGTATGACGCATTGTCCACCTATTTACTCACTCATCTCGCCTCGTCGCTTGGATCAGACGTCCTCGATCAGTTCAGCTCCAAGCCATCGGCTTCCACTCAACAAGCGGCGAAGGGCGCACAAGGCGCAGCCAAGCCCTCAGGATCTCAAACACAAGGCGTTGCATCCTCTGACCCAACCAGTCAATCAAAGAAAATCGGAACCGACGAAGCTGAGGATGATGATGGCCTCCCATCCGGCTTCGACGATGCACTCTCAAAGCAATTTGCCGCCGAGCTAGCAAAAGGCATGGAGGACATGTTCGGCAATGCAGCAGCCGCTGGACCCTCAACACGAAAGGAAGCTGCGGGAAGTGAGAGGTCGACCAAGGATACTGGCGTCTCAGGCGAGCCAGAGATGAGCGAAGAGGAGATGATGAAGCAATTTGAGAAGATCATGGCAGAAATGGGTATGGGTGAGGGAGGCCCGTCAGCAGACACAAGAGGCAGCGCTTCAGCATCTGCATCGGGCCCTCAGCCGCCTCAGCAAGCTGCCGACTTCCAAGATGCCATCAAGTCGACCATGTCCCGCTTGAAGCAGTCTTCTGCTCAGGGCGGAGGAGCAGGAGGTGCCAACCCATTCGGCGACTTCAGCGAAGACGACATGGCCAAGCTCCTCTCCAGCCTTGGCGGTGGTGAGGGAGGAGAGATGCCTGAAGGCGAGGAGGGGATGGCCAAGATGCTCGAGAAGATGATGGGAGAGCTGATGAGCAAGGAAGTCCTGTATGAGCCCTTGAAGGAGTTGAGGGACAAGGTGAGACGTCAAGTGGGCTGAGGGGAAGCATACAAGAGCTTCGAGCTGATACGATGTGCTCTCCTGCCCCCAAAAAAGTATCCTTCCTACCTTGCCGCGCCTCCAGCAGACGTCAAGCCAGAAGACTTGGCTCGCTACAGGGATCAACATCGCATCGTCTCGCAAGTCATCGAGACGTTCGACGACGTCAAGTTCGACAATGGCAGCGAGAGCGAGAAGAAGGCTCTCAAGGAACGTGTGTCGAGCCTGATGAACGAGGTGAGCAGACGAAGGCGCTGCTGAAAGATATCAAGAGGCTGACTCTACCCTTTGTTGCCATCGCACAGATGCAAGAGGGTGGAGCTCCCCCACCCGAAGTGGCAGGCGAGATGCCCGAAGGCTTGGATGGGATTCCAGGTCTCGGTGGCAATGGAGGACCGGGCAATGAAGAGGATTGCGTCGTCATGTAGTAATAGCTTGTTGCCTCCTCACTAGCGATCATGACTGGACAGCTTTTGCTCTTGCTCGCCCGCTTTGGGGTCCGTCCGTGCGCACCCCTCCACTCGACCCGGGACTTGAGATGTGCCGTCGACGTTAGTGTTGTTGCTTCGACTTCATCTTTTTCCGTGGATGTCATGTCAAGTGCAGATGGGTCACCCAATCGCCCGTGGAGGCTAAGCCAACAGCTCAAGGGCCACACGTCAGATGTGAGAGTCACACTCCCTAATTGCGTCAGTATCGTCGAGCTCATCGCAACCCACGCGTGGCCAGGTCAAGGCCGTCCACTGCGCCGTCGTCAAGAGCAAAAATGAAGGGAAACAGACGAGGCAAGTCATCTTGACCGTCTCGAGAGACTCGACAGCGAGAGTTTGGAGTCGGGACCTTGAGAGAAAAGGGGCCTGGGAGCAAGGACCGACCTTGGAAGGAGGCGGGCGATACCTCAATGCTGTCGTCTTGGTGCCGCGGAGGGATGATCAAGAAGAAGGCGAGCAGAAGAGGTGCCGGGAGAAACATTACATCCAAGCTGACTTGCACCTCTACGATCACCACCGCTGTTAGACTTGGTCCTTATCGCAGGTCTAGACGGGCTCATTCGTTCGTTCCCTCTGCCCTTCGACACCCTCCTCCAACCTGGGCGCATCACCGAACCGATGCAGATCATTGAAGAGCACTACGGTAACGTCACCTCTCTCCGATATTTTGACGAGCTACTGCTTTCAGCATCGTGGGACACAACAGCGCGCAGCTACAGGCGAGATCGCAAGGGCAAGTGGCATCGCCTTCACCTCTTGAAGGGACATGAGAGCGCTGTTTGGGGCATCGAGGTCCTTGATGCCAAAGAGGGTGCCGAGAGGTATTTGACTGCTAGTGCCGACTTGTTTGTGCGGCTTTTCGAGGCGAATGAGTGCAAAGTAGTGTGGGAGGGGCATAGAGATGTCGTGAGGGATCTGAAGCTGCTCAATCGCGGCCAGGCGAGTCAAGAGCAGCTCTTCGCTTCTTCATCGTGAGGTTACGCGACGTAAGGCCTTTGCTCGACCCCTTCTGACCTGCCCTTCGCTTCTCTCAGCAACGACGCCTTCATCCTCATCAATTCCCTCTCTCCAACGCGACGCCCTCCCAACATCCCAACCAACGGCGGTCCACCGCTTCTGACCCTCGAGGGACACACAAGCATCGTCTACTCTCTCGCCCTCCTGTCCACAGAGCCAAGTTCAGCTTACCAACTTCTAGTCAGTTCGTCAGAAGACGGCACCGTCCGGCTCTGGGACACAACCCTTCCCCACAACAACGAGGAGAATGCCACACCTCGTCGATTGGTTGATACCATCCCCCATCCAGTCACGACCGTCTGGTGTGTAGACTCTCTCCCTCACTCCGGCGACATTGTCTCAGGGAGCGAAGATGGCGTTGTGCGCGTCTTTACGCAGAGGCCTAAGGGCGAAGGGGCTGGAGAAGAAGTCACGCAAGCAGAGCTGAACGAGTATGAGGCCCGGTGCGCTGAGGTGGCCAAGAAGACTGGCAGACTCGGGTGAGTGCAGAGGGAAGAGCAGCTCCTGTGCGAAAAGCCAAACTTATCAGAGCGATCTCGTCGCCTGCGCACAGAGCTCGAGGTCAAGTCGTTGCTGTCGAGGGCAACGAATCACTGCCATCAATCGCCACCCAGCAAATCCATCCAGTGGACGGCAAGACGTACGACTTTCTCCTCCCGATCGACGTCAGCAACGACCAGCCTCACCTCATCCTGGGTTTCAATCGTGGCGATGATCCGCTTCGAGCGGCCAAAGACCTCATCGCGCAGCATCTTCTGCCGGAGAGCTACGAGGAGGAGATAGTAGCCTTTATTAGGCAGGTCTCTGGTGTGTGATAGATTCTGAAAAAGATGACATTTAAAAGTGCAAGGCGTGCTCGCGAGTGTGGCCTGTACTGATGCTGAGAAGGAGAAATAGATGTACATGTGTGGTTTGAGCCTCGGGCTCGACTTGCTTGATCTTTGGCCAAGCGGTATCGCTGTGTGGGTGAGAGTACGAAGAGACCGTGGAGATGCTAGGCTACATGTGCTTGAAGAGAGAGTCGTCGGAATGATGATTTCAATATAATGAGGGTTGGCTCATCGCCACGCTCAAATGGCGTTGGTCCACTTGGCGTCTCGCAGCTTGACGATACGCCCTGAGCTAGAGATGGTCCATCCCGGCTCCGCAACAGAGAAGAAGGGCTTGGACTCCATCGCGTCCTCATCGCCCTCGGCAGTCTTGTTGGGAGCTGGTCGCTTACCCCGAGGAGTAGCGAGTATGACGCGGCTACTACTGCAACTTCCCTCATGTCCAGCGTAGTGTGTAGGCTGCGTAGACTCACTTGCGGTGCGTTTGCGAGGAAGGAGCGAGTGCTTCTGATGCTTCTTTGCATGTTCTTGGCTGCTAATAGTGTCAAATTTGACTTTTTTCAATGGGCTGCCAGAGGCGCTGCTGACGTTGTGCTTGTTCGTAGTGGCCAGAACCTTCAAGGGAGAGGAGGAGCTGGACTGGCCACATGGAGAGCTCGTTACTGAAGTATCACCGCTCTCAGGGAGCTGCTCCTTGTGACATTTGGAGGCATGTACCCACCAATTGGTGGGCTCGATGGCGCCGAAGGTGATCCATTTGCTGCGGGGGATGAAAATGGTCACAATGTGAGCCTGCGCTGCGGATTCGACCTGATCGAGCTCTTTCTACTCACTCGCACTGGTGGCAGAGACCCTTGAGCTCACTACCTTCTCCGACCTTGCCGTCGACTCCCTGCTGTCGTCGCCTGGTCTCTAGAGGTTCTTGGTACTGTAGACAAGTTTTGGGCGAGATGCCATGTGCTCGAATCATATGGTATCTGCGCGTGTACGAAGAGGCGAGGTGAGCAGGAGGTTGCAGAAGAAGCTCGTTGCCCCTTGTTTGCGGCCAGACTGACCGGTAGCTTGAATTGCGCAGATTGAGCCAACCACCGACGAGGCTGTTGCCCCTTCCATAGCCCGAAGCCTGATGAGGCAGGCAGAGGCCGCACCACGCCTCCTTGCTGCCCATTGCGCCTGCTGCCCCATCTTGACCGCAGCTCTTGCCGGCTCGAACGATGGCGGGCGTGTAGAGGTCTCCGGGGAAGCGTTCGGGCTGCTTGCGAGCTAGAAGAGGGAGTTGAGCAGAGTTGCAAGCGTCAGTCGGGGTGCATTCACGTCGTGCGCTGTGCTGCGACGCTACTCACGACGCAGGTGAGCAGGGTCACGACGCTCGTCAAAGGGAGGGGGTCGCGAGGCAAAGCGACCATGTATGTGGCGTTGATGAGGGAAGAGGTCCTCTACAGCGGTGGGTGGGATGACTGAGGCCAAGATGAGCGTAGGCTCGGCCGGTACTGAAGATTGCTCTTGTTGAGGAGGCGAGGGAGGCGGCGGAGGGGACTGGGCCTCTCTCTCTCCTTTGGCCTCAGTTTGAGCTTGAATCAGAGCGATCTGATCTTCAAGTCTCTTGCGTTCAGCGCTGCGTTGTGAGGTGGCGATCTTTCTGGTCTTCCGCTGTGATGTGACTCGTCTGTGGCGAGTAAGGACGATGGCTGGCATGTTGCGGGCCACCTCAGGAATGGGCACTTCGGTGCCTGTGAAGCGGCTGCCCAGCGGGGTGCGAGTGTCCCTATCTTGAGCATTTGCGCCATCAAAGGATTTGGCGAAAGCGGGCAGGGCACGGGCCGTGCTTGAGAGGTATTGATCACTGTGGCTGCGAATGAGGGACTTGTGAGTCGATTGAGTGGACAAGCACTCAGAACGACCTCCGAGCTGACGAGGGTTGGGAGTCGAGACGCTGCGCTGAGGCTGCGTGATATGATGTTGAGGTGCCGAGCCTCCATGGTGCGAGCCAGATGAGGCTTTGGGCTGAGGTGGATTGCGAGAGCGATGTTGCTTCGGTGGCAGCGTGACAAAGGCTATCGGATTCAGGGGGCGAGGAGGAGAGAAGGCTCGGTTGGCCTGTTCGTCTATGCCACAACGGCGGGTCGCTGGGTACCGCTTCGAGTATCGATGGACACCGAGGACAGCATTGTAGGCCTGATTGACGGTGATAGTACCATGTCGGTGGGATAGAGAGGAGCCTGGCGTCGTCATGTTAGCCGTGGCGGCTTCCGTGGTGCTAGCCATCACCGCAGGGCGCAGGCAGTCGACCTGCAACCGGAGGCCAAGTCACGATGAAAGTGCAAGAAGAGGAACTTTGGAAGTGAACACAGTCTAGTTGTGGAAAGAAAAGCAACAAGCAAGCTGCAAGAACTTCAATCCAAGTGGCCATCCCTCCGCTGGCTGCAACTGGCTGACGGTGCTGCGACAAAAGCGATCTGTCGCTTCTGATGAGCGCGTCCCGTTCGCAGTCGCAGAGGCGCAGCTTGCGACCCAAGCAGTGGCAGCAGAGCGTCATTCGTTCGCAGCGTCATTCGTTCGCCACGGGTTCGCAGTACATCGTCATAACAGTGAACGACGTCGTAGGATATCAAAACAACACTCTGCGTTCATCAAGTTCGCTCTACACTCTGCAGACCGTATGATTAACGAGCGTCATGAAGGATCGTATTCAATCGAAGTAGTGGCGTAAGCAAAGAGCGTCGTCGGTCAAGTAAGGAGGAGCGGATAAAAGGTCAAGGCAGGGGCGGTCCGAGGTGAGATGACGTGGGTATCAGCTTGAGCATCGGTGACTCCGAGGCCTGATGATCTACGCTTCAAAGAGGCGAGCAGGCCGCATGGCTCAAATATCGAGGCCATTTGCTCTCCTCAGGATGCTCAGGAGCATACCAGCCGTCCCAAGAAAGCCAGCGCCCTTGCTTAGCCCGCTGGCCACCTTCTTGACTTTCGGTGGGATCTTCGGCATCTTGAAACGGGCATCGAGAGCGTCATCGTCGAGTGCTCGGAGGGCGAGGGCGAGCGTCTGAGCGTCCTGTCATTAGCGACGGGTGAGGAGGTGGTCAGCATTCGTGGCACGCTGAGCTCAGCCTCGCCAGGCTACTCGCCTCAATGTCTCGTCGATTGACGAAGCCCTGAGCAAAATGCTTTGCATCGGTTCCGATGTCATGGAGAAAGCTCATGAAGTCGCGTGCGTTGAGATCCTCGCTGGAGTCACGGTCGGCAAGAAGGTCGTCCACGAGGTCGTTGAGGTCACGCTGATGGACGGGCTTGCCGGACTCTGCTTTGAGCTCCGTGAGCAGGGTCTGTAGCTCTTTTGCTTCGTCAGCAGTCATCTCCTTGTGGGTCACCATGCCGTCAATCGCCTTCTGTATTGTAGCCTCGTCGGCGTCTTAGAGGAGAAGGCGGCGTCAGCACAAGCGCGCTTTTGGCTCGGCCGCATAGCTACCCGCTACTCACTCTTGATGGCTGCGATCATGGACTCGAGCGCTTGACCAATTGGATGCAGGGCGCCATCACGCCTGGCTGGGAAGTTCAAGTTTTGGAGGTAGGCGTCGTCGCGACGGATGAGCTTCCTAACAAAGGCGGCTGCCAAGCCCAACTTGCGCCAGAAGCCACGTCCTTGGAGGCTTGAGCTGGCCTCGCGAGAGAGGAGGTCGATCACATCATCGGAATGACGGGACGAGGTGTCGCTGGCATCACGTTGCGAGATCAATGGAGGAAGCATCGTCATGCTTTCCACTAGCCTGCGCAAGTCTATGTCGGACCTTTGCTCGGCGTCAACTGCATTTTGAGGCGATGACAGCTCGTCTTCGTCACGAGTGACACGCAAGGAATCCAGCATCTTGCGGTAAGATTCGCTGTTGCCCACTGAAAGACGATCCTCAGCAGTGAGCAGCGAGTCAACGTGGTGGCTGGTTGGCAAGGTGGTGGATCCTGCCTCGGGTAGATCTTGCTGGTGAGCGGCACTGCTCTCGATGCGAGCGGCCGGGTCGTCGACGTTGGTACGGCCGAGGAGAGCTGCAGATACATCGTCGGACTCTGCAGAGGATAGACAGTAGTCACAGCCATCAGCGATTCAATGTCGGCCGCTCTTGTCACCGCGAATCCTTCTCACCTCGAGTGTCCGGCGCTGTGGAGACGTCTGAAGGCGATTCTTCGCGCTCTTGAACGGGAGATACCAAGAAAATGCGGTCTGCCGCCTGGCCTTCCCTTTTCGGCGCAATAGCAGCAGCGACATCGATGTCGCCTCGCTTGCTCAAGGTAGGCTTGTTTGGCGGCGAGCGACGCATCCCAAGGCGCTGCTGCTCTACCTCTTCTTCACGTCGTCGCAGTGCATCTGCGATGTGAGCGTAGGCATCATTGTCGTCAGATCTCCTGTTGTTCTTCGGAGTGGACAGCCAATAGACGACGCGATTCGAGATACCGCCTACCATGCCCTTGGTGAACGAGACGCCAGCATTCCAAACGGCTTTTCCTAGCTTGGCGTACCCACCTTTGCCAGCTGTAGCTGAAGCAGCAGCGTCGACCTTTGCGGTGGAAGACGCAGGGTCTGGTTTCGACGAAGACTTAGAGTCCGAGGAATCGATTTGCTTCCCTCTGTCGCCCTCACCATTCTTTTCGTCTGCTTGACGATAGACGAGACGAAGTAGGGGACCATCTTCCTCAGTTGCTGCTGGTGTGATGCGTTCTTTGAAGTAGTATTAAAAAGAGTGGGTCAAGGTCACCATGCAGTCGCAGCGCAGCGCAGCGATAAGGAGCCGAGAAAACGCTCACCTTGGGCACCCTCAGCCCTCTTGCCGCTCGATGACTTGGTCGTGCCACCAGGCGCAGGCGATGGAGTTGTCTTCGACGTAGTTTGCTTCGGCTTATCCTTGTCGTGAACCTTTTGAAGCTGAGTCATCATGAATGACATACCCGCCGAGTCGGCCATGCGCAGACCGACGTCCTTGAGTCCCTTCTTCATCTTCTTCTTCCATGAGTCCTTGATTTTGAAGGTTCGCGCGTCCATCGCACCGAATTCGTACAGGCGGGGACCATGCGAACTGGTCGAGTGCTCATCAAGGACGCGACGCTGATTGCTTTGCGGCTGTTGCTGGCCAACGAAGAAGATTGGCACGCCTTGGGTGTCGCGCTCGACCACGTCGAGGCTGAGCTGACCCTGACTGATGTCTTCTTCGTTGTCTCGTTGTCCTATGATAAGGACAGGCTGCTTGTCGCGTTCGCTCAGAAGGAAGTGAGGTCGGGCCTGCAGGTCGTCGTCGTCATTCTCCCTCTTGCCCGTGAAGACGATTGGCACCTCCTTGGGGTGCTCGCCGGCATCCCTTTGGCCGCGGATGAGGACTGTCTGCTCAGCGCGCTTGCCAAGGACGAGGTAAGGCATACCCTGGGCGGCTGCAGTTTTTGCACTGTCTTCATTCCTTTGGTTCACGATGAGAATTGGAGGCTCTTCCTGCCGCTGACTGACGAGGAAGACCTCTGGCTGAGCTTGCGCCTCCCCCTCATCGCGCTGACCAAGCATGTAAACTTGAGGCGGCCTAGCGGAGTCTCGCTCCGCAACAAGCACGACAGGAATCTGGTCCTCTGACTCGCCTCGCTCAGCGAAAAAGTCGGCACGATTGAGTTTGCCTGCTGCAGTCGGGCTTATCGCAGTGCCTTGAAGGCGAGAGAGGCGCAGACTAGAGCCCAGCTCATCGGGACCGACTGCGAACTGAGATTTCTCATACTGATGCTGCGGCCTGGTGACTGTGGTCGAATCGGGTATCTCAGCGGACATCTGCGAAGCAGCAAGGTCAGCCACTGGATTATCAGGGCGAGCAGGCCCAGCACAGACTCACTGGGATCGGAGCCGCAGCTGACATGTGACCAGCCAGGGCCAAGCCGAGTGTGATGTGAACGGCTGTGAGCTTCATTCTTGGATGCGGTGTACGGGGCCTGCGGAGGAGTACGGACTACCGTTGGTTGGGGTAAGGTAAAGGAAGAGAGAGGCCTGCTTCTCTTCGAGGTGTGATGCTGATTGTTGGTGGTACTAGTGGTAGGAGGGGCCTACGAAGACCGGCTTCGTGAATATGATGTAGGGTAGGAGAAGTGAGCTCTGCTGAGGGGAAGGGCTGAATGAGCAGCGAGATGCTGAGTTTTTGTATCTTCATCGCTAAGCCTGCGTGGCAAAGGGGCGTGTGCAGCCGTGCAACGAGCATCGATGCCCACGTTCGTCGCTCAGTATTCGTTCATGCTATCGTCTTTGCTGTTGCAGCTCAACGCGCCATCTTGCCGCTTTGCTTGCTGTCATCGGGAGATGATACGAAGTCGGCGATGGTGTGAAGGAGGGTGGAGCTCACGCCGTCGGCCAAGCCACACTTCGCTTGACGGCACGAGTGTGCGTTCGTGCGTCTGTGCGGGCGTCAAGCGCCCAACTTGTTGCCGGCGGCAGGATAGGGGCGGGTGAGGCCCCTGATTGATGACGAGCGCCAAGCGACGATTGCGAGTACAAAAGAGAGCTTTGCACAGACGCACTTGAGAACCTCGTGCTCAGCTAATCTTTCACTTCATCCTCTCAGCCTACCTTACTCGCCATCATGGGATGTGTCTTCTCATCGCTTGCGCAGGTGTTCCTCTATGTCGGCGAGTTCTTCGAGAGTGAGTGACGAGCGCCTGGCCATGCTGCGTGCCAGATTGGCGATCACCGAGCTGAGATTGCCTCTTTTCCCTTCCCACTCATCTTCGCCCACGTTGCTACGCCGCAGACGTCTTCCTCCTTCTCGGCGAGATCCTCTCGGTCCTCACGCGCGGCATCTTCACCCTCCTCGTGGGCATCTGCGACATTCTTGCCGCCGCCTCGTGCTGTTGCCGAGTGCCCTACGACCAGCGGCCGGATCGAGGCACATTCGTCTACTCGAACGCAATCACAAAGGATGTAGGAGGCAACAAGGTTCTCAACAAGATGGTAATCAGCCAAGCCGACAGAGCCAAACAGCGTGAGGATAAGCTCAAGAAGACAGAGGCTGCGCTGGAGAAGCAACGTGATGCCAAGGAGAGCGAGGACGATAAGGCTACGTCCGAGTCAGCCGCCAAGGAAGCAGATGCTGCGACAAAGCCCTTCATGGCGCGCTTCTTTGGTAGTCAGCCCGCAAAAAAGATCGACGGGACGCCAGCTGCCGCCGCAGTCGCCGCCGCCAGTGGCAAGGAGGGGGAGGTCGCTCCTGAGCCAGTCGCAAAGGGCGACGTCCCCGCCGAGACCAAGCCTGCAAAGGAGCCTTTGGTCAGGCGACTATTCGGCAAGCCCGCTGCAGCGATGGCCGAGAAGGGGGAGACTGCGCCCCCCGCACCCGTGGAGAAGTCAGTCGACGTTGCTGCTGCAGGCGCACAAAACGCTGCGGACCCCGCCGAGCCCGCTGAGGCTGGGAAGGCCCCCTCTAAGCCCTTTTTCGCATGGCGTTCCAACGAGAAGCCGGAGGAGCAGAAGACCCCCACCGTCTCTGCCAACAGCGCACCTGCCGATGGCGCCGCCGCGCCGCCGGCTGAATCCGCCACGGCTGCAGCCGCCGACAAGCCCACCGAACTGAAGAGGGCCAAGACGACGCTTCAGACTCTGTGGCACGGCAAGAAGCCCGCTGTCCCAGAGAAGCCCACGACCGCTGGCGCTGCTGCTGCCCCTGCTGACGGCGACGTAGTAAAGACTGAGGCTCCTTCTGCTGCTCCTGCGGCTGTCGAAGAGCCCAAGGCCGCTTGAGCCAGGTCGCAGAAGTTGCTCTAGCCTTCTCCCTCTAACATACCACGACTCGATCATACCAATCCGGAGACTGATTCCCTTGTAATGACTCTCACGACTCCTTCAATTCACGCCCTCATGATATCTCATGATCTACCCATAGTGAGGCTTTGTCGTGATTGATGGCAGACATGCACCTCCGGTAGCTTCGGTATCCGCGCCTCAGAAACAAAGCTCAGAGCCAATTTCCCCAGAAACGCCAGCCAATCATCACCTCCCTCTTGCCCTCTGTCATGTCCTTCACAAGCAGCCGATCCTCCTCGTTACGTGAGTTGAGGCCCAAGGCTGAGAGTTGGCGAGAAGTGAGAGGAGGCATTTCTCGCAGCGACTTCAGCGAGGTAGTGTCGCAAGAGGAAGAAGGGTGGGAGCCAGGGAGAAGCTCGGCTCGATCATCGTCGTCGTCGTCGGGCATGTCCGCAGCACCTTCGCCCTGGTCATTCGCCGACGGGAAAGCGAGGGCCTCGAGGTCCAGTACGAGCTCTCGGAGCCATTCTGCCCAAATGGTGAAGATCGCCCTCGCCAATCGCGTGTCACGATGTGACTCTTGCTCCGCATTGCGGCGATTGCGACGGGAGCGAGTAGTAGCAGTGGAAGAGGTAATTGCGTGTTGATCACGCTTTGAGCTCTGTGACGGCGGTATGAGGTGCCGCTTTGATGGTGAGATGGCGGTGGTCGCGCTCGCCTCCTCATCATCGTAGCCACGGTCTGTGCCAAGCAATACGTCCTTTGTCGTGGTTCCAGCGGCAGAGGACTGCCTCGAGCGACTTCCTGAGCGCCTGAGGGTGCTCCCACCGCCAGATCTCGATGCGGCCGGGCTATGTACGCCGCACGCCGCTAAAAGAGGATCGATGTCGTCATCGTCGTCCTCTCGAGGCGAGACTTGAGGGTTTGTGAAAAAGTCGTCGGCTGGTTCCGAGTCCAGACCATTGCTAGTAGAGCCCACCGGAACTCGCAGACGTCGTGAGCTGCCGCCATTGGCCGTACTCAGCTTCGAGGATCTACGAGCAGAGGAGGACTGGGGAGATGACGATGTCAACGAGTTTCCCACCGGGGCTCCCTCAGCATCCTCAAGGGCCTGCTCGCCCTCGTCGTCACTGCCGCTCTCGCTTTCGCCCCCATCGCTTTCGGAATCGCTATCAGGTAGCAGCATGAGTCCAGCCTGTACCCCTCCATCTTGCCTGATGCTCAGCGGCACGTATCCATAGCTCTCTCGCAGATTGATGCGCCATTGCTGAGGTATGAAAGAAAGGCTGGAGAGCCAATAGCGCAGGAAAGCCAACAGATGGGAAAGGAGAGCTCTGGGTGATGCAGTGGCGACTTGCTGATCTGCTGCAGATGGCTTCGCTTCAAGCCTGGCACGATCCCCTCCATCGTCAGACGCGGCTGGGCGTACGCTGGAACGGCTGCCTCTTCTTGCAAGGCTGCGTGGCTTGCTTGCTAGGCGGACACTGCGATGCTCATTTGACCTGGCGAGAGCAAAGTCGCGTGGCAGCCACGGTACTGCCTTCAACTTGGCGGTCGTCTTGCTCTTCTTTGCTGAGGCGTCCGTCCGTCGTTCTACGCGATACAGATTGGGCGAAGAGTCGCGCGGGGTATGAAGGGAGGAGAATGTGGACGAGGAGGAGGGAAAAGCAACCGGCGCTTGATGTTGCTGCGTAGCTCCGGTAAAGAGGGGCGAAAGGTCTAGCAGGCAGTCGTAGAGATCTGGCTTCTCGAGGAGCAGCTTGTCCGTCGTCCACGAAATCCAGCCCTGTGACAATGGTGCCCGCCTTTGTTCTTCCTGAAGCAGCCCTAGGTCCTGCAGACCGATGATGCCCCGCACCTGCGGCACTCGATGGCCTCGACGATGGCGCAGCTTTGTAACGTTCCTGCCGCCCTCTTGGCCCTCTGCATCCCCGTCCTCCTCTTCGTCAAGGTGCAGGGCCGCCTCGAGTATCTCCGCAATAGTCCACCCAATCGAAGCGGCATTCTTCGTCTGCGCTCCCAGCGGACAGAAGATGACCAGCCTTGTTCCTCTCACCAAAAGCTTGCGGAGCAGTTGAGGTAACAGTAGCCCTAAGGCGTTTGCTACAGCTGGCAAGTCCAGCAGCGGATCCGCTGAGCTGATTGCCCTACGTGACAATGGGGCAGGACCTCGTATTGCCTCGATCTCTAGGAGCGAGGCGCGGAGATCGTCTGACGAGGAAGGATCGAGGCGATGAGCGTCAAGGAAGGCGTTGATGATGGAGTGATCGCGAGGCCGTGAAGCTGAGCTGCTGGCCAGAGACTCGAGAGCGTCGATGTGTGGTAGGCAAGCTGCCAAGTGAGCAGAAGGTGTCGAGCCTACGGCCAAGGCGATAATCCCTACGGCGATCATACGTGCTCCTCTCTGGTCGTCGTCGTCTTCATCCTCCTCGGCCCCGCGTTGCTCCTCATCGTCCTCGCCGCCGAGCTTGCGATTGACGAAAGCAGCGACTCCGACTCGGTGATATCGCTGCTCATCACCCAATGTCTGCTCGGGCTGACCAGGCAGATGGAACCAGATCAAGTCGCGATGAAGAGCATGTGAGCCACTAGGCAATGCCTTCCATTCTACACCTGATAGGTCAATTTCGTGGCCGTGCTGATGGGTGATCTCATTTCCTCGTCGGACGTGGAAGTGAGCTTGGAAGATGGACACGAGATTATGTGGCCGCTGCGATGATGATGACGATGATGCTATCGCGGGCATCGTGAGGGGGGACGAGTCGAAGTGGGAACGGTGAGAAAGGAGGCGACAATGTAATTCGCGTGGGCTGCGTTCTATTTCAAAGCCACCAGCGGATCGACGGAGCGAGGCGAGCAACTTCCCCCTCTCACCCTTCCCCGCGTGTGGACAAAGGAAAAGGGGCCGAGCGCAGCTCACACGCGCACGCTACTGAGCTAGAATTCTTCCATTCGTCGTCCAATACGACTTTCATTTCGAATCGTTACAATCTCTTGTGCGTGCAAGGATATCGGCGCAATGACACAGCTTTTTGTGAACAATCTGCTAATTTCGTCTCGTCGTGATCGTTGAGGATCTTCCGCAACCTGTATGCTCTTTCCCTCGCTTCCCATTGCTGGCTTTCAGGGCTTCGGTACCCTCAACGTCTTGCTCACCATGGCCACCGCCCATGCGAGCCACAGCAGGCTGATCCAATGCAGCTCAGCCGTCAACGAGTCGACGAGGCCGCCTGACAGCTTGAGGCCGAGTAGGCCAGCGACTTGCTTAAGGCCCAGCTCCGTCTTCCCGAATGGTACGCCGTACGAGTACTCCGAGAGTTTTCTCACCACACCGCTAGTCGAGCCGGACACAAAACGGTTGGTGAATTGCAGCGCTCCTCCCTCCATCTTTACCACGTCTGCTCCTTCGAACTTGCCAAAGAGGAGGCAGAGGGCCATGCCGCCGACGAGGATGAGGCTGGTCGGGATGGGCAGACCCTCGAAATACTTGGCTTTGCCGCTCTTGTCGTGCGGGATGAGGGCCGTCGTTACATTGAAGCGGGCAAGGCGGGCAACGCCGGCGCAGATGAAGATGGTGAGGATGAGCGTGTCCAAGGGAGTACGCAGGCCGAGGGTGAAGGCGGCCACGCAGGGCGCAGCGCCGAAGGAAATCTACGAATGCAAGGCGACATTGGAGCATGAGCGTCATCGTGCTCTGCATCGTCCTCGCTGTCACTCACCGAGTCAGCGAGCGAGTCAAGCTCTTGGCCGAGCATGGACCCTCCTCCCCTCCATCGAGCGATCTTGCCGTCGAGCAAGTCGAAGATAGCGCCGAAGAAGGGACACCAAAGAGCCAGCCAGGCATATCGAGTGTTGCCCGTAATGAGATAGCGTCCTGAGCAGAAGAAGGACTGTGCTGCGCAGAAGGCATTCATGATGGTGAAGGCATCGGCGAGGCGAAAGTTGCTGCGGGCGGACAGAGGAGGAAGAGAAGGCAGAGAGAATAGGGAGCATGTGTGAGCCATTCCGAGCTAGAGCACCTCGTCCGCCGAATCCATTTGCTGCTACTCACCGCACCAGCGAGAAGTGACCGCTCGTCTCTACAAACTTGCGCAACGCTACCTCCTTCTCATCGTCCTTTGGCGGCAGAGGCGGAGCAGCCGACTTGGACGTCATCTTGGCACCTGGATTGCCGTTGGACAGAGCAGCGGTATGCGATGCGTTGGCAATGGCTGTTGAAGCTCCCAAAGAGGCGACACCGGAAGAAGGGTGCGAGAGAGGTTGCGGTTGAGCCGAGGCCGTGAGGAGATGGAGATCGTCGTCCGAAGAGGAGACGACGGCGGCTTTGGGAGCCTGAGCCTGGTCTGACGAGTTTGTGGACTGTACGAGGGATGGGTCAAAGGACTTTGGTACGGTTCCTGGCATGCGATGGGTTCGACGAAGAGATGGGCAGGATCGAAGCGGTGGTCGATGGTCTAAAACGAGAGCCAAGAAGTTGATGTGTTGGCCCGGTTCAAGTGTTAAGGCGAGGCGAGGCGAGGCGGTGCGGTGTGCGGTGCGACATCGTGGCCTCCGACTCGTCTCGCGGGTGGAGTCCGAGTCGACTGAGAGACAAGACGAGGCGGACGACAGACAGACCACAAGGGGCCACAAACGGAGCGGAAGAGGATCCAAGGGCGGCAAGAGGGACTCGAGAATTCCAAGCTGCGACACACCACTGTCTCGATCCGTTCATATCGTCCATCGCTCCTCGTCGCCGTCGCCATCATCATGTCTTCGGCCAACACGGGAGCGCCTCAGGGGACAGGCACCACTTCGATTGGATCTACGCGCGTCCAGGCAAGCGAGTATATCTGCGCCGGTGAGCATGACGAGGGGGCGTGAAAAGGGAGCGCTGTCGAGAGACGATTACTGACCAAGCTCTCATGCTCCTTCCACTCGTCCAGACTGCGCCGCTCTCAACGAGGTCCGACCTCGCGAGCCCATCCGCTGCAGGGAATGCGGTCATCGCGTGCTTTACAAGCAGAGGACCAAGAGGATGGTGAGCTTGGGCGAGGCTGGATGGATGTACGGATCGCTTCAGGATCGATCAGCTCACATCCCCACCTCGTCATTACTCTTTACGTTTACACAGCTTCACTTCGAGGCTCGATGAAGCAGCAGCGACAGCTGAGCAATCGCACAACATCACCATCACAGACCGCTCGCATGAGCCGGTCGCTCAGCTGCGACCACACATTGTACTTTTAGAAGGCTTAGAATCTATTCACTCCCACACACGCCAATCGCACACCTGTCGTTGGTGGCTCAAGATGGATCACTTTCTCTTTGAGGCCTGGCTACCTGCCCCTGCCTGCGCTCCAGTAGCTCCCGAAGCTCCGTTGCCAGCTGCCTGAGGCGCGATCCGCGACTGGGCCTGCTGCTGACCACGAGCGATTTCGCCGTCTGGGTCGAGGGATGCCTAGCGAGGGCGAGGGCGAAAGCATCAGGGGTAGTTCAGCGCCGTTCAATCACGGCGAGCGTGTGTCTCATTTAACGTGCCGTCACTCACTGTCAGCTTTGGCAGCAGCGAGACCATGGCCCACGCGCCTAGCGCAATGAGGATCATGGGCGAAGAGACCGTCTGCCAGAGGTAGTTGAGCGCATTGAACTCCTGTACCGAGTGGAAGTAGGTGGGCATAGACTGAGGCGGCTCCACGAGTGGCAGGGGCTCCGGGTTGGAGAGGTAGAGGCTCGATGAGATAGGGAAGAGGCTGTGCATTGGGCGAGGGTTGAGGAGGAGGGACGGTCAGACATCGATCAAGGTCTTCGAATCCCTGCGCTGCGCTACTACACTGCTCACGGATTATGCGCTCGAACAGAGATTTGAGCAGGCTGCCCTTCCTTCCTTGCTGGTCTCACATCGACCCTGAATTGCCTGAATTGCAAGCCCCGAATTCGATACTTGAGGAGATACGTATCCGGATTAGCAGGGAGCGATATCGTCTTGGTAGTCCCGTCCTCTGCCGTCTCCTCTCTAGTCTCTACAGGCAGACCAGTACTACTTGGCTCGGGGAGCTCAATAGACCAAGAACCATCGCGCTTGATGAACGTCTCGAAGCGTGTGGACGCAGCATTGTCGTCGGTGAGGTTCGCAGCGAAAGCGACGACGCGGCCAGAGGGACCGGCGAGCCAGTATTCTCGGAGCAGGTTGTGCGAGGCGATCTGACCTCGCAGAGTGACACCCAGCGCTGAGGAGGCGGCGCAGATGAGGAGCCCCACCGACAGTAGGGCAAAGTGTCGCATGGCTAGTGGGCCTGGTGGAGAGCAGAGTAGAGGCAACCAGCCACCCACACACGCACACTTGTTCTCGTGTCGAGTCCGTCCGTCCCGTCTGTCGGTGCGTCGGCTCGCTCGCACTGTTCTTGAGATCAACGGCGGCTCCCTGCCGCTACTTCCGATGCTTCCTTGTCGAGAAGGTCCAGGTCATTCAAATCGAACCGCTCTGCTCATCCCCACTAAGCCCACTACCGACATCATCACCGTACTCTCCGTCTCCACAGCCATGTCAGACCCGCAACGCCCCACGGTGCTCGTCGCTGTCCAAGAAGCGCCGATCGCATTTAACCTATCCGCGAGCATCGCCAAGCTGCAGTCCCTCACCTCTCAAGCCGCCTCCAAGGCACGCAGGGACGCTCAAGCGGAGTGGGGTAATGACGCAGCCTCTCGTGCACAGATCCTCGTCGTATTTCCCGAAGCCTTTCTCTCCGCCTACCCTCGCGGCATGGACTTCGGTGCCACAGTCGGCTCTCGGACGGATCAAGGTCGTGCCTGGTTCCGACGATACCATCAGTCAAGTGTGCCAGTGAGCGATGTTGAGGGAGCAGAAATGAGCGCGATTAGAAAGGCAGCGAGTGATAATGGTGTAACGCTGGTCGTTGGCGTCATCGAGCGATGCGACGGACCCATCAGTGGGCCACCTAGGGAACAATGGGGCGCCACCGCAAGAGGCGGGAGCGGGACGCTTTACTGCGCTGCTCTTACCATCTCGCCGACCGGGCAGCTCCTTGCCGCACGACGCAAGCTGGCTCCAACGGGCAGTGAACGTCTCGTGTGGGGACAGGGCTCGCGAGGGGACATCCGAGTAGCAGACACGCCCGTTGGACGAGTTGGGGCGGCCATATGTTGGGAGAACTACGTGCCGCTGTTCAGGCATGCTCTCTACCAGGAGCATGCGGAGATATGGACGGCTCCGACTGCTGACGGGAGAGAGCAATGGCAGTCGACGATGGTGCATGTTGCGTGTGAGGCGAGGGCTTTCGTCGTGTCGGTAAATCAGTTCAACACGAGGGCGGACTTTCCTGAAGACTACCCTTGCTTGCCAGGTGGGTAAGGAGAGGCTGACTACGATGGAGACAGCGGCGTGCGTACGCTGACCCTTCTCACTCGTCGCTCGCTTGCGCTCAGACGCCAAGTCAACTGACGTGGTCACACGAGGAGGTTCGGTCATCGTCGGACCGCTGGGCAAGGTGCTGGCCGGCCCGCTCTGGGATCAGTCTGGTTTCCTTACTGCGTGCGTCGACGACATCAAGGGTGAGATCATCGAGGCGAAGATGGACTTCGATGCGACGGGACACTACTCGAGGCGTGACCTGTTGAAGTTGGTGATCAACGAGGATGCGTGATCTTTTGAATGCCGAAATTGAATCGCAATCAGAAGCTTGCCGGTCAGGATGAAGTGCAGCGTGTCAAGTCAGTTTCGTCAATCAACCACACACAGCTGCACTCGGTCAAGAAATAGAGTGTGATTGAGGAGAGCCGTGATGGATCGCACCGCTCGCTGACGAGTTGGCGGCCATGCATGACTGCAAGGAGGTTGAGAAAGGCGTGAGTGGCATGACGACTACGGTCCAGCCGTCCTTCACGTCGATGAGAAGGCAGAATGCCTCGGAGTGCCTCGCGAAATGCTGCTTTCCCAACACCTGGCGATGACGAGACGCTATTGTGCTGCGCCGCCATCTTCTTCCCTGTCCTCGTCTCCGGCGCTCGCACGCGCTTAGTCGAAGAGACCGAAGCCCATGTCGTCGTCGGACTCCTCCTTCTCCTCCTTCTTCTCCTCCTTCTTCTCCTCGGCAGCGGGGGCAGCACCACCAGCGGCAGCGGCGGGGGCAGCAGCGACGGCACCGCCGGAGGGGACAGAGGCGAGCTTCTCCTGGCCCTCGGTGATGAGCTGCGAATGAGCAGGGAAGAAAGGAGAGGAGAGGAAGCGCGTCAGATGAATAATGTCTGTGAGTAACCACTGTACTCGCTCGCGCACGCACCTGAGCAATGTCCTTGCCGTTAAGCTCAGAGACGACCTTGTCGAGGCGCTCCTGCTCCGACTCGATGCCGACAGTCTCGAGGAGAGACTTGATGTCAGCGGCCGAGGGAGAGGCGTTACCGCCGAGGGTGAGGAGGAGGTAGGCAGCGAGGAACTTCATTTCTGCTTGTAGTAGTAGTGGGGGGCCGACGCAAATCCGCTAGTAGCTTTGATCCTGGTATGGAAGACTTGCGCACTAAAGGCTAGGAGGTTGATAAGGGTAAAGGAAGATGGGAGCCAGATTCGTCCTGCGTCCGCTTCATCGTCGCTGGTGCTGCTGCCGCCGTCGCAGCCAGTCCTCCCTCGGGTCGGAGCGGTGGGCTCAGCCGCCTCTTTGCCCGCCCAGGTCGGAACTGCGGGTCGGCAGAAGCTTATGTCAGCAAAACTGGCTCACGGCTCGGAGCCGCGCGGTCTGGTAGACTGCGAAGTGGGCGAGGGACCAGTCAGGCAGGCAGGCAGCCGCACTCGACAGACTGAGCCGGGCGGGGCGGGAGACGAGGCGAGGCGAGCGACCTTTGACGTCGAATCGCGCCAGCTACTCATCGTCCTCATCTTCCATCCTCCTCCGTCCCCCCCCGACAACACCGCCAACAGTGGGTATCAGCGCAGAGATTCGATCGAGCACGCACCATCATCCACACGATATCGAAGATGAGAGGGGACCTGGGCACGCTCGAGTAGAGTGGGCGTGAGGTCGCAGCAGAGGTTCCCGGGAGGGACGAGGACGCAGGCTAAAGGGCGTATGCCTGGCCACGATGGGGCTCTTTGCTCGCCACATCCTTTGTCTCCCATCGTACAAAGGAACGCCAGAGGCGCAGGGGCTGGTCATCAGCAGGCCACTGCTGAGACTCGCTGCAGAAAGGGCAGTGCGTGGAAATGGCGCTCCTCGAATCTGCTGCGATGCTCAGCAGTCTTGCCCACCACTTGATGGCGTCATCAGCTGATGGTATGGTCAAGCCGAGCAAGAGGAAAGAGAGGCCTGCAAAGGGGCAGGACGAAGCGATGATGGATCGTGATGTGTCGATGCATCACTTCGTACCTTTGACTCTACTTCACAGGAGCATGTGACTCACCAACCACTCTCCTTTCCTCTCCCATCACTTCGCAGTGGATGACTACGATGCCCAGGCTGCCGCCGAGAAGAAGCGCGCTCGCTCCTTCCGCAAGTTTTCGTACCGTGGTGTTGAGCTTGACCAGCTCCTCGACATGTCCAACGTGAGTGCAAGTGATTCAGTGCAGGCGCGAGACAGCCCTCCGGGACTTGTCAGTTGACTTTGTTCGTGTCTCTTGCACCGCTGCAGGAGGAGTTCATGAAGATCGTCCACGCTCGTGTCCGCAGGCGCTTCACTCGTGGTCTTAAGCGCAAGCCCATGGGCCTCATCAAGAAGCTGCGCAAGGCCAAGGCCGAGGCTCCCCCCAATGAGAAGCCCGCTCCCGTCAAGACGCACCTCCGTGACATGGTCGTCGTTCCCGAGATGATTGGTTCCGTCATCGCCATCTACAACGGAAAGGTCTTCAACACGGTCGAGATCAAGCCCGAGATGACTGGCCACTACCTCGCCGAGTTCTCCATGTCGTACATTCCCACTCGTCACGGCAAACCCGGACTCGGTTCGACCAACTCGTCGCGCTTCATCCCTCTCAAGTAGACGAGAGAGATTGGAATGCGATGATCATTTTGCGGCTCCATGACTGCGAGAAGGTGTGATTGCGTGTCACTGGAGCGCGGGGGCAGGCAGAGGGGATTTTGCGACGAGCGGTGGAGCTGGACGTTGGATATCAGCATTCGCTGCCTGATTAGTAGTCCCGCTTGCTACCGCGCCTTCACACGCGCGCTTTCGACCACCACCACCACCACCCATGTACTTTTGTTTGTTCGAATCAACCCTCCTATACAGCTTCTTGGTCGAGGTGGTGCAGGGCTCGCATACTATCACGGCTTGAGCTGAAGCTAGCACGCACTCAGATGGGACAAAGCCAGGGCGAGGGCGAGTTACGGCCATTCGACACCGCTTCCCACGCCCTAGGCCGTGCTTGACAACGGGGGCATACGGCCATGCTCTCCCCGATGCTCTTGACCCTTCTCTCTACCACGAGATCCCCGCTGGCTCGCCTACTGCTTCGCTGCGATCAGATGCTCAACATCATCATTGTCGTCGCGCAGCTTCTTCTCGTGCGCGACCCGAAATCTCCCTGACCCCTGCTTGCTTGTGCGTTGCCTGGGAAGAGCAGCTCTCATCTCTCGCGCTGAGCTTGCCTTGCCCTGCCCTGCCCTGCCCTGCCCTGCCCTGCCCTGCCCTGCCCGCTAGCCTCAGCCTAGCCTTAGCCTTTTGCCTTGCCTTGACGCCCTACTTTGTCTTGCCGCCCTTTGTGCCGTCCGCCAAGTGTGCTGCCTGTCCGCCCAGTCGTCGAGGCACACCCCGCGCCCAGCTGAAACCAACACCAAGCGGCAGCATCGGCGGCGGCCAATGGCGGAGACGGCGGATGGGCGCTTCAGGAGCGAGTCGACGAATGAGAGCGGGCCAGACGCTTGGGGGTCAACGAGGAGGCAGCACGGGGAGCAGCAGCAGAAGCAGCATCATAAGCGACTTCATTGCCTCGTCACATTGATGAGGAGCAGCGCACTTGCTCTTCTCATCCTTCCTGACCTCATCGAGCGAGGCGACTCCTTTTACCCCTCGATTCCTAGCTGCGTGCTACGGAGAGGCACTCTCGATACCCTAATCTACCCTCACGACCCATTCACGGTTAGCACTGCCTGCAACTAGGCAACCAAGCGGATCTTGCCGCCGTCCTCATCACGCAGCGCACCGTCTCACGATCCTGGCTAAATACAAGCGACGCCCTCTGACGACGACGACGACGGCAACTTGATCGGCCGCGCACGTCAGAACGACATTGCCCCTGACACCAGTCTCGGGCATGACGACCATCTTCAGCAGAAGATCGGCCAAGTCCAAAGGCGGACTAGGCAGTCTGGGCTTCGGCACCTCATCATCCTCCAAGTCCAATCGATATGGCACTGGTATCTCCAGCAGCGACTTCCACGGTACCTCCGGTTCCGCCGAAGCCAACGGCCACGATATCAGCAACACAGCAACAACGCCAGCATCGGCACCGCCAGGCTTATCGCTGTCACTGCCACATTCCAGCGATCGACCGAAGCTGCCTACCAAGTCGAGCGCAGCTACTGGACCCTCTACCACACAAAGCCCCTACGCAGACGACTTTGGCAGGTTGACGCCCACGCAGACGATGCCTCGCAATGGTGCAAGGATAGCTGGAGTGGGAGGGCTCACAGTACCACGGGGGAGCGAGGGCGGTCTCTCAAGACAAAGGACAATCGATACCAACGGCTCTCGACGAGCTTCCCCTGATCCTTTGCTACCTCTGCCTGCGGGTACCAATGCAACGGCTACAGCCAGCGGCAAAGAGGTCTACCCGTACGGCTACACGCACGAAGGATGGGACATCGAAATCACACAAGCAACTGCTACGCAAGTGGTCGAGCTGTGCGCAAAGGAGATTCGTGCACGAGGTGAGTTCAGCCAGCACTGATGGTGCAGACTTGAGTACTGATGTCATTGATCGCGCTTGCAGGCCTCGACTCTCCACTCATCTTCTCGTCGATGGCCCTCGACCTGTCAGCATCCGGTGTCGCCTCTCTTATCAAGGCCTTTGTCGCCTCAGACCCTCAGGATCTGGAGCAATCGACGCTAGCCCAAGATGTCCGTTATGCTAATCCGCACAATCTCGCAGCTTTCATCAAGTGGACGCTGGCTCGACTGGGCCGCTTCTATGCCGTACCCGTCCCAAGTCAGAACCCTGCAAAGAAGGGCGAGGTTCAGGAGGAGGTGGCGGTGGTGCAGCAGAGAGGTTGGCTCGACATTGAAGCCTACGGGGCTTGGCGAGAGCGAGAAAGAGGTGAGCATCTCGCGCGGAAAGAACGAGGGCAGCACTACGAGAAGCGCCAATGTTGACACTGCTTTGACACCATCGGATGCAGCCTCCGACTACCCCTGGACCGCCTTCACTCAATTTTGCTCCCTCGTCGACGATGACGCCGGTAAACTTCTCCGCTCCCTCTTCTCCCTCCTCTCGTCAACCACCTCTTACTCGCTCAAGAACGGCATGACGCCGTCAAAACTCGCTCGGCACTTCGGCGTCTTACTCTTCGGCTTGCCTGAGGACGAGACCTTCGCTCGCACGTACGAGTCATTCATCAAGGCCTCTAACGCGACTGAGCATCTCTTTCTTGCCTACATCAGGGACCTCGCAGCATTCGAGGTGCTACCCATGCGCCTCATGAGTCACGTTGACAACTACCCTTTGATGCTATCGCACGACACGATGAAGCCAGCCAAGCATGTCCGCACGCTACCCGTCACTCAGATCGAGCGTAACGTCCGCTTCTACTCTCAGGATCTGATCCAGTCTGCTTGCGAGTGGGAACTGGCAGATCCTTGCGAGGAATGGCTCGCCTGCTGCCTGTTGGCCAAGAGAAATGGCGTTGAAGAGCCTCAGCTCTCGGACCGCTTTCGCAAGCTGGTCAATCTCCGTGGAAATGGCGGCCTTGATCGAGCCAGCAGCGGCAAGAGCAACGGGCAGGACAAGCTCAAGCCATCACTACCGCCGTCTGCGAGTGACAACATCAGCCATCACCTACCTCGACATCGCAGCAAGAGCGAAGATCCAGCCTCGTACACGTCCGTCGTCGACGAGCAGTGGGGCACCTTCCTTAACGATGGTTTTGCAGCACCAGATCCGTCCAAGCTCGCCTTCGACCTTCACGAGTCAGAACGCAAGGCTCGCACGCAGAAGAGATCGACGCTCGCGTGGTCCGACTTCCGTGACCTCGGCTTCGACGGTCCTCAAGACGGTGCAGCCCTTTCGGCGGTACTCAGCTTCGATGATGGACTGAGAGAGGACATGGAGAAGTGGCCAGGCGAGCGAGCCGAGCTGTTGGATCGCATTCGAGAGCAGACCAAGAAGGCTCCGCCCTTCAAGTACGACGGTAGGCCGAGGGTCATTGCTCGTCCAGGCGATACCGAGACGACCGATGGCCGGGGCGAGACGATTTTCACCCACGTTGACGACGTTTTTGCCGAGGTCTGGGCTGACTTCCTCATCGGCAATGGCTGGTCCAATCGCGACGAGCCCACGCATCGCACGGCGAACTTCGTCGTGCTGCAGTACAAGAGTCGGTCACATGCCCACTCTGTGGAAGGCCAGGACGCTGCATCTTCGACGTCCAGCTCGTTCTCAGATGACCGCAGTGACGCTGCCTGGTTCGTCGTCCAGGAGATTGTGCCGAGCGACTACAGGGCGGAGCTGGGGGCGATCGGTCGCTCAAAGGGTCGCAGTGGGTCCTCTGTTCGTAAGCTGAACCTCTTCCGCAGACTCAGGGGAGGTAATAAGGACAAGCCGACGCCATCCATCCCTAACAGCTCAAGCGCAAAATCGTCGGCTGGCACAACTGGTAGCCGCATTGGCGCATCGACCGCCGCGGGTCGATCTTCGACATCCAACACTCGGCCAGTAAAGGACGATGGCGACATCGACACGCTCTTCCCTCCTGGGACCAAGAAGCTTCACCTTGGACAAGATCCTGCAAGTCGCGCAGCCCCATCCCTCGATCTGGAGCGCCATTCGACGACCAAGAGTAGCAAGCGCGGTGTCAACCTCTTCAACACGCAGATGCCTGGCTCCGGCTCGTCATCGGCAGAAGAGCCGGTCGAAGGCGGTGGTGGCTCAGGAGGTGGCTTCATGACCAGTCTGCGTGGAAAAGCCTCTGGCATGTCGATTCGCCATCGTCTTGGTGGGAGCTCGGCCAATGACGATGCGCCTGCACCGCCGCCTCCTCCCAAGGGCTCATCGACGGCTTTGAGTGCAGGTCAGCCGCAGAACGGAGGCCTGAAGACAACGTCGTCCTTTGGCTCTGCCGACTTCGATACTCACAGCTTCCAGGACCCAGACGACCACCTCGCGCCGAAGAAAGAGGGAGACAAGAAAGTCAAGGGCCTCAGCGCTGCTCGCAGCATAGTGCGCCACAAGCCTCGTCAGCAGTCCCGAGACGACTCATGGGTAGACGTCATGACGAAGAGCAGGATGGGCGATCAAGACGCGGTGCCGCTACGAGAGGTCAATGTTCCGCGGACCGCCCCTATCAGGACTTCGTCGCTAATTCCAGAGTCAGAGGACGGAGTTGAGGAGGATCAGGGCGGCCGCGGCGACACCACGCCCACGATGACCATCTCACGCTCGCCAGCGCGCACGCCCACTCAAGAGCAAGCCGCGCCTTTCGGTCCCACGTCTACTTCCGGAGCCACGCTCAAGGCAGCGACAACACCTTCACCAGCACGAACATCGCCTCAGCGCTCATCTGCGCGAAAGCCGGCTCCTGAGGTAGACCAATTATCTCCGCCAAGACGACAGGATGCAGGCAGCGCGAGCTTCTCAAGAGGGTCGCCTTCTGTCAAACCGACTGGCGCAGTGGCGTCTGCTCCCGCCGGGCCGACTGAGTCTACGCCTCCACCCTCCGATGGCTCACGGCCGTCCCTCAGCTCCTCCGCTGCGACCAATTCTCCCAGCTCGCTAATCGAGTCCCGCTTCCCCACCCCGCCAGACCGTCTCTCGCTCATCTCATCATCCGCTGCTCCAGCCGACTACCGCAACAGCTTCGTCTCCACCACGGACAGCGAGGCAGGCGCAGAGATGATCGATTTCCGCATCCCGAAGCGGACTGACTTGCGTAGCGTCAATACGAGTGTGGATGATGCAGCTAAGGGTGAGCAGAGCAGGCAGGAGAGAGTATCGGCTGCTGTACTCAGGGCGAGGGAGCTGAGGGCCAAGCTACAGCCTACGGGGCAGTCGGGCGGGCAGACTGGTAGGTCTGTGTCACCGCAAGACCCCGCGGCCCCGGGTAGTGGCGCAGCCAAGCCAAAGATCGACCCTTTTGCCAAGAACCCCACATCAGGCAAGGTGGCTAGTATCGCAGCTCGCTTCAAGGAGCCCAGCGCGGGCACCAGAGATGTTGAGGGGGCAATGCGACCCGGCGGCGGGACCGTCAAGGCGCGGGCAGCTGCGATGGCTGCTGCTGCCAATGCTGGAAATGAAGCGCCCGCTACAGCGAGCGACCCGCCGGCTGTCAAGACAGGACCAGCAGGTAACAAGGTAGCAAGTCCCTCGTCTTCGGAGCTCACGCAGGCCGCATTAGCTCGAGCAGCCAAGAACAGGAGTATGATGGACCCGGAACAGCCCCCATCACCCCGTCGACCCGATTCCATGTACGGCGGGGCAGGCAGCAGTGTCGCCGGTGATCATGAGTCCCTCGCACCGGACGATGCTGCCTCCAATTACTCGCGCGCCTCCTCGTCGGATGATCCGCCTGGCTCAAGCGGTGCACTCGCCGGGTCAGGAGGGACGGAGAGCAATTGGGGTAAAGTGGTGACCCGTCAGCATGGCCAGCAACAGGCGTTGCAAAGTGCCTTATTGCAACAGGAGGGGAGTCAGGAAGACGAGGCCGTGGAGACCCTTGATGAGGACGAGGACCAGCAAATTGCGGCGAGAGAGCCGTACAGGCCTGGTCAGCCACTGGACAACTTGTTGGAAGAGAGTGAGAGCCAGTTGAGCGGGACGAATAGTAGAATGTGAGCGCGAGAGAGTAGAGCTGAGCGTTGCGCTGGGGCAATCCCTTTAAGAAGGCGAAGGCAGACGGGCTGGAGAGAAGAGCAGAGAGGTAGTCGGGAACCAGCAGCATCACCATAACAACCATCGCGTACCGCACAAGTCCACTTCGACTTCTTTCCCCAGACCTCATTGTTTATCCTCTTTCATCGGCACGCTTGCTCAGATGAAAGCGGCGGCCAGATTCAATATTGATACCAAACACGCGCGCGCGCCTTGAGCTGCTGCTGTCGGCGTCTTGTCGCTCGTCCGCACGCACCGTCTCGGAGCCATCCGGCCGGCTGACGATATCCGTTTCCTGTGCTTCGGATCAATCGAGCAGCCCGATGCTATTCTTCCACGTAGCTTGGCGGTCGTTTCCAAGATGACGATCAGGTGATGTCGATGTGGGTGGCGCCGGGGGTGAGGCCTTTATTCCTCACCCGCTCCCCGCCGGTCGGGCTTGGGTGAGGCAATTAAAGCTCTCTCCCGCCGCTGCTCGCTCCGCGCTTGAACCTCTGGTCCCTTGCCCTTGGCTGTCGTGCGACACACGCTCTCTCGAGCTGCAGCAGCTGAGGGCTGTGAGAGAGCCCAGGGCAATTCTCCACAAGATGCGGCTTCGAGTCGAGGTCGAGGCGGCATCTTGTTCTGATCAAGGATATAAAGACGTGGTTTGTCGTGTGCCAATTTGCCTTCTTCACAACCACGTACAATAATCTCCACCTTTGCCACCCACAACTCAGCCTCTCTCTCACACCTAGTCACAATGGCCTGCGCATGCACCGAAGCTCCTAACAGCGCTGGCAACAGCTGGTGAGTCTTCAGATCAGGCGTGATGGTGCACCGAGGCAGGTGGACAAGGCTGCGAGAGGAGGCCGCCCAAGTCTATCGCTGGGCGCATCACTGACCCGTCGACCTCATCTCACCTCGCAGCAACTGTGCCACTCAATGCACTTGCGGCTCGACCTGCACTTGCGCTTCGTGCCCCAACAGCACCTCTGAGCCCCAGTCCGTCGACTCTGCTGGCCACACTAAGTGCAACTGCGGGGGTGATGTCACCAAGTGCAAGTGCGAGGAGGGCAAGTGCGCTTGTGGGAAGGGATGCGCGAAGAGCATTGTCTGAGGGAAAGCAAGAAAGAGATGTCGGAGCGTCGGAGGGGACAAAGTCACGATGAGCATACAAGGAGGATGGGTGCAGCGCGTGACGGCGCTGTTGTCAGTAGGGAGAAGCGACTCATATCAAGGCCAGAATGGGTTCCCTGTCGGACCGATGGCAGCGGAACAACGATTCTTCATGTGCAGACTCAGATCTGCCAATAATTAACATCAGCTTCCCACTTGCTTACCTGTTCCTGGCATGCTGCCCTGCTTGACCCGGCCGATTCATGGACAAGTACGACGTGGCAATCACGTCCTCCCTGGGCGTCGATAGAAGTACAAGTGGTATTGCCTCGACACCCCGTGCCCTCAGTCCGAGTCGCTCAGCACAATTGGGTTCTCCTCGTCATTTCTCTCCATCATGACAAAGTCATCGTCTTCGCCCTGGGGCTCTCCCTTGACAGCTACCTGTTTACTGCCTCTCGTGCTCCGGCTACTGGTATCACCAGCCTCGGCCTGTGTCGACAAAGGGCGCTTGCTCAGTGCGCTGCCTGCTGGGCGGATGAAAGAAGAGGTGGGAGAGGCGGACAGGGACTGACCTTCTTGAGCTCCTGGGCGAAGAGTGGCCGCCACGCGCGGGCCTGAAGTCGATGCCTCTTTGGATGCTGCCGCTGCTGCTGCCTCTGCCGCGGCTTGTTCAGCCTGCATTTCGGCCATGATGGCTTCCTCCTCTTCGAAGAGATCTTCCTGCCCCTCCTCCTGTTCCAGCGCACCCCGACTAGCGGACCTCGACATGATGCCATGATCCATCCTTGGGGACATTGGCGCTCTCTGCCTCGGCAGTGGGTCCTTCCCCAGCTTGGCTCTCAACTTATCAATCAACTTGCGCTCTGCATCTCCCTCCAGCTCCTTCGCCACGCCACCCCGGACAGTCGTGTTCTCTGGCGTCAAGAGGAGCAGACCTTTGACTACGTCGACATTTTTGAGGAGCAGCTTAGCGCCGAGGCCCGTATCAGCCATCGAGAGCGCATGGATGCGTTGATGCTCGAATCCCTTGATTGTATTGAACCCATCGCTGAGATCGAGCTGCAGCGTTGATCGAGGAAAGACTGTAGCCGGAAGACTGGCCGCCTCTTCTTGGGCATTAAATTGGGCCATGTGGTCTCCGGCATCCTTGTCGTCTTCTAAACCGCCGACTGCGGCTTGTGTTGAAGAGCTGGCAGCGGCGTTAGCAGAAGCCTGCGCTTGCTGGGCTAGAAGAGCCGCGCCTCCCAAGGTACGCCGAGCATCTCGTCTTGCTTCGAGGACTTCGAGTTGTGTGTGAGCCGAAACGCCGATGTCTGTGTGTACGGTAGGACCTATCAGCATCTGGTGCTGCTTCATCGCGAATCGTGGCGTCTACTGACCTAGCTTTCCCACGACTTGGAGCAAGATAGCGCCTCTTTGCCCGCTCGCCAGTTTGCCGCTCTTCCATGACGCGACGTCCTTGGGCAATGCTGCAACGCTTGCGATCTTTGCCAGGTCGGCATGGAGGAGCTGAGCGTTGACCGCTCTGATAAGTTGTGGGTCGGTAGGTGGAGAAGGCGCAGCTTGGATTGACTTGGTCGTTGCCTCAGCCAGCCAGCTGTCTTTGATGGCGAGCGTGGGATATGATCCTCGCAGCCAGTTGTGGACTGCCATGGGTACATTGTCTGAGGCCATCGCCGCTGATGTGCTGGCCTCAGCGCATGGCAGATTGATTGATGGTGGGAAAAGGTGTTGGATTCGTTCGCCCTTCTTCGGTCGTCGCGCCTCTTTGGCACACGTCGCGACTCGCATTGCCGCCAGTCCGCCTGCCTGCCAGTGCCTGGCTTGCCTTTGCTCGCTCGACTCGACTCGACTTGGCTCTGCCTCCACTCCCGCTCCGCCGCCTACAATCACGAGCCGCGGCTCCATTCGCTTGCCAGACTTCGAGAAGGGTCGAAGGTCGATCACCCATACCTTGGCTTCGTACCACCCACCAGAAGTGCAACCCTCATACCCACTGTGCCCACTTCACATCACAAGCCATGTCAGTCGCAGAGCTCAAGGCAAAGGGCAACGCTGAGTTCGCCGCAAAGCGATACGAGGCCGCCATCCAGCATTACACCGACGCAATTGCAGCCGTCCAGGGAGAGGCAGACGCTCCTCACGTCCTCTACTCGAATCGATCAGCTTGCCATGCAGGTCTCAAGGACTATGAAAAGGCACTAGAGGATGCAGAAAAGACCATCGAGCTCAATCCGAGCTTCGCAAAGGGATTTGGACGAAAAGGAGGCGCTCTTCATGGAGCACACCGCTTTGACGAGTCGATCAAGGCCTTTGAGGAGGGTTTGAAGATTGCGCCGACGGATGCTGGGCTCAAGAAGGGTCTTGAGGAGGTACAAAAAGCTCAGGAGTCGGTGAGTCGGCCGATTACGTCCGCGCATAGACAGTGCGGCATCCCCTTACTGACGCCCACCACTCTCGCTGGCAGGACGGTCCCGGAGGCTCCATGGGCAAGATGTTCCAAGACCCGCAGCTTTTCCAGAAGCTCTCAGCCAATCCAAAGACTGCCCCGCTCCTCGCCGATCAGTCCTTTGTAGCCAAGCTCAATGCCCTGCAGAAGAATCCGAACGATGTCATGGGCGCATTCCAGGACCCGTGAGTAGTACGGCGAGCGGCACCGGCTTAACGTGTCTCATTCTGACTCAATCATCACCTTGCTCCGTCCCTTTTCTTCCCAGTCGCATGATTCAGGTAATGGGCGTCCTGATGGGTATCGATCTCCAGGCATTCGAGCGAGACCAAGGATCCAATGACCTGCCCGAGAACCTCGAGTCGAAACGCGAGGAGATCGAGAAGCAGACGGGTGGCGCGAGCGGCAGCGGCAGCAGCGCAGCAGCGTCGTCGAGCAAGCCGGCTCCTACGCCTGCAGAGCCGCCCAAGCCAGCGCAGTCAAAGGAGGAGCCAAAGCCAGCGCCTGCGGCATCGGCCGACACCGAGATGAAGGATGCCGAGGACGATGAGGACGCACCCAAGCCTGTCGACAATTCCGGCAAAGCAGAGGCAGAGGCAGAGAAGGCAAAGGGCAACGCCCTCTACATGAAGCGTCAATTCGGCCCAGCCATTGAACACTATCGCAAGGCCTGGGAACTCCACAAGGACATCACTTACCTCAACAACCTGGGCGCCTGCCTCTTCGAGCAAGGCAACTACGACGAGTGCATCAAAACGTGCACAAAGGCAGTCGAGGAGGGTCGTGCGATGCGCGCCGACTACAAGATTGTGGCCAAGTCGTACGGACGTGTGGGGAGCGCCTATCAGAAGAAGGGTGACCTAGAGCAGGCAATCAAGCACTACGAGCGCTCCTTGACCGAGCATCGCACGCCCGAATTCCTCAACAAGCTTCGTGAGGCCGAGCGTGCGCTCAAGGAGCAGCAAAAGCAGGCCTACATTGACCCGGCCAAGTCAGAAGAGGAGCGAAACCGCGGCAACGACTTCTTCAAGGCTGGCAAGTTCGCCGAAGCGGTTGCAGCCTTCACCGAATCGATTAAGCGCAACCCATCCGAGCCCAAGGGCTACACCAACCGCGCCTCTGCCTACACGAAACTGACTGCCCTGCCTGAGGCGCTCAAGGATTGCGAAGAGGCGATCAAGATCGCTCCCACTTGGCCCAAGGCCTACATCCGCAAGGCTAATGTCCTTATGGGCATGAAGGAGCACACCAAAGCCCTCGAAGCCCTGGACAAGGCCACCTCCGTCGACGAGGGCGGCGCCAACGCACGCGAGATCCAGCAGACGTCCCAAAAGGTACAGCAGGCCCTCTACCAACAGCGAGCAGGGGAAACGGACGAGGAGACTCTTGCCCGTGCACAGAATGACCCAGAGGTGGCGAGGTTGCTTAGGGACCCGGGAATGCAGCAACTTCTGCAGAATGCACAGGAGAACCCGCAGGCATTGATGGACGCGATGAAGAATCCGGAGGTCAAGAGAAGCATTGACAAGTTGATTGCTGCGGGTATTATCAAGACACGTTGAGCGTGTGCAAGGGGAAGGCTGATGATTACAACGCGCGACGTTGCAATGCTATATGCGATTGACGACAAATGCCCCTGCCTGATAATCGATGTCACTAATAGCAAGCAATGACCGCAATATCAGCGTTTCACTGACAAGCAATGACCGCAATATCAGCGCACGGCGAACTCATCAGCGCAGTATTGAGCGCACTTCGGTGTGTTTTCTAACATGCGGCACAGTCGCAAGGAGGTGGTAATTGATAGCAACCAAGCGACGGAAGCTGAGCAAGGAATTGACGGCGAACAAAGCTCACTCATCAGAAGCGCCATCGGGCAGCTACGCGCCCGCATCGTCGCAGCGTCGCAGCAGCGCGGCCGGGCGTCAGGCCCAACGCTCTGGTCTACGACGGCGTTGCGGCCACTTGCATAGGCGAGGCGTTGCATCGTTGCAGCACTGTCGGTCGTGCCTTCTCCTGACTGCTCTCCCACTCACCGCGAGGCTCCTCATTTAGCCTTGGCCCGTAGCTCGTCGTTGGGCGAAGCGAGCAGATCAGGCGAAGGCGTCAGAGGGTCAGGTCCGCGCGGCTAGCGGTGACGTGAGCGAATGAAGGGGCAAGGCGGTCAAAGCTTGACATCGTTGTAGCCTCCCTCGAGATTAGATCGATGATGGCCTCGAGCAGCCTAGCACTTTGCCCTCCTATCTTCTTGCCACCTCTTTTGCCTGTCCCCGTATCATCGACCAACCACCGCTCGCTGCCAAGGGCGGAACTCGACATCCTCAGCTTCTCCTCCGCATTTGTTCCTTTGTCCGCCGTCATCCCCCGCCCTGGGTGCCGGCCGCGCCGTCGACCTTCCTTTGTTCGTCCCGTCCTCGTCATTTACGCGATTGGCCTGGCTGGTCAAACTGGCGCGGGGCAACGAGATTGCGAGCTTGAACGATAGTGGCTTGCCCAAGCCAGGGCAGAGTAAGAGATCACATCGAGATTGGTCAGAGTCACCCTTGTCCGAGCAAGTGTAGAAGGGGTGAGCCTTGTCTTCACACCTTCAACATCCACACGATACCAGCGTCTTCTCGCCCCCTTGGAGTCTCTGTCGCCGCGCAGGCACTCTATAACCAGCCATCATGATCGGACATCCATCACTTGCGCCACCTCTGCCCATCATCTCGCACAATGAAGCACATGACGCGGACCCTTACGGCTTTTACGATGCTCGCAGACACGCAAGCAGCATGGACGACGACACCTTGGAGATTCTCACCAATGGCCCGGCTGAGACCGACAACTTTCTTTCGCTCGATTTGGAGCCAGCTCGGCGAGGCCGAGCCTCTTACGAGTCAAACGCAGGTAGCAGCGCATCTCGTCGGAGCACCATGATGGCGCAGCAGCAGCAGCAGCAACACCTAGGCGATGATCTCCCGGGCGCCAAGGCCCGCAAGATCCTAGGCATCAAGGCAGGCCTCGACTTAGGCGATGACTTTGACGAAGACACCTGTACGAACCGCCGACGCAACTCCAGCGACACCCACAACGGCCGGAACAAAAAGCGGCTGAGCATCGCTTCTGCATTAGCTCGTAACCGCCCCGTTCGACCTTCAGTGCCACTGCCTAAAAGGAGCGCTGGCTTGAGCGGCAGTGGCAGTAGCGCCATCTCGGACGACGAGGGCTTTGGCAGCGGCAGGCAGAGCCACAACTGGGCTGCACTGCGAGGTTCCGCAAACTCTATCAGTCGACCAAGCTCACGCGAATCGAATCATAGCGCGACATCGTCCCTGACAAGCTTCTCGAAGCACTTGCGGCCTAGACACACGACGTCAGCCACCGACGACCATGTAGCTCAACAACGCGACGCGATGAGAATCTCGAGCCCTGTGGCTTCGCTACCTCTTAAGAGTCCACTGTCCCCTTTGCCTCCCCCATGCGACTGGGCTCCGCCTTCTAGTTGGCACTCGCAGAGTCCCTCCAATCGTAGTCAGTCATCCTTGACCTTGCCCACTACGCCATCTTTGCCGCCGCGGTCGTCAGCAGAGGGCTTCCTCTCCCGAGGCTCCATCGACGTCAACACACCCATGACACCCAGCAGCACCACCAGCACATTCGGCACCCCCAGCACGCCCGGCAGCAGCATGAAGAAGTCCTCTGCCCGATTTGATGCTTACCTCAAGCGACTCCGCGTGCCACGGGGCAGTCAATCCTCCGCCGCGACCAACGAAGGAGAAGACAGCCCGGCAAGCATCGTCAACCACCCAAGGACGCCCACGGGGCTCGCTTCTCCCTCGTCTGTCTCGTTGCGAGAGCTCATGCTGTGGGAGAAGAGTCTCGAGACTTCCCAAAGGAACGCACAATGGCAGTCGATGGTGGAGCATCGCCCTCGCACCCATCGCACCACTTCGTCATCAAATCTCTCGACGCTCTCCTCGGAGGCGGCGACGCGAGGGACGACCCTCGGCAGCAAAAGTGCTACGGCTTCTCTCTCGACGATTAGCTTGTTTGATGGCGAGCCGATGCACAATCATGGACCATCCTCAGCGTGGAATGACAGCAGTAGCGATGTGATGGTAGACATGAGAGCAAGCGGTGAAGAAGAGCGACTAGAGGCGCCATATCCGTTCTGCGCTACAATTCCCTACCCGCTGCACCCACAGCCACGGCATGAAGGTGACGAGGCAGTGGAATTCCTCGAGGGAGATGAAAGCGTGGACCAGCAGGGAGGCGAGGCTCTCGCGGAAGAGAGGCCGCCCCTCGTTACGGCCAAGTCGATGCCTGTTGGACTTGGTATCCATGACAACGGCAACCGAAAAGAGGAGTGCACACAGCACCCTTTCAAGTCTTGGGATTCGGCGATAACGCAACGCGGGAGAGGCCTGAGCGATGATGTGACTTTGTCAGGCAACGGCAGAGGTCTGTCAAAGGAGAAGAAAGAGACTTCTAGGACGACACCAGCGCTGCTCTTGTCGCCGACAAAGGGAGCGAGCTCTCGACGGAACTGGCCAGGCGGCTCCGCACGGGCGCTACCGCAGGCACCGCTACTTCATCATCATTTCCTGCCTTTGCCTGCCATCCCTGACCAGACAACAGCTGCATCTGTCGCCTCGGTACAGAAGCCTAGCGCCTTGACGCAGGTCCAGCAACAAAGACGGCATCCTTCCGACCATCAATGTGCTCGCAACCTCAGCATCGACTTTACCAGCGAAAGCGGTAGCGCCTCACTCTTCGATTCAGCAGCTGAGGCGCTACTCCTTGAGCTTGAGGACGAGATTCGGACAGCATCTGCCTCCGTACCCCAAGACAGCGATGGGAGCGGGGATGACGACCACCTCGGCGGCGAGTACGAGGACGAGTGGCTCGCAGCACAGCGTAGGCCGAGCGCGCTTGAGATGCAGGTGCAGTGGCCGAAGCGCCCCTCTATTACAATCAGTGACGTCGGAGTGAGGGGAGGTAGTAGCAACAAAGTGAATGCCTCGACCCTCGCTGCCTGGAAGTCCGCCTCCCCTTCGTCCTCAAGGTCGTCTGTAGCGGATACGGCGGCGACGACGACGACGACGACGGCGACTGCTACGACGGAGGATGGGCTGCTGATTATTCTGCCGCCCTCGTCGAGCTATACTGACGTAAAGGCAGTGGCGAGTGCGAGTGCTCGAGAAGTTGGTGAGGCAACACTGCATGGCCAGGAGAGGGTGCCTGCCCTAGACGAAGAGCAGGGGGCGACGTTTTGGTGAAGAGGAGGGGGCGGGCGGGAAGCGCAATTCTGTCAATGGTACCTGCTATCGTGCTGTCCTCTATACCTGTTTTCTGTATTTCTTCATACCCTACATCGTTGTCTCCCATCTGCAATGTAAACAAACGTCCTTTGCTTAAGATGCAAGTGATGATGAGGAGAGAGCGATATTGGCTCAAGGCCTGTGCGTTGTGACGACGGGGAGCCACGCTTGGAGCTGGACTCGGTTCGAGCGGCAAGCGGCAAGCGGCGGCAGGCGGCAGGCTGTGCGAGATGTGGATGGGCTCAGCTGGAGGAACCCCTTGTCGTCCGACCACTTGGCTCACCTCTTCATCCCAGCTTACTCAGACCTTGACAGCATACACAACGGCCTCGAGGAGGAGGCCGAGCTCCCAGCGAGCAACAGCATCATCATCATCGCACTCGAAACCACGGCTGCCTGCAGTATCTCTGGGTGCGACACTTACCATCCTTCCACGCCGCGAGTGGCAATCGTCAACACCTCATCACACGCCGCACCCATCGCCGCTCTTCTGTCAGCATACGAGACTTATTCCACACCACCATGGTTGCCCCATCACGATCCCTCCTCCTTGCTGCCCTCGTTGCACTCGCAGGGACGGCCCACTCTTCCCCGACGATCTCCATCGATTCGGTCCGCGAGCCCACTCTTCTGGATCGCCTAGGCTCTCTCCTCTCCCCTCTCCTGCCCTCGGGCGGCGGATCCAACAACTCACCAGACAATGGTAACGGCGCCGATCAAGGGCGTCGCAGCTGGGGCACCTCGGCGGCCTCGCTCATCTGGGGAGAAGGAAGCCTTGAAGTCGTGCGATCCCAAGCAGTCTACGCCACCCGACCTGCCGCCTTTGGGCCGCATGTTACCGTCGACGAAGGGCTGCGCGGCCACTTGGTACCCATTTCAGAGTACTGGAAGCCAAAGGACGTCAATTCGTCGCATCCTGCTGCGAAGCTCAAGCCCATCTTTGGATGCCCCGTTGAGGGTGGACCAGGGTGGAAGCCTCAACCCCCTTCCTCGCCCTCGCTGCGCGATCAGGATGACGAGGATTACTGGCTGTCGACTCTCGACGAGAATCCCGACGTACCTCGTCAAAGGGTCTTTGCTCCTCCCCCGCCACCATCATTGCGCGAAACTAAGCCATCGCCGCCTGCCTCGACGAGCAAACCTCCCAAAGATTGGATCGCCTTAGTCTCGCGCGGTGAATGCCCCTTCAGCAGCAAAGTACGCCTAGCCCAATCTCTCGGCGCCGTTGCTGTTGTTGTGGGCGACACGGCCCCCAAGCGCTCTCCCGCTCGCCCTTCACCACCTTGGGGTTGGGAGCCACCGACTATCGATGACGATGACGAATTCCCGCGGCTGATTACCATGTTCGCCGAGGGCGACACGAGCGATATCCGTGTCCCTTCGACCTTCGTCACGTGGCGTAGCTTCGAAGATTTAGGCCGCCAGTACGACGAAGTCGTGGCCGCGAGGCATAAGGCTGCCGAAGGAAGCGCGGATGCAGACGCCCCTGTCGGCTTGGAGATCATCTTGGGCAGGGACGATGCCCTCTTCGAGTGGCCGCTGCTCAACCTTGCCCTCCTGCTCCTTCTGCTTCCTTCCCTCATGACCTTCTCGACGGTCATTGTCCACCGCGTTCGGCTGATGCACAGGCGTAGAAAAGAGAGGGCACCCGAGCTCGTCGTCCTCAACTTGCCCTGCGCTACGTGGAGCAAGACGGGCCTCAAGTGGGAGCAGGGCAGCGGAGTTGGTGCTGCAGTGGGCGGGGCTGGCGAAAAGAAGTTGAGTAGGCGAGAGCAGCTGATGAGGAAGTTACGACGCGGAGCTGGCACACGATCAGGTTCTGAAGAGGCCACACCGCTCCTCGATGCATCGCATCGTCCCAGTGACCTGGAAGCCCAGCAAGACCAAACAGGGGCAAGCTCTTCGTCTGTCCCGATTGCCGAACGACGTGAGCAGCAGCAACAGCGCCTCTACTACAGTGCAGAGGAGTGTCCCATCTGCCTCTCCAACTTTGCAGAGGGGGAGCAGGTGCGCCTCCTCCCTTGCTCGCACTTGTTCCACAAGGCATGCGTGGACCCTTGGTTGATTACCATCAAGAAGTTCTGTCCGAGCTGCCGGAGGGATATTACTGTGCCCGTCCCCGAGGCGCCGAGGCCGGTGCCCGATGCTGAAGGACAGGCTGGTGCTGAGGCTGATGCCGGCGCAGCTGGGCAAGGGGCGGCGCCTGCAACGATTGTGGCTGAGGAGGTGCGCGAGGATGAGACGGCGCCTTCAGCCGTGACTCTTGCGGCTGTGGACGACGTAAACAACGAGGAGAGCGCCTCTGCTGGGCTAGAGTCGCAGATCGACGAGGCTACGCAGAGCGACGTTCGACTTGGTGAAGGCGAGGAGTCGGCGAAGCAGAGCAGCAGCGGCGGCGGCATTGGCCACTAGGCTGCAGCTTTGCCAATCTTCTCGTCTGCTCGTCTATTCCCACTCATTCTCATCTGCCTGTATCTTTGTCTCTCTACTCTCACATCCTTGTTGTAACACCGCTCCTCTTTCCCATGCCCACGCGAGCGAGCTTCCGTAGCCTCGGTCCGACCGTCGCTGAGCACGCTCAGTCGCGCGACTCAAGTCCGGCTTGCGGTTGTCTTCCTTAGTCTACCCTCGGTATACCACACCTCACAGCTCTGCATGATCGTCCAATGATCTCCAACGTCTGCAATCTTCTGAGTCTTGGTCGGACTCAGAGATGACCGATAGATCAGTCAAGGGCGGCAGCAGCAGTGGTGAGGATGGCACTGTTCAGGCCAGCTCCTCATCTGGCATTGCGCCTTTGCTCCCACCGACGCCCCCTGGGGTATCACCTCTCCGCCTCCTCATCATTCACATAGACCATGGTGGCCTGCTTCACCGGCTCACCCTCCCGCCGACTCGTCCATCCTCACTCAGCAGTGAAGAGCTCCGCACTCATATCGGGCAACGACTAAGCATTCCTCGGCACGAGTTCGACATCGAGTGGGTGGACGACGATAATAATCTGTCCTACATCATTGATGATGATAGTCTGCAGGAGGCCTTCGAATTCTTTATGCCCAGTCGGAGCGACGGGTGCTTGCAGGATGAAGTTGGTGCTGCAAAGGCAAGTGCTTGCTCTTCGTCCTCCTCATCGTCCTCAGTAGCATCGTCGACTGGCCCGCCGATCGAGCTTCAGCTGCGCATCAGGTTGTGCACTCGAATCTCGCTGAGCGACTCGAGTGGGCCGAGTGAGAGTGGCAAGAGTACGAGTTCGGCAAGTTCGACGAGTAGCTCTTGGTGGAACGTCAATAATGAGGAGGACAGCGCGTTCAACGATCTAAATCAAGCGAGCTCACAGGCGAGCGACGCTGGCGAAGGGGGCCAGACCTGGGAGCATGTTCGGCGAGGAGGTGCAAGAGGAGACGGGCGCTCGCCGAGCAAGACCTCGTCGTCGAGCGCCGCTAGTTCGTCAAGACTACCGCCTCTCAATGGCAGACAGAGGATGGCAGAGTACACCGGGCGCCACGACGACGAGTCGGACGAGGAGGAAGAAGGCACAGAGTACGCATACAGCCTCGAAGGAAGCAGCATAGCAGCGAGCCTGCTGCCCTCAAACAGCTCGTCGGCAACACATCTCGGAATACGCTGCATTGTTTGCGACGCAATGCCGATACAAGGGCCACGCTACCTCTGCCTTGTCTGCCCACACGGCATCTCCTTCTGTGGTCGCTGTGAGGATACTGGGAGAGCAATCCAGCACGGCCCCCACCTGGCGACGCACCCTCTCGTAAAGCTTGTCGTTGCAGGGTCCAATGGCGAAACCGGCCGTTCATCGCCATCGACAAACAACGAAGCAATTGCTTCTACCCTCGTCAAAGCAGCGCAACAGCTGAGCATTGGACGTGGGACGGGCCAAGTAGCGGCTGCCGCTGCTGCCTCATCGGCAGACTCGCAGTCCTCACTCGCGCTCCTTCCTTCAGCAACTCATTCGTCCTTACCTTTAGCGCATGATGTACTCTGCTCCTTCTGCTCAGAGCCGATTGTCGGGGCACGCTACTTGTGCGCCAATTGCCCTTTGGACCTCCCCACACCTGAAGACTCAGTGACGCCAACGGGCGCGGCGCCGGCGTCCTCGAACGGGTGCACAGAGGAAAGCTCCCTTCTATCGCAGTCGTCCCCAAGTTCTCCGCCGCCAGTTCTCATCCTCACTCCGCATGAAGGCTTCAACCTCTGCTCCTCGTGTGAGCAACACAGCCTGAGCGTGCACGACCCGGACCATTTCTTCATCCGGATCCCAAGCCTGGCCATTGCGCCTTCAGCGGATGGCCAAGGCAGCGTCACAGCTCGCAGTGCTCCGTTGCCACTTCGGCTCAATCCCTACTTGACGATCCAGCACCGCACTGAAGGATTGCTGCCTACCCTGTATCGGAGCGATGACTTGGGGTGGGAAGAGGCGAAGCGCGCGATGCTACAGGGAGGAGGCGATGCCGCGACGCCTGGGCAGCGCTGCGTGTTGCGCTCGTATGCCAACAATGCGGCAATGGCACTTGGTCGGCTTGCGCAGACTGCTGAGTCAAATGGTGGAAGCAGCGGCGAGGACGCCGAAGCTGCTCGTGCAAATCGAAATCGCCTGTTTGGGCGCTGGCGCTCTACGAGCTCGATCTCCAGCTCGGGCTCCAGCAGTACGTCGCCCGCCACTCCAACAGGCGGCCTGGCTCGGCCACGAAGCGTCTCCCCCTCTTTGGCCCTCCACCATGAATCTGCTTACGTCTCGTCGCTCATCCACCCAAATATATTCTGCGACGTCTGCTTCAACGTCGTTGAGGGCAGCTGGCTGCGATGCACTTCGTGCGTCTCGTCGTACGATGTATGCCAGGACTGCGCCAGGAGGGGCATTGCCTTCGAGCAGCACCACAGGTCGCATGCGTTTGCGGTCTTCAAGCGGTCGGTGGACTTAGATCTCTTCAGGAGCTTGGTGGATCATGCGGCTAGGCTTGAAATTGGTGCGGAGGCTGGGGATGGGGAGGCTGGTGGGGGAGAGAGCTGGCCGGGACAAGCTATGCTGCCCTTTCCACTTGTTTGAGTGTAGTTGATAGGACACCTTTCATTCTGTCACCGTGTACAATATCGCCAATTTCGAAGCAGGCTCTGATTGCACCGTAGCCACGGCCGACTCCCGGCCACGTGAGCCAGTCCGCCCGCCCACTGGTCCGGCATCCGGCTCTCGACGAGTTCGATGCGCCGGTGGTGGTTGCTGCATACATCCTGCCTTGGCTCCTCGTCGTCATTCACCTCACTCCAAAATGCCCCTCACCACAACCCTGACAGAGGCCCTCTCTCTGCGTGTCCCCGTAGTCCAAGGTGGCATGCAATGGGTCGGCGTGCCTCAACTAGTGGCCGCAGTGTGCAATGCCGGCGGTCTAGGCATCCTCACGGCCCTCACCCAGCCTTCACCCGACGCCCTGCGAAGTGCGATCAGAGAAACAAAGTCCCTCCTCCGACCTGAGGTCCTCAATCGATGCCAACGCTACAATCTACCCTTTGCCGTCAACATTACCCTCCTCCCCAGCATCAACCCGCCGGACTATGCGGGCTTTGCGCGGGCGGCCATCGAGGAGGGAGTTAGGATATTCGAGACTGCAGGCAACAACCCTGGGCCGCTGATCAAAGAATTGAAGAAGGAAGGAGCATATGTTCTCCACAAGTGCACGACTATCAAGCATGCGATCAGTAGTCAGAAGATGGGCGTTGATTGTCTGAGTATCGATGGGTGAGTGCGGGCAAAGGGGCATGCGAGCGCTTCACCGAGATCATTCGTTCACTGACTCTCTCCACCCACGTGTAGGTGGGAGTGCGCCGGTCATCCTGGTAATCAACCCCTCGGCGGACTCGTCCTGTTGGCTCGAGCATCAGAATCGCTCCATCTGCCTTACATCGCAAGCGGTGGTATCGCAAATGGCCAGGGCCTCGCCGCCGCTCTTTCCCTTGGAGCCTGTGGGGTCAACATGGGCACGAGGTTCTTGGCGACAAAAGAGGCCGTGATCCACGAGAATGTCAAAAACTGCATGGTGGGAGCCACTGAGCTTGACACCGTACATATCCTGACCAGCTTCAAGAATACAGCCAGGGTGTACAAGAACAAGGTGAGACGCGCATGAGCAGTCTATCTGCTCACGGCCATCTTCGAGCTCACCTATCCTCTCTCGTCTCGTCCGCACAGGTTGCTGAGGAAGTCGTCCGCCTCGAGTCTCAAGGGGCTGCCTTTCCAGAAGTTCAACCCCTCGTTTCCGGGCAAAGAGGACGTCGCGTCTACACGGAAGGGGACGTCGAAGCTGGCGTCTGGAGTGCCTCTCCCGTTCTGGGGCTCATTCACGACGTGCCGACATGCCAGGAGCTGCTTGATACCATGGAGAGAGATGCGGAGGAGAGGATCGAGAGAATGGCAGGATTGGTGGCACGGAAGAATGGGGCGGGCCAGAAGAGGGAGGCAAGACTGTAGACGGTGCGAAATCGAGGATGTGGCTACCATTACAGGGCTCAGAAGAGAGGCGTATGTATATCGACAGATAGAGCCGCTTGGGTATGATCAATTCTTTAGCTTGTCTCCCTTCGATTCCTTCATTCCCCCATCGTTCTTCTTCAACCCTTTGATAGGGGGCACGAGTGTCACCTCTTCCTTTTTTGGACCATCACCCTGCTGCCCCTTCTGGCCCTCCTCACTATCAAACACTTGCGTCAACACCAAGCTCACAAAGCTCTTGCTTCCCCAATAGCTCTGATGGGCCCCAAGCATCGCCGTCGTCTTGGTCAGCGTCGAGTCAAACCTGCTCACGACGTCAGAGACATAGCTGTAATCGAGGCAGCCATGCGAGTTGAGAGCACGAAAGCGTCGCTCTGCGCGTGCGTAGGAGTCGAGGAGGGTCGAGAGGGAGTGTGAGGCAGTACTCGATGAGGAGGCGCCGGCGGTAGTAGCGGCCGAGTCGCGTCTCGTGTCCTCGTGTGCGGCATCCTTTGCCAGCCGAAGCGGCAGTGACTCCTTAACGTCATGCCCGCTCTCGACGCGCACAGGCGTGACGATCCCTGATGGCAGTTCCGAAGGCGGGCCCGAGTTACTGTCGTGACTCTTCTTCGTCTTCTGGCCTTCCTCGTCTTTCTTGTCCCCGACTTTGTTCGCCATCCAGTCCTTGAGCTTGTCCTTGTTCCCGTCATCGACTCGTTCGTCGCGGGTCTCGCCCCACCTCAGGGGAGGTGAGGTGGATGAGGTAAGGCCGCCTTTGTCTTCGGAGTGCACATCGTCCTGCTGGCCCTCCTTCTGGTCATGCTCTCCCACAGCCGCCTTGCCCCACACGCTGGCGAAAGGCTTCTGCTTGTCAAAGAAGCTGCTGACTGACATACGTGGTGGCCCCTTGAGTGTGTCTAGTATAGCGGCTACAGCTCCAGGCAGCGGTGTGGGTCTGAGGTGCTTTGCGTACTCGCGGTCCACCGCTGCGGAGATGCGGTAGGCGACAGGGTCGCTTTCGTTGTAAATGTTGTAGAGATTGCCCCTGAGGGACATGCAGCCGTACTTTCCTCCCTCACCGTTGCCGCCGCTACCAGTAGCATCACCGCTGTTGCATTCTCCCTCGTTTGAGCAGTCGCTGCTCGCATCTTCGCCGATGCTGGTCTTAGCTGGCGTGGTGCGGCGTGCGATGAGTTGACCCCCACCCAAGAGGAGGAAGAGGCCTAATGGCGAGCCAACAAGGAAAAGGTGCGTCGTATCGAAGAGCAGCCGCTCCTTCTGTGCCTTTGCCACCTCATCGTTCGACATCTCATCCAGCCGGGGTACATGCGTCGGCTGCTGGCTCAGTATATCCGCTGCCAAGACGGACCCCAGCGAGTGGCCAATGATGCTCACCTGCCCGCCCTTCTCCAGCCATCCAGGGTTGCGTCGCACCCAGAGCCTGTAGCACCTGTTCAGCTCTGCGATGACGGCCTTGATGAACTTGGCCTTGTAGATTGGGCTCAGGTAAAAGGGCACATCGAGAATGACCTTGCTCACCACGTTCCGAACGAGCGGCATCGTTGCCTGATTGGTCACGTCCTCCAATCCAAAGTGATTATCGTTGCCTTCAGACCTGTGCTCGAAGTCTATGCCTCTCCGCCAGCAGACTGGCAGAAATTGAGCACGACGTCCACGAGCGAGACGGCGTATGCCCGAGTCCTGACATCGCTCCTTGGAGACAGAGCGGAGCTTTGCACAGTCATGCGTGAAGTCGATGGACTCGAAATCGTCGCGCAGGCCTTGGCCTATACCGTGAATCACCAGGACGAGGTGGACGGGGTCGTCTGCGAGGTCGTCCATCCCTTTGGAGTCTTGCTCGGGCTGCGTTGAGGCTGCACCTTCGTCTTCGTCGTTGTCGTCGTCGGGTTCCTGCTCACTGTCATCACCGTCACCACCTTCATCGTCGTCATCGTTGTCCTTATCCTTTGACGCCCTCTTCTTCGCCTCGCTGTCTGGCTCAACAGCCTTCTCCGTACTCCTCTGCTTCCCTTTTCTTCTTGTCTCCTCACGCGCATCACCATCGCTATACCCAAAGGCTCGAAGAACGGCGTATCCAGGTCGCATCCAAGCGTCACTGGACGGCCAGAGCTTAGCAGCGAAGCCCTCATTCTCTGCTTTGCTCTCTTGACCTTTCCCCGTGCTCGAGGCTTCCTGAGAGCCATACCCTCCACCGCCAGCCTTAGGCTTATGTTCATCAGGCTGAGCTGCCCCCGCTCTCCCCGTAGGTCGGACCTTCTCATTCACCTTCTCCTCCCGGTCTTTGTCGCCCTCGGAGCGCCAAGGCATATCCGGCAAATCAAAGAGGTTCCGACTCCACAGGTCTTTTCCCTCTTCGCTCAGCGTTCGCCTCTCCACCTCGTCGAAGCCGCGTAGCACTGTAAATCCTCCTACGAGGGAGACGATCCTTCCTCGTAGATCTTGCGTGAAGACTTGACCCTCTACAGGAGAGGTGAAGCATACGCGTCCCTTCCCCGAGGAAGTGCCTTTGCTGCGGATCTCGATGAAGCGAGTCTTGGCCTCTTCCTTGTCGCCCTTCTTCTGATGGTCATCCTCATCCTCCGCCGGCAACTTCCACGCCTCTGTCTCCTTCCAAGCCCCCTCAAGGTCCGTAGCAAATCCGCTCTCCCAGCTCACAGGCGAGTAAGAGCCACGCATTTCCGACCAGTAGAACCAAGTACTCCTCACGACCTTGAGCAGCACCCCCTTGAAGAAGGCAGGGTAGAGGTGCATCTCCACCAGGTCTACATCAAAGAGACTGTCCTCCAGTACAGGGACAATCGCTCGGCGAGCGGACTCGGGTTCGTCTGGATCCAAGATCTCCTCTACCATGGGCGGCGAGTCGGGGTCGTGATGTCGCTCCAAGTGCTCGGCGTCGTCTTCGCCGTCAGCATCGCTGCGTTGCTTGAGCTGATCTTTCTTTTCGTCGACTTCTTGAGAGGTCGAGTTAAGTCCAGGAACCCAAGAGGTGAGCTTGTCAGTCCAGCTTGGCTCCTCAGCATCTCGATGAGCTCGTTCGTTGGCGTCAGTAGGCTGTTCTCTTTCGCCTTCTTCATCATGAACCTCCTTCTGGTTTCCTTCCCTCCTCTTCTTCTCCTTCTTCTCCTTCTGCCTCCTTTCTGACTCCTGCTTCCACCATCTTTCGCCCCCCAAATCTTGGAAGCGCCCTTCTAGTCGCTCATCATCTGGAGCAGGGAAGGCAACCCAGTCGCCTCCCCCGTCGCGGGCGTAGAACCAGCGAGCTCGTGGAGGGGTTTGCGCTGAATTGTAAGAGGATGAGGTAGATGGCTCCTTCCCACCATCAGTGGACTTCTCGTTCTTCTCGTGGGCCATAGATGACGGAAGGTAGAAGGTGGGGATCCGCACCAGTTGGGGATGAATGCTCGATTTGAGTAGATGGTGAAGAGGCAGATAACAGAGAAGCAAGCCACGAGCAGGCCCTTCAATTTGCACTCCACCTCCGCCTCAGTTCATTTTGGCCCCACTCCCGCCTCGGCGACTCAAGCATCTGTGAGACGGTGGTGTGAAAATCTCCGTACAGCACCGCAGGCCGAAATCTCCGCCTCATTTTCTTCACGGCCCGAATCGACCTGCAACTCTTTGACGATGATGACTTGAGAGAGAAGGGCGACAATACAATTACAGGATCGTGCTGCGTAGCCACTCTATGATGCATCCCCCTTCGCGACGTAGTACAGCACCAGGTCAAGCTGATCCCTCTTCAGCCCGCATTCGCCCAGCGCCTTCTGCAGCTTCTCACCCACGACCTCTTCCCCTTCCTCTCCCTTGACGCCTCCATCGCCACGCACCGCAGCCACCAGCACCTTGACACTTTCTTGCCTCAATGCCACATTCCCCCTATCATTCAATGCGGACATTACCCAGCTCGAGGCGCGTGGCAGCTCGTCTTCCAGGATGACGGAGCTGGGCAGACGGGAGTAGAGGTGAGTCAGGGTGTTGAGGATGAGCAGGCGTGCATTTCCTTGGCCGCCATCTTCGAAGGCCGCCTGCCCTTCCGAGCGGAGTAAGCCCAGTCCTACGGCCGGCACCGTTCGGGTCGCCCAGGCTTCAAGCACTGCCTTCGCGGCGGCCGTATTCGCGCTGCTTGGCCCACCTGGCCCGCCCAGCTCGAACAGCCCAATCTTCACCAGCCTCCCTTCCAGTCCGAGTGCAGGGAAAAGGGGGAACTGATTCTCCACCAAGCGATGCAGCAGCACTTGCGCTGCCGCATTGCTCGACTCGTTGCTGGGAGGTGAGGTGAACCAGGTCTCGCAAGCAGAGAAGAGGAGCTCGAAGAGATGGCCTTCACGCCAGGCTTCGGTTTGCTGCTTTTCAAGTGCGGAGAGGCCATTGCTGTCGGAGCCGTCATCGTCTTGCGAGTCGTTGACCTCGTCTTGAAGTCGCTCCTTCCCTCCCGCTCTCCCTATGCCCGCCCGTGAGCCGAGGGACATGCCGAGACCTCCTTTCCCCTCACTTTCTCCATCCCCTTGGCCTGCAGACTCAGCTGCTACGACTTTGAAGTTACTACTGAGCTTCGCGAGCTGCCTAAAGGTCTTCACATCAGCACGACGCTGCTTCACCTCCTCCACCCAAGCAAGCGAGTCGGGCTTGCTCTTCAAAGGTGAGGCGGCCCTGCCTTCATCGGACAGGGAGAGGCGTGCGGCTCGGTTGAGAAACCAGCCTTGTCCCTTCGATGCAGCGTTGGTGGACGGCGTCTTGGGCGACGTCACGGTGGCTGCAGTGGCAGAGGCGGCGGCAGACTTGTCCTGCAAAGCCCCGATCACGTCCATTGGCTGTTGGCGAGCGGCTGGACTGGCTACCATCGAAGCGGGGCGGGGGAGTCGACTGCTCGCCGTCCGAGGGGTGGAGTCGTTGTTGCCTCGCGCAAAGATGCTCTCTCTAGTTCCTTGAAAAGACGAAGGAAGGGAGCCGTTACTCCTCGGTGCTTGCTTTTGCGCAATTTCGGTGCGGGCTCCGCTCCGACCGGTCAGAGGAGTTGCCATCGGAGCCATCAGGTCCATGGTAATACTCGCATCCACATCTGCGCTCTCATCCTCCCCGCCGTCCTCGTTCATGCCTCGTCTGCTTCTACCCGAGCTTGCGCCGCCGCCAAGCTGGACTGTATCATCGTCATCTCCGGCGTCATCGCGTGTCCAGAATCTCGATGTGCCCACTCCGCCGTCTGCTCGAGTTCCTCCGCTGTCCCTTGTGCTACTACTACTTTGTGCTTGACGGGTCATTCGCTGCGGTGAGGTCTCAGTCGGGGTGGCTTCCCCATCGTCGTCGTCGCTGTGCCTCGTACTATTCCCAGCACTCTCAAAAGAGGCGTCCCCTCGCTTCTCTTCCGCCTCGTCTCCGGCCTTTTGCGTCTCATCTCCTTCCTCCGGAGCAGCAGCAGCAGCAGCAGCAGCCTCTTCCTCCTCCTCAGCCCTTTTGGCTTCAGCCTCCTGCCTGCGCATCTCAGCCATCCTGGCTGCCGCAGCCCGCTTAGCAGCTACAATTGCGCTGCTCGGCCCAGGACCACCGGTGGCACCGCCAGCACCGGGCTTGCGTGAGGGGACGAATTTGCTGGAAGGAGCGGCAGCTGCAGTGGCTGGTGAAGTTAGTTGACTTGAGGGCGCTGCACCTTGGGCGGCAGCTGCCTTCTGCGGGGACGCCGCGCTCCTGGAGGCCTGGCTAGCAGCATATGCAGCGTCGGCCGCGCCCATCCCCGCCACGACCTGCTTCCTAACACCAGCCTCTAATCTCTCCAGCATAGCCTCTCCCTCTCTCTTCCAGATGCGCCTGAAGGTGTAGAACGCCTCGCGTGCATTAGCCCTCACATCCTTGTTCTGGTCCGTAAGCCCCTTTGCCAAGAGCGTACTCATCACATTGACCCCGTCATGGGACTCGAGCGCTCCCGGTGAGCACACACTTCTATTTTCGGGGTGGGCTGCGACGCTCAGCAGGGTACCCAGATGCTCCACCATGGCCACTCTAGTGTGAACAGTCTTGTCCGCCATGCCGGCCGCGAGCCAGCCCATTACCTTCGAACGATAAGGGACATGCCGGAGCATGGCACCCGCAGCAGTCTGGGAGGCGGTTGCTACAATGCGCTTCGTAAAACCGGCCATGCGGAGCAGTCCGGGAAGGAGGATGTCGACGGCTGATTCGGGCATGGCAGTGGGAACATGGGATGTCTCGGCCATTTCTGCAACGAGGGCTATGCCGTGCAGGGCGAGGGTGGTTCGCAAGCTGCTGATGGCTTTCAGGATCCCTTCGGCCAAAATGCGCGTCTCGTGCCCGAATGCCTCTGCGAGGGCTTGGCTCGGTTGGGACTTGAGTATGCCACGCAACTTGGCTATACTGGATTCGCGTTTAGCCCAGTTGTGTTCGGTCTCTTTGCCGTCGAAGAAGGGGAGAATGGAGGCCACGGTGCGCTCCAGGTCGCCACGGGATGCTAGATAGACGGGTGAGGCGGTCGCGGCTGGGATTGATGCGGCGGTGCTAGTTGAGGCGGGCACAGCAGTCTTACTCGATGTTGTGGGCTGTTCCGGGTGCGACAGAGGCGAAGCGTCGGCTTGCCCACCAATGACGTCTCTGAGGATCCCCTCAGCTAGCGGCTTTCTCACGCCTTTGGCCTCCATCTCCCTCTTGAGATCCGCCTTAGCTGCCGCGCTGGCCGACAGGAAGAGTGCAACCAGCGTAGCCCGGGACGCCTCCCTGCAAGCGGAATCAGCGTCGCCGAGCAAGTCAACGAGAGTAGGAAGGAAAGGCTTGATAGGGAACTTGGTGCTATAACTTCTCAGGGAGGCGAGAAGGCGACATGACTGCTCGCGGATCTTTGGAGATTTGGCACCCAGACCATTTTCTGTGATGAGGGACTCGAAGGTGCCAAGCGGCGTGTCTGACGAGGATGTGCGGCTAGAGGCGAGACCAGGAGGAGTAACGACAAGGGCGACCTTGCCCAGCTCGACGAGGCCTTTAAGCGCTGAGTCTCTGATACGCTCCCTTGCATCGCCTGCCCTCTCGAGTGAGGCCGGTGTGAGGTGAATGATGGCTGTCTGGACATGGCGCGAGCCATCGTGAGAGGTATCGAGGAGGCGCGCTACCAGAGGCACGAGGGCGAGGGCGGGGGAGAAGAGGTGCAAGTTGGAGCTCTTGAGGCAGGTCTTGAGTGGTTGGATAAAGACGGCTACATCGGATGATGACGTCGTGGCGCTGGTCTCTTGCAGTTGGTTGTGAATGCTAGAAAGGGCAGCCGTCTTTGCATCGACATCTGATGAGCGGGCGAGGTGAGCCAGGGGATTTCGGAGCGGCCTACGAGATGCATAGCATGACACTCACCTTGGGCTGCATTGAGCTCATCAGCCAATCTGTGCCACTCTTGCAGTCTATCCTCATCGTCCATGTTGCAGAGAGGCGGCAAACGGGCAGGTTTGGATGCGAAAGCAAACAGTGAGTGGAGCAGAGCGAGCGCCTCGAGGGGCGTCGCATCTTCGTCTTGATCGGCCTGGCGAGTGTTGATGTCGCCGCCGGGCGGACTGGCAGGTGGGCCTCTTTGGACGCGACTTCAGTCCGCCTTCTGGTTGGTTGCATCGTGCCATCCATCTCCTCTTTTGGCATCCATTGGGATAGTCGAGGCAGCATGGTCCGAGTGCGAGATCCTGCTCGCCTCTTCAGTGGGCAGCCTCCGTTACTCGACGGCAGGTACAAGCGCGTAGAAGCCTTTCATCCTTCCAAACCAGGAGGCAGACAGAGGACTTCCAACGAAGACGACGACGAAGATGATGACGACGATGATGACGAAGAGCAAGACAATGATAGAGGCGCTGACGGCATCAATAAGCGAACCAATCCATCATCTCAAGGCCAAGATGAAGAAGGTGGCTCCTCCTCATCCTCTGACGAATGGGAGTATGAAGACCTCCCACCCCAACTTGTCCTCATGGACCTATCCGTCCCCACATCCTCTTCCTCCTCTGCCAATGCCAACACTACTCTCGCATCCACTGAGCAATCCCGCAAGATTCTCTCTTCCTCCTCTCGAGCTGCATGGAGCGTCGCATCCCTACATACCGCTCGTCCTCTCCTCAAGGTGGGCAACATCAACTTCCTCGGCGAGTGGCAGGAGCTCGTGGGCACAGGGCTGGTTCTAGAGGATACGAGGGACGCCACGCGACGCTTCCCCTTCCAGCGCCATCCGCAGCCATTGAGACCAGAAGTCGGGGGAAGTATGACGCAACAGGTCGTCAGATTCAGGCAGGCAGTCAATGTCGAGGCGAGGGAGAGGGAGAGAGAGCAAAGGGTTGGCAGGACAAAGGCCATGATTCAGGCAGAGCTCAGGGCTGCCGAGCAGGCCGCTGCTGCCAACTCTGCCGAAGTAGCAGGGGCTACAAGACAGGTCCGATTTGCAGACCAAGAAATGGAATCAGAGGAAGGAGGTGGCCCTGTCAATGCTACAGCGGCTACTGGAGCTCAAGGAGGAGGCGAAAGTCACGTTGATGTAGACGACACGGCAGACACCACTACCGACCCTGCACAACAAGGAGCGACAGCCACTCGCGGAACAGGTCGAGGACGAGGAAGACCGCGTGGCCGACCGGCCAAGACCATCGCCCAAAGAGTGCAGTCAGCCATCGAGAAATCGCTCCGGGTTACGCAAGACCCAGGTGAAGACAACGATCAGAGGACCCCAGCAGCATCGGCAGCACCAGCCGGAGCAAGCGCCTCAGCCGGTCCATCCGGTTCTGCCACTGCCCCCATTGCCGCAACGGACAATACGAACACCGCCGCTCGAGCCCCCAGCCGCAAAGTGATCAAGATGCTCAAGCGTGAGGCAGAATATCGCGAGAAGAGGCAGAAGGAGAGGGAGCAGCAGGCTAGGGAGAAGCCCGCGGGGCATGGGCTACAAGACGATGACATTGACCCCGATCAAGAGTCACAAGACGACCTGTTCGCCCTTGGGGAGATGTGTCCCGACGCTGGAGTGCAAAAAATGGAGCAAGACATTAGAGCGAGGAAGCGGGAACTGCGAAGGAGGAAGGCGGGACTGCGTCCTGGGACCAACACCAGCACCGAGGATGCGCGACAGGCGGTCGCACAGGATGAGGCAGCAGAGGGGGACTACGGGGATGAGAACGAAGATTGGGAGGACGAAGAGGACGACGAGCCTCGGACGCCGAAGAGGAAGCCGGGTAGACCAAAGGGTAGCAAGAACAAGCCCAAGCCAGCAGATAGGTTGCCCATCGATGACGATGCGAGACAGCAGAGTGCAGGGACAGCGGCAGGAGATGAGGCGCCCGCTGGCGTGGAGGGAATGAGCAGTGCACAAGGTGGGGAGGGAGACGGCGCTGATGCCGGCCAGACGGGACAAGAGGGCGAGCCTCGCAGCGAGGACATGGATACCAGTTGATCAACCCACAGTCCTTCCCGGAAACGAGGCGTCTTGACGCCCTCAACTACATCTCAGTCTTTGACACAATATTCACAAGGGTGCGGAGTTACCCCTCATCAATGTAAAATTACAGATAAAAAGAAAAAGTCACGAGCGGAGCAAAAGGACAAGAAGTTTGAGTCCGTACAGCGTTGAGAGTCGGGCTCAGAACACACAGCGTTGAGAGTGTGTGCGCAGGAGTTGATGCTACGCGCGCGGTATTGACGAGGGGGCCTTTCTCGAGTTAAGAACGACGAAGCCGAGTACGGAGCCTTGCAGTTGTGTTGTTGATGATGTGTGTGTGTATGCTGAGAGTATGATAGGGGATGAGAGGGCTCACGAGCGTTGAGAGTGAGCCGACCCGGGAGGTTCGTGGTGATGATAAGGTGACGCTGGTACCACGAACGCCTAAGCGCTCATCTTCATCTTCTTGCCGGCCGCACCGCCGAAGACGGCCTGGAGGGCACGGTCAAGGTCCTCCATGAGGTCCTCGACGTCCTCGAGACCGACTGACAGGCGGATGAGGTCGTGGCCGATGCCGAGCTGGAGGCGCTCAGCCTCGGGGACCATCCAGTGGGTCATCGTCGAGGGCTGCTCAATGAGTGACTCGACACCACCGAGGGAGAGGGCGAGGGTGATGACCTCGAGCCTCTTGAGGAGGGCCGCTCCAGGCTCCTTGTCCGTCGCATCGCAGTTCAGGCGGAAGGAGAGCATACCCGAGTACTCGATGCCGTCCTGAGCGATGTTGCGGGGCTGCTGGGCCTGCATGGCCTTGGGGCTGATCTGCTTAGCAACGAGGTCGAAGGACGGGTGCTCGGGCAGACCAGGGTAGATGACGTCCTTGATGTAGGGGTGAGCCTGCATCCACTTTGCCAGCTTGAGGGCATTGCGGCCGTGCTCCCTCATGCGGACACCGAGAGTCTTGATACCGCGCATGGCGAGCCAGCAGTCAAAGGGCGAAGGGACGGCACCAAGAGCAGCCTGGTGGAGGCGGAGGTGAGTGGCCAAGTCGTCGGACGACGTGACTGCGGCGCCCATGAGGACATCGGAGTGGCCGTTGAGGTACTTGGTGAGGGAGTGCATGACGACGTCGGCGCCCAAGGAGAGGGGGTTCTGGAACCAAGGAGAGGCGAAGGTCGAGTCAACGACGACGACGATGCTGGGGTCGATGCGCTTGGCGACACGGGAGACGAGGGCAATGTCGACCAGGCTGAGGTCCGGGTTGGTGGGCGTCTCGAGCCAGACGAGCTTCGTCTGACCCTTGCCGATGGCCTCCTCGAGGCGCTGGGCGACGACGTTCTCGTCCTTGTGGCTCAGGTCGACAAAGGTGGTGCCGATCTCGTTGGTCTTGTTGATGATCTGCGTGAAGATCTTGTGGGTACCACCGTACACGCTCGAGACGGAGACGATGTGTCCACCGCGGGGCACCATGTTGACCAGGGCAGTGGTGACGGCAGTTCCCGAGGAGAAGCAGATGGCCGTCTTTGCTCCTTCGAGGGCGGCGAGGTTTGCCTCGAGAGAGTTACGGTTCGGGTTGCCGAAGCGGGTGTACGTGTGGCCGCCAGCGACACCGACCTCCTCCTGCTGGAAGGCGGTAGCGAGGCAGATGCTGGGGACAATGGCACCAGTAGGGGCCTCAGGCTCGGTGTTGTGGGTAGCGAGCGTGTCGAAGCGCAGCGCGTTGTGGGTGTTGGGCTCGGCCATGGTAGCGCCGTTGGAGGGAGCTTCGCCAGCCGTGATGGTAGCGCCTGCAGTACCGTTGATAGAGGGAGCCATTGCAGCGATGATGTGTGTGGTGGTGATAAGGTGGGGATGGGCCTCTGTTGGAGAGAGCTAAGGTCGACGATGCGCGCTGCGTGGGGGTTGAACTCAATACAAGCGGCACCGAGGAGCAATCGGGTAGCTGGTAGCTAGGTAGGAGCGATGAGCTGGGTCGGAGGATTGGTGAGGAGAGAAGGAAACAAGGAAAGGGCAAAGGGTATTTTACGGTCCTTTATCCTATCGCTCACCGGGTGTCACCAGGCTTTTACCCGGCACCATTGACCAATTGAACTCGCCCGCGTCGCAGCAAATTGTTCCTCGCCGCCGTGTCCGTGTCCTCCGTATCCGCTCTTCTGCACCCTCAGCCACCAGCCACCCGTCCGTTCGCCTAACCGACCCGCTCCTGAGCACTTGGCCACGGCGCCGCCGCCGCCGCGCCGACCGAGAAGCTACCGACAAGACGCCCTCGACGGACCCAGAGCCCAGCGAGCCAGCCAGAGAGAGCCCAGCAGACGTCGTCTTGCTCCACCGCGTCGTCGAGAAATGGCAACACACCGTCTTCCGAGCACGAACCAGGCAATAAGCACGACGGTGCAGCACGTCAAACGGTTTGGCTTGACGGCTCGATGGCTCCACGGCTCGATCACGCATCCAACGCACGCGTGAGGGCGGCGACGAGTCGACGAGGTGGGATAGGATAGGTGACCGATAGCATTCTTATTCAAAGAGAGACACGGGGAGAACGAGGAAGACAGGGACGGGGACGGGGGACGGAAAGATGATCTTCTTGTGGGGCCGAGACCCCGACTTGATTTCGCTAGTGAGAATTCCCTCCACTCCCACCCACTCCATCTCATCCCACCATACGGTACCGTACCGCCGACTGAATTGATGACGTGAGCTCCGCCCTCGCCAGGCTTATTGTTGCCCATCAGCACCCTCCCCGCCACCTTCACCCTCAGCCGCAGTCGCTCCACTCTCCCCCATCGCAAACATATTCGCCCCCACGACGCCCCCGGGCTGCGTCTGCGTCAAATTGTTCAGCGCCTGCACTGCAGCCTGCTCGTCCTCCTCGCGCGAGAAGCGCTGCTTGGCCTCTCCCTCCGTCTCCCTCGCCCTCTCACGCTCACGCTCACGCTGTTCGGCATCATGTCGCTGCACCATCGCCACGGCCGCGGCAGTCATGTTGCGCTGCTGCATCTGCTGGCTAGCCTGTTGGCTAGGAAGTCCAGCCTCAGTCAGGTCGAAGATGCTTTCAATCTGCGAGTCCGAAGCCCCATTGCCGGGTACGAGGGAGCGTCTATGATGAGGAGGCAGGGCTGCGGCCGCCTGCTTCTGTTGTTGGGAAGGGGGCAAAGCATGCCCGTCGTCCGAGGACGCAGAGGGAGGCCAATCGTATCCGAACGCTGTGCGGCCGTGCCCAAGATTTTCGGCTCCAGTGGCATTGCTTTGCTTGCTGAGCCCGAGGAGCAAGCTGAGGTCATTGCTGCTCGCCTCGCCCAGCGCAGCGGCCGAAGCGGTAGTGAAGTCCTGCGGCTCATCTTCGCCTGCTAGCTTAGCATCGATGGCGTCTTGAAAGCGCATGTGCATCGACGATGAGCTTACGCGTCGCAATGCCAGCTCGACCTCTAATCCTAGGGCGAAAAGGTCTTCCTCTCCCTTGATGGTCAGGCGGCTAGACGTAACCCAGGCGGCCTTGGTAATGGGCTCAGTCGACGCAGAGACCATGACGCGGTCCATTCGGCATGCTGGCAGTCTGTCGATCGCTTCCGGGACCGGGAGAGGTGCGAGTACGTTGACCTTCTCTTTGTTGTCCATCTCAGCATCAACAACGCCCCATCGCTCTGGGTTGTCCTCGAGCCATCGCGCCACGCTTGCATCGAGGAATTTGGTCGGCTGACTAGATCCGATCGAGTTGCGTCGCGCGCGAGCCAATGATGGGGCTTGTTCGGTCATTGGGTCCGCAGCGGAGATGGCGAAGAGTGGCTTCGCCCACGTAGCGTGTCCAACAAGTCTTTCTGTCACGCGCTGTTGGCGTCGCAAGGCCAACTTGTCAGCGAGAACCTGCCTGGGTTCACGAGGCGACGACCTCCTGCTCGAGAGTATGGCAGCCTGGATCTCTTCTTTGCGGGAAAGAGGGGAACGCTTACGCTTTCGCTGCCCGCTCATGCCGTCCGACAGAATCGCGCGAGGGGGCGGGATGCCACGATTGCCGTTGCGGTAGTCGCCTGCACTGGGCGGCATCATCTCCATGACGAGAGGCTGCTGACGACCGTGCTGACCTCTCTCGTTCGCCTGCTCTTCGAGGGAACGGACGAGAGCACGGCGTTCTGCCATTGCTTGCGTGTCTTGGCTCTGCGCCTCTGGAGGCAAACCGTATTGCGCTTCACGGGCAACAGCAGCTGCGTCAAGTGTGAGCTGTCGGGCAGATGAGCGGCTGCCGCTGGACAGTCCGGGTGGGGACACGCGTGCACGCTTGGCTCCGTGGAAGGGAGGGGAGCCGGTTGCGCCGTGTCCATTGCTCGGCATTGCTGGCGGCCCACCGCCGGAGGAAGACGCTCCTGGCGAGGGAGGTGAAGGTGGCGACCAAGAGGGCGGCGGAGGAGGCTCGGAAGGATAGTCTGCAAAGGAAAGGTGAGGGTGGAAGGGAGCGGCACCTGAATCGAAGCGATCCTGGTACGGGCCGGCGTCGTAGTGGTGGCCGGCGTGGCTGTGAGGTGCTGGCTCTGGCTGGTAGGGAGTCGGTAGACTGGGTTGCTCTCGACGCTCTCGCGGATGCTCGCCGCCGCGACGACGGGAGGACGACGTCTTTGAGGAGCTGGACGTAGATCCAGGCTCGCCATTCTCTCGAACGACGCAGCCGTTGAGCCTTCCCCTCTTCTTTGCTGTGGTAGCCTGACGACCAGTGTCGGAGAAGAAGGACCACTGGCAGTCTGCATTCTGCTTGGTGCATCGTTGGCACTTCTGTCCTGGGTCTTGTGGCCCGTTCGAGGTGACGGGACGACCACCGATGCACCTCGCCTTGCGCTTTCGGCAGAGGTCGCACGCTTGAGAGACGCGAGTACGACGGCCCTTGTCTGGTGATCCGCCCTTGCCTGTGCTACCGGCATTGCTTGGAGTAGGAGAGGCCGCGTTGCTCTGTCCGCCAGCGCCACCGGAGGCAGGCGTCTGCGGCTCGTGGGACGAGGGATCGTAGGGCGCGCCGTGAGGATAGTGGCCGGAAGCAGCGGCAGCATGGTGCTGGTCGTAATCTTGATAGCCGCCTGCGCCAGATTGAAACGGTGGTGGGGGCGGCAAGGCGTAAGGGTCATGAGGCATGCCAGGCTTGGGTGGCGAAGGAGGGAGCGACATGCCGGGAGGCAGAGGTGGAGCGGCACCACCGTGGTGAGACGACTGCGAGAGGCGGTGCTTGGAGTGCGGGCCTCTGGATTGAGTGGACGGTGGGAAGTCGAAGCTGGCTGAAGGATCGGCACCCGATTGACTGCTGCTCTGACTCGTGTTGCCCATGTACGAGTAGGACATGCGCGAGTCATCGTCGATTGGCTCACCGGTCTCGTCGCCATTGCCATTGCCGTCTTCTTCTTCATCGTCGTCGCCAGGGATCTCGTCATCGTCATCCTCGGCGCCATCTCCTGCGCGGGAGTTGGACGTACGAGACATGATCGTCGATCTGTAGCTGGAAGAAGGTGTCGCAATTGCGCCGAGGGGAGTAGCAAAGGGGCTCGAAGAGGAGGGCACCCTAGCAAATGCGTTCATGTGGTGGCTGCCGGGTAGAGATCGCGCGTGGGTGTAGTGAGGAGGCGGAGGCGGAGGCGGACCGCCACCACCGCCGGCACTACCTTGGCTGTTAGAGTGCGGCCGGGCAAAGGACGGCTGAGAGGAGCGATGCGGAGGTGCCATGGTGGACGGCAGTGGGTGGGTGGAGCGAGCGGAGAAGGCGGCCTACTACCCAGGGGTAGGTACTGACTTGGGCGTCGAGTGCTACAGGTTGACTGGCGAGAGGCACAGGAGTGCAGCGTACTGTTGTCCGTCGTCTTTGTTGCGATGCAATTGTATCGTGAGGATAGGAGAAAGTGGTTGGGAAGGGATGACAGGACGGCAAGACGCGGATGAGCGGAAGGGGCACGACGGACGGAACTGGGAGGAGCGTGCTGGTGGTGAGCACCATAGACGTCTATTACTCACAGAACTTGCTCCTCAAGCTGGTTGTCGCTGCGATGATGAGGCAGAAACAATAACGATCGTGCTGCTCAGCCGGATAGTGGCTTTTCAGTCGCTATCGCGCTTCTTGACGGTGGTAGATGAGGGGGGGGATCGAAGGTCGTCGTGGTAGGGAGCCAGGAGGAGGGGGACAGCGGGGGCGGACAGAGAGAAGACAGACGACGGCCCTGGGCGAGGAGCCAGTCTGACTGGACACGGACTGGGCAGCCAGTCTCACTTCCGCCCAGCTCCCCTGCCCAAGCCGAGAGGGAGAATGGCCGGCCACAGAAGCCAGGCCGCTCGCTCGCCCGCGCCGCGCCGCGCCGTGCCGTCTGCTTTGCTCTGTGCCTCGCTGGGCTGGCGCTGGCAGACGGAGAGCACCTCGTCCGGGCCATCCAAGTGGATGCGAAGCCTCCTTCGGTCCGGCGTCACGAGGGAGAGAAAGAGACGGGAGCAGCGCCACGCTACCCTCGCCCACGCCCGCGCCCGCGTTCACGCCCTACGCGTCTACGGTGAAAGTAAGTTGTGGCGGGGCGATAGCGAAGGGGAACCGGAGCAGGTAGCAAGAAACGCCATGTCTCGTCAAAGAGAGTCAACGATCCGCCACTTTTGGCAAGGAACACGCTCGCTCTCGCGGCTCGGCGGCGAGGGGCTCCAATCACTGTCGCTCGTGGACCGTGTAAAAGTAGATGGGTATTCTCAAATTGTCGTCGTTTCCTGCTTCGCCGCTGCGACCCGATCCTCTCCCCTACATATCCTCATCAGACCCAATCTCATCCCCCAAATCAACGGCGCCTGTCCCAATCGCCCGTTTGGGCCTTTTGCTCGGGCTGCCCGATGGACTCCTCGCATCGTCCACTCCCCTCTTCTTCTTGCGGGGAGTCTCCCCTTCGGTCTGCTGCGTCGCTCGCCAAGTCTCATGCTCCTTCTCTACGATAGGCTTCAAAATCTCCAGCTGCTCCTCGAAGCTCATTTTCTTCGTTGCGCCCGCACTCTGTCCCCTTTTTGCCGCAGCTCCAGGGAGAGATCGATCCTTGAGTCGCTTCCACGCCTTACTTAGCTCGTTCTTGCCAAAGAGCAGGCTGCCCTCCTCCTCAGCCCCATCTATATCGTCTTCATCGTCCCTCACCTTGCCCCAATCCACACTCTTCTCGTCTTCCCACCCGTGCACGCCCGCTTGGGTTTCCAATCTGCGGACCAGTGCTCTATTGTCCCTTGCGCTCAAATACGATGAAGAGCGGCCAGTCCTCTTATTTGCGATAATCTCCTCGTCGGTCTTGCCCTTCATGCGAGCGATGCGAATCTCGTCCCACTTGCGTTGACAGCTGGATGCTGCTTTGGTCTTGATGCGGGTAGAGATGACCTTCCATGAGGGAGTACCGCCTGCCTGCAGGTCGATGTTGAGTTGTGCGCAGACTTCAGGGACTGCTTTGAGGAGCTCCCGTATTTCTTCGCTCGTCCAGGATGAGGGCTTCTCGGGGCCGGTCCTCTTTTTGGCGCTCACGTTGGCGGGAGGGGAGGTCGAGGGTGAAGCCGCACTGCTGCTTCCCTCGCCATTGTCCTGCGCTGCTGGCCCTCCCCTCGCCTGCATCTCCTTGACCCTCTTCACATCATCATCCCAGTGATCGCGCACCCTGGTCCTACAGTCACGTGGGATCCTCCCGACCCTTTGGCTCACCACCGTCCAGTTAGACCCCACCTCATCATGCGCCTTGACCAGCTTCCAGACGTCCAGATCCGTCCAGCTCCCCTTGCGCGCATCAGGGTGGAACCACTCCCTCAAGTACCTCCTCACAGCCCTTTGAGACCGGCCAGGGACGGCGGCCGTCACGTTCGAGGTCATCTGGGCATACAAATCTGCCTCTCCCCTGCCTGAGCGTGAGGTAAGGGTCTCCTGGCCTTGCTCGAAGGTCATCCCATTACGGGTCCAAAAGGCCTCGAACGCGGTGCGCATGGCTTCTCGCTCGGCGGTTGTGAAAATGCCCTTCTTCAGCGTGGTCAGCATGCCTGCTTCCTCAAGCCATTTGAACTGATGAGGTTGATAGAGCTTTTCGGAGAGGATCTGTGCTTCTGTGAGGCCGCGAGCGTCATCGAGAGTAGCAGATTTGGACTTTTGCAGACTTTCGCCGGTAGAGGCGGTGTGCACGGCGGCATTGTGGACGCCGGTGCGTGCCCGCGGTACCCTACTGCCGCGAGAGGCGCCATTTCCTGCGCTACTGATAGCGGCATCCAAGGCGGCGGTGGTGATGCGTCGGGGAGTGCTCGAGCGAGTGGTACGAGTAGAGGGGCCTGTTTGGCCTTCGTCTTCATTTGGGTCGGTCTTGATAGAGGAGAGGTCGAGGCCAGGGGGGAAATCCCGCGGATCGAGGGCTGGCGTCGATGATGTGGTTTGGCCTGTCCCTGGAGTTGGCAGACGTCGAGGAAAGAAGGGTGAAGGTGCTGGAGGGCGTTGAGGGTAGAATGGGGAGGGAGCTCGACGTGACGAAGCTCGAGTCGCCGTAGGTGCAAATGGGTTGCTCGCCGCTTGGGCGGAGCTGCTAGATGCGAACTCGTTGGCGTAGGCATACGGGAGGTTCGTAGCCGGAGGCAGCTGCACGCCCTGTGCTTGCTTCGGTGAGGTTACGGGCGAAGTTGCTCTTCGGGGAGCCGGAGCAGGCGCTGAAGGGTTGGCAGGGACTGTAGCATCCGCGCTCTTCTTTGCCTCCTTAGCAGCCTTCTTCGCGCCTTTGCGCTCTTTTCTGCTGCGCTCCTCGTCATCGATGCTGGAACTGGTCCTCTTTGCTTCTTTTGCCTGCTTCTTTGCCTCCTTGTCTGCCTTCCTCGCCCGCCTCTCCTCCTTCCGCTGCCGCTTTTCCTCCTTTGCACGTTTTCTCTCTACCTTGGACATGGAGGCGTGGGCCTCACTGTCGCTAGACGACATCGTGGTGTCGCCCAATGATGAGCGTGGAGCGGCGGATGTGATGTGGTGGTAAAGAGGAAAGGAATGAAATTTTAGACGTGTTGGGCTAATGGGTGAAAGTCGAGGACGAGACGACGGAAAGGGAAATCGACTGTCGACCAGCAGAGTGAGGAGAGGGGACGCAAGGTCCTTGGCAGGCAGAGGCAATAAAAGCTCGCACTGACTCAGTGGGTATGATGGATATTGATTGTTCATGCTCAAGCCTCCCAGCTACGACAACCCACGCTCGTAGGCGTTGCGCTTCCTCCTTTCCCCTGCTTCATCGTCTTTCTCCGAGCCCGACGAGGCATGACCTCCGTCGTCTTGGCCTCCTTCTGGCTGCTCCTCTTGCTTCTCTGTCTCGGTCATGACCATCGTCCCATTACCGCTCGACTTGAATCGACTCCTTCCCTTGGCTTTCTTCTTGGCTGACGCACTACTCTGCCCATGCTCATGATTGCACGCCTCGCCTGACGCATGATCATGGTCATGCCCTCGTCTGCTGCGCTCCTTGCCCTTCTTGACCCGCTTGTCTTTCATTGCTTGCGACATCGTTGGCCCGTCAGAGGGAGATGAGGATGCTGATTCCACTCCTGAATCAGCCTCGGAGTCTGAGCCAGAAGACGAGGAGCCAGACGAGGAGCTCTCATCGGACGACTCGTCGAATGGTTTTGGCTTGTGATAGATGCAGCAGACTGGCGCGCAATGAGAGTGGGCGATGAGCAGGTGGTCAGCGAAGAAGTGATGGTGCAGTTGTCATGACTGCACAACTTACTTTTACTGCTCTTCTTTCCCATATGCTCATTATCGACGGTATCCTGCGTCCATAGCACCCTCCTCTGCCTCGTCGGGTCACTCGTCGCGCCTCGCAGTCTTAGTACGCCTGCATTGTTTGACGATTGTGCCTCTTGCTGCTGCTCAGGTCGAAGAAGGAGAGTACGCGAGCCATGGTTGGCTGGCGCTGCTGTTGGGTGGATGCGGTTCATCTTGATTGACTGGTGGCTGGTGGTCAAATCGGCAACCAAGGCCGTGGAGGGCGGACTGAGCTCATGTCGACTTGACATTGACGCCGCAACTCGACTCGACTCGACTCCACCTTCCGCCTGCCTGCCTGCATTTTATTGTCCTCGCCTTCTTGACTCCCGCACTCGCTCTACACCGTCATGGGCTCCCATAGTCATCGTCATCGAGATGAGAGGCGGACAGATCACTCGGACCGCGACAGTCATGGCCACACACACCGACGGCGGTCTCGATCAAGGTCCCCTGAGCGAAGGCATCGCCCAAATCGTCATCATGAGGATGATCAAGACGAAGAAACAAGAGCAGGACCATCCCGCAAACATGACCATACAGACTCGCATCGTAGCAGCAGCAGCAGTAGTCGCCGCAATCGACATCATCGCGACAGGAACCGCGATGAATACCACTCTCGAAATCGCAAGAGGCACAGGAGAGACGATGACAATAGTCAGGAGCAGAGGCCCTCACGCATTATAGATGATGATGATGTCCACGCAGCCACCCTTGCAGGGGCTTCCACACGAATGGACACCGCAGCCCATAACGCCTCTGAAATGATCCCGACCTCAACTTCTCTGGATCTCCAGTCACACCCGGCCCCCTCGTACAGCAACGACCCCGCTCCTCTCCCCAAGAATGCACCCACGGCCACGCAGCTCCAGAGGGACGATTGGATGCTTCTCCAGCCTTCCAGCGACGATCCGGATCCCTCTACAGCCACTCGAGACGATGGTCCCTCTCCCTCTGCCCCCTACGGCTCGGGAGACTTTGACTTCTTCTCCTCTCTCGGCTCACAGCGTGTCAAACCCGCGCCCGTCGAGAAGCCCGACCCTGAAAAGTTGCACATCAGTTCTCGCGAGCTAAACACGCAACTCGTCCAGGGGAAAGGGCTGGACGAGTACAGTGAGGAGCCGAAAAAGGATACAAAGTATGGCGCACCGGGGTATCAGTGGAGGATGATGAAGCTGCGCAAGACGTTTGAGCTCGCCGAGCAGGAGGGGCGCTCGGTCGAGGAGGTGGCATTGGAGCGATATGGCGACATGGGAGGATTCGAAGAGGCCAAGAGAGAAAGGGCATGGCTTGATGGCAGGCAGAAGGGACCGGCAGGGAGCGCTGCTGCCAAGCGACCGGCCAATAATCCTCTGTCGACCGCCGGGACTCCCATGTCGTCTCAGCCAGCTTCGCGGACCTCGTCCTTCAGAAAGCCAGGAGAGTCAGCAGGACCCTCGACACCATCCAGCAGCACACCAGCTCCGCCGATCAGCACTTCGAGGCCAACTGGCATCCCCAGCACCTCCGCCGCCGCAGCAGCTGCGACTAGGTCGTTAAGTAATACTCCACGCTCTTCTCAACCCTCGACACCCATCCCAAGCGTTCTCGCCCCGCCCAAAGTGCCCCTCGCAGCTGGCAGCAGTGAGGTCCTAGAAGGAAGCAATGTCGCTGCCGCCGCTACTCCACCGATGGACTCGGCCGCTCTCAACAAGCTGGAAGCCAGGGTCCTCAAGGCCGAGATGAGCGGAAAGCCCAACGCGGCCAGCTTGCGCGAGAAGCTCGAGCGCGAAAAGCAGAGGGCTCAAAATACCGCAGCGGGAGACAGCTACTCTCCGAACTCGACTGCGCAGCGCGACCGCTCAGGCAACGAAACGGAAATCGCTGTCCTTCCTACTCTTGACGCCCGCGGGCGTCTCTATGACGTCGGCACGTCCAAGGCAGGCGAATCGGCGCCTGCACCACACCAGCCAGGTAACCGCCGAAAGCGCGTTACCAACAACATCGAGACTCATGACCCTTTGACTGGCGACGTCATCCGCCGTGAAGGGGACGACGATACCCTCACCCTCTCAGAGCTCGTCAGGCAAGAAAAGTTCAAAGCAGGTCGAGGAGATCAGAAGGACTTCGATGCAGAATTTGCGGCTCAAATTGCAGGCGATGGGGCTTATAAGGGTGGGGAGGACTATTTGGACGAGAATGCTGAGCGTCTAGCCAGGAGGCGAATGAAGAGCGACGCGTTGAAGCGCCAATTCGCGGTCGATGACTACGCAAAGACGCGCAAAGCGATGGAGTCCTGTCGCCTCTGCTTCAGAGGGGAGGATGGTGATCTCCCACCTCTTACGCATTCCACGGTGGTTGCACAGGGAACGCGAGCCTACCTGGCTCTTCCTGAGTATCAAGGTCTCGTCCAAGGTCATGCGCTGATCGTGCCTGTTCAACACCACCTCAGCAGCCTGGAGGCGGACGACGACACGTGGGAAGAGGTGAAAAACTTTGCGAAGTGCCTCCTGCAACTCGCTGCTCAGCGTGGGGAAACTTACGTATTCTGGGAGACGGTGACGAGCTTGAAGGCGCAACGCCACACGTACATTGAAGCTGTGCCGCTGTCGAGGGACTTGGTTGCTTCTGAGCTTCCCGGGAGCTTTCGCACAGAATTGATGCAGAGTGGATCAGAGTGGGATGCGGCGAGTAGCAAGCTCATCACCTTCGATACCGCACGGCCATTCAGGAGGAGTATGGTCTCTCAGCTACCCTACTTTGCAGTGCTTTTCGATCATAAAGGTGAAAAGGGGTACGGACACGTCATCCAAGGCCCGGATGCGGGGGATGTTCTGGAGGCGGCAGGACAGGGCGGGGCCGATGAGGGGGATGGGGGCTACGCTATGGATGAGCTGGGAGACAAAGGGAGAGGGGGAGGGAAGTTCGAGAAGTGGTTTGGAGCGGAAGTTGTGGGCAATCTGTTGGACTTGGAGCCCCAGATGTGGAGAAAGCCCAGGAGGTTGGCAGAGGAAGAGAAAAGGAGGGTGGCCGCAGCTTTCAGGCAGGGCTGGGAGACCTTTGACTGGACGAAGCTGCTTAGAGAGGGGGCGAGCAAGGCGGGCGCTTAGCGGCGAGGAGCGCTCGAGCGGAATCGCATTCACTGTGACAAGTATCGAAGAAGTCGAGTCTGAAATCCGGGGTCTCGTGTCTATATAGCCATGATGCCCTCCTGAGGCATAGCGCCACCAGCAGCTTCGTCTCCCTCTCCTTCGCCTTCCTCCTGATCATCGTACTCGTCACCATTGTCTTCCTCCTCTCCCATCGCCAAAGGCATCTCCACCTCATACTCCTCATCATCCTGGCCATCATCGTCCATCGCGGCCTGGCCTCCCATTACGACGCCCTTCGCCTTTCCTCCCATAACATCCCTTCCACTCAACCCCACCTCTCCTCCTCTCCCACCTGCGCCATTCGCGATCCGCTCATCTTTCATTCTCTCACACTCCCTAAAGGCCTCCCTCGCCAGGCGCAAGAAATCACTCTCTCCCAGCATGGGCAGGACACCTGCGCTACCGCCTGCCTCAAGGTCATCCTCCGCCCCCTGATCATTGATTACGGCAACGACCGAGCGTAGCAGAGCCTGAACGTGGCCATTGCGACGCTGCAAGGCCTTGAGAGCACGCCGACGACGTTGTGCTGCTTGAGAGGCGTGAAGGCGATCGGGCTGCTGGCGTTGGTTGAGGTTGGGTCGAGTGAAGGGAGCACGTGAAGGGTCGAGGGAGGTTGAAGGAGTGCCGGGCGAGGGAGGGGCGAGAGCTGCCGGTGAGGGCAGAGGTGGTCGACCCTGAGGGTCAGAATGGCGGGAGAAGGAGTGGGCGCTGCTTTTGTGGCGCAGGGCAGGGGAGGGTGGGCCGGCGTCGCCGTTGATGTCGCGCTGCTCGGCATCGAGGCTGTCTTCATTCTCCTCGCCCTCGTCGCTCTCACCTCCTTGTTCGTCGCCCTGGTCCTCTTGCTGATCTTGACCACGATCCTGATCAGCCAGCTCGTCTTGCCCACCTACGTCTCCATCCTCGTCCATATCGTCCTGGTCCTCGCCATCGCGATTTTCATCTTCCTCCTCATCATCATCGATGCCATCCCCATCGCGTGCCAAGTCCTTCACCTGATCGTAAAGTGCCCTCGCAGCGTTGTCTTCTTCTTCTTCTTCTTCCTCCTCTTCCTCTCTCTGCTGCTCGTCCTCGGCCTCGTCCTCGTCTGTCGGGCCGACAGCAACAGCTGCCGAAGCGGGGATACCATTGATCTCCTTGACACGTTTGACAGCGCCCGTGGACGGTGTGCGACGCGTAAGTGGCGGGCCTCTGACGCCGCGACCGCGCCCACCACGTCCGCGAGGCCCACCTCGGCCGCGATCAGCAGGAGGGAAGGGCTGGCGCTGTTGTGCTCCTCTCGCCAATGGGGCCTCTTCGTCGTCATCACCGCTGGCAGCGCGCCCGGGCTTTTGGCCCATCCTCTCCCTCTGGCTCTCCAATGCCTGCTGTCTCTGTGCCCTTAGATACTGGTGGCGGAGATTAGCCGTGTGCTGCGACGTGGAGCCAGGAGGTGGTGCTGCTCCAATCCAATGCGGACCGGGCGCTACGCTGTACTTCTCTGACTGGCGGTCGTCGGCTATCTCTGCCAAGCCAAGATCGGTGGAGGTTGAGGCAGCGCCCAACACTCGGTCTGTTGAGGCGTTGCGGGACGTCGCAGGGCGAGAGGGGCGGCTCGTCGTAGCGTTGGCGCTGCTATTGCCTTGTGTGGCCATGTTCGAGGTAGGAGAGCGAGCGCCGGATTCGCCGGCCTTGCTACTTCGTGTGGCGCCGCCGCGGTTGACGCGAGGAGGCTGGTGCTGGGCGCGAGGTGTAGCTTGAGAGTCGAAGCTCTGCTCTCCTTCTTCGTCTTGAGGCTCTTGCGGCTGCTGCTCGTTGGCGCCATCCTCTTGACCTTGCGACTCCTCTTCTTGCCCCTCGCCTTCATCCTCATTGCCCTCCTCAACAATGCGCCTCGGATCTAGCACACCGCGGGCATGCAAGGCTCTAGAGATGCCCGTGTTCCCAGTGACGCCGGTATTGCCCGACTCGTCTGAGCGGCCACGACCCGCGATGCTGCCCAGTAGTGGCCGCACGCTAGCATCGCTCGCAGCTCCCGGCAAGAAGCTATCACTGGGGGCGGCTCCACCAGAAGTGGAGGCACGATTGTTGGGAACTCTGAAGTTCGAGGGGCTCAGTCTGCCCTTTGCGCCGCTGCCGCCGCCACCACCACGACCAGTGATAATGCCGAAAGCCTCCCGAGCCAGCGGGTCGTTATCGCTGAGCCCGGGCGAGTCAAGGCGATTCTTCTTGTGCTGGTCGGGGAACATGAAGGCGTCCAAGTCGTATTCGTCTTGGTTTCCTCCGCCTTCCTCCTCTTCTTGCTCTCGGTCATCAATCCCCTCGTTTTCATCACGCTTATTGGCTTCTTTTCCCCAGCCACCAGAGTCGCGGGGGCGCGGCGTGGCGTTGGGGTCGGCGGCGAAGGCGGAGAGGGCTGCGCTGGCAGCGTTTTCGGCACCCCCGTGGTCTTCGTCGTCATCGCCTGGCTGACGGTCGTCGAGGCCGGGTGCCGCGAGACGTTGGTTGTCGACATCGCCAAGTGTGGATGCAGGCACAGGCACTTGAGCGGCCTCGGCCGCCTGTTCGCTCATATCGTTCTCCTGCTCTTGGTCATGTCGCTCGTCCGCTTCCTCACTCAGGGCACCTTCTTCCTCCTCATCAATAGCAGCAGGAAGAGCGTGGGGTTCGGCGTAATCCTCGTCGAGTATTGGTTCCTCGGAGTCCAAATCGGTGGCAACAGTAGAAGGCGCAAGCTGTAAGAAGTTCTTGAAGCCGCCGGCCTTGCTCAGACCAGTCGTAGTCGAGGAGGCATCTTCCATATCACCCCTTGCGCGCTTGGCCTCTTCGCTCTTGAGCTCATTCTCCTCAGCAAGGCGACGAAGCGTGCCCATGCTGACCTCGCGCGTCATAGGCACGCGACCACGATTCCGCTTGCGCTTGGCCTCTTCGTCTTCTTCGCCTTCCTCTTCTCCTACATTGGAGTCTTCGGCGTTGAAGGCCAGCATGGGGTCTGCTTGCGAAAGGGCCTCCAGAGGATCGGCATCGCTGCGCGTGGCAGCGGACTGAGTAGCGGCGGACGTTTGAGCAACATTGCTGCTGCTGCGCGCCCGCTGCTTGTCGGCCGCATCGTCACCATCGTCTTTCTCAGACTGCCCCTCCTCCTGCTCTTGCTCCTGCTCGTCTGCGTCTTCGTGAAGATCGCTGTGTGCTTGAGTCGTGCCAGGGCGGCTGGGCGCGCTTGCGTACTCAGACATGACTGCCTCGAGAGCCGACTCTGCCTCGCTGACGATGTCGCTGTCATGCTCTTCCTCGTCGTCGTCGTCGTCGGCATCATCGCGACCAGCCTTGCTCCTCTCGCTCCTGTGCTTGTGTGGTGGCCCCGTACTATCACGCATCGACTCCCTCGACTCGCGATGCATCCTCGAGAGCCTTTCCTTAGCTTCTACCATCCTCTGATGATCGCGATTACGGTAGAAGGCCTCGAGATCCGCCAAGCTCATATCAGAGGGAGTCTCAAAGACGCTCTGAGCTGACACGCTCATTGGTGCGGGCGGGTAGACATCGCCGTGGCTGGTGCCGCTCTTCTTGCGTTGCCGACTCTGTGCGACAGCGAGATGCTCTATGCCGATCATCTTGTTGCGGGCTTTGCGTGGAGAGTGTGGCATGGGAGTGGCTGCGGCTGGATCTCGAGTTGGCGAGGGCGGTGCCTCAATTTGAGGCGTGCGCATTGGTTCGGCGACACCAACATCGTCTTCAGCCTTGCGCTCCTCTTGCTCCTCAGCGGTGACTTCTTTCTCAGCTGGCTCGACATCTTGATCCTGCTGCTGCATCTCGTCGCGATGATCATCGTCTTGTGGCTCAGGCTTTCCGGCAGCTTCGCGCCCACGGTCGAGCTCCTCGATGTCCACGGTCGTGTTGTCCGCGGTAATCTGCTCGCCCTCGTCGGTCAAACCCATGCTCGTAGCATCGGAGCGAGGCGAAAGAGCACCGCTGCGCTCCTGCGTGCTGTCCTGCGTATCTTGCTGCTGCTGTTGCTCAGCGTCGATCATCTTTTGGACACTCTCGTACGCCACGGAAGGGAGCGAGCCGGAGTCGAGCGGAGGAGGTACCTCATCTATTGAGCGGCGAGGCGAGTCTGAAGCCATCTGAGCGTCGCCGGTGTGGGACTGTTCCTCTTGACCATCGTCTGCTTCTTCCTGAATGGGCTCGTCAGCTCCCAAAGTAGATCCAGCACCGACAGCGTAGAAGTCGCTGTGGTCCATTCGGCGCTCCAGGCCATCGAAGTTGACTGAACCCATCTGCGAGACGTTGTCGAGGTCTGCCATCTTCTGGCGCTCTGCCTCTTCGGCATCACGTCGTAGCCTGTCGGCATGAGGGTCAGAGGCATCGTATGAGGCCCAGTAGGCTTCTTCATCGTCTTCGTCGTCTTCAGCGCCAGCGCCTTTGTTGATAACTTCACGCGACTCCTCCTTCTCGCCTCCCTCGCCGTCGTCCCACCCGCCCCAGAAGTCGTCGGCGCTGGTGAACTTGTCCTCGGGAGCATCACCAGCCACATTCTCCTGGTCTGTCTCGCCTTCGTCAGCCGTGTTGTAGGAACCGGCAGTACGTGTCGTAGCGTTCGACGTCAAGCTGCGCGAGCGCCCGTTGCTGTCGATGGAGCGATCCTTCCACTGCACGGACAGCCCGGCGGGCTTAGCAGGAGGAGCTGGCGCTGGCCTCTTTTGAGCTCGAGCAAGATCATCAAACCAAGCTCCAGGAGCACCGCCGAAGGGCAAGAGGTTGTGGAAGCGCCAAGGTTCTCGATTTGCGCGTCGCCCACCACCGGTGTCCTCCTCATGCTTGAGTATGAGGCAGAGAGCACCACCACCTCCACCATCTTGCGCGTCTGTGTCGGCTGCATCATCGCCCAGGAAGATGTTGGCTTGAATGTTGCCAGGTTCCGGGCTCGCCCAGCGCACTTTTCGTACGATGTGCTCCATAGCATCGGTGTCTGTCGCGAGGATGCCGGCGAGCTGCTCGACGCTGTTCTTCAGCTGGTCGAGGCCGGCGATCACTTCAGACTTGAGGTCCTCGGGCGCTGAGGGAAATGAAGTGACTAGATAGTCGTCGACGTCATTTGGGCTGATGGAGAGCATTTGGTGGCGTCTGTGGGCAAGAGGAAGGGCATTTAATGAGTGCCGTCCTTCGCACCTGCTCTTCAAAGCGGCGGTACTCACTGCCGTACCTCGGCGCTCTTCAAATGACTTGGCAGCATGGGTGGATTGGCCAGCAGGAGCGGCAGGATGAGCAGCGATGCATCCCTGACCCGCTCCTCCTCGACTGCGCCGTCCAGGATTTGCTGATTCGCATTTGACTTGGCAGGCGAAACAGTCGGTTTCTGCATGATGCTGCCAGTGCGCCCTCCTCGTGTCACTGCAGAATCTGCAGAAGAGTCCATGGTGTAGTCTGTTTCGAAGTTACTGCCTTCTTCACCAGATTGAGGAGAGAGGAAGTCGTCGACGGAGGGAGAACCAAAGGTGCGAGGCCCGAAGACGGAGTACTGGGCCATATCAGCGGTATATATGCTAGTCTACTAATGTCTGGGTGATGAGACTGGCGACAGGGTGCCGCACTTTGGCCAGTGATGTCACAATTGGCAGCGCGAACAAGGACCTTCGCGAGGATGAGGACGAGGACTTGACAGGGACAAGGGGTCCGAGCCAAGGGGTGCAATCGCGTGAGATCGCGAGCTTGCGGAGGGCGCCTAGGGTCAGGCCAGTCGAGCTCAGTGTCTAGCTCGCGCAAGCAATGGATCTTCGGGGCTAATCGCCAGAGTAGAGCATTGTGTTGCTTTCGGTCGGCCTGATGAAGGAGGTGGTGGCCCTAGCGTTACCACCTCGGAAGGTCAAGGAGTGCGCACGCGACAGGTGCCCGGGCTAGCTGAGACCAGCCCAGGGCTTTCTTGGGAAGGGGTGAGATCCCGAACGTCGCTGGACGGGCAGCAGTCAGGCCGATGTATGCTAGGAAGGGTCCGCTTTGACAATCGATCATATGCGGCCGGCGGTGAAGAGGCAAGGGGAGGGAAACACTTTCTCACTTTCTCGACATCCCAACATTTTGAGCGCAGCATCGCGTGGCTCAGTCCGCCTTCGTCAGTCCAATCGAGCCGCTCCTCCACCAGCTCAATCCTCTCAAGATGCATACTGCGAATAAGCTTGCAATTATCGGGGTAATACGCCAGCATATGGCGTGACGTCTTGTACAGGCTGTCAAGCGTGCAAAGTCGACTCGAGGTCGAAACCGCATTCTGCCTCAAGCTCGCTGTCGATACCTGACTGCCCCAGTGCAGCCGCCGATCGTCTCGTTTTCCCCCCTCCTCCAGCGGCAACGCAATACGCTGATATCCCTGTTCCTGTACCTCGTGGTGACTATGTGTGCCATACCACCTCCACCGCCCACGCTCAGGCCCTGTTCCATTGTTGTCCGCGTCAAGCGATACATTCTGCTTTCCTGGGCCCAACCCTGAGCCTTCTACGCCGGCAGGGTAAATTTCTCGCCCTTCATCACCTTGTTGAAGTAGACTGGTGGGTGGAGCAGGGAAGAGGAAAACGTCAGCGGCGTTGCGACTCGTCGCAATGGTCCCATGCTTGTCGTACTCACTCCAGAAGAAGTCGGCATACAGACCCGTCTGCACCAGCCCTGCCACGATAGAGATCGGGTCGACGAAGTGCTCGCTCAGATACCTGTAAATCCAATTCGGGATGTACAGCGCCCTGTAAGCTCCGAGGGCGAAGAGGTAATGTGTGGTAATGGTCTCTGCCTCTCCTGTTCGCTGCAGCATGAAGAGCTGAGGGAGGATGGCGACGGACTCGAGGAAGATGGAGAACGACCAGAGGATCTCGACTGGATTGAAGCCATAATTGAAGAGAAGGGCGAGAACGAAGCATGGTCCCAAGAGGTACTCGAGACGGATTGTATCGATTGCTGGGTCGTGAGTCGGCCTTGAAATGCGTGAGGGCAATGGAGTTGGTTAGCTCAGCTTCAGCTCACCCGCTGCCTCTCACTTGCTTCTGCTTCTCGAAATGCTCACCTGAACTTGACCTTCATCAGATACACAATGTATAGACTTGACCCAATGAAGAAGACCTTCATGATGAATCGATAGAGTGAGTCCTCAGTAAAGACATTGAGGTAGCGACTGATGAAGACGACGGAGTAGAGGATTTGCGTCTTGAAGGAAATGCCCCTCGCTGACCGTGATGTCTGAATCTTATGGATGAGGATGAAGATGGAAACGAGGTGGGACAGATCCCCAAAGAAGCGGAAGATATTCATAATCGCCGCGGGATGTTACAGCTGAGCTGCGATGCGGATCTGATCTGGGATGGGATGGGATGGGATGGGATGGGACGACTACGAGATCGATGGCGTTGCTAGTCGTGCTGACTGCCGACTCTGAGCTGTAGCTGTAGCAGCGAGTCTTTGTAGAGCGTGGTCGGGCGACGTGCCGTTGAATCGGTGGACTGAGACCGTGTCGTTCGAGCTCTGGTGTTGATCAAGAAGAAGGGAGCGTCCGAGCGGATGGAGGCAGCGGCGTAGTCGATCGTCGGCGCACGACGCTCTGAAAGGCGGGCGGGCGGGCGGGCGTGAGCTGGAGGCTAGTGTTACCACGTGGAGGCGAGGGTGGACCGGCACAAAGCGGTGCACGGACGCCCGAGATTCACAAGTCGAGCGAGCGTCCGACATCAGCTAGCCTGTCAAGCTACTGCATACTGCATATATGGACGTTGACAGAGAGCGACCAAGTCTACGCTAGACCTACAGCATCATCTTGATCTTTCGGCTGCTCTGCCATCGCTGGCCGCTCCACTATGGCCCTCGATGCGGCTCTCTTCACGCTCCACTTCCTGCCCCGGCAATCCTCACCCTCCATCATCGACCTCTGCTCCTCGATACCCACAACAGGCGCGCATAATCCCCCTCCAACATATACCCTCTCTCGGGCCATAAGGTCACCACAGTACAGCACAGCACTCCTCGATGGCTTGTCACTCACGGAGCTTGCGTCAGTCGGAGCACTCTTGGCCTCGGACAAACGCAAGGTCGTAAAGCTAATCAATCCGGATCATGACGTTGATTTGGCAAGGAAGAGCAACGTCCTCAAGCCGCAGTGGACGCTGCAGTGGCAAGAGTGAGTGTGTGCACAGTATCGTGCAGGGTCAAAAGGGTCTAGCATGACGGAATAGGCTGACTGTTGTCCTCCCTCCCAGCGAGACCTTCCTCCTTACCCGGGAAGGCTTCCCCTCCTCCCCACCTGGCTATGACGTCGAGATCGTCCGCAAACCTGACCCACCAATCAAAGTCGCCATGTATCGCCCGGAGAGTAAACGCTCCCCTGCCTTCCTTCAGATCTTTGACTACAACATCGACCGATGCGAAAAGATCACCGACAAGCGTGGCCTCGAACAGACACTAGTGCTGGCTATTGCGAGCTGCTTAGATGCGGAGTACGATGAACGACACAAGGGACCGACAGAGAACATCTTCTTGGCCCCTCCAGGGACGCAGTCTGGTAATTCGTCGTCAAATTCGCCTGATGCGCAGGCTGCTCCTGTGGCAATTCCGCTGGAGCCAAATGAGATCTTCCTCACGCCGCTCAGCGAGCCGGCGCATGCGGTAGAGCATTGCCTCGGCCTGCTGAAGTCAGGCTCAGATGTTGCCGATCGGGGGATGGGCCTGGACTTGGTCATCGTGAGGGCGCAAGGTGAGGAGATGGCTCGAAGGGCGCTGACTGTGGCCGAGAGGGTCAAAGTGGGCTTTTACCGCTTGCCAGTGGCTGCCAAGGGCAGGCTGCTCGATGGGACGGTGCCGAATGAGCTTTACCTTTATGTCAGGCCATTGGAGGCGCCTTTGAGTCAGCCAGCACCATCAGCAGGCCAGCCATCAAGCAGTGCCATTCCTGCTGCTCCATCTCCACCAACCAGTAGCGTCCGCCCGCGCATCAAGCTTGGCCAAGCGGCCGAGCCTACCCCTCCAGCTGCTCGGCCTGCCCCATCTTCATCCCCCTCGCCAACTCCCTCTCCAGCAACCCAACAATTGGCCGGCATCAGCGTCTACCTGAGCAAAAGCAAACTTGAGGAGTTCGAAGCCGAGCAAGCTCTCAAAGCCCGGCAGAGGGAAGAAAGGCAGGGGCGTGAGCTGGCACATCGACTTTCCCAGCAGCAACAGCCGCAGTCGCAGCCACATCCTCAACATGGTGGGGCTCACGGTCCTGACTGGCTTCGGCCTCCTGTAAGGCATGACGGTGGCAGAAGCCCATCTCCCGGCGGTCGCACTCCTTCTCCAGCGGGCAGTAGTGGGGCAGGGACAGACCAGAGCGTCGCAGGAGAATCGGCAGGCACCAACAGTGACTCGGTGAGTATATCGTGCAGTGATCGGAGCGATGTCAGCGAGGCGGGAGACATGACCGCCGAGGACCACCATGACTTGGACGACGATGACAAGAGCATCCACAGCGATCAGAGCGATGCGGGAGACCTCTACCACGACCGGCAAGATACCTTTGTCTGTGTCGGGTGCGCGTGTCCCTCTCCAAACCTCACAGCTGAGAGTACGCACAGCGATAGGGCGGCGGCTGGCAGCGATGGAAGAAGTAGCGCCAAGCTTGTTGTTAAAGTCAGCTTCGCCGCAGCGGTCCAGCCATCCCATTGGCGGAGGTCTTCCCTCGCACCAGCAACTCTGCCTAGCATCGCCGAGTCACCGGCACACATCTGCTCGTCGAGCTTCTAGCACAGGAGCGAGAAGCTTACGAGGAAGGTGCTCGATCGGATAAGAGGTGCGCTACAACGCTCTCAACATCTCCATCCGGTCTACTTGTGACGCCATTGTTCTTGTTCATGTTCAACTCATCATCGTCATCGCCTGCTTATGCTACTGTTCGTCATTTCAGCTGATTTCGTCCCTCGTTACTGACGCGGCCTCGTTCCCCACTCGCATCCCTAGTCACGCCTTCATCGCTTCCTCAACAAGTTGCACGTCTCCCCATCGTCGACGCCAGCAGGTGCTCAAGCATCAAACAACGGCAGAGCTTCCCCCGCCGGACGATAGGCAGCAGTAGAGGTTGCCCGTTTGCTGCTCCCGCTGAAGCGAAACATGGGCATAATCGCGAGCTACAGCGCGGAAGCATGCTCTCCCTGAGCTCAATGACCATGAGCGATGTAGAGACGATAGCAACGATCCCGCGGTCCCGACACTTGAGGCGGAGCGCAGCGAGAGCCCTGCTCCCTCCGGCGGCCCTACCTAGAAGATTGGTGATACCGCACGTCGAGAAGACGTCGTGCGTCAAGGAGGGGATCGTTGCCTCAAAAGCGGCCAAAGCGTACGGCGGCGGATCAGAAAGGCGCGGCCGGTGTCCTCTACGCGACGCCTCCCTCGAGTAAGTAGTCCGCGTCATTGCAAAGCTGTATGGTGGTAGTGTTACCAGATGAAGCACGGACATTTCGACAGAGGTACGAGGCAGCAAGAGCGATCATAGAGCCATAGTCGAGCAGACGGAATTCACAGCTTTGATACCCTCGAGGAGCAAGGCGTCGCGCGCTTCCCGACCATGCACGACGTATCCGACATAGCTTGCCCATCCTCTGGCTCTCCCTACCTGCACCGCTAAGGCCTACCATGTACATATTTACACGAAAAGCTATACAGACCCTCTCGATCTCACTTTGCTGCTCCTCATACAACGCTCGTCGACTGCGAATCAAATAAGGTTGCGACGACTCATGGTCAATATCGAAGAGAGAGAGAGAAAAAGAAATACAGGAGGCAGGTAGAAACGAGACTCGATACGGATGGGTACATGCGTGCGTATGTGTACGGATGTGTGTAGAGTAAGGTGTATATATGTACGATACTTGAGGGCGACTATCTCCTCCAGAAAGCCTCGTCATCCTCATCCCCTCCGGCGAGCTCATCCAATCTGCTCCTCTCAGGCTGCTGCTGGTAGAGAAGGGCAGAGCTAATGTCCTGCCCGTCGCCTCCCCCAGGCGGCAGACGCTGTGAGCCCTGCGTGCCAGTGCCAGGCAGACTTCTCGCCCCTCGTGAGGAGGACCCTCCGCTGCGAGTTCCCCCCTCCCCGCGCTCGCGATGCTGCCTGGCAGGAATGGAGTTATACTCCGGAGGCAACTCAACCATCTCCCCTTCCCTGCCCGCTCCCCCGTCGTTTTCATCGTCACTCAACGAATCGTCCAGCAGCAAGCCGGCGTCGGAGTGCACCACAATCTGCTGATGACGCGATGTGCCCGTCCCGCCATTGCCACTACGCTCACTTCTCCTGCGCGTAGAAGCAGCCGTATGGTGACTGCCATCCCTGCTCGGTCGGGTACTGCCGCCTCGAACAGTCGTCCCAGGGCGTGAGCGCTCCGCTGCCAACTTGTCCTGCCCGCTACCCGCAGCGTAGGAGGCGGCTGCAGAAGAGTAGACCCTGTCCGCGAGCGGAACGTCTTCGAGGCTCTCGTCCACCTCCGTTGGGTTGGTGGTGCTGAGCGCCGATCGATAAGCGTTTGCGAGTTGGTAGTGCTGCTGTTGCTGGTGCTGCTGCGACGAGTTGTTCGACGACCCGTTGCTCGACGCCGTTGCGCTGGAAGGCATGCCGTGAATCCCAGCTGCTCGACCGGCCTCAAAGGGGGAGCCAGAGCGCGATTGTGGAGAATTGTCCGAGTAGGGCATGTAGTGGTGACCGTGCATCTGCGAAGGAGTCGGGGGGCTGCTGACCGGAGAAAGATTTGCAGGCTCGAACGTCGTTGCTGCCCCACCTTGACCGCCGCTGGCACTGCTTCCTCCAAAGCTGCGGAACGACCCATGAAGAGACTGACCACGCCCGCCAGTTCCACTCGCTGCACCGGCAGCCGCCATGCCCTTCGATGCCAGCCTGCGGTCCACTGGCATTCCAGAGGGGTAGTTGCTTCCCCCGCCAGGGATTTCCCATAAGGTCTCTTGCCTCTTCTTGTTCCGACGATAGAAGGCGAGGAAGACAAGAGCGATTATGAGGGCGGCAGCGGCGGCAACGCCTACGGCGATCCCGGCTATGCCGCCCGTACCGAGGTCGCTTCCACGACCGCTGCCGTGCACGACTGAGGGAACCGTGAGGACGTTTCCGTCGGATGTGGTGGTGATCTGCGTCGTATAGTCGGGTGTGATGGCCATTGTCTTAGCTGTGGCGACAGGGGTAGGCAGAGCAATTTGATCGTTGAAAACACAGGCAGTGCCGACGTACTGCGAACGAGCGGGAGAGTGAAAGTCGTGTCAGCTTGAGAGAAGAGGTGGTCACATGGTACGGCGCCCATGGTCTACTCACCTGATCGAGAGCCACCTGATTCCTACCGCCAACGCCTCCTGATTTGCCATTGCCCTCGTCCATCATCGTGTACAGCAACAGTGTACCGTACGGAACCGTCACATTCCAAGTGTATCCCCCTGATCCATCTGCCGAATTGACGAGCTGCTTCTCCGAAGGCGAAGGCAACAGGATAGGAGGCTGCCTCTCTGGCAAGACGTAATTGTTCAACGGCCCAACGAAGCCCTTGCCCGAAACATTCCAGCCAAAACTCCAAGGGCCACATTGCACCGGCGCGCCGTCGGTCCATGACTCGAACTCTGGTGTGCCCACAGCCCGATCGCAAGACTCGTCGCTATTGTCCACCTGCATGAAGGTGGATGTGTTGGCCATCATGCCCGTTGAGTCGATGATTGTAGCCACGATGGCCGGCTGATTGGTTGTGGGTCCGTTCTTGAAGCTGGGCATGTCGACCTGATAGAGCCATCGACGGAGCGTCAGATCGGCATACGTGGCTGGAATGGAGACGATGGCGATTTGGAACCACAACTCGGCGGTTACCATGAGGGTGAAGGGCGGAGTGCCCTTTGTAGGATCCCAGGTGATATCGAGGGGCGCGCAAGTCTTTGGTTGAGACATGCCGACTTCGAAGCGGTGCTCTTCGCTGATGCGCGCAGCCGGCGAGGATTGGCGGCGAGCAAGTGAGGAGCGCAAATCGGCTGCGCTCGCAGGCAAAGCGCGCTTGGAGAGCTCGCGGGGGCTGAGGATGCGCCGCTCGAAGCTTGAAAGGTCAGCTGCTATCGCTGTTGGTAGGGTCAGCATGGCGACAAGGGCGAAGAGGGCCGTGTAGATGATGGGCGGCCAGTGCCAGCGTGGTGATCGGCGGGTGCGTCGAGGTGTGGATGTATGCAGCATCGTTGTCGCGTTGTTGCCATCGCCGTCATCGCTGTCATTCTCGTCTTCGTCCTGGCCGTTGAGGCATCCGACACGAGAGTGTGGCATAGGTCTGGACGACAGCGGATGGGGACGTCGAATGCTGTGCGACGTCTTTGCTGCGCTGCGCCGAGATATCGACGAGGGATATCTTGCGCGTGACGAGGAGGATGAAGAGCACTCTGGAAATGAACAGCACGAGTGCGAGGGAGGTGGTGCGCCTCGACCTCTAGCCTCGGCCTCGCGACAGGAGTGCATGATCAAGGCGAAGAATAGGAAGGATAGGGGGGAGAGGATATGCGGATGCCGGGTCCCGATGGGCAAGACGCTGTCTCAAAGCGAGAGAAGTAGCGTGGTTGACTATCCCGGGAATGGCGATGGAGGAGCGAGAGAGGTCGCGGATGATGATGAAGAAGGAAGAATATGTGTCGCGAGGCGAATGGATGGATGTCGGAGGACGGCCACTTTGTGTCTGTCGATTTGAGATATGCCTGCTGCTGCTCTCTCTCCTCTTTCGACTCGATCCTCGACGTGAGGCTACCTTGACAAGCTTGGTGCTGCGCTGCGAGGGGTGATGTGCGCCTGATGAGTGAGAGGCAAGCAAGCAAGCAAGCAAGCAAGATGAGGCTGGCGCGTGTCTTGTCTGCCTGGTCCGAAACGAGGGGAAGTGACGGCCCGCTCGCTGACTGGCGGCTCGCACGACGGACGAGCAATGGAGGGATGGGAGGACGACGGGGGGGAATTCTTGGACCGAGACCGTCGTGGCTCAGTGAGCAAGATGCAGCCACTCGAGAGAGACGAAATTGTCGATGAACAGGTCTGTCGAGGGACCCGAAGCAAGATGTCGTCTTTGTTGCTGGCGAGGATGAGGAGATGGAGTCTCAGATTGGGGGTGGATGGATGGCAAGGCAGGAATGAGATCTAGTCATCACCACCGATCGCTACCAACGAAAAGACGACGAAATAGAGAGCCGCCGAGATGAAGCTCAGCCACTTGGTTCTTGGCTGCCGCCGATGGACCGAGGGACGAGAACCAGACGACCGAGCGCGGAATCAAAGTCAGTCCATTCATTGCCGCCGCCGCCCACCACGTAAAATGCCAATCATTCTGGCTCGCCAGGCCAGGCTCCATAGTAGGCGTGGGGCGTGCGAGTGTAAAGCGTTGTGGAGTCACGCTGCCCTCCGTTCAGGTACACATGCGATTCGAAGGGCGGCCAAATGCCTCCAGCTTCGATGCTACCACGGTACACTTCGAGCGAACTGGCAGACGGGCAGGCAGGCAGGCAGGTAGGCGGTCGGGAAACAGCGTCTCAGGTCGTGAAGCCAAGAAGGCCCAAGCTTCGCTCCGGCTCGACAGCTTGTCCAATAAGCAGTGGCTCGACAATGCACGCTAGAATGACTGCTCCTCTTCCATGACGACACGTCAACTCGTCTGGTGCTCACCATTTGGCGACTAGCAGCAGAAGTTTCAATTTGCCGATGTCTCGAGGAAGGTCTGAAGGAGAGCGGTACTGGGCCGGGATGCGTGGGCGGCACAGCCCGAAGTGAGGTGAGCTCAGGCAGCGGAACCCGCTGCGTCGGTGTCGTCACCGAGTTTAGGGCGCTCGAGGCGTCATAGGCCCACGGCAGCAGGCAAAATGCCCAGCCATCTACAAGCTCCGCTCCGCCGCGAGCGATAGAGCAGCACGCCGCTGCGCTGCAAGGAGGAGATGGAGGCCTCGTGCTCAGAGCGAACACGGCACGCTGCACACGACATTGCCCCAAGCTACCAGGAATCTTTTGCTCTACTCCCAAGGCGGCGACGCCTACGCTCAGCTATGGGACGAAGACGTCGTTGGAATTGGTAATGACGAGGAACGTCCGTGGCTCGGCCTCCGACGACTCAGGGTCCCACACCTCTGCAGCAAAGCATAGCAATCATCAAATGCACGATCGTGACGATCTTTGCGTGCGCAACGCGCAACAGGTCGCCAAGGCGCAAGCCACCAAACGATGGTGCCCCGCCCTTTGCTTCCCATCTTGGTGTCTTCCGCTACCGCACGGCGACTTTTGTGCCATCTTGTGATCATCGACAGCTAGCTAGGAGCGTACCAGTCCTTGCTACAGACCGAGTCGGCCGAGTGAGATGGTGTCGCTCGATGAGAAGAGGTAGCACAGAGATCGGACGGAAAGATTGATGAGCAAGGTCAAGTCGCCGTGCCTCGTCTTCTTTACGATGACGGGCGGAAGCGGGCTGCAGAGTTGAAGAATGCCGATTGTCATGAGGAGAGCAACGTCGCTCGTCTCAGCGTCAATGAGGAGATGAGCCATGGCTGACAT